AATGCCATTGTTGATGGTGTAAATGCTGCGAAAAGAGTCCACAACAACCTTGTGATTCGCCAGAGTCCGATCAGAGCATCTAGTATGGTTAGCAAGGATCATGGAGCCGATGCAGCTGGGGAAAGGACAGTTCATACGGCTGGAATGTGCTTGCATCACAGTTTCCTTCAGGGTCAAATGTGTGAATAGAGCCCAAAAGAGTGTTGGCATCCTTGCCAGACCTGCCGTTGTTTTGGTTGATGTTGGCTACAATGTAGCCCTGAGACGAGCTCCAGAAGCTTTGCAGAAAGCAAAGCGCCTGAGCAGCTTGACTTGAGGCATTCGGAAGAGACTTGCCAAGACTAGTAGCCAACGCACTGGCTTCGACAAGAGCGCGATGTTGGTTGGCAACGGTAAAGAAGCTGGAGCCATTGACTTCCTCCCAGAGATCGAAGCCAGTCTGGTTCCTGTGGAAAGGTAAGTTGAGATAAGCTACAGCTTGTGTAACAGAATCTTACCAGTATTGCGCCACGTAGCTAATATCGTTCTGAATGATAGGCCACACAATCGAATTGGCAGTGGACTGGTATCCATTGTTAATCAGCCACTTTGAGTAAGTGATCAAAGCTATGGCTCGAAGCGCTGGTCCGTCTCTCTGAGGACGCCCCCAAGCTCCAGTGAAGGCTGTTTCGTCAACGTTAAACTTTGGCTCACCAAGGCCTGTGCCGCTGTTGGATAGGCTTCCCGAAGGATTGGATATGCCTTGCACTATTGCTTGAGCGTTGATGTAGTTCTCAATCTCAGTCTGCAGCGAGGCCGAGTAAGAGTTGACAAAGGTGTCGACGATGCATTTGAAGACCAGTGCCGAGTCTCGAGTCCAGGTATAAAAGTCTGGAAAGCTGTTAACATGATGCAGAATCGCTAGAGACGAGGATTTCTTACAGTCTGGATTCGTCTTGGATGGGCTCGCTATTACGATGCCCGAGTTGGCTCCTGCGGCACAGCTACCCGCTGATCCGATATTGCACAACAAATCGGCCAGCGCAATCGGAACTTCTGTCTCGAGGAATGAGCTCGCAGATCTCTTCACAATGTCGAATTCATGGCGACTCTCGCGGAGTCTGGGCACAGCGTTGACAACTTGCAGCGCACAGCATCCAACGACGAAGGATTTGAGAGACAACATGGTGAAACGAGTCGAGGATCTCTGGAAGTTGATGGAATGGATTTTTCAAGATTCTTTGTCAACGCCATGATCGCCTCTTTTATATCACAAGCTGTGGATATGGTTCTTCGTTAGAACGCATCATTGTGCTGAGTTGAAGCTGCCTCGGCCATATTTCGACATCACAATCGCGCCAAGGCTAATGTTTGCCGCTCTTTCGAACTCGCCGAGTCAAGCCGACCTCCTGAACTCTGCATTGACGACGGATTTAGAGTCATTCAGGTGATTGGAAGTGGTGTCTCGAAACGGCCCGAACACGGTAGAGCTTCAACTACGGCGGGAACGACGACGACGAAAGGCGGGAAGAGTCGAGTTTTGCCGCAATTTTCGATCATCGTGCCCTTTTGAGATGGCAGCAGAGAGGCTCCTTGTGATCCATCTCCGGTATTGTGGTTGATCTGGCATGGGTCTCTGCCGTCTATAGCGGTAAGAGGTTGAATGAGGCCATCAACACCAACAAGACCTGAAAAGGCGGGGCTGAGTTCAACTACAGGCGACTATTAAATTGGACAAGGGCCGAATGCGACGCTGTCTGCCGACATCATGCTATGAAAAGCTGGAAAACCTGGAGGCGGAAGATATTTATTGGCCGAGGGTAATGCGGGGAAGCGGTTGGGCACATGTCAGCATCAATGCGAAATTGCGCAATCAAGGGGAATAGCAGATGCCGCTCCAATCAGAGCCGGGCCGATCCGTGAGCTGAATACTTATGATATGGTTCCTTGCGCATAAATATCTCATGCGAGTTATTGGTAAATTGTTTGTAAGACGTTGATAGCATTCTGATAAACGATTACCCTGAATCGGTGGCTAATGTCGAACAAGCGGAATACATTAGGCAAAATCCAACAAAGTAAGACAACTTGGCAATATGGCAATATGGCAAGACATGGCGAAGGAATGATGGTTAGCAAAAAGTGAGATGTAGTGTCTTTCATTCCTTATCCAATCCTGTATACAGATTCGATAACGCTCATGGCCTATAATCTACCTGGCGTTGACACCACTATTTACCTTCAAACCGATCCCGTGCTTCATACTGATCAAGCGTTCTGACGTAGGTAACTGGACCGTCATAACGGCGATTCCCACGGAAAAAGTAGTATGCCAAAGAGAATATGGTGACGCCACCATATATGACGATATTCCAGTTCATCTGAGCCGCCGTCGGGTTGGGATTGCCAGGCATAAACGACAAGACGAAAATGAGGACGAGAAAGGCCTCGGAAGCAATGTTGATGGCAAGGCCCCATCGGCCGAGGCTAAACTTGGACGGCAGAAGCGGGCTATTTGTCCATCGTCGCCAGATCATGCAGCCGGTTGAAACGATGTAGCTGGACAAGAGCGAGACAGTTGCCAGAGAGGTGATGGAGTTCAAGGCTACAGCCGAGCCGATGTTGATGAGGGAGAGCAGAGCGGAAACTAGAAAAGTCGTGATAATGGCATTGAGGGGCACCTCCCATCCCTCTCTAATCTTGGAGAACCATGGGCTAAAGGGCACAGCCTGGTCTCGTGCAAATGCGTAGAGCTGACGCGATGAAGTAGCCACCATGGTCAAGTTGGAGAAGACCGTCATGGCCACAATAAAGACTGACATGGCAGTTGCGCTACTCGTCGATTGTGTCGAGTTATAAAACACCTGCATGAAAGGATAGCCCGTGGGAGACTCAAGCACTTCGCCAAGATCCCCCAGGCAAAAGCAAAAGGTGATGACCATGATCCATCCGAACGCGCCATTGAAGACGGTGGTCAAGATCATGGACTGTGGCAGTGAACGACCGGCATCACGCAGCTCCTCGGACATGTGAACAGCAGCATCTGCGCCCAGAAGAGGCAAAATACCCGCAAGGATTCCCACGAGGGCTGAACCTCCCAGGCTGCCCCAGCCTCCACCGTCGCTAAACTCTGTAAAGACAGCTTTGGCGTCTGCTCGTGGTGAGAGAACCCAGAGAGTGACGAGAATGCCGAAAAAGGCAAAGACGTGGATAACAAGGATGAGAGACTCGATAATTGGCAGCTTTCTCGCAAGAAATGTATTGAACAGCACGGAAAAGGCAGCCACAGCTATCGTGATGAGGGTGCCGTGCCAGGGCTTAGGCACATAGTCGGGGTAGTTGAGCACAACGAGGCCCTGGATCTGCGTGCCGGCAATAAACGCCGACGAGGCACATGAAGTCTGCCAGCCAAGCACGCACATCCATCCCATGAGGTAGCTGATGAACTTTTGGTGTTGCGGCGGGGCGAATTCGGAGACCCAGTGATATTGCCCTCCAGTTGTGGGAGCCCTGTAGAATTGGTGTTGGTGACAAGTGATACTTGTGCCTGTATATACAGCGATTGGAGGGTTTCGACTCACATTGAAGCCATTTCGGCCATTGTAGTGTTCACCAAGAGGAAGCCGATCCAGCAGACAAAGAACATCCAGATGAGGCCGGCCGTGCCGCCATTGACAAGGCCGATGGTAGAGACACTTTCCAGCATTTATTTAGTCATTGATAATGATTCACTATTCCGATATCAATTACCTCAGAGAAAACTCCCACGATGCCATTAGAATCATGGAAAAGCCAAAGATGGACAGAAAGCGAAAGTTTCTCTAAGACGCAACTGATCATGAGCCAAGTATCATCGGTCAGAATCTTGCTATACGAACCCTCATTTCCTGAGTCTTGCCCATGCGGTACATGTCCGCGCGGTCGGCCGCGGTTCCTTTCTTGTCGACATCATCGTTGTTTCCGAGGGCGGTGCCAACGACTTCGGGGTTCTCTTTGTCGTCAATTGACATTGTCGTGATGCTCTGCAATCACCGCTTTAAAAGAGAAGTTATGACAGGATAAAAGAGACGACAATGTGAGGGGTACTCAGCTGCAGCTAGCTTTATAAATGATGCAAGAAGAAAAGATGCATCCAACAGAACACACGTTGCCGGAGAGTTACAGCCAAGAAGGGTGTCAGGTCAGTAGCAGAATCATTCAACGGTAGCAATCAAGTAGGATTCGGCATAGCGCAAACATGCAGATACAGTATATTCTGCAGCTATTTCTTCGGCCGGCGTCCCCAATACGGCCTGGTTTATGCACGTTGGTCAGCTCTGGGTTCAGTCCCTACAATGTGACGGTGCAGGGATGGCTACAGGGAGTGTTGATGCCGTCTCTCCGGCCAAGAAGAACGAGTCACATTTGATAGCTGCAGTTGCACGGCCTATGCGCCACGTTTTCCGGTGCGATTTCCGGTGTCGGGAATGGGTTGCTGAGTGAATAGCCAAGTAACAGAAGACAACTAGCAAGGGCCCATGCCGCAATTTGGTGAACCAATTCGTTTGACAGTTCGGGAACAACTTGCGAGACCCACAGTCTGGTGGCTCGAGAGTGTCAAGAGATGCACTGTATGTCGAGTTGTAGGCAAGGATGTCTCTTATGACACTGTATCAACTGCGTACTGTATGCTTGGCTGCATGGCTTGGTGATAATGCCTGACTAGGACATGGCAGGTTTTGCATCCTAGTCACAGTGTCAGTCTGAGAGGCTGGTTTGATACAAGCATATTGCAGGCTGCTGAATGGATGATGACCCAAAACTAGGAGGTGAAAGAAAGTCATCTTGCATCAAGCATGTTGGAACCAATGCTACGCGACAAGTAATCCATCAGCGTCGTTGCTTTTGCTGTAATCCTCCTGTAAGCATAGATTCACGCGGTTAATATGCCGTTATCTTCCTCTGGGGAGTCTTGTCCCACTTTCGGTCCAACAACTACCAAGTCGTTGCATTACACAAACTGAACCCGCAAATCCATCACCATGAATTCAGCAGCAGCGAGCGGCTCGGCTCCATTCTCGCCCGTCACGTTCAACGACCATGCCGGGAAGCTGTGGATTGTCACGATTCTGGCGCTGATTTACAGCACGCTGGCGGTCATGGCACGCGCGTATATCAAGTACAAGATGCTTGGCCTGGATGATTTATTTCTTGCCTTGGCAACGGTAAGGAAGCTGGTTGGAAACCCGCTGACATTTTGATATCAATATTGACAAAATATTGGCCGTTAGGTATTGCATTTATCGCAGTCCATCGCAATATTCGTTGGCTTGAACAATGGCCTTGGCAAGTTCAACTCGATTACACCGCCGGAACAATGGGCCACATCATCAAAAGTGAGGTTCTACAGACTACTTTATAGTTTGTTTAGTCGCTGACACAACTGCTGGTAGTGCACTCTCGCAGCCGTTATTCTCACCTTATTGGCCCTGAGTTTCGCCAAGTGCTCTGTCCTCGCCCTCATTCTACGCATCATTGGCACCAAGGATGGAAAGACCAAAATCATTTGCATTACACTCATGGCCATCAGTGCGGCTTGGGGCGTGGGCTCCAGCTTGGCATTTCTCATCAACTGCCGCGCCGATACGTTATTGACACTGGATAATATCAAGCAATGTCCCCATCAGGTGTGAAGAAAGAATCATTCCGTACTTCTCAAAAAGTCTTCTAACCAGAGAGTTTAGGAAATACGATGGGCAGTGATTACGGCCGTTGACGTCTCCATCGAGATACTCACTTGGATGCTGATTGTGCAGCTATCCTGGACAGTCAACATGTCATTCATCCGCAAGTGTCAAGTGGCCATGGTCTTTTCCTTCCGTCTGCTGCTCATCGCCCTCTCGGTTTCCCACCTGGTCTATTTCGACAAATACCCAACCTCTGCCCAGCCGCAGTTTGCCGTCGCCAGCTCTCTGCTCTTCCAGCAGGTCATGATTGTGTGGTCCCTCATTTCTGCCACCGTGCCCAACATGAAGAACTTTTTGAAATCCTTCTCCATCGGTATGGGGTTTCCGCTGCCCCCTGACCTCAGCTGGTATGAATCCAACCAATCGTACCAGCTCCAGTCGCTCGAGAGACAGCCACGGGGCACTTCATCTACGGCAGCCGCAGCCGCAGGAACAGTTGCCTCTGCTGGGGCTTGCGACCCCGGTGACAGCAGGCTCCGCAGTCGCCCGTACAACTGGAGACTGGGCCAGGGCTTGGATGAGGCCACTGCCAAGGGACGCAGCAGCAACAATAGCAGAGAGGAACTATTAGAGCTGGAAGAGGATTAGCAGCTAGACTAAGGACGGTGTATTACTATTATTAAATTGACATGTTGCAGGGTCAACAACTGTTGCCTTGGACCCTTTGCAAACTAACTCACGGGCCTCCCGTTCTTCACCAAGTGATGGTATTCCTAGCTCCGGCAGTGTATTGGCCCGAGTGCCTAGCCTCTTGAAACAATTCCACTTTAGTCGATAAATGTGAACAAATATAAGGGTTCATCAGTCTGTCTTGAAAGAAGCCTATAATAGCCTCCTTGAACCGAAAGGCACGTCCATCACATGAGGGATTTTCAAGCCTTCAACAAAACAAAAAGACAGAAAAAATGGCAACACCACAAGCCTTACTGTAAACACTAGTAGTTGTGCAACAGTACGGGCGGTCGTGCATGCATGCAACCTTGTTTGCTGCAAACTGTACTTGTCACTTTATCCACCGTGGATGACAAGGGTGTCTCTTCCCCGGGCCAGTCGGATTAGTCAAAGACCGCTTTCGTCCCTTTGCTTTTTAGATCGAGACCCAATCCTCGGCCCAGAGCGGGATGGCGCAACGCCGTCGTGCTAGAATCAAGCCATGGAGGAGCACCTCTTACCGGACATGGAGACAACTGCTACCTAATACTGATACTGTAGCATGGGCTTGCTTGGCGGCGCTAGACTGGAAAGATGTAGTTGCATAGGATATTGATTTTTGTTTGCTGTAAACTCCGTTCCCTTCTTTCATCTGTATGGATAATGGCCGTTACTGTGCTGGACCTGATACATGCACCCAAAGATGCAGGTACTGCAGGGGCTATGCGAAAGAGTCTGTTTACCCCTTTTATGAAGCCAAAACGGGCTTTTATCCTGAACTACTGACTTGACTACTGCCGAATTCCTTGTCAAGCTGCGCTCACTTGGTCTCCATCTTTCTGCATACGTGTATCTGCCAATATCAGTGCGGTACTTCTTACTTACTTTTCTAAATCACATCTCCCCTTATCAATACTGATTAAAGGAGATCTCACAGTCATCACAGGCTTTATTGGTCCGTACTGTTTGCATCTTGCCTTCTTTTTCCCCTTTTGTTCTTTTCCGTCAAATACATTTCTCCCTTGTCACTTGATAATCACTGCAAAGCATGTCTGATATTCAGCTGCGCGAAGCGGGCTACTCGGAACTGCCCAGGATTGCTCATATCTTGGCAAAGGCATTCTGGGAAGACAACTTGTTCGGTCAGATGATACATCCTCACCGCAACGAGTATCCCGACGATGTAGACTTGTATTGGCTGAGGTGAGCACGCGTCAACTTCTGGGATCCCCGTCGACGATGGCTCGTTGCTACAGAAAAGGACAAGAGCGGCCAAGAGGTGATTGTTGGTATTGCGCAATGGGAACGATTGGGAGACGGGGGCAAGAAGCTGGAGCGCTGGACCTTGGATCCTCGTAAGTACAGTTGTCTCAAAGGTTAATGTCTATCGAAGCTAAACAACACATGTAGGAAATATTTCCAAGACTTTGTCCTCAGCTGCCATGAAGATTCATGCTATGGTCTGGCCCAACCGTGCAAGTGACCCAGGGGTAGAAGATATTATAGAGCGGTCCTATCCTCACTTTGATAGTATTTGGAGCGGCAAGCGTGCGGAGTCGTGGTATCTCGAGGCGCTGGCAGTACATCCCGATTATCAGGGCAGAAATATAGGTCGGAGACTCGTACAATGGGGGCTTGAGCTGGCTGAAGCAGATGGCATCTGCGCATCAGTGGTCAGTGCCTATGGCAAAGATGAGTTTTATACGAAATGCGGGTTTGACGAGCAATATGGCAACGCTGGACAGGGCGACGGCAATCCTTTGGCAGGTGTCGATGGGGCAAACATATTTTGGAAATGGCCAAAGTCCAGGTCATAAGAGTTTGATGGCGTTTTCACCCATGATTATAAGACACAATTTACAAGTTCAAACAAGTTCATTATAACTAATAACCCATATCAACTGGCTCTGGTCTCAAGCTGGAATAGAAGCGAGCTTGGCGTCATTACACATCATAAGGATAAGGAGCCTTTACCGCATTACCACTTTTGCGCTTCTCGTCTAGCAGCTTATACCATGATATAACAAATGTCGGCCGGCAGATCATAGCAAGAACAGCTTCCTGCTTCATTGGCTCTTCTGGGGTGTATTCTCCAAGAGAGTGAGAAAAGAATGGCCATATATCGTTGTGGCAGTACTTGCATAGCGCTTCAACATGCAGTGGATGCAACGGTTTCATGTCTGGACGCACAACGAGAGCACTGCCAACATAAGTCTGCCATTGCGTAGAAGCGAGTCCCCAGCCAAGCGTTCCAGCTGTAGGGTTAAAGGGGACATTCGGGTCGCAGGATAGGTGGAGAAAGGTCGCATCTTGGTTATTAAATGGATTAAAGTTTTTAAAAATCTTGTTGTCTTGATGGTCTGCCCAAACTCGATTTGGAGGAAGGCGATGTGTGAATATCGGGAATCCAATGCGGTTTGCAATTTCCGACGTGTCATGATCGTTGAAAATAGGATCCGTGGAGAGAATCTCGACGGATTCAAAGGCTGGTCTGTTGCACATCTTCTGGTCACCAAAGCAGTTGATTCTGACAGCCTTGATCGTTTGAGCGGCAGTTGCTGGTATGGCATTGTAACTTAGGAAGTAGTCGAATATATGTCGAAAGTCTTCCATATCAAGATCTCTGCATTTTTGCTGATCTATTCCAAGGCCGACCATTCCGTATGCAAAGATAGGCCCGCTCCAGTCGTGGTATAGTCCAGGCTGTGTGGAAGTGACCCGCGCAACACTCCGGTTGGGTTTTGACCCATCAACGAGGAAAGTGTCGCGATGGCATACTTCGATTGTATTGAGGAGGTTTCGGTTCAATCTGACATTGCGCTGAATTGAAGCTCTGGTCGGAAAGCTGTCCGAGCCTAGAATTGAGTCTGCCTCGACATATTGGTACCTGTATTCCATTTCATCACCTTCGTCCTCAATGCACCACTCAGAAGCATGCCAGATGACTTCTGGCTTTCCATCTACTGGGAAGAGAAGGACACGGAAATGCTCGTCGGTTGGCCGCTTTGACAGCGCGTGATTCGAGAAGCTTGAACAGACAAGCTTGTGGGTAGGCCAGTCTTCCTTCTGGCAAGATGGAGAACAATAACGGGCGCTTTTACATTTTGCACAGCGCCGAGGACCTTGCTTATCGCAGACGAAGCACAAGCTTGATACATCAGAGCTCGCCATGTTGCGTTCTTGTGAATAATTAATGCCGGAAATGCCAATGGTAGGCAGATATTTTTCAAAAGGCTTTCCATTAATCCTGTGGGTGCATTAGCATTCAACTATATATACTTGTGTAGCTATTATATGTGCTTTGTAAAAGCCATCATTGTTTTGTCCAATCACTTTCTGACACATGGGCGGCAACCACTTAATATCCCACTAAGGCTGGCATACGGTATATATCCGCCCTTTTTTTATTGTAACCAATGGCCTTGAGACACATCGATACGAGGTGCATTAAATCATGCACTTGAGCGGCGGGAGGCCCTCAATCTCGTCATCGTAGCTAAGAGGCAGGACAAAGGCATCTAATTTGTTCGAGCGGCTTTAGCTGTGATATCCAGCAGCTTATGCGATAATATAATAAAGGTCAGCCAGCAGATTATAGTACAAATAGCTTCTTTATCTATTAGCTCTTCTGGGGCATATTCTCTTGTAAAGTAAGAAATGAATGGCGCTATATTATAGCAGTTATATACAGTAGATGTAATAGTTTTATATCTTCATAGAAAATAAGAAGACTACTAATACTATTTTACTATAGTGTAAAAGCGAATCCTTAACTAAGTTTCTAGCTACAAGTTCAAAGGTGGCATTCGGGTTGTAGTATTAATAGAGGAAGGCCAAGTTAACTGCTCTAGCATTAGGTCTAGTTTTTAGTTATACCATTGTAGTAATGGTAATAGCCACGGTTATTCACTCAAGGCTAAACACTGTCTCTTGGAATAATCCATCCTCAAGGTAGCTTATAGCAATACCATCCATGATATCATCAATATAGGCATAGCACACGACTTTATATCGATACCCAACTGGCCGCAGAATAAGAGGCACATTGCAACCAAAGACAAGGCAAACCAAATCGCCCTTCTGTATGACTCCAGGAGGCGCAATGCCTATTGCCCCATTATTGAAGACTTTAGACTCCTTTAATCGGTGTTGCTGAAAAGCGAACATACACTGATTGTTGATACTAGAGAGCATCAACTTCAGTCGAAATCGACTTCCTGAAAAATCAATTGGCTTGCATTCCTCGTCGAAGTCGTTGACGCTGGTTTCTAGGAAATCCGTAAGGGATTGAAAAGAGTCGTCCATATCGCAGCGTAAAAGCCCCAAAGAGCATGTATGGTGGAATAAGTCAGTTGATAATGCCTTTGGGTGTAGAATTGTTGCCATATCTTTGTAAGCTTGTGATAACTGAAGTCGGAGGCTTTCATAATGGAGGAAACGAGATAAGGAGTCGTCTTTTTCGTTTATATCGAGCCTGACAAAGGGGTCTTTGAAACCTAAAATGGACCCAAAGGAGAATCCCTTTGCTGATAGGATTTTGACCTTTCCCTCTGTCTCGAAACTGAATTTCGCTGGTACATTACCGGTGGCCTGTTGATGATTATAGGAAATCGGACGTTCGCATGAGTCTGGGCTTTTATATTTATCCCAATTTGGTACCCAGGATGGTAAACCAGGCAACTCAGAAGTCTCTGCCAGGTTTGCGGAGCATAAAACCTCAAGAGTAGAAGACGATTGAATCATGGCTTGCACAGTGTCAGTGTATACTTCTGAAATAGATTTGTTATAATCGACGGAGAGTCCAGAGGTCACGGACCCAGAGACACCTAGGATAGAGTATACTTTGTCTCTCCCATCTGAGCAGAGTCGAGATCTGTTATGCTTTAAAAGGCTAAGGAGTTGCAGTGGCCCACGCATTCTAGCCGTCCCATTCCCTGCATCGGCTTGATTCTGGTGAAGAAGGCTCCGATATATCGATATAGGCACAAACGTGTTGGACCGGAAAAAGGCTTTGGACTTTCGTTCTTCGTATCTCCCATCCATCAGCACACTCACTCTCGGAGAGCTGATAAATTCCGTGACCAAGTCGATATCCCATCCATCAGCACACTCACTCTCGGAGAGCTGATAAATTCCGTGACCAAGTCGATATCTTCTTCAGAAATAATATATGATCCAGACTGCAATATCAATCTTTTCGCACAAATAACTTCTTGAATGATCCAAGCGCGTTGCCAATATGCTGGCTTTTCCCTTTCCCTTTCGCCTATGAGGAGCTGAAGAGAGTAAAGGCCGTTGTTGAATTTGTTTTTGTGTTTTTCAAAACCAGAATATGGCGTTCCAGGACTGTTGTTGCTCTCAAGGTAAGCTTGGAACGGTGGGTGTGTCTTGAGAAATCTGATGTGCTGGAACAGTGAAGTAGCGTGGTGCATTTCGATGAAGGGGTCAAACAGCGGATCGCGAATTCCTAGCCAGGAAATAACCCGTGTCACAACCTCGTATATCTTTCCCATTAGCATGACCTGTTTGCTCCGTTCGCCGAGATCGTTTTGATTAATACAAATTGCATCAATCCACAGAACCCTAGCGTCTGAGCAATCTCTCAAATATGTCAATGATGTTGCAAGGTTTTTAGTGACGAGCATCGTCTCGCCGTTGGCGATTATGGGGAGACGATCCGTAGGGTTTCCCCAAGTATAGGACAAGGCTTCAAATTTCGGCAGAGGGTGAAGATTGAAAGGTTTGATATAACATTGAATAGGATCATCGAAGTTTCCTGGATACAAAGAGCAAAGACGGATAGTATCTCCTCCGGTGGTCGAGTACAACGGGCGATAAAACGACATCACCGCGTTTTAGACACAGCGAATTGAATGGCCGAAGAAAATATAGCCGGTTGAACAGCCTGCATGTGCAATGTAAGTGTGGTGAATTGTCATGACCGCACAATCGCACTGATGAAAGTGTCCTACTTTACTGGCTGCAAAGGACTGGATTTTACATAATATGTATTGAACTGGAGCGATAGGCCTGCCGGGCTATCTGCCTACCAGCCAATGCAAGTGGCTGCATATACATAGGGAAACACTTACATTAAGAATGCGTAGGGCTCAAATGGAAAAAGAGACCAGATTAGCCCTAAACCATCAAAGAGCGATTCGAGCGGTACTACTTTCACAGGGGAGACTCAAAATTTCAAGAAAGACGTGTACTGGGTGGAAAGAAGTGTCCTACTTATTGTCCAACAGAGGCCAACTGTCTACGGCCTTCTTCCTATCAGTGGGGGCTTTCGGCACCTAATTAACTTCTGCTAGGATCAGTGTTACACTACAGATTGCTGCCCTCCAACTCCATTCCAATATAGCAGAGGTGGCAGTGCACAAGGGGACATCCAGGCGTTACCTAGGCTGAGCCGCCATCAGCGTTTGTGCACGAGCAGTTGCTTTCTTCTTCTGCACTCATCTTCCAAAGTGTCGTGTGTCCCCCTAAAGCTCACCCTGATGCATCACCACAAATCCCTGAAATGCGATTAGCTACGACCTTCTTTTTATTTGCTGGCCAGCTCAATGTTGGGATTATCCTATGTATCATTTCAAAATAAGCAAGCCTCAGGAAATGGGAATGAATGGAGCGTTTCCACGAAGCAGACGAACAGGAGGAATCTTACTCGAAGGCGATGCCAGTTGGCGAGCTACGGCAAGGCAGATTGAAAGGCAAGCTTTAATCGTGAGGCACGAGTTGCTTGATTGGAACCACGTCAGCGTGGGAGTCATGCTATAATGGGGTGCAATTAATTTCGAGCCACTGATACTACAGATCGTGTACAAGCAAATAGGGTGCTTGAAATTAATTGCGACTCACTGTAACACCCCTTGGGTAACCTGACCGTCCATGCTCGGCGGGATTAGACAGTGCAGCCCACTGTACATGTATCTGGCAACATGTATTCATTGTTTAAAATACAGACTTGGATGCCAACCTTATGTGCCTTGTGGCCAAGCCACAAAGCTGCGAGCCAGTCTTAAATAACTCGATCCCCAGACCCGTGGCTCTTCGAAAGCATATCCCCAATACACCACACTTCCTGGACCCTTCTGTGACGCTCCGTTCAGACGATATAAAATATCCAAATAATTCTCAAGTACTTGTCGCTATCAGCACTCGAAATTATGTCGGATGAAAGGCCTGCCGATATGGACGTTGTTTTGCGTTTAAAGAACAGGTTCTTAAGATATGACGAAGCTACATTGCAGAAGATGTACGATGACTTCCATCAAATGCATTCCTCATCCGTGAGGATGTCAAAGGAAATTAGGGAGATGGGATTGGCATACATTGAAGCTCTAATCGAGAAGCGGGAGCAGCGAGAGCGATTGGAGGAACAACAACGCCGCCAGCAATCACAGTAGCAGAGCAGAAGTAGTGGCGGTGGTAGTAGTCGGAGAGCATAACTGGGTACGCGACTAGGAAGGTTAAGAGATGTGGTGTAAAGAGCATGTTTGGATTGATCACAGCCATGGCTGGGAAGTCTAGTTGTATCCCTATAACATTTGCCCTTTGGCAGGGATTGAGCATAAGGCTGCGCAGCAGTTGTGGCTTGGCTATTCTGATAAGATCGTTGGGGCACGGTTATTAATGAATTGATTGCACATGGTGTATCCAGCCCTTTTGATCGTTTAACCAATGATTTTCTAACACGTCGGTAGTACTACATTACAAGTAACACTTGGGCAGCGGGAGGCCTCAATCTCGTCATCGTAGCCAAGAAGCGGGACAAAGGCATCCGACTCGTTCAAGCGGCTTTGGCTGCGATATCCAGTGCATGTCGTCGGCCACAGGGCGGTGGTTGTTCTCGACTTGCACGCGCTCATTGTACATGGCGATGAAATGCTCGGCCTTGTCCTGGAGGTGTTCAACGTCAGGCTCCTCGTCCTTCTTCAGGTCCTTGGCATTGCTGACCCGGATCGCATCGTCCCAGGCATTGGCATAGCAGACTGGATCAAGCCAGAAATAGAGGTGCTTCAACGATGTGAAGAACAGAAGCAGTACCTTCATATCGTTGCCCCCGAAGAGGTCAATTCCAGGAACTGCATTCCCAAAGCTCTCATACCAGTCTCCTGAGTCTCCCGAGCCTTGCCAGCTCTGCGGTTCTCGCGCAAACGTCTCGCCGCCGCCACAAAGGCGAGAAAAAATGGCTACGTGCTGGAAGCAAGACACCATTTCTTTGAACACGGCAAACTGTTTCCTGCTGTAGGGGAACCTTTTCATCTTGGATTCATTTAGGATATGCCAACTCTCTTCGCTAAGCAGTGACGGATAATGCGTGTGACTCAGGCTCATATCTGGCACCGCATAGATGACCAGCATATCCGTCTCTGGGCGGCAGCGGACGAGACGACTTTTGGCGCCTGGATGCCAAGGGCCTTGATAGACTCGGAGTGCTTTGGGGTACAGCCCAAGGACTGCCATGCGGGATTCTCGGCAGGTAAGGCTGAGATTGGCTATTGCCAAAGACGATTCTGACTCCTCGGGGCTGGAGACCAAGTCGGTGGATGCGAAATAGCCATCGGACATGCAGTAGGTTGACCAGTGTGGAAGTCCCTCTCTGAATGCCAGACAGCTGCCGTGTTGGCCACAAAAGACGCCGTTGCTGGTGAAACAGGCGTGAGCAGTTGATTGTATCTGGGAATGCACCTCGACGTGAATTGTGCGATCGACGGTGGCTTGGAGAAGAGCCGCGCGCCAGATTAGGAGTCTTGTTTCCGCGGGGAGCTCTCTGAAGCGGGAGAATTGCCGGTCTTGCGTCGGTTTGGGGTTTGGATCGCCAACTGGAGGCGGCTTTTTGCTTACCCGCTTGAACTGCTTTATTGCTCGTCCAGGCATATTGACCAGATAGGTATTGAGTTTACCTATAGATGGAGTTGCAGAGAATGGAACAAAGGAACTGCTGTTATAAAACTATCTTCAACGCTTATGGCGCACGTGATTTGAGGCAGAAGTCGCTATAGTCAACCGTAGATTGACTCCACCGGAACTTGCGTCCAAGCTACTTAAGAGCCTTGGGATTTGTTCTGCAAGTCTGAAAGGCGAAATGGGCGCCTCTCTTCTGTTTTAGACAAGGGTAATAGAGTAGACAAGTTTGGACAGAGCTGCGGCTGTGCACCAAGCTAGTCATATACGAGCGAAGCGCCGCACCAAGCACCAGCACCGTTCTATTGTGACGGCATAACAAGAACAATTTCGAAACATTGTAACAATTCACATCAATCCTCGGCTTCGATTTAGGCGTCTTGTAACATCTATAGATTCAATTCGAATTTAGCATTACGTTGGTATGTACTCTGATACCTACCACGCTTGATAAAACTAGGAATGTAAACTTGCCTTCTCGATTCACACCAACTCTGGGAATGTTTAAGGACTATCATCTTCGTGGCTGAGAGTATTAGATGAGGCTGATTTGCCTATTTCTATTGGACCGCTGCTGCGTGCTTGCAATAGCCCTTGGCCGTAGAACCTCAATATCTATCTCATTTCAATGCATGCTTTATATATTGGGTCCCATTACAACGAGACGCGGCTACGAACTTGCTCAAGAAAGGAATCAAGAATCAGAAAGCCGGATCAAGCAAATCACGCCAAGATAAAATTAACTCCACAACACATGATATCAATTCTGGTGTTGTGTTGGAGTAGCAAAAGCCCCTTGCGCACCACAGAACATGTACAACAGTTACTTCATCTTTGGGAAAGTAAGATTTTTTCATGCTATTAGATCAGCTTATTCCAATGCCGACTATCTATGGTTCAACGTTGCAGCAAATAACACCTAGCAACTTTTGTATCACTTTGGTATTTTTACGCTCTGGTTTTGATACCTTCTTCTCCTGTCCTGATAGTGTTTGTATGAGATCGTCTGAGGGTATGTCGCATTGCTCGGGACTATCGTAGGCGTTGTCAATGTTATTAATAGTCGGTAGTGTGTCTTCATATTCAGGCTCGATCATTTCGTCCTCCTCTCCTGTGAGTATTGAAAAGTATTCTAATGCTTCATCGTGTTGTCCGAGATTATCCTGGATAGAGGCAATTGCATTAATAGTTGATAATGTGTCTTTATGTTCCGGCCCGAGTAATTTCTCCAGTCCTGCAAGTGCCCTTGCATAGTACTCCATTGCTTTATCATATTGCTTAAGGTCAGCATAGTTACATCCAATGTTATGTAAAGTAAATAGCGTATCTTTATGTTCAGGCCCTAGTATTTTCTCCCGCCCTGCAAGTGCCCTTGCATTATACTCCATTGCTTTATTATATTGCTTAAGCTTGGCATAGTTATATCCAATGCTGTGTAGAGTGGATAGCGTATCTTTATGTTCAGGCCCTAGTATTTTCTCCCGTTCTGCAAGTGCCCTTGCATAATACTCTATTGCTTTAGCATGTTGGCCAAGCTTAGAATAAACATAGCTAATGTTGTGTAAAGTCGATAGTGTATTTTTATGTTCGGACCCGGGTATTTTCTCCTGTCCTGCAAGTGCCCTTGCATAGTACTCTATTGCTTTATCATATTGCTTAAGCTCGGCATAGTTATATCCAATGCTGTGTAAAGTGGATAGCGTATCTTCATGTTCAGGCCCTAGTATTTTCTCCTGTCCTGCAAGTGCCCTTGCATAGTACTCCGTTGATTTATCATATTGCTTAAGCTCATCATAGACATTGCCAATCCTGTAGATGTTGAAATACTTTAAGGGCACTTCGCTTTCCTCTAACTTATCAAGAGCCTTAAAGTAAATCTCGAGGGCCTCTTCAAATTTCTCAACGTCCAAATAGAATTTGCCAACGATTAGGAGTGCATAGATGGGCAGACCCGAAGCCTTCTCCAGCAGAATGCGGAACATGATCTGCAGAGGGTCAGTCAATTGTTTGACTTTCTGAAGGTGAAGTTGCAGTTTCAGAAGGAAATTAGCTTTTAAGTCAAGAGATAGAGGAGTCTCGTGTCGAAGTAATTGTAGTATTGATGAAATGTCGGTTGGTGCTCCGACGCTTCCAACTGAAGAAGGATCCATAGCTTGAAGGCCGGTGGATGAAAATCCATCTTGAACATCGAGGAATAAACGAATTCGTTCAGTGCGCGAATCATCTTGTCCGTACTGCTGTGACCGTCTATCAATTTCATGGTTCAGGCACGTTTGGACCCGCTGTGGAAGCCCTAACGAGTGTCCCGCTTTGCCCAACCAAGACGAAAGTTCCTCAAACTCCATAGCCTGAGAATCTAGAGACTCATCGTCAATCATTGTCATAATAAAATGCTCTATCCAAGGCACGCATCGGTCAGATTTCAGAAATTGATCGATCTTTGCTGCGATAACACCTTGCTTGATGTCAGATTGAGTAATATGGGTAGCCGAATATTTCGAAGAATAGCCTAGAAGTCGATTATGTTTGACGAGATTAGGAGATTTGGTCCAATCTTGCATCTGAGAACTGTAATAACATGTTTCAAGATACGCTATGGAAGCAGCCGCAACCCAGCCATGGGCCTGCTTTAAAGTAACTCGGAATTGTTGTATCTTGCGGCTTCTCCGGCTATGTGACCATTGGCTCTCGGGTCTAATCAAAAATTCCATCACAGAAAAGTGGACTAGCCGCAGTTGATTGCCTATGAAGTTGACGAGACCACCACAGACATCCAAGATTTTGAGATCCGGCTGTGGAACGAGATGGTCCTCAATGGACTTTTCTCCGCATGTGAGTTGGGACATGGCATCTGCGGCGAGTAAATATTGCAGTTCGTCGAGACTCAGCGGACGTTGAGAAACAATTATAAATGCAAAAACCTTTTGAGCGAGGCTTAACTCAGAGCGCTCCAATCTGCCGACAAGTCCACAGAGCAAAGTTTCATAAGCTGTTTGAAGGTCTCTTGGTAAGCCACGCAGTCTTTTAAATGCGTCAGCTACTCCAACCGACTTATTTAGATGTTCAACCATAAGCTTGATCCAGAGAAGATTGCCCTCGGACTGATCTGTGAGAGTTCTGCGGACCTCGCTTCGCAAATCTGGTGTAATAAAAACACCAGATTTTTTTATTTCAGCTTCAATAACTGTATCAACGTCTCCTTTTGTTAAAGTAGAATCGATGTGAATTGTGTGCCTGACATAATCGGTTGCGTGAAATGCGTGGGATCGGCCAAGGACAATGAAACGAAAATTAGAATGCGACTGGAGGAAACCAAAAAGCTTTTGTACTAATTCATGAACAAGATCTTCGCTCTCGTCCACGCCATCGATAACGCAATAAATTGGCTCAGCGATGACTGTATCAGCTATCATGCTGAAAGCCCTCCATAGGTCAGAGATTGTAGGTTGACCTTTCAACATAAAGTCTTGAAGAATTCGGATAGCTTGTTCTCCGGTGCATTCTTGTAAAAGCTGCGATAAAAGCGAACGAACCAAGCTATCCAATTTCAAGTGACTGGCATACATGCCGGTGAAGGCAAAGAACAGGGCATTCGCTCTGTTGTTCCACATGTGGTCAACAATAGAAGAAGCCAGAACACTTTTTCCACAGCCTGGGGGGCCGCTGACACACAACAATCCATCTAAAGGTGATGTCGGAGTTAGAACTTTCCAATTTGTGAAAGTTGGGTTTGACCATATCCAATCGCAGGTCCCAGGATGTCTTGCTTCGATTCGATCCTGTTGGATCTGCCGAACATTCGGTGCTTTCAGCCATTTTTCACACTCCATTTGTAGATCTTTCAACTCTCTTTGTCGTGCCTCTGGAAAATTGTTAGAAAGACGAATTCAGCGTACGGAGACAGCTATACCCACCGTTTTCTGCGTTTCTCAATAGTCTCGTATTTTCAGCTGTACTCTCACCTATTATTGCTATACTCTGGGCGACTACCTATAGCAGTTAGATCAATTTCGAATGATGTGGAATTTCACTGGGAGGGGGACTTACCGGCAGCTATCGGAGGCAAGACTTCAACATCAGACGGTTCGATCAATGAGAGGAGTTCTTTGGCATACACCGATGCTACTGCAGTTGCACGCTTTTGCCATTCATCGTTTTTATGAGAGTCAGAGTAGTCGCTGATGCCTCGTATAATAAGGCATGGGAAATTGTTCACTAATCCGGCCGCCTCCATGTCAAAGCAAAATATCTTGTTGGCATAACGCTGGTCGATTTTGTCCCTTTCAGTGCCATTTCTCACAACCATACTTCCAGAAGCTATGATACCATAATGGACGTGTGGGCTCGATGCGGAGTTGCGAGCTTTTCGCTGGACGAGTGCCCCTTTGTCGCAGGAACCACACGTTTCAGCTCCAGGATTATGATCATGGTCTGCTCGAAACAACAGATCGGGTGCCAAATGCTCCTCTGGATATGCGTATAGCTCACCCAACTCGTCGAGAATGCCCGGCATGTTGTTGCGTGGATTCTTAGGCCGTGTATGATATGCCCTCAAAAGATCAACGGCAGCCAGAACCTTGGGAGGTGGCGCACAAAACCAGTCTTTCCTCTCAATGTCACCATTGCCGTTCAGCTTGCCGTAGTCGTACTGCACAACCCCAGTGTATGTCCCATTCGGGTAGCTAACCACGATATCACCCAAACGGATATCCTTCTTCCCGTTTGGGACACCACCTCCAATACCCACGAGGAGGGCGAACCTTATATTCTTGAACGTGCGGCGCATGTTTTCTGCCACAATAGCAGCAGGGCCTGTGCCCATTTTTCCCCCAGACAAGCAAGCCATGGTAATGTTGTGTGCACCTATTCTGCCCAGGTGATATGCGTTGGTGTCATCTCGAGGCGTCGATTGAGGTCTTCCATGCTCCTCGTCCAACATAGCCATAGCGATTATAAACTCTTCATTCAATGCAGAGATCCACCCAATGGTATATTCATCATTTGAATAAGGAGAGGCCTGCATGGTTGATGCTATACGTCGTATCACTCTGTATTTAGAAGTAAAGCCGTCTCGCAGTCAATAGAAAACTGTAACGCAATGACCAGAGCTTTGTCGGATGAAGAGGATGAATAAATACGGCGACGCTGAGAGTTGCTGCCCAATATTGATTTCAGCCTGGGAAAAAGCAAAGATACATGCAGTTCAGCTCTGCCTGGATGGCGCCACTATGCACGTGTGCAGCCGTAATTGGATGCTCCAGCACTGGGGCATTTACAATCGCCTGTTTGCCAATTATTGGAGGGAACTGAGAACGTCAATAGGTATACCCCGCCTATCTCCCAAAATGCGAATTTCAATATGAAATACATCTTTGAAATATTGATACTAAGATTACTTATACGTCTTTTGCAGAAGCTACAGAATTCACAGCTGGCTTGGGTGTTGTTTTTCGTAGTTGCTATTTCCACTTCAAGGTGTTGCAGGAGAGCCCATCCACTTCCTACGCCGCTCGCTTGCCTTAGAATGAGAGGCTGTGCTGCATCCAACTGAGACATTGCGCCACTGGGAGGCTGAGCCATGCAAGAATGAGCTGGGCCTCTGACTGGGTTGCAACAAAGGCTCTCCGAGGATACGTTTCAGACGCTGACTGGCCAAAATAGTTCGTGATAAGAGGGGCAGGGAGCGGTGTTACAGCCTGACATACACGCTACGCATACCTTAAGCTGGATAAAGGATAACTAGCGAGAGTAGAGGAGGTATGGATGGCCATAGGTACATGTGTTGTTAAGATTGTTCAGCAGTACTTGATTACTGGAAAGAACGCCAAGCGGTTCGGTACATCGATCCATCGTATAAGCATCCGTATATTGCGTAGCTTGCCTGCCAATATTTATCAAAACAATAGTCATTAAAACGAAACGAATGTCCCTCCAGCAGCCCTCGACATATATAATCTCCATGAAAGTAGATATATTAGCATAATATACATTATTAGCTAACCCTCTATTGGTAGCCTTTGTTTTATACCCTTTGTTTGCAATAATGAATGTAGATAGTCATCTTGGAGGTAGCCGTTGAAGTGGTAGGTTTCAAATTTCCTCACAGGTGTGTATATTGTCTTTATCAAGCAATGCTCACTGGTTGTTTGTAAGTTAGATAGCACGAATGGAGGAGCCGTTTGCTAGCTGGGAACAAGTGTGTAGATGCTTACTACCACCCATGTACCATTATGAGTGTCCGCTTCTCTCAATAGCAAAGTTGATCTTTTTGAACATTTCCCTGTAAAACCTTCATGCAAAAAATCTACTATTTTACCTTGAAATAAACTAGGTGTGCCGATAAGTGTATCGCGAAGGGAGTTTCGCATAGGTTCAGAAATACAGCTATGCCTGCCAACACGTCTCTTCGCTCGTCTAGCCATTTCGATTAGGTCCTTGCAGTGGACACGGGGGTACTACAGCGGGCTTGGGTCGCTATAAATGCACGGGACCAGATGATAGCAAAAAGTGTACTAAGCACACTGCGGAGGCCCAACAATAGCCAGAACTTTCGGGCGTTTGCTCCCCGAAAGTCTCGTTTCCACTCCAGCATCTTACCAAAAGCGTTCCAAGTCTTAACATCAAACTCGTGATTATAAGCAAGAGCAGGAGGAGCATGATGATGCATTTTAGCGTGAAGAGGAGCGCAAAGGAAATATCTCGCCTCTTCACCATAAGACATATTTCCACATTCTATACTACTGAAAATTTAAAAAATAAGAACTTTTCAAATTCTCTGGATGGGTTCATCCCGCCAGGTTTGAAGCCTTGTTTCCGTGGGGAGTTGTCTGAATGGGAGAATTGTGAGTTTTGTATTGGCTTGGGATCTGGATCTGGATCACTAACTGGAGGCAATTTTTTGCTTACCTGCTTGAGCTGATTTATTGCTCGTTTAGGCATGTTTATTGATGTCTATTGAAGCCGAATTGTAGAAAGTTTGATCAAGGTATTGCTTATGTTAACGAGTGATTGAAACAATACTATCTAATATCAGAGCTCATTGCGCCCGTGATTTTAGGCTGCATCGTACCAAGAGCGCTGTAAGATGCCTATAACCACTTACTAGTACCTGAGAGAAGCTACAAAACCATTGGAGTCTGCCTTAACAAGCCCCAGGAATCAAGAACTTAGAATGCCCACATACAACATCGTTATCTATTCTCTACCTAACTATAGACTATCTACATACTCTCTAAGATCTACTGCCCAAAGCTTGACAGCAGGATTATGCAAAGTGTCGAGTGCGCAGTTCCTACTCAACAACACCACCACGAGCACCTCCACCACCATGAGATTTCCGCTTGGCCAGCCTCTTTGACTTGGTACCCCGCGGTTTGGTCAGTCTCCTGCGAGAACTTGGAAGAGGATGAATCCAAGCGCCAAAGGCATCGCCACTCTTTGCAAGATAATTCTGAATCTCCTCTAGCCACAAGCCTGTGTTCATGTTCGGCGCCTTCCGACGAATGGAAACAGAGGAAGTATCAGCTACTTGCATTCTATCGTCAATGTAAACAGTGAATGAATTCTGAGCACGGCGCCCATTCATTCTCATGGAAAACTGAATTACGACACGGTAACACACTCCATCTGCAACGACTTGCTTACAGCCAAAGATGCCAACGGTGGCCTGTTTATTGTCTCTGCTCCAAGGAATACAACGTTCAATTGAATTTCGCAAAAGGCGATGAAATATAGTCTCGTCTTCCACCTGACTGCGCAAATATGTCACAAACAAATAATTCACTTTATCCCCATCCTTGAGAGATACAACATTTCGACGTAGTATTTCTTCCCCATGTTGGTCATTCAAATCATTTCCATTGTCATGACTGTCACTCATGTTTTCACGCACTGCACCAAAACCTGTACTTGGAAATAAAAAGAGAAGACGGTTTTAAAATCTCTGGAGGGGTTCATTTTCACGCTTATATACTGCAGAAGATGTCTACTTTGCGGGTCCGGACAGAGAGAGCCAATCACTCACTCAGCTCTCTATGCATCTTACTGGTACAGCTACGGTCCATAACAACTATTTATTACCCAATCAACGCCTGGGCCAAAAATATTCATACCCTGGAACATTGAAACTGTCCATTCATGAGTACAGGAGGAACAGTCAGAAAAATATTGAACGCAGTGTTCAGCAATCAGATATCTTTAGTCAAGTTCTTGCCCCTGTCCACATAAGCATCCACTTTGTAACTCGCAAACTCCCTAGCTTTCACCCCAGACGCAAAAAGAATATCCAATTCTTCAAAAGTCTTGTCTTTGGTCTCAGGCAGTCTGAACCAGGTCCAAACGAAAAAGACAAAGGCCCAGAAACCCCAGAAAAAGCCAGTCTTTCCGCGCCAGTTGCCCGCCGTGGGGTTCAGCATATAAGGGTTAACAACATTGCATATGATCTGGGCGATGTAATAAACGATCCGGCTAAGACAGACGCTTTTATTTCGCAGACGAGTCGAAGATACTTCGCTGATAATGGCGTAACATATGGGGCCGACAGTCACATAATAAACAAACTGCCAAAGCAAGACCATACTCGCCTGAGCATAGTTGCCACCGGCCGAGTTTGCAGCTCCAACACTGATGAAGCCGACGACGAGCAGTATCGTAGTCAGGATGCCCAAGCCCCAAAGATACATGGTACGCCTTCCGAGGCGGTGCATCAGAAACCAGGAGATGATTGTTCCCACAGATGCAAGTCCCAGTCCGCCGACTGACATCTGGAATGAGATTGAAGTAGGCAATCCAGCTTGCACAAAGAAGTAAGTAGGTGTTCCTCCCATAGCTTACCCGCAAAACGGCTGAGCAGCAAAAGCCATGCATGCAATCTCGGTACGATAGCGATCAATGCCGCGAAAGCAATCCCAATATGAAGTTCCCTTATCGATGGACTCTTCCAGCTCGTTCGTGTGGACCATCATGGCCAAAGTCTGCTTGGCCGTATCCCTATCTGCACCAAGCCGAATAATGGTCTTTTCTGCATCGCTTAAAAGGTCTTGGCGGACATAGAACCATGGCGATTCTGGGGCAAACCAGAGAATAAAGAATAGAGGGATAGGCCAGGCCCATTGAATGGCAAAGGGGATTCTGTAAGACCATTCTGTAGTATTGTTCTCGAATCCAGATTGGACACCAGCCGAGATTAGCTGACCGAAAGCCCAGCAGAGGTTGACATAAACAGCTAAATAACCACGAAGAGCCATTGGGCAGATTTCTGAGGCATACGCAGGGGCCTATATTAATGGATGCGTTAGTGAATGAACCCCCCAATTAACAATGTGGTACATAGGAGCAGTTAAAGAAAGTTGCCAAGCCTAGGAATAGTGTAAATTTGGCAAAGACTTTATTCACGTACCATGGATGCAAAAACCCCCCAAGGGATGCCGCAGAGCAGCTCTCCAGCCAACAAAACGCCAAGGTTGGGAGCGAAGAAGGGGATAAACACAAAGCCGACAACGAGAAGTAGCGACGCCAAGAGCACCTTTCGATAGCCAAACTTGTGCGTAAAGTATCCGTTTGCAAAGGCTCCAATGATTGTGCCAATGCTAACCGCGTTACTCAAGCCGTTCTGCCACGATGCCGAGATCTGGTAGGCGTCAGACCCGGAGTCGAACTCGCCGTATCGTTGTCGGAAGGACGGCTGTGCAAAGAAGGAGTTGATGAGGACGATATCGTAGCCTTCCATGATGATGGAGGTTGATAGCAGAACCGACCACATGACAGCTTTGGGATACTTGCGAACGGCTTGCAGGAAGCCAAGACTGTGATCGGCTTCGGCTGCTTGCCTTGCCAGCTCCGTGTCTTTGGCGGCATCGAAGCTTTGGTGCTCCAAGGCGACGGCTTCAACCTTTTCATCGTCATTCGCCATGTTTGCACTCGGAAGTTTGAGAAGTGATGTGGAGTGAGGATGAAAGAGGATGATGATAGCCGATTAGGGATATTCAGGACAGGCGGGTCTCAAATATTCATGTACGTTTTTGCAAGCAACTCTGAATGTCCATTTAAACACTGGCAACAATATTGAACCTGGATCCTTCCAGGCCTCCCCACATTTATTAAGGTTGGAGGATAGAATAAGGGCTGAATAAAACGAGTTAGTTACGAACATGGGCGGAGAATGTCATGCGATGGGGCAATTGCCGTAAGTAGCATCCCATAGTCTGGGGTCCCCGCGATTCATTGAACCTTGTTGCAGATAATCACCAGATGGGCAAACTCCCTCCCACCCAAACCGGCGTCCTTCGATGGCCTAGGGGGGCCTTCGCTTCGATTAGGATTGGCTAATTGGCGACATCGCGGTGGGGAACCCCGAAAATCCGGGGATGGCAAGCCAAACTGCGATGGGGGCGGGTCCGGGGGACAGTGAGCACAGATCAAGGCGTATTATTCGTTTGCCTGTTCTTGGCATGTGTTTGTAAAACGCAAAAAGAGCAAATGTGTCTTTCAGATATCACGTATTCGTAGGAACAAGCCCACGTTATACCCAAATCACTATCACTTTAGAGGGAGATTCATTGGTTCTTTCGCACTTCTACGAGATATATTTCTGGATATCTGGCAATCTATCATGAACGTCTGAGTATCAATTTAGTCATTGATGGTTACGCTGACCTCTGCTCCATTGCTTGAACCAAGGTGGTCAGCAATCCCATATAAACCACGTCTACTTCCCATGTGCCATTTTCAAGAAGCCGCATGCCTTCTCGAAGAATCCTGCTTGAGGCAGAGGCTTCTGTAATTATACCAACTCTGGCCATATGCGCAGACATCTTATCACCATGGCGAAGATACAGCTGCACCATCTCATCGTCACACGGTCGGTCTATATATATGATGTTAAGCTCCGAATATAATTCCTCGTCTACTGAGGTCGTTGGCCGCTGGCTTTCGGACAAGGGACCAGCTTGAAGCTCTTCCTGCTGTTTAGCAAACTGCACCGAGATACTATATGCCCAGATGACGAGCGTGGCCGTGTATATTGCAAAGGGCTCTAGAAAGCTTCTCCTTGAATACCGCCGTATATGCCAAAATAACGAACCAGCATGAATAATGGCTAGCCTGGCTTTGAAGGAGTCATTCATGGCCCATTTAAGCACACAGTTGCTTGCATCTGTGTATCTCCGATTGAGGGCGACGTTTGAAGCGTTTTCGTTGCTGGAATTAGTTGCCAGAGTTTGGATTTGTGCTACAGGCGTAAGCAGAATAAGCCGAGACAGGTGCAAGTACATGATGGTAGGGTGTTCCAATCCTCCGGCAGCGGCTGCTTTGCTATTAGCTCGCCAGTGTAATATATCGAGACAGTCACACGCGCTATTGCGCCACTTTGACAGCGTTGCATTTGACGGTGGCCAAGTTTCTACCAACGGGCTTTGCTGAGCTTCTCGAGTTTGACTTGCAGCACTGGGAGTCCAGTTCGCCAGCCGTGTTTGGTGCTGGATGATGACCTCTTTTGTCCTTCTCCAGATTCCATGGATAATTAAAATGTTGCTGAATTCGCTCAGGTTCTCTAGGAGCCTTTTCTCAATGTACAACATCTCAATCGCGTCCATCAGGGTTACTATACGCCGAAGTTGTTAGTTTATTAATGTCGTAAAAAAAAACGGTGTAAATAAGTAAAAAACATACCAGATGATTCCTGCTCTGCGGCAACCTTGTCCATCGATGGAGATTCCCAGATGTGGTCTTGGCAAGGCAGAGACACTTTTACATCTGCTAGTTGCATCAGTGGAGCTGTATTGAACTCGTAGGAAATCACAGCGTCGAGCAACTAAAGGCGCGTCAGTTGAGAAAGGGAATAAAACTGGCCTTTCAAGTCTCACCCATATCGCCAAGCCAACCCTGATACGAGACTGGTTCATTAACCAGCTCCGAGCGACATTGTCACCATCATGATGGCGGTACCTTTCCTCAGAGTCTCCAGATAACAGCTTGAATTCTTTGCAGGCTCCAACGAGATAGTGCCGTTCCAATAGAGTGCGCTTCATCATATCCGCTATTCCTTTATGCAACGAGCAGATCAAGAAGAGAGTAGCGGCTTGCAAGGCTGAAAGGCTTGACACGCCATTTTCTGCCTCTCCAAAGGATGCTGTAGCTTCCGTTAGTCGATCGTAGCACAAGCGGCTGATGGCCATGCTGTCTAGAGCAGCTATAAACTCTTCGCTGAGTGCATGTAGTGGCTCTTCTTCATCATCGGTAGTGTATTTAGACCCGACGACGGCAACAGCAAGGAGAAGTATCCAGTCGTTGCTTGAGTGTTCCAAGAACGCCGCTTTCCGAATGAAAGGAAATGTAGGATGGAAATTCGCAAAATAAGATTGAACGCAGTGAGCAATGCATTCTAGAGACGGGAGCGTGCTGGCATCCATCATCACATTTTGTTTGCCTAATTCGAGGTGTAGGTGCCGTATCATGCTCTCATAGCTTTCCACGCTCACTGAGGCGTCTTCCCATAGACCATCTGCTTCACCATCTGTGTAATTAGTTGAATTGCTCCCTGGCGTTGATGCATTGTTGGCACCAGCCATACGTCTTCCTCTCCATTTTCGGGCAGCTTGACCGCCAAAGGGCGCACGGGAGCCATCTCCGTCTACATAGTAACTCCCAGCCGTCGATTTGACTCCCTCCAAGCCCGATTTGCTGGAATAAGTTGAATGGCTAGTACCGTTGAGACTGGTATCATGTCGATCAATACTATGCGTCTGTGCATTTGTACGCGGAATGCATTGTCGGCTGGAATCGGGCAAAGCTTCTACGTTTGAGAAGAAAAAAGGCAGATACAGATCATTCTTGTCATTCTCAGTGTAGGGAGGCACAGCAACAAGCCCATCCCATCCGAGCGAGCCAGATTGTTCTGGAGACATCCAGTTCATAGAAAGAAGGTCCAGGGCCTGCTCATTAAAGCCTGAGATGGAACTGAACTCGTAGATTCGCTGGGCGCCGGGGTCTATAGGCTCAGCAGCCTGAGAAAGCTCAAACATGGCTGGCTGTTGGTTCCAAGCGTTGGCTCTGGATGACAAATTGTTGCCATTAGCCTCTTCTGGATTATAGTCGTTCATGTTTACAGGTACCGCTGGTCCAGTCGCAAGTAGTGAGGTCTCTTCCTCGGTGTGTCCCTCGGCTGTTTGGTGAGCCGCGTCCAGACTCGAATATGGTGGCTCATTATCAATCTCCGCTCTTGTGTCGATGATTGTTGTAGCCTTGGATTTCCGTGTTGTAGGAAAGGTGCAAGCCAAACTGCGCTGAAGGCATCGCCTACACGGATCACTGCGGGAGCAGCGAGCCCGGCTTGTGGCACATTGTCTGCATGCCCTGGAACGTGTAATAGTATTTGCTTCTTCGCGGTCCTGTTCATGAGACGTGCGGTGGCGATTCAAGACATCCCTATAAAACTTCATGAACATTGAACGCTAGACTTAGACATTGGGGCAGAGTAAGCGGTGCGGGCGACTTACTGGCGAGCAAATCCTTTTCCACAAACGAGGCACTTGAAGGGCCTCTCACGAGTATGGCTCCTTGTATGCCGTGCAAGATGTTCTTGCCTGCTGAAAGTCGCATCGCAAATGTCGCATTTCTTATCCGTGCCTTGTTTTGATCCAGCCGGACTGGCAGCTGCCATGCCTGACATTTAGTCTCGAAGAGTCAAAGAGCAGTGGGTTTGGGGCTTGCAGCGATTACAGGGCATGTCTCTGTTTTCAATGAGTTGGCATACCAGAAGGATGAGAGAAGCAGCCTAGATAGAAGTCAAGAACCTGCAGAGAGAAAGCTTGGACAATATGGAGATTGTCTGGGGAAGCTGGAGCAGCCACACACAAGATTTCTTTCATCACATCATCACCACAAGCTCCATCACTGGTGCTGATTCGTTTAGTGACCAAACCCCGCAGACTCGTCCCCTGTGAGCCACCATTGCGGAGTATTATTGCGTTGCGATGCGACCTAGTCTAAATTGAACCCTGCGCCGTGCCAGGAAACCTGATTGCAGTGAAGTCGTGGTATTGCCTGTAAAAGTAAAGTGCCATTCTTCAAATGAGAAGCGTGTTCAGTTTGTTTTTGGATAAGCCGACGGTAAATTCGTACGGCCAGTAAAGAGTAATATGGCCTCTCAACAAAGTCGGTGACATGAAATTGTAATTATCTTGGTTTCATCGTTTGAGTAGCTGGGCGCACCAAGATTAAATTGGGAGAGAGAATCTGGGCCCAAGATTCGAACCATTTGGCCCTCTCTGCAAAAACATCCAAGGTATTAAAGAATAAATGAAAGCTCCATACATGTCCAGAATATACAAAAGCATTTCACTATATTGAGCTTATGCTGGTTCGTGTGGATCTTCTCGACTGAAGCTGTGATTTACTCGACACATCCAAGTCGTTCGAGTAAATTTCCGGCGGGGTTACAGCAACAGTTCAATTTTTCCGCTGCCTGGTGACCAATTTTAGTCAACAACCTCCATCTTCACACAAAGTCGTGGAGGAGAAGTCCAGATTTGCGAAACTCAATCCATGCTTTTAGATCTTGCTCTTTCTCCGCAGCGCTACTGCCCAATACTACGGTGCATCAATGGACATCGTGGAAGACTTACTGGATGAGAAACAAGAAAATGCATGCCGGCACTTTGTTCCGGTGGGGTAGTTGATCTCCAAGGACCAAGACCTTTGCATGTTGCAAGAAAGCCGAATAAAAGCGATAAGCCTTCCTTGAACTCGTATTGTTTTAATCCACTATCAAGTATCATCATCACTTTGCCATGATGCTTCGTCTTCTTGTTTCGCTATTGCCGTTGTTGATCGCCACTTCTGGTACGGCGGTTGAGCAGGCTCGACAGTCATCCCAAGGGACAGCAACTATAGATATCGGCCAAACTCATGGCTCGGCGACATTTCTTGCCTCTGGATTCATCTACGGCTGGCCAGATAACGGCACATCTGCCTCAACCCAGATCCCTGAGAATCTGGTAAAGGGATTCAACTTCAATGCAAACCGTGCCGGCGGAGCTCAGCTCCCCGTTGGAGGATGGGCTACAGGCGGTTTAAGCGGCTATACCGAAAGATTCCAGTCGGCCTTGTCAAATTACCGAACCACGCGCAAATATGGCGGAGAGTTTATCCTCCTGCCTCATGATCTGTGGGGTGCAGATGGTAGCGAGGGATCAGCGTCTCTATTCCCCGGTGATAATGGGAATTGGACTGAGATGGAGGCCTTTTGGTCTCAATTGATGACAGATCTGAGGAAGAACGACATGCTGGATAGCCTCATCATTGACCTCTGGAACGAGCCCGATGGCACGGGTTTTTGGCCTCGCACGTGGGAACAGTTTCTGGAGTATTGGAACCGCGCTTTTACGCTTATCAGGTACGTCTGGCTTTTGTCATTCATTATGCCATTTGAAACATACTCATAGCCCTCACAGAGCTGGACTGCCTGGAACTCTCATCAGCGGCCCAGCTCTATCAGGTGCACCCGGCCTCCAGAACGACAACTGGCTCACCTGGCTCCCATCCATCGTTGGCAACGACACTGTACCGGACCACTACTCTTGGCATCAGATTGGATCAGGGAATCGCTGCCCTGATTTGACTGTGCCAGACTTTAATACGCTGCTCGCACGATTTGGCGCACCAGCGAGGCCAATCGACAACAACGAATATGCGTTGCAATCAGAACAGAACCCGGCGAATGCAGCGTGGTACATGTCCCAGTTCGAGCGTCACGATATCCGTGCCTTGCGTGCCAACTGGGCCAGCGGCTCTGATCTGCACAACTGGATGGCCAATCTTGTATACAGCAATAATGGCACTTACTATCCCAACGGTGAGTGGCAGGTGTATCACTATTATGCAGGGATGAGCGGCGAGAGGCTTGTGACGACCGCCTCTTCCGACACCCAGTTTGATGCCTTTGCTACTCGCCAAGGAAACGATATCAAGATCCTGGCTGGGACTAGGACGATCCAGGCGCCTTACGATATTAGTGTCAGTAATCTCAGCCAGATTGGCCTTGGGTCGAGTGGAAGTGTCAATGTTCACGTTTACCGATTTGATTGGAATGGGACAGAAGGTGAAGTTGACGGCCCTGTTGATCTCGGCACGGTACAGTACTCCTATGCTTCAGACACGGTAAGTCATCTAGATGGCTCCAGTAGATTGATCGCGCATACTAAGCAATGATAATTCACAGCTCACCATCACTCTGGATCCGCCAACAAACTCGACTGCCTACGCCTATGAATTCTCTGGAGCCTAGCCAGTCAGGTCAGGCGCCAAAATGGAGATACCGTTTCTAGTCGCTGTGTAGACATCCCGAATCTTGATAGTGTGTAACAGGTACATCAAGGCTCCATACTGTAGCACATGTAAATAAAGTATACCAGTTCAATACAAATCTCACAGCCCTTATGGAAAAGCTCAATTATGTCCATACGCAGTCCACCGGTAACTAAATCGCCTCTAGAACAAATATGCATTATGAACTTATTGTCCCTTCTAATGGGCTTATACCTGCATCTCCGGCTGTATCCGATCGGGGTGGGCCTTGAGCACGAAGACTTGATTTTGATCCAAAGTCCTACCATGGCTCTATGCCCTGAGCAATATACGAAATCAAATTAGCTCCTACAACGATGCTCTTCTTTTTCGCTCTCTTTCCTGGAGTCATCTCTCTCCACCGGAAATAATCTGGTAGGCTCTCTATTGCAGTGTGGAGCCTAAGCAATTCCGCTGGGGAGCATTCCATCGCTATTATGGCCTTGCTATCCCCGCATCGTGTATCCGTAACCCAAATAGCTTTTGGCGGTTAATTACTTTAGCCTTGTGTGCTTTTTACCTTTCTCTTAGCTATAGGCGCGCTTACCACAAAGCTGGAGCAGGCTGCGCTGTTTGCAACTCCACCGTAAGAGCCATCAGGTCGGACTACAGCTTGGCACATCGCATCTATCGAGGTTCCTGTAGTTGACATGGTATGAATCGGAGAGTTTTATCTTGTAAATATAAATACGCAGCAACTTGGAGCTGGAACGGCCCCAGCAAAGGAGGGACCGCCAAAAGTCCGGTGGGGGTGGAGCCAGATCAGCGAAATTGCGAGCCGGGGAAGTGAGAGGGTGTGCTGAAGAGCTGTGGGAAGCTGTTGAGGGGAACAGTTCTCGGGTTGGCCAGAGGACTGATGGATCTTCTATGATGGTCTTCTCGGGAACTCGGGAGATTTCTCTCGTATCACATCAGACCGAGATAATTCTTCCGGTGGTGGCCATGGAGATAAACGCAGTCGTCATAGTCGCCTTACTAACATTTGCTCCAAATTTATTGTAGTGTTCAGTTAAAGCTCAGCAGCTGGAAAGAAATCTTCCAATTTCTACTCTTGCAATTATAGCTCAGCGTGATTGTATTTTTGAGTCTCATATATTTAAAATCTAGGCGCACCAGGGAACGAAAGAAGCAAAAGGGAAGTGACTCTCAGTTCGCGATGCTACACGCTGAAGAAAACCGTCTCGTCTTCACTTACGATGGCGAAACGCTATGGATCGAGCCATGGGGCGCAAATGCGCTGAGAATTCGCGCAACCAAGCTCCCCTCGATGCCGCAGCAGGACTGGGCGCTTCAGCCGCCTTCTTCATCAAAGCCCAGCATCAAAATCACGCAAAAGAGCGGCATCATCATCAATGGCAAGATCAAAGCCGATATCAGCAAGTCGGGCAAGCTCATGGTGTGGAATTCCAAGGGAGAGTTGCTTCTCGAGGAGTATACGCGGAACCGCAGAGACGTGCTCGATCCCAAATGCAGCGCCATCGAGGTCTCGGCTCGTGAGTTCAAAGGCATTATGGGCACAGACAACTACCACCTCACGATGCGCTTTGAGAGTGTTGATCCGAATGAAAAGATCTATGGCATGGGACAGTATCAACAGCCTTTTTTCGACCTCAAGGGCACCGACCTTGAACTGGCCCATCGCAACTCCCAAGCAAGCGTGCCATTTGCGCTCTCGTCTCTTGGCTACGGCTTTCTGTGGAACAATCCATCCGTTGGACGCGCCGTTCTTGGTCGCAATATCATGAGCTTCGAGGCATATTCCGCCACAACTCTGGACTATTGGGTGGTGGCAGGCGACAGCCCAGCAGAGATTGAGGAAGCCTACGCGAATGCGACTGGCAAAGTCCCAATGATGCCGGAATATGGCCTTGGCTTCTGGCAATGCAAGCTGCGCTATCAAACTCAGGAAGAGCTTCTCAACGTTGCCCGAGAATACAAGAAAAGAGACTTACCTCTGGATCTCATTGTCATTGACTTCTTTCATTGGCCGACGCAGGGCGAATGGAAGTTTGATCCCACATATTGGCCAGATCCTGATGCAATGGTTCGGGAGCTGCAAGAGATGAAAGTTGAGCTGATGGTTTCAATTTGGCCCACGGTTGACAGGCGTTCTGAGAATTACGAGGAAATGGTCGAGCGCGGCTATCTCATCCGCGTGGATCGTGGGATACGCACCGTCATGGAGTTCCAGGGCAACACGGTTCATTTTGATGCTACCAACCCAAAGGCAAGAGAGTACGTTTGGGAGAAGGCAAAGAAGAATTATTACGACAAAGGGATCAAAGTATTCTGGTTGGATGAGGCGGAGCCCGAGTATACCGCTTATGACTTTGAAAACTTTAGATATCACCTCGGCTCCAACCTTAGCATTGGTAACCTTTATCCCGTTTCATACTCAAAGGGGTTCTACGACGGTCTTAGGAAAGAAGGGCACGAACAAATTGTAAACTTGGTTCGCTGTGCGTGGGCCGGCAGCCAGAAATACGGCGCCCTCGTCTGGAGCGGCGATATTGCGTCTTCATGGTCCAGCTTCAACAATCAGCTCGCAGCAGGACTCCACATGGGCATCGCAGGAATCCCCTGGTGGACCACCGATATCGGTGGGTTTCACGGAGGTGACCCCAATGATCCAGCCTTTCGAGAACTGTTTGCTCGCTGGTTCCAGTGGGGTGCTTTCTGCCCCGTCTTTCGACTCCATGGCGATCGAGAACCACACAAGCCTCAACAAGGTACCACTGGCGGCGCAACGTGTGTAAGCGGCGCAGATAACGAGGTGTGGTCGTACGGTCCAGAGATTTACAGCATCTGTAAAAAGTACATGGCTCTGCGTGAAAGCATGAGGCCATACACCAGGAAGCTCATGGAGGCTGCCCACGAGAAGGGAACTCCTGTTATGAGGACGCTGTTTTACGAGTTTCCAGAGGACGAGAAATGCTGGGAAGTCGGCAAGCAGTACATGTTTGGTTATAAATATCTATGCTGCCCAGTTCTGAAGCCTGGCGTAACTGAGATAGAGGTATATCTGCCAAAGGGGGCGAGCTGGAAGGGTGCTGATGGCGTCGACTTACCGGGGGGGCAGACACTTCAAGTCAAATGCCCGATAGACTATATGCCTGTGTTTGAAAGAGTTTGAGATGAAGCCCTGTTGTACACTCTGTCTTGGTTATCACGAATAGATTATACGGTTTCTAAAATCCCGAGCCCTTACCTGGAATTTGCCATACAGTGGCTACTTGCCCCTTCATACCTACGTCTATTTGACGTTATAGTTGTAGTGTCAAGTTGTATTAGTTTTGCAATTGTAATCACCGGGTTCTTATAGGCTAAGCCGACTTGTAATCTAAAATGCAACGTACAAGAAGCTTAGTTGAATCGCCCTAGTTTAATTAGAAGCAAGGTAATCAATGCTTTGTGTTATAAGGATATATGGATGGTAAAAGGGCAATTAATTTCCAGAATCATAGGGTAGCGGGGATGCTTAGAAGGCAAATTCTCAATGTGGAAAATATTCGAGCACCAGTTGAAAAGCCGACTAATTATTTCTACCTGGAAGATAAAAACCGAGGGTTCAGTATTCATTAATTCCAGCATTTTAATTGTGTTGGGGGCGACAGTCAGCCCCGTTTGTGGCGGTTGGATCTGTGACTTCTATGTAATGTGTTGAGCATGCGCTGCTCTCTCAGGTATCTATCTATTTTTGGGTAAGACGTAACACATTGTATCTCGTATCTCGCCCTAAAACACAAATGCAGAAACAAGCTGAGAAGAGTGTCTAAGCACAGAGCCTATATGATCTCACGTAGGGAACTACTGTCGCTCATGGAGCGTGGGACAACAGGCTTGCCAGCTGGCATAGCCGGGACACCAGGCAACCAACTTGACTTCCATAACGTATAGGTCGGAGGCTTCTTAACGCTTGTAAATTGGGTATATGTCGCAGGTCCATCAGAGTGGCGGAGAATTAAGACAACTGATTCCTTTCATCTGCTGTGCAAAGGATATCTAGTTGTCAATCTCCGCGACTCCGATGGCCCGTCGGGTAGGTGATTAGGTGATATTAACTAGTGGGCGGAGGAAAGATGCCAGCCTCCTTGACGAAACTCCATGACAGATTGCTTCATACATTTTCTTCAGTGATGAGGAAGCTTCTGACTTTTGATCCCTCCATCTGCAGCTCTTCCTCGCTCTCGTTGTCCCCCTTGTGTCGGTTCGACGACTTCCACACGGATTTCGGATCGGCAGTGATGGTGGTGATTGTCGTTTGGAAGTTTCCTGGGTAATTGTCCACCAGCTTGATGTGTCCGTTTGACTCCTCGTCCTCTTCGCGGTTGAAAGTCGCGAGACTGAAGGGGTCTCTTGACTTGTTTTTTCTCGATCGGCCAGTGGTCTGGCGGTTGCCCGCGGATTCGCCGGTGGGTGGCAAGTTCGATCCCATTGTCGACCAGCCAAGTTTGGCTGCAATCTTGCGGAAGAGCGGTCGGATGGTGGCGAGGCTGCCGGCTGTGATGGCCAGGCCTTGTTCGACGGTTGACCAAATGGCGATGTCGATCGTGGCCCCTAGAAAACGCCCCTGTTAATTAATCTGAACTTGAAGAAATAGGGTAGGGGTCCCTTGGTAGTAGTAAACTTACACAAGAAGTCAAGGGTCTTGAAGTCCTTGACATAGGGGAATCGAACAACGACGGCAACACTCGCACTGTTTATAGTATATTTAGCAAATGCCTGGCAAAAGGAAAAAGAATCATCAAGGACTTACACGCAAGCCATCAGCATGACGGGGATTAATGCAAGCTTGGTCTTGTTGTTCATCTGGAGCTGCATGATGAGCACAATCGGGAGCAGCGCAAAAGTAAAGTCGCAGATGACGCTAAAAGCACTGTAGAGGTAGGTGAAGGCGATGATGACGTCGATGTTGATGCAGTTTCCGTCTTGGTTCTTGTTCCAGAAAAATGAAATGGGGTGGCACTGGAACGTGGTGATGAACAAGAAGCAGATGCCCGTGATGACACTGAGCGACATGACGATGAGGATGATCCAGTTGTGTATCTTCTCGACGGTGATGCGGAGAAGGAAGTATCCAATGGAGATTTTGGTGAGAACCATTGTTACGCAGTACCAGATGTAGCAGAAGTACCAGTACTGTATGATGTTAGAATTGGCTCAGAAATGCAGGCTCTGTGATTGTAGTCAACACCTACCATCAACGCTTCCTGGATATCGTGTTCCTGGAGATCCCAGTAATGGCGGCCGGTGCCATAGTGTACGCCCGTGAGACATACAGAGCAAAAGGCTATAAAGGTCATCTGCAGTCGGAGAGTGAGCAACTCGTAATCGCGGATAATGCGTGGTTTGTCCGTCACTTACCATGGCAAAGACCATGAGATAATCATCCACGCCAAAGGCCTTGACGAGGCTTATCCTGACATAGCATCTGAGAATAATGGCCGTGAGTGAAAAGGCCAGGAGCACAGCTACCACAGCAATGAGCTGTGGACCACGATTTGGAACGCCCATCGCGGCTGTGGGTTGATGCAAAAGCTGTCGAAGGCGAAGGGAGAAGGAAGAGAGAACGCCTTTCGGAAACGAGCGGAAAGTGAAAGGTCAATATCTATATCTATACACGAAGCATCACATCTCTTATAGCATCAACAATGGCAGTGTCAAAACTCGGTTCGAGCATAAGTAGCAATTAAATTTCGCTTTTTGCCCCTGCCCGCATCGCAGACTCCAGGAAGCGGCAGGCTAGTATCTACGTAGCGTCCTGATCGGCGGCTGCTTGCCCTTTATAACAGACCGTCTTCTCGCCATCTCCCGCTCAATCTCAACAGTTACAGAATTTTCTCCGTCAGTGGCGCAGTGGGAGCGTGGGAAAAAAACGAAGTTGAGTATAAAACTGGGGAGCCGGCAGGGGGCAGTACGAGTCATGTCAGGGGTTAGCAACTCTTGCGGGGGCCAAGACAAGCCCTCGCCGACGCGGATATTAGCCCAATGCGGCAGCAGCATTGTCTGGACGGGCCAAAGAGGCCCAAGCATCTCGCGATCTATCTCGAGGCCCCAGGCACGCATCGGCTTTGCATTGACTTGCTCGCTCACTCCGTGCAAGACAGCCACGTTCTCGATTCGTCGGTGGGTAGAATGCTACCAAATCGACAAACCCCCAGCTCTCTGGACTGGCAGTGATTATCTGTGGGGGAGCTGAAGGAGATCACCCCCTGCCACGGCATGTGTGCGTATTAGACTATTAGTGTCTCTTCGGCGCCCGCCCACAAGTGCCTGCGTTAGTTGAATGCCGCCCCTTTCACAGCAACAGCGCAGGCAGATGGCAGGGAGAATCTGTTCCGCGAACGAAGCTATGGCTATCCATCCAACTGACACTCGTATCCCCGATATCTTCGCCCCTTGACTCCCTGTTGACAGCCAGCTAGCCGGATGTGCTTCCAACTCCACTCCCTATTTTGGTGATGGCGGAGTTTAGCAACGCTGGTATTTAACCCGGCTGACGACGTGTTGGGTATGTGTAGATGTGATAGAGAGAGCATGCCCGTCTATAGAGTTCTGACCAGCCCTGAGCTCTACAACTCCGGCACATGCAGCACTGCCCGAGATAGAGTTGAGGCGACCAGGCCTCGGCTATGGGCTCATGTCCATCCCAATTAGCTGGGAGCTGCTAGCTGTTACCCCTCAGCGCCCTTCTACAACGCAACCCTCTAAGTTTTCTCTGGACCTGCTAGGGCTGCCGACGAACCCAAACAGGGTGAAGAATTACCCACAGTTCCACTCTTTAGCGACCAACTGTTTCGGCTTTGTCTTTGCTCGGTATAAGATCGCTGAAAAGGCTGAATGCTAGTAATGTTAGTTTGCTACTAAAACTTGTTAACGAAGCTCGATATACCAAAAAGGGTCCTGATACTCCCAGTTGAGGGCAACGTGCCTTGAAGCCTTGTATTTTTCCGAAAGGAGCATTTTTCTACACAACCATAGTGCAGTGCAGCCATTGCCAACAAAAGCCTGTTTTATCTTCAGGGCGTCGTAGCGATTTGAGCCCTACTAACGTACGGAGCAGGCGGAGCCAAACATTTAAAGTGAAACCTAACGGGTAAATTGGCCGTCGGGAAAGACGGCAGCCAACTTAACCCTTATTGACATCAGAACGTTACACGCCACGTTTTTGGATTGGGGTAATACCACTTGCGGACCAGACCATTGTCCGTGTAGAGATACCGTCGACTTGAGGGTTGGATGGAGTTTTCTCGGTTCGGTCCTTGCGGAGTTGCTCTACCGCTTTGCAACGACCTTAAGCGAGGCTCGCCGTTTAACAGTCTTGTACCGATATCCGCTGAGGCAGTGACTTTTGTAACAAATCAACGTGGTGAAGCTACTGTCTGCGATGTCATGGTCAGTATGTTGACGTTGACCCTGCCATCGAAAAATGATACATCAGTGTATCTGACTCTCTTTCCTAGAGCTTCATGGGCGTATCGAGACTTCTATTAAAAGGCTTCGATAATCGGACGGGGAGCCCATGTTTGCCAAAACGACAGGAGAGCCGGCTTAGATAAGATTAGATTGCATGCAGCAACGTCCAACTGCTTTAGGCGAATTGCACCATCTGGCGGTCAAACAGATCAGTAGTAGATCAAGGCGCAGAGGGGCGGGCTTGTCAAGCAGTCCAGTAAACTAGTCTTGTATACGACAAGGCGGGCATATCCGGCATTGAGCCTAGTGCTATCAAACCGCTTTCTAGAAGCAAGATGAAAGGCCCGATACAGGCAGAGCACCGGCTAATGAGCTAAGCGGCTCGGCCGTCTTGATAATGTCCGATAAACTTTGCTTGCGGCGGACGTATTGCCAAGTCTGTCAATGCTGCACTAGAGGAGGAAACGCTGTGGCGTTGGCCCATTATTAACGATGGCAGTCGTATTGGATCGGTGGATTTACAGTGGCAAATGTGATGCTGTAGTGCCCTGAATCGTGCTTGGTGTATCAAGTCTGTTCATGAGTCTCTACGCTGGCTTCACGTGGTCGTCGGTGCCGCATACAGCCTGCAGGGGCAGTTTTTGCTAGTCAGGAGGCTATACGCGCTTTTCCACGGCAAGTGATTGCCGGCAAATGAATCGAGCATAAAGCCCAATTACCATGATTCGAACGCCGCAGACACTGGACCTGGGAGCTCTGCTAGTCTTGGGCGTTTGTGCTAAATATATCGTGGTGAAATTAAGTACCGGCATAATCGACAACGTCTTCTAGGTCTTATAACATTGGCGTATAAACAGTGACACACTACCATTCGGCATTTGTTGTCTTTGATGACTCGGTCAAGGACACCTTTGGTGCCTCTCTACGCCTAGAGCTGTTACATGAAAACGCAGAGTATCCATTCGCGCATGAGGCGGGTGTCTTTGTCTAGAAGACAACTCGTTATTTATAACAAGCAATCAGTTTACAGATCCACGTACTAACCTACCTCGTATCTGAATCACATATGCCTTACTCTCTGACGACGGAAAAATGTTCAATGCGAAGAGATTAATCCAGACCGTGTGCCCATGGCCAATGGGGGCGTGAATTACAAGGCCGGCGTGTTATTCGGCGCCCAGCGAACACAAGGTCATCCAGGAGGTCTCGCATTCATGGCATCTAGACCATCCTATACGTCTCATCTAATGCTTAGCTCCTTTTACGGAAGAACTTTAAACTCGGTAAACGACGTAGTCACTCACTCAGACGGCTCAATCCGGTTCACCGATTCCATCTATGGATTTGAGCAAGATTCGTCCAAAGCCAAGTGATCGTGTCAAGTCTATCGATTCGATCCTATGTGCAACTCGGTTTGTGTTATAGCTGATGGCTTCGGAAGGCCGAATGGCATCTGCCTTGGCCCAGATGAGAAGATAGTATACATTACAGATACGGACTGGATTCACGGAGATGGGGCCACGGATGATCTTTGAGCTTCTCACACGTAGGACATGTAATACTTCCCGTCAGTCTCGCGTGTCGAGAATCTGTAGTTGACTTCAAAGTAGTTTTGCTTTCGACATTGTCAATTACTCTGGCCACCCATTCTTGACCAATAGACGCGTATTCGCCATGGCAGATACTGGCATCCCGGATGGCAAATGTAATGTTCACGGGAACGTGTATAGCGGCTGTGGCGACGGAATCAACATATGGTCAGCGAGCGGTGTTTTGCTGGGGGAAATCATCGTAGACGGCGTTGCCGACTTCTGTTTCAGGTGTGAGGGCATAATATACATTTTGAATGAGCATCGCTTGTGGCGGGCACGATTCGCATATTCTACGAAAGGTGTACTGCTTGGTGTATAGAAATGCATTTTCTTTAAGATAATATTAATCTTTTGTTTTTCCTCATCTTCTTTCTTTCTTTCTTTTTTCTTTTTCTCTGTTCTTTTCATTTTTCTTTTTTTTTTTTGGCTGGCTCATGTTTTGGCAAAGTAACCTGGCTTGTTTTCTGAAACTCATCATGCCTGCCTTCCTTTATAAGTTCCGGGTATGCTTCCAGACGCAGGAGCAGTGCAGTATTTCAACCACATGGAAAATTTTAATCCAAGCAATTCTTTTAGTTCCGTCTCTCATTTTAAAGAACTTAAATACAACACTGTTGTATAAAAAGATTCTGATTTACTTAATAGACTATGAGAATAGGGTAGCCACAAATTTCTCAGAGGCAGCTAAGACAGAAGAAATTTTCTCAACATGGATCAAGTCTTGACCAAAATCACCTTTGAATCGCGTATGTGATGTAGCTTGTTGTTAAAACATATGAAACTATATTGGCCATCATCCAATACATGACTAAATATTGCCAAATTATATCCACTGGTCTTATTAGGGACGACTTTTTTTTTTTTGGCGGCGTTCGAAGCTAGTCCCACACCTGAAACTATTCCCGAATAGCCAATAAGGTTCCAAGACAAAGAGCACGTCCCTTCATGGAGCTGCCCAATCCATGCTCTAGACTGATTAATTCACAAACATCTTAGTCAGTCAAAGGACTACTGCAAGCCTATGACTTTATATCGAGGTTGGGTTAGAGTTAGTGCAGTATTCGGGTCTGCTCCGTTGGCTTATCACTCGTTGATTGTTATCTGATCTTTTCTCGTCTCCGTGCACTTTCTAGGACTGCGACTAGAAAGGCAAAAATGATTTAGGCTTGTTATCTGTTGGGTAGCAATGGGAATGCTGGTTCACTGCTGGTTGCTTGGATAAGAGACCGTGATGACTTGACGATTTTGCTACTAGTTATCAGCTAGAAATGAATGTTATATGATTGACTCAATCTACCCACGGCGGTGAAACGCCATACTCACTTCGCTGCTGTATATTCATTGACCCCACAGGAGAAAATGATGCTCTGCCAAACAAAGAAATGACAGAACTCTTGGTGATACCTAATTCCCTCCTGTTTATATCGTGTAAGAGATTGGGTATCAACACCCTTTTCCATTACGGTTCCAGTTACCTATGCTAAACATGAAGTCGCTATAATTAGGGAGAACCACCTGTGATACAATGCTCCGTAGGAGGAGGATATAGAAAACCTGGTTATCCACATGCAAGTGATGTCACAATCTTTATGCCCCCATTCAATGTCGTGCGTGGCATGTTGCCCGGTTGCTGTGTGACTGTGACCATCCTTCATCTTCGTATCTATTCTAACCAATGAACATCCACTCTAACTCGCTAATGTTCCGACAATTTTTCGTTTAAAGGATCCGAGAATGTAACAGACAACTAGACCGGGCGTAAGGTGCAGCAGTGTTACGTTGACGGGTAAGAACTAAATCGGTCGGCCCGAGGCGCCGCAGATACCGATGACATCTCGAGCAGAGCTTATTTCGATTTTGTTTTTAGGTTGAAGGCTAGCATGTATGTTAACAAGACTGTATCTCTTTGTCAGGCTGCTGGGCTGGACGACACTGCTTGGCATTTGTCAGAGTCCTGAGAACATCAGCCTGCAAATGGCACACATCTACCTACATGTGAAAAGTTTTACCCTTGTAGCCTTTCAAGATATATCTCTAGCTGATAATTGGTCTATGGGGCTAACCCCGTCATCAGCTATCGATGTTGATAGAATTATCGTTGTGAATGACGGAACGTGGTTTAGTTCTTTACCTGAGCCTGCTCTTCAGTCTTTAAACAAGCTCAAGCTGCGTCATTTTATATTTGATAGCTGGTACAACCATACTTAGTCCCTTACTGCAGAGCATGCATTCGCATTTCCTGGCCACCTTTACTCAGGTCAGTTGCAAGTATATCAGCTCGGTGTTTATCGGTGACGTTGCCGAGACTCCACTGTCAGCAGAGAATCTTCTTTATGCATAACTAGCCAAACAAGATGCAGCCCCGCCCATCGGCAACGCTCCGAAGTTACCGAATCTGGTGAAAGCTGCCGATACGCCCAGCTGCCACATCAAAGATGCATGCCGTGGTGATGATACAGAGAGTGGACCGGCAATGACTTCATAATATGTCTCTTATATCACGTCAAATATGCAGCTGCTGTAGATATAAATTAGGGTCCCCCGCTGCCGAAATAGTGACTGTGTTTCAAGCATACATTGTGTATAAATACCATATCTTGAACCACAACTCCATATTCTGAAAACCAGAATAGCTGAAAACCAGACAAGATGGCCGCATACCTCAACCAACGCCTCCAACATCCTCACATCGCTCATCCGCATCACGGCATCATCGTCTCACGGGCTGGAACGCCAGCCCTCGAAAAGAACGCAAAGTGTGCTGCGCCCATTGCAAACATCGCAGCCAAGAATGCCCCGTTCTTCACCCCTGAGCAGGATCCCGTGGCCGGCAGTCCAACTGCCACCCAGCCATCCGGCAATCCTGTCCCAAAGCTCTTCACGCCACTCAAAATCCGCGGCATAGAGCTGCCGAATCGTATCTGGGTGAGCCCCATGTGCCAGTACAGCGCTCATGAGGGCTTCCACACACCTTGGCACATTGCCCACTACGGCGGCATGGCCCTGCGCGGTGTAAGTCATTTCCTTGTCCCTATCCGTTTGTCATTGTTTCATGGGCTAATATGCTAGAGCAGCCTGGCCTGGTTATGATTGAAGCTACCGCTGTGCAAGCCAACGGCCGAATCACTCCAGAAGACTCTGGCATCTGGTTAGACGCCCATATCGACACTTTGAAAAAACACGTCGACTTTGCACACAGCCAAAACGCCAAGATTGGGATCCAACTCTGCCATGCAGGTCGAAAAGCCTCTACAGTTGCTCCTTGGCTCAGCTCAGGCGCCACAGCTACCGAGGAAGTCGGCGGCTGGCCATCCCACGTGGTAGGGCCCAGTGAAGAGCCATTCAACGAACACTATCCTACTCCAAGAGCTCTCAGCCTGGCAGAAATCACGCAAGTGAAGAGCGATTTCCTCTCTGGTGTGCGCCGAGCACTCCGCGCTGGGTTTGATGTGATTGAAATGCATTTTGCCCATGGCTACTTGGTCTCGAGCTTCCTTTCGCCAGCAGTCAATAAACGTACAGATCAGTATGGAGGAAGTTTCGAGAACCGCACCCGACTCGCGCTTGAAATCATAGACGCAACGAGAGAAATCATCCCTGCCGATATGCCCTTCTTTATTCGAATCAGCGCGACCGACTGGCTGGACACAAACCCAGACTGGAGCGGCCCAAGCTGGACTGTAGACGAAAGCGTCAAATTCGCCAAGCTTCTGGCTCAGCGTGGAGTTGATGTGCTGGATGTGTCTAGTGGTGGAAACCATTCACTGCAAAAGGTTGTTGGTGGACCGGGATATCAGGCGCCATTCGCAAAGGCAATCAAAGCAGCTGTGAAAGATACTATGCTAGTAAGCTCAGTAGGAAGTATCAAGACGGGACTAGAGGCGTCGAAGATTATTGATGGCAGCCAAGACGAAGACGGCAGCGACACGCCTCTGGATTTGATTGCTGCAGGCCGAATGTTTTTGAAGAATCCGGGATTGGTCTGGGCATGGGCTGATGAATTGGGCGTTACAATCAATGTTGCGCATCAGATCGGATGGGGCTTTGGCGGGAGGGCGTCTAGAAAGACGACGAAGCTGACAGTTCCTTGATCCAGATCTGGGAGTCTCAGCTGTGTGGTTTCATTGCTGCCAATTAAATCCATATACCGTTAAAGTTGCGCTGTTAGAATGTCTGGTTAATGACAGCTAGTATTCTATTAATAAGTAGAGGAAACTACCACGTTGAAATTACGACAGTATAGCCAATCTGCTGCAGCCAGCTGACGTGATAGTGCTCTAGTAGAACTAACAAGATACTGGAATAATTTGTAAAGCGGGTATTGGCTTGCTGCCCTCAGATCATCATTTCAAGAGCCTGCCGAGCCAAGCGAACATCTTCGGCCTCTGCCTCCCAATAGCGCAAGTGTGCAACGCATATCTTTAGTGTTTCTTGCGCGTACTGCTCCAGCTCCATCCTCCTTAGAAGCCCAATTCGCTCTGCACATATGATGATCAGTGCACGGCAGGTGGTCTCGCGGCACCTCAGCCATGCCCCAGCATGTCTATGCCTCAGCCCAATGTTGAACAGCGGGTCAAGAGACAGCAAAACCGCCCTTTCAGCCAGTTGGTTCAGTGAACCGTTAATCGACAAGCCTTGGTCCTGCGTATGTGCAAGGAGATACAAGAATGGGCGATAGACACGCAGCTTGATATTCGCAGAGCGCAGCCAAGTCGCCAGCTGAAACTCACTGGTTGTCGACAGGTTTGGTGGTTGGTTGAAGCAGGAAATGGCACGTGGAAGGGCCGCTTGCCATTGCTCGATCTGCCTCTCGAAATTGTGTGCTGTGTTTATCATGCCCGGTACATTCATGCTTGTCCATGCAGACGCGGGCCCCGAGTAAAATGCCTGATCAACGCTGACTGACAGCCTAGAGAGCGATATTTCAGAGAGGTAGTTGAACCATGAGTTTTCGTGAGTTTCTTTGAAATCTTGTATGTCGACAGTATGACTGGACACTGATGAAACAGTTGTGGCTGAAGATGCCGATGTCTCAAAGTATTGTCGGTCGTCTAGCCCATCCACGTCTTTCGGTGTCGGAGGAGAAGGGAATTGGTAGGGAAAATCAACGGCGTGTAGCGCAGATCTAGGCAACTCGACTTCGGAGCACATGTCACTTCATATTGTTATTATCATGCTTTTTGTTTGGTATACACGGAGTTGGACTAACTTTTCAGACTTGATGCAGCTCCAGTAGAGTCGTTGCTCGAGGCATTGCTTCAGATTCTCGTGGCAGTCATGTTCGTCAGGGACCATTTCGCCATCAGCAGTATCTCTAATTTGAGTAAGACGCCTTGCAGCCAGAATCTTGAAATATAGAGTGTATAGTGAGGAAGCTTGGGAGAATGCCTGCCAGGCTTCAATCGGCCGAAGGGTCCATAGGAGATATACACCGGATAAAAAGTGGCAATGGCATGCCGTAAGGCTTGTACCGAGTAGACCAAATCGCCTTCGAGCATATTCGTAATATGATTCTGCCTTTTGACGAAGTGCATTACCATCCTGTCGTGACGAAGAGCTCGAGAGACTCTCTACTGTATCGGCAAACGGACTGAAGGGGCTGGCTATTGCGCCAAGCGCCGCGGCAACAAGCTGTATATCATGAAAACTCGCATTAGTCAACTGTCGGACATGTATTGAATTACAATGACACAAGAAGAGGAATCATGAATGCTCACCACAAGACACGTACGAGAGTCCCATTGCGGACCAAGTTCAACAACAGCCCGCCCATATTTCATCAGAGTAGGGCAATCCAAGATAGGATTCATTATATGGGCCATTCTTAAAAACTTGGTTAACAACGAGGGAATCTCGTCCCAGTCCAGCTGCAGTGTTCCATTGGCCGGGGTCGCCTTTTGAAGATCCTGTGCTTGGGCAGTAGCTAACAAGCAAAAAGGTGCCCAATGACCTGATCTGTTGGTCCCAAAGATTGGCCATTCAATAACATGATCTACCGCTGTAAAGGCGAGTGAAATGGCAGGAATAGAGTGGTTAGCCTCTTCGTGCTTCTGTGCCGGCGGTAACCTCGTAAGTATGTCGTGTAGAAGATCGATAACTTCAGAGTTGCTCTCGCTGGAACTAGAAAGATAGCAGTCAGCTTCCGGACTGCGTATTATATAGCTGATATCAGACGTGAAACATACGGTTGTGGCCCATTTGCTGGAGACTTGGGATAAACGCATTCACAACCCAGCCTAATGCATCCAGCACAGGAAGGTCTCTCGTTGGAACACCTGACTTTGCGAGCTCGGCATACTCGGCAGGCTACGACGGCGCGTCGCCGATGACTTGAGCCAACGTTGTTACTCAGCATCTGGATGCTGCTAAAAACAACGTGGGAAACCGTTTGTGGAAGGATGAATGAATGAGAGTTGGCCTCCTTCGGAGCAAAGCCGATGCCTCAATATCCAATCTGCAGCTAACGGCAGCCAGTCCGAAGATGCCGAGCCCCCACAGAAAAGAGTGGTGATGTTAGTGGAGGCGGTGCATTAGCCACGGTCCGACTCTGAGTGTCTGGTTAGGCAATATCTCTGATTACTATACGCGCTTCTTTCTCTTGACGCTCCAAGGTCATTAGAGAATATCGCTAGTCATTTTCAGTGTCATTACTAGAATATAGTTCTGTCGCCAAGGCTATGTCAAGGAGATTAAGAGGATTTACGTGTGTTTGACCAGCAATGTTTCCACGTATACAACTAACAGCGATTTTATCACGGATGGCGGTTATGTTTTGCTATAAAGGCCTGCGATACCCCTCGCTCTGATGGATTCACGAGGCACTCAATTTTCATATTGAAATTGCCAGGTTTAACTTAATGTCTAAAACAATTTTAATAAGCACTATTGTAGAACTTACCCCGTGTGGAGACTTGGGCTTCCCTCCAACGTCCCCGCGCTTGCCTGTAAAATAAAGGAAAGGTATCGGCTGGGCGATCAGAAAGCACCACGCGGACTTCGTGGATCCGAGATAGCCGCGGTAATGCTGGTATTGATATGTCCCGTGATCTTGGCGGGCTGGAGAGTAGGAAGCCCTCTGCCGCACGATCATCCTCGTAAAAGCCACCCTCTTCGATCTCCATTACTTTCCGTGCCACACAAGAAACGATGTTCGAGTCCCAGATTCCCTCTCGGTACGACGTCGTTTCTATTAGCCTAACAGCGTGAAGTCTAACCCGACGGATGCGGCATTTCAGAGCAGTGTAGTAGAGCGGAGCAATCCAACCAATGTCGACGATGGACCTTGACATATGGATACAAGGCCACCGGAGGTATCTCTGAAGAAGGTCGGATTGGCCAGTCTTCCACATGGCTATTGATTCTGTCAGGATGGAGACGAACTGCTGCGTGTGAGAATCGAAAACAGATTCGTCGTCGAGACGCAGGCAGGTATCCGCCATGATACTTGCCATAGTGTGGTACACGGACAGCAGACCGTAGACGAGTCCCTTGGGGTCTTGATCAGGCATGGAGGTTTTGGAAGCTGTGAGGATGACAAGACACGCAGAAAGTTCCGCTCGGATCTGGTGCTGGCAGGTGAGTAACTTGGGCGGGACCTCAACAGGAGAATGATGAAGGGTCTGCTGCTGGCGGCGCCACAAGTCGGTCAAGTGGAATATTCTACCAAATAACCTCTCAATTTGTTTCCAGGCCTCATTGACAGAGCGAAACACGGAGGCTGGTGTTTCGGGCTCGGCGATTTGCAAGACTAGACAAGGGTGTTGATAGCCATGTCTGAAGAGCTCCAACTGGAGGTTTAGTCTGCAGAATGCTCTGACGATGGTGTCGTCTATAGAGCCTGGGACAATGTCGAAGAGCAGAACTCGGCCATCATCCTCGACCAGGGTTCCAAACTCTCTCAGGATGCTCAATCCGTTGTGAATGTGGATTTGAGCGGTTGTAAAGTGACCAGAGAGAAGCTCTAGAGAGACGAAGAGGAAACAGGCCATGAGGGCGACACGCATCGATGCTTTATCCATGGCGGAGAAATGGGGCTGCAGATGCTGAATTGCCTTGGAATAATGCTGCAAGGTGAATCGTTCCTGCTGATCAAGGGGTTTTGGTTCTCGTCCGCCATAGCTGGCCTGGTAAATGTCTCTTCTGTGGACTGAGCTTAAAGAGAGGACAGCGTGCCATACAGCCGGTTCAGCCAGGCTGATGGGGTGGAGCAACACATCCCATAGAGCCAATGTGGAGGCGCCGGCGACTTTCTTGCATGTTCGGTATTTGAACCACTCCAGATATTCCAGCTCTTGGGTGGTGCCAGAAATCAGCGGCACATGTGCGGGTCGGCTATTTAGATTCAGAGGTTGTTGTCGACTCCTGGAAATCTTTCCTCCGCCGCCGCCCCAGATGCCATAGCCATCACATACTCGGCCAGTCGAGACGCACCGGCGACAGGATGGGCGTTCTTCATCACATTTAAGCTTTCGGATCCTGCCTATGTAAGCCCTCTCTTGTTCCCAGCCAACAGTAGACGCAGCATGAAGAACTCACTTACAGGTGCGGCAGCCAGTCTTTACCTGTATCCTCTTCTCACAACGGCTCCCACATGGTTTATTCAGAATAGTGCCTCCCATCAGGTTCAAAAAAGGGGGCAATATGGCTATATGGTTGAATTTTGAGGGTTAAGCTGACATTCCATTCCGAGGCTTTGGGGAGGCATCAACTCCTGTCCTGATCGAGAGCTCCCTACTCCACTTATCTCGGGTTTGACAGCCCCCGCTCCGATAAATGCTTTCGATGCTTATTGGCTTGGTCGGGGTTTCTACACGATGATTGGACAGGCATGTAAGATGGACGGACCCCGAGTCGCAACGAGAACCAACCTCACTATATTCACCATATACTTCATCTTGAGCGTAGAGGTAGCACGCGGATTTAACGGCAAGTTTCTAACCAGTAAACCGAATCGTTTGGCTGTGCACTGGACATACAATGGCTATAAAAAGGGGTGTAAATTCCACGCTTTGTTGCCATCTCTTATACTTGAAGGCTGCAACGCAAGACGAGCGCAGAACCTACTGCTTTCATTATCGGCAATTCGTTGAATTTAGGGGTCCTACTCAACTCTTCGGAAGAATGGCAACAAAATCTATCCCGCAGCGTCAACTAGGAAAGGACGGTCCCAGCGTGTCGGCGATTGGATTTGGATTAATGACCATCGCCGGGGCTCACGGTGATGGACCCAGCGAGGAAGAGCAGTTCCAAATCTTGGATCGCGCAGCTGAGCTGGGCAACACGTTCTGGGATACTTCCGAGTACGGCCCAGGCTAGATACCTTTTTGGAGGAATGCTAATCCAGTGCAGTATCTACTTTGACAATCTAGAGGTGCTAGCCAAATGGTTTCGGCGCACCGGAAAGCGAGACGACATCTTCCTTGCCTCAAAATTCGGGCTCATCATGGGTGAGAACCTACAGCTAAAGGGCATCAACAGCTCTGGAGAGTACTGCAAAAAGGCTTGCGAGGATAGCCTTCAACGACTTGGCATCGATTGCATTGACCTCTGTGAGTCCACCCATCACCCCTTTCCCTCTCGAAGTGCTCCAGTTGTGGCTAATCTTGACCAGACTACGTCCATCATATCAACCCGCAAACGCCTATCGAGGAAACAATGCGAGCAATGGTGCAACTCCAAGCGTGAGTACATGACCTGTGGACGTAAAGAGTGGCAGCTCCTAATGCATACCAGAGAGGGCAAAATCAAGCATATTGGGCTGTGCGGGCTGAGCTCTCGCACTCTTCGACGTGCTTGCAAAATTGCGCCCGTAGCAGCAGTGCAGGTCGAGTACTCGGCGTTTGTGCTGGATATCGAAGGAGAACGGGGTTCCAACCTTCTTCAGACTTGCCGAGAGCTCGGCGTCTCCATTGTTTGCTTCGGGCCCATCGGTCGAGGCCTTCTCACGGGCACAGTGACAGGCAGCGAGTCGATTGCCGGCACAGGGGATATCCGGACGCAGTGGGTGCCTCGCTTCCAGCCAGAGAATCTAGAGAAGAACCTCAAGGTCGTCGACCAGTTCAAGGCCCTGGCAGACAAGAAAGGCTGCACTTCGTCGCAGATGGCTCTCGCGTGGGTTCTCAAGCAGGGGAACGACGTGATACCAATCCCCGGCACGAAAAGGATAAAGTATCTCGAGGCCAACTGGGAATCGCTCAATGTACATCTCAGCGACGAGGAAGAGATGGAAATCCGCAAGATTGTGCGCGACTCGGAGCTTGCCGGCTTTGAAACTAGGCCCTCTTCGTATGCAGATACAGAGGAAGAAGCATAGAAGGGAGAGGGCATATTCCTATGTAACGTCTCTTCCTTGCAGGCAGCACAAGGTCACAGAGGGGGAGGAAGTTGCCATATTCGCGAAAGAAAGAATGCTTTACGTGGTTGAAAATGAAAAAATATAGGTTTAAATTACTTGTTTTCTAGCTGAGAAAGAAAAATAGAAAGTGGTAATAAAACGAGAGGGGAGAGATCTTGTTTAAATAAACTCTTATTTTGAAGCGATAAAGCTGGCCACTTCTGTTAAAGATTGGATACAATTCCTTCAGCGTGCAGATTATAATTCTGGAGGCGCCAGAGATTAAACGTGTATCTCTGTAGGTCCGCTTGGAAGTGTGAAATCATAGTAAGCTGCTTTCTTTATACATTGGGCCGCATTGCCTAGACTTGTTCTCCATGTTCTCTTTCTTATCAAGTGTAACAAGCTGTTACTTGTATAAATATAAGCCGTTAGATTGAAATAAGGACTATATACATCGCTGGATCAACACAAATTAATAAATTCCTACTAATTACTTAATTCAGCCGAAACCTTCTCAGCCGGGATACTGCTCACTAGTCGATAACTTGGATGGGAGACCGTGATAACACATCAAGCTTGACGCCAGTAAATTCCATGTGGTCAACTTAGTGTACTCGCTGCGGAGAAACCAGCACCGGCTTGCTTGTGCTGCGTCCTAATCTAGCTAAAGTGTCTAGGCGAAGCAACGCCACGAATAGTAAGTAGCATGAATTGGTGGAGATGGAATCTTCTTGCTGAGTCTTGGCTTTGTCGCTAGAAGTCACACTGCATATACACGTCTTGGATATAGTCACGCTGATATTGCTCGTATGCGCTCTTCTATTTGCATGTCCATCTACTATAGCGTCCAGACGATCCAGTAGGGATATTACTTGCCTGCTTGTTGTTCCTAATAGATACCCGAAGATTTCAATTAGTCGAGCTTGGGTCACATCTTTGAAGTGAGACATAGCCATAATGACGACATGCCTGCGTCAAGTAGGGTCCAGCTGAGACAGCTGAGCTGAGACATGGATATTTATCATCACTCGAGGTATGCAGAATGTGTGCATACAATTGTCGGCTTAGCGACCGAGTCCAAATCGAGAATAATTTATTCAGCATCATTACCAGTAATTACATCATTCCATTGGTATGAAAGAATTACTTTTGATTTATGTTACCATCGCTTATCGCTTATACTATAAGTAGCTGCTATATCCGCCTGGGTCTGTTCAAATGTGTCAGTATAATTAATATCGTCTCTTAATCCAGAAATACCCTTCCAATACCACACACATCCGTGGAAGATATCGGCCCCAAATTGTCCAAAATGTGGAAATCCAGCATAATCGTATTTATTACCTATGTACTCTTTATACCCATTACCCTTGCCATGGGAGATGCGAGGTCTGAAGACCAATGGGTCAGCGTTCGCGTCTTGAATAGAATGCGGAAAAATGACATTTCTTTCAAAAACGCCGCCCTATCATGGTGGGTTCTCCTTCGGAAAGCATTGCTCGTATAAAGGGCCAGTTATTGATGATATTATCTAGGGGCAAATTCTATTCCGGTTCCAAATCCAATGAGATTTCGGCTGCGACAGTAGACGAGACTGTTGTGCATACTGGAATCACAAAATCTGCCGACTCATGCGGCCGCTCAGGTGCGGCGTCAGGAGTAGAGGGTCATCTTGATCTCTACGATGGCACCAAGAAAATCTGTACTCTCTACTGGAACTGCCCGTGGGGATCAGCAGTCAACGACTTTCAAGTTCGGGATTATTCTGCAGTTACATCAGACTATTCGGTAGCTGTTGAAAATTGGAACCGGAAAGATGGACCTCTTGGGAATGTAGACATTGCTGTTTCACTTTTGGGAGTGCGAGAAAAGAGGTAATACGATGTAACTATCTAATTCCACGAACATGTGAGCCATGTTGGCTATGAACAAATATAACTTATTCACTTTCTTTACATAATTATGCCTGGCATCAAGACAACCAGATAAAGCCCGATATACATTACCATGCCAGTCTGCGAGCTAAATCGCTTCATGCGTCCCTAGGCCGCTAAGAACAAACATTGCGGCACCCTACATATAAAAATCCATCGTTTCATGGCCATTTATTAATAACGAATATCGAGTTGATATGCACAGATTGCAGTCTACTACGTCTGGCACAAAGCTGCAATACCCTACGTGCTGATAAGAATTGGACATCGGACTTGTATACTGGCCGTATTGTGCAGGTATATGAGGGGATCCCTATATGAGACTGTCACTTAGTACATGAGCTGGATGGGAAGCGGCTGCATACGGCTTTTTGTCACTCGTGCTCACTACTAGCCACTGAATACAAATCATGCACATACACTCTTGAATAGCAGCATTCAGAAATCACTGCCTATATATTTCCTGAGCTGTTGCGGAGGAAATTAAGTGCTGGCATTTCTAGGTTAGCTCGTTTAGTCTCTCAGAGGCGGAGAATTTTGGCTATCGGAGCTGATGGTAGCTGGTTCCTCATTAGTAAAGCTTTTTCGCTCATTTGTTAACAATATGATGGTTAGTAAGGACCTGACCCATCAAAAATGTTAATCAGGCGATATTGAACATGGAATAGGGCTGGGCAAGAGATTGCTATGCGCTTGCTAGTACAAAAACGCGTAAAGGTGGAACAGTATCCATTGAGGCCCTTGCAAGACAGATTCACCGCGCTGACATTTCAAAGCAAGAAGCTTAAGAGTCCCTCGATACTTTACCACCATCCCCACTTTCTCTTGATGAGCGTAATGCGTCAGAAGGGCAGCAAATGCTCCAAATCGTGTATATCAATGTCCCCTCACCATTCCAGCAGCGAAGAAGTCGGTGTTCTAAACCAATCGCTCTGCAATGCATGCACGCCCATTGATTAATTACTCTTCACCGGTCTGCTAGTGGGATTGAGAGAGCTGAAGGTTCAGCACAATAACGATCCATCGGCTCAAGTCTTTCAACCCGGGCTACGTCATATTATCAAAAAGTCTCGACTGCCATCTATGCTGACAGTAGCTTAATGAGGCTAGATGCGCTTTACAGGTATCTCAGGAAAACGACCATCTAGACTTGCGGGGAGGCCTCCCCTAGGCCCAACTCGATAGTCCAACATGTAAATATCTGATGGAATTTTAAATAACTCATATACTACAGTCAGACGCTCATTTGCGCAACAATTGGGTCTAGATGCATGTGTTCAAATATTGCCTCCATAGGAAAGAAGGAGGGGAAATGTTCAGTAAGAAAATGGAAAAACAAGACAAGGATGCAGGGAGCATATCCATCACAAAAGCGCAATAGCCGCTATAGAAGCAAATGCCCTCATACATTTGCAATGAAATAGCAAAAACCTTTGGAAGTAATAGCATATTTCTGCAATTCTCAATTGGGCTTCTCATCAATTGAGTAGTTTAGATTACGAAAAATAAAACAATTTTTTCATCTTTTTTATTCATCGCATGAATTTTTCTCCTTTTCTTTTTCCTACAGAATCAGGGCAAAAGTGAAGTATCACAGCTTGTTGCTTATACCTGGCAGCAGATCCCATCTGCATATCGTTAAGCTGCGCCACCACGCCGAATACCCGTATCTGAAAATCGCTCATAACATTCAATGTAAGTCTATTATAGCTTAATTGATCAGAGTTTGGCGAAAGCGCGAGAGGGCCAAATATCCGTCTCCAGTGTACTTCCAACTCAAATTACTACTAGGTGGTCGTCCTCCTTTCGATTTTCCTATTTAAAGGGGGTTTCCATCACCATGACTTTTATCTTTCAACGATCTTAAAAGATTCTCCCAAAGTCTTGTACAAGTCTATTACCTTCTGATTGGCATTGCTTTCCCTCTCCCCAGAGACAGAATGGCAGATCCTTATGACCGAGATCCTGAAAAGGACGGCTCTGCAGTGGTCGTCCAAGCCAAGGGCAATACCGGCAGACTTGGTGCTACGAAGCGTCAAGTCCGTTATTTCGACGACAGTGACGAGATTCAACAGATCGGCCCTTCCACAAACAATAATGCCAAACTCAAGAGAAAGGGGTCGGCCTACTCTATCCACTCCCTATCAAGCATAAGGAGTGGCCGACGAGAGGTTGATCCTGCCACTGCGCTGCCTGTTCTATACCGCACTTTGAGTATAGACATGGAACGAGTGCAGAGAGAAAAGGACTCAGTCATTAAGAGAAGATACAGCGATGCGACCATGGCGGGTAAGTCTCGAGTTTCTGGATAGCTTCACACCATGCAATAGCTGACTGAATTATGATGATAGATCTCGAAGATCTCGAGTGGCACGCTCTATCTATCCACGACGTTTCTCAGAAACTACACACATCGATAGAGACTGGTCTCTCAATACAAGGCGTCAAAGACAAAACTGAAGTCTTTGGAGCCAACACCCCAACCCCACCAAAGTCTCGGCTACTGCAGAAGATATTCTTCTATCTCTTTGGAGGCTTTGGTTCCATACTTTTCGGTGGAAGCATTCTCGTCTTTGTTTCATGGAAACCACTCGGCGAACCAAATCCCGCAGTGGCCAACTTGGCTCTGGGAATCGTTTTGGCCATTGTGTGGTTAGCACAAGCCGCGTTCAATGCTTGGCAGGATTTCTCCTCTTCCAGAGTCATGAAAAGCATCACAGGCATGCTACCAGAAGACTGTAGTGTTTTGCGTGACGGCAGCAGGAGATTGGTTCCGGCATCTGAAGTTGTCCCCGGCGATATTCTCTTCTTCAGCGCCGGCAACAAGCTACCTGCTGACATTCGATTCGTTGACGTGTCAACTGATGCAAAATTCGATAGAAGCATCTTGACTGGCGAATCAAATCCTCTGCCAGCCGTCGCTGAGTCTCTGGAGAAGAACTATCTCGAAACAAAATGTATTGGGATGCAAGGGACTCACTGTACCTCTGGAAGTGGTCTGGGTGTAGTTGTCGCGACTGGAGACAGCACAGTCTTTGGCCGTATCGCGAAGCTAACCAACAAACCCAAGACTGGTCAAACGGCGCTGCAAAAAGAGATTTTCAGATTTGTCCTGATAATCGCAACGTTGATGATTTTGATGGTGGCTGTGATTGTTGCTCTGTGGGCGGGCTTTATTCGTCATAAATATCCCGACTATATCTCAGTCTCAACATTAATTGTGGACTGTGTAAGCGTGGCTATTGCCTTTATCCCAGAAGGTCTACCAATAGCCTTGACTGCGTCCCTTACAATTACTGCGGGCATTATGAAGAAAAACAATATCCTCTGCAAGTCTCTGAAGACAGTAGAGACTTTGGGAACAGTTTCGGTGCTGTTATCAGATAAAACAGGGACTCTGACCAAGAATCAAATGACCGTGACAGATTGTCTTATTGGGTCCAAGGTCTTGACTGTCGCAGAGGCTTTACAAGAAATGTCAGACAAATCGGATTCACCTAAAAGGGCCACCCTCAAGCAACTTTGCGTTACTTCTGCAGTGTGCAACGCTGGAGAGTTTGACCCCACGACTATTCATCTCCCGATCTCAGAGCGAAAGATACTTGGTGATGCGACCGACCAAGCTATTCTTCGCCTGTCAGAATTGTTGGGCTCAGTGAAAGAGTCTCGCGAACTATGGATCAAACGATTTGACCTCGCATTCAATTCAAAGAATAAATTCGCTTTACGTGTTAGCTCTGCTCGCGACCAAACTTCATTGGAAACTTCGCTCTCTGCTTCCGAAACTGATGACTTTGACGCTCAAAAGGATTACGTCTTAATGATCAAGGGTGCACCAGATGTTTTGCTCCCTCGATGTTCAAAATATGTTGGCGAAGATGGTGGCGTGCACGATTTTGATGAGACGATTCGCTTGTCCATTGAAGAGGGCAAGAACTCATGGTCAAGCGAAGGGAAACGTGTTTTGGCTCTTGCACGCAAGGTCCTTCCTAGCAGCATAATTCAGACAAATCCAGAAGACAATTTATTCGAAAGAGAAGCTCTGGAATTGGCACGGACTGGTCTTACGCTTATTGGGCTTGTTGCGATTGAAGATGCTCCAAGAGAGGAGGTTCCCGGTGTGATTGAGACTCTACATCGTGCCGGTATCCGTACTGCCATGGTTACGGGGGATTTTCAGCTCACGGCTCAAGCTATTGCTCGCTCCTGTGGTATCATTAGTGTCCCAGACGCTGAAGTCCACAGCATCCAGAACCTCCCTCGCACGCCGCCCAACTTTGAGCCCAAGAAAAATAACAAATCCAACCACCTTCCGACAGAAATCAAGGCAATTGTCTTGACAGGCCAGGATCTAATGACTCTGCTACCTCATCAATGGCACACTTTGGTGACGGAATACTCAGAGATTGTATTTGCTCGGACAACACCAGAGCATAAGCTTCAAATTGTGCGGGAATTCCAGTCGCAGTCTTACGTCGTTGCCATGATCGGAGATGGAGTGAATGACGCCCCAAGTTTGAAGCAAGCGGATATTGGCATTTCACCTGCATCTGGCTCCGACATTGCTGTTGAAGCCGCAGACATGGTCTTACTAAATACATTCTCCGCTATCCCAGAGGCTGTTCTCTACGGCCGCGTCGTGTTTGACAATCTGAAGAAGACAATCGCGTATTTACTACCGGCTGGCTCTTGGTCAGAGTTCTGGCCGGTGTTTACTAATGTGGCTTTCGGTCTCCCTCAGATACTGTCTTCTTTTCTCATGATTATTATATGCTGTTTCACAGACTGTGCAACCGCAATTTCCTTGGCTTACGAGAAACCAGAGGCCAATGTCATGCTACAGCCACCTCGAGACATAATAAATGACCGCCTCGTCGACTGGAAGCTACTTTTCCAAGCCTATGGTTTTGTTGGTACATTTGAGACCGTCCTCTCTTTCACAATGTCGTACTGGTATCTACAGCGAAAGGGTTTGACTTTCGGATCGTTATGGTTCTCGTTTGGATCAATTCCAACGCCCGAAGGACAGACCGTGGACGAAGTTACTGCTCATTTAACAGTGGCATCTTCAGTCTATTTTATAACATTGGTTGTAATGCAGTGGTTCAATGCGATGGCGCTGCGTACTCGACACCTCTCAATATTCACGCATCCACCGCTGTTCAACCCCAAGACTCAAAACTGGCTCCTTTTTCCGGCAATCCTATTTGCTCTTGCTATCGGTTTAATATTCACGATGATTCCGGGTATTGGTTACCCAGGCTGCGCGCCAGTTCCTGTAGAGCATTGGTTTATCCCCATGGCATTAGGCCTTGGCCTATTGTGCATTGATGAGCTGAGGAAGATGATGAAGAGAAGATATCCTGGTGGACTTGTCGCAAAGATTGCTTGGTAATTGACAAACGATCAACTAGAAGATAATGATTCAAGACGACATTGAAGAATACGAAAATATATGAAGGAAAGAAGAGAAATGTATTTAAAGTTAGGCAGGGTAGGATAATTAACCGTTTATAAGTATTCATAATATAAAGCCAAGAACGTCTATTAGCAGGGTTTATACCTTTTTGCCGCTTAGCTGGCTAAATCTTTATCCCACAGGGGCCTCAACCATGGGCCTGTTTCGCATAAGAAATTCGCCCCTAGACTACTTTATACTCCGTAGACAAGCTTAATTGTAAGTAAACCAACCTACTGGATCACACTACAAATGCTAATCCAAGACTCGGCTCCTATGGTGCATCTTTGTTCCCAGGCTATTGTATTTTGCATATATTCCTATTAACAATCTACGCTTTTGATATATAATTATCTGTATTTTAAATGACTTTATTCTGGCATACTTGACAATGCGCGAGAAAATTGGCCAGGCAAACGCTTGTGGATAACTATCACCTATCATGGAGCATAGCAGTCATATTCTGAGTGTGATTTAGTTGACGACATGCTGGCAAACGGGGATAATATGCGCTGACACTTTTTGAGAAACCTCGTATGTCCGCTTCGCAGGCTGGGGATTCAGGTTTCAGTTCCAGGCTGGGCATCCTCTCATTGTTTCCCAATCACCTTTCGCGCCTGTTCCGTGTCTTGGCAGGGGATGGAATGGCCCATGTCCATTTGACACTTCCGATTGTTCTGTTTTATCGCATAAGCGGCTCGTCCACCGTCTGCGCGAAAAGGATGAAACACGTTGCAGGCTAGAAACAAGGGGAGCGGGAACAAGGATTACACACGCCATTTTCTACGCAACGCCAGGGATAGAAGTTTAGATAACAGGCCTCTGTAAGTCAATACTTATACTCTCGTCTCCCGCGTAGTTGTGATGATTCCACAAGCTTGTAGACCATAGCCTTCCATTTTTTCGCAACACCTGATCTTGTCTTTCTGGAAAAGACAAGTGATTTACTATTACAATCTTGTTTTAATAACTTTTTCGATCATACATTCCGCACTTCAATCCTCCTCGCTATTCCATATTTTCTCTTCTCGATTTCTGTCAAGATGCATTCTACACTCCTAGTCGCGGCTTTTCTTTCCATCTTCAATGTGGCAGTAGCAGGTGAGTCTTTTTACATCCTTGGTACCACTGCTATGCATTGTGAAAAGGTACTGACTAAGGATTTCTCCCTCCCAGTCCCTATTCCAGTTGAAGATTTCCAGCCTCGGCAGGCACAGCCGTGCTTTATTGTCGGAAATGTCGCTCTGCCTCAAGAAACTGAAGATGCAGCCAATTCTCTCGCCTCGAGTATTACCTGCGATGCCAAGGAAACCACTATTTCAGGAGTACCAGATGTCTCTTCCGGCGGAATATCGTTTTCTTCCATCGACTTTGCCACCTCTGGCCAGTCGCCTCTGGCATTCGCCCTGGAGAAATTCGCAACCACCAGCCCGTTAGCCGAGAATGATCTTGCGAAATTCCAAAACGAAGCGAATGTTTACACGGCTACAGAAGCTGCGCTGCGTTCCATTGGAGGCAATTTGGCCATCAAGGCACCAAAGTTCTTCATCAACTTTCAGATTGCGCGTATCCAAACGGCTCAGGGCAATCCACCCACAAACCCGGGCCAAACGGTTGAACATCTCCTGGGCAAAGTAACAAAGAATGCCTCCAAGGCGGACCAGCAGTTTTTGGAGCAGATTACAAAATTGTCAAACACTTTATCTTAGATGGTGTTCGAGACGGGCTGGACGAACTGAAGAGTCAGAGTCAAGTCGGCTATACCGAGCCTCTTAAAGGCAGAACTTAGATAGTGGCCAGAATCGCTGAGACTATACAAAAAAGCATGGAATATTTATCGAACCCTTCCCAATGGCTTTTATGTCATTTTCGTCTTTAAGATCTTACATAAGCAAAGCTTCGTGGAACAATCGAGTAGAGCCATTAATGATAGCAACTCCTTCATTTATGTGTTGGAAAATATTAAAACCTCATTCAGACAGTCGATATCGACTATCGATTCTTCCCACTGCGACATCACTGCATATGTGTGAGTATAAATGCATACATGTCTTCCAACTTATACTTGGGGCTTTCGTCAAACAGGTGGATCAGCCCTGGCATTCTTTCATACACGGCCTATGCATTCACCTCTTTCAAGGTCTCAATAACCTCATCGGATTGGTCCATCCCCTCTATAATACCGGCATCCCCTTGTATGTTCCCTTCTTATTCTTCTTGATGGTGAGTTGAACAATCATTTCCTCGTCATCGGGTTTGATGTCCCACAACAGTCTCGGCAAAACTGTAGCTTCTAGACAGAGCCAGAGGTACTATTAGGGCTACAAGCACCCCAGGATGGAAAGTGAAATCGCAATGTGTAAGAGATGATCCCTCACAAAGGCCAAACAAAGTGATCGCGGTAAAAAAGTGAAAATAGTGTCGCGTTATTAGTCATGCGTTCTAGCTGAGTTCATATCTGGTCCCCGTGGGATTGACAGGGGCACCAGACAGTTCATATCTAGGGCTCGCCACATCTCCAGGAGCCTCAAGGACTGTTCCGTCTGGTGGGATCGGATGAGGGCCGTTATACTGCTTCAATAATTCTTCCTGGGTTGATTTCTGCTCTGATTTGTTTTTGTCAAGTGATTTTGCCTGTCGAGATCTCCTAACGAAAAAGAAGAAACCCAGCCCTATCAACGCGAGACCAATCACGCCGCCAACTACTCCACCGGCAATCGCTCCGACGTGCACGGAATCTTTTTTTACTGAAGTTGAATCAGAGGCGCCAGACGTGTCAGTGGATGTCGCTGTAGTGGATTGCGTAGTTGTAGAAGATGTCGTTCCACTCGTTTGCGAGAGACTCGAAGTCGAGACAGTCGATGAACTTGTTGCACCAACAGAGGAAGCTTCGTTGCAAACATCACTTTTACCAGGTCCGCCATCTATGCATCTGTTTGTACAGAACTTGACAACCGATATGTCGCCATTATATCCGCCATCACAGTGAAAGAGTGTGTTAGTTGATACACCTTTATTGCTTGCGTCTAAAGATGCCTTTTGAAGCGCATCGATGATTTGGGGCTGATAGTTTCCTAGATTTCATGCCTGTTAGACAATGGATGAGGTAGAATTAAAGTGCGTGACTCACCAATGCCCAACAAATTGAAGCCACAGTAGTTTAATCCAGACTTGCAGTTACCCGCAAAAGTCAGGGTTATAAAAGCAGATAAGAGACACAGCGTCCTTGCCAATGCCATGTTCCCGGTGCGACTACAAAGTCCAATGGAAATCACTTGTTCTTTATCTCGTTGGCCTTGAGAAACAAAAAGATGCAGAAGGACAAACAGTAAAAGTGTTCACAGTGCCTTGGACCTAAACCGTCTATTTTAAGCGCTCATCGTCTTTCAAGTTACCGCATGTTGCATGCGAATCCTTCCCAAGCCAAGAGACGGCTCAGCCAACAATTTTATTAAGCTTCCACTTATTTGACGAATTACGGATTAGGATCCCTGGCGGAATCGTCCCGCAGCCAATACTATCGGCTAAACTTGCAGCATTGGAAATCCACATGGTCCTGGCTTGCAGGCACGCGATATCACCTCCCTGCCTCACAAACGATCCTCACTGCGGGCACCATCCGGCTTTCAGGATAGTGAGCGGATGCTTGCAGAATCTCTAGAGGCTGTGCGCCACTCAGCTGGCATGGGGGGTGGCTGATCGTCCCGTAGGATAGCAACACTCGCCTTGGTGGTAAGAAAGTGAAACAATGCCTTGGGAAGAAGGCTATGTTCTGGCAAGGCCTGCCTGATCAATTATTCACAGCCCATTGGAATCAGCAATACGAAATAATAATGCACACGGTCGGATAGCTGTCCAAGACGGTAAGTATAGTCTGGTGATCTTGCCAATTATCGCCGTTAGTGTAAAAAAATGGGTGTTTATCCACTTGTCGATCGATGATCATCATGAACGACAACCAATTAACGCTGCAATGTAGTGGACCGGACTTGGAGATGCATCCCAGGCCATGCATCTTGTAAACAATTTACGTCTCGGTATCTCTTCCTGTTACTTTACTACATACTATGCCACTGTCTAATCAACAGCATTATCTATGGTGAACACAGGGGATCATACAGAAATGCTGCTTAGACATTGGGACTCCACCTTGGCTGAGCAGCTTTTCCTACTATTCTGTTTCTTGACAAACCATAATCGGCGTATTATATGTAAATAGAGTAGGCAGCATACGCCATGTGGGCTGCTTTTTATTGCTTTGGTCACATCTAGGACGCTCAACCGTCATATGCTCGCTTAGAAGGGTGGTCTCTGAGAACCGCCTTGTTACGTTCTACGCACCAGCTCACACTCTACACCTCCATTCTACTAACAGACACCACCTCCACACCGCTTCGATGATGGTGCGTATCTGAGAGTGGAGAAGATATCCACATATCAGCTGCATGGCCACTGCAATCTCTCTCGCTACAGCGACCCCAGTTGCCCAGCTAAACAGGGAAAGACGTGCTATTGGATGGGCTACAGCTTAAATGTGCAAATGCTGGAAAGATATGCGGTGTACCCAGCTGGCCGGGGAACGGTTTCATCATGCCTACTTATACTTGAGGCTTTAGAGGCCGATTGTACCGAAACATGGCTTCCACTCTTAGTAAACCCGTTTCCTAAGATGTCGTCTTTAATCTCCAGACCTTAATACCAGCTAGCAAGGCATTTTCGGACTGCCCATTTACCCACGAAACATCATTTTATTCACTGGATAGAAGCTCGCATTTCTTAAAGAATAAGTTAATTGACAATAGTGCTTCACTATCAATCTAGTAGAAGATATTCATTGACAAGTACATAGAACGAATCGATGCACAGTGAAGTACACTCGCCGAATCTCGACTTCTTATCTTGTCCAGCTCCCTCTCTGGCATCGTCGGTCAGCCTGAGCAGGCAGACTATACCAGCGTAAACACTTTTCTTCACGAATTCATCAAGTTCGGTGTGTCCCGTGACATTCGAAGCCAATCCAAGGGCGATGCCTTGAGTGACAATCTGCGGCAGTTCCTAAGCGCGCCAACCTAGAGATGCTCAGTAAGTCAGAGCCAGTATCCTATTGATGGAGAATTTGGCAACAAGCTGCTGGATCTTGTGCTGTGGCCCAAGGAGGATAGCAAACAATATCTCTCCATCGCTTGCGCATTTGGGACTGGGTTCGATGGTAGCTGTTGAGATGTCAGTATATGCTTGGACTAGTTAATCAACGTATTGGAGATGTTGTCCATTGGAACGCTCAAGGCACTGGGCAAATAGACTGCTGTGAGTTTGCTGGCAATGCGCGGCCAGTTGATGCCGTGGTATATAGCCTACCTAGTAGAAATCATGTTCCGCTTGGCTCTAATGTGGTTACAGCTCACCTGAGAACATTGAAGCCAAGTCCGCATTTCTCAGTGTAGACTGACTTAAACGCAAAAACTATTATGCAAAGCTTGTTTATAATAAATCTATTAACAATAATAGACCATTTACATAGATACTAACTTATTCTAACGTTCTAGTCGCCTTACTTATAAACAACAGTGGGAATAATTGCTATTAATAATTGGTTCAGCTTAATGCTCAGATACGCGTATAGTGCTGCTGCGCCCGTGAAAAAGCAGCAATTCAATGTCCCCTGTCTTTTTTTCGGCCTTGCAAAGTATGAATGGTGTAATTTCCTAGAGAATCACTGTTTAGTGATCAAGATGGCAGCTAAAGTAAAAGTCAACAAATTGTTCCGTTGTTATAGTTGAAAGCGCTAACCTAGAGTATTTCCAGGACCCCAAATTATGCGAACCGTAACATCCTCACTGTTCTTGATTCCCCATTATGGCGTCCATGCTATAGAAGCGGTTAGTGCGGTAAGCAGCCGCTCTGCCGCTCTACCGGTCTTAAATTGCACGAAAACTAATCACACAAGCCTTATCTGCGGAGAGATTGATCAAGTGACAGCTTGCCTACAAAGTTCTAGTTTCCAATTGACTTGTACCAAATGTTGAGGAGGGGTAATTGAGCTCAACGGACCACTTTTTCTGGCTGTGTCTGCGAAATTGCTTGTAAGGCTGGTATAAGCAATGAGTATTGCTGTTGCTCCTGCTTGAGTCTCGTGACCAATCGCAATGGCAACCGTGAATCTGTAAACGTGAAAGACAAGAACCTCAGCTGCATTCATCGCAATTCACTTTTTTTCAACGCATACTTTCAAATTTCAGTGAATTATTGGTCTACAAAGTCATGCAGCGTCTCCCTGCGGCTCGCCTGGGCGCCAGGCTTATGCCCCGTAGCCACAGCTTCAGAACTCAGCAACTCGCTCGACGCTGGCTCTCGGACTCCCAGGCGCCAAGATCTGCACCTTCACGGCCCGGCGTCTTGGTCTGGGGAGCTGGTGCGGCTGTCGCTGCTGGGGGCGGATACTTTTTGCTCAGCGGCACAGCGAGCAAGACAAAGAGTGTTCCTCTTCTGAAACCAGTTTCCTCAGAAGACGACATCTCGGTACTCTCGCCTGTGCCTGTCCTGGACTTGCAAGCGGCGAACCAAAAGCTGCGAGAACAGGCTCAGTCGTTCATCTTTGATGGCAAGGATGGGCAAAAAGGCCGCGTTGATGTCATCCGCGTCGCTAGCAACGATCCTGTCGAGGACGAGTGGTCTGTTGCTGTTGGGAAAGGCATTCACGGCGGAACGGCGCTGTACGCGGGTGTTTACGACGGGCACTCGTACGTGAAAACCTGCTTCTAGGGAATATTGAGACTGACTCCAACTGTAGTGGCTGGGCGACCTCAAAGGTGCTAAAGCAGGCCCTCATCCCGTATGTTTCGACGGCTCTCTCCAAGATCTCGGCATCGGGCTCGGGAGATGCTGTCGACGCTGCTATCAAAAGAGCCTTCACCAGCCTCGACGACCGAATTCTGGGCACTGCACGCAAAGCCGCCGAAGCAGGCTATGAGCCTGGATCTACCGAAGTCTTGTCGGCTCTCGCGCCGGCTCTCGCTGGTTCTTGCGCGCTGCTCTGTGTCTATGATCCCAAATCATCCGTGCTGCGTACCGCCGTGACGGGCGATTCACGCGCAGTTCTCGGCTCCTGGTCCTCAGAGTCAAGCAGCTTTGCGGCCAGCGCTCTGAGTAAGGACCAGACCGGATTCAACCAAGATGAAGTCAAAAGGCTAGACGCCGAGCACCCTGGAGAGGGAGAGGATATGATCAATCCCAAAACGGGCAGGCTTATGGGGATTGCCATCACGCGGGGTTTCGGCGATCATCGGTGGAAATGGCCCAGTGATTTCTTGAACTTTCTCAAGTCCAATTACCACGGCACCGAGCCTCGTCCCAAGTATAAAACGCCGCCTTACATGATTGCTACGCCGGAGGTCACCACTCGCCAGGTCCAAACCTCAGACTTTGTCATTCTCGCATCAGACGGGCTCTGGGATGTCATGTCCAATGAGGATGCCGTGACCTGCGTCTCTCGCTGGCTCTCAGCGCGACGTCTGGGCAAACCAGAGGCTGTTAAGGATGCCAAGACCACAGGCTACACAATAGATGATGACGGATGGCCATCTTACAAGGCGACTCCCGAGCATTTCGCTATAGAGGATCTCGACAACGCGGCCGTCTGTTTAGTCAAGAATGCGCTTGGGGGGACGAGAAGGGCTATGCTTTGTGGCTCGTTGACGGCAACTACGCCCATCAGCCGATATGTGAGAGACGATATTACCGTGCAAGTTATTTTCTTCAAGGACCCCTAGACCAAGTAAAGGCTTGGTACTGGGTGCTCACATTTGATACTCTTATTCTCTGCAAGTTCTCTTCTTCAAGGATACTTGGACCAAGCAGAGCCTTGGTACTGGGATCACATTTGATACTCTTTTTCTCTGCAAATTATTTTCTACGAGGATGTTTAGACCAAGCAAAAGCCTTGGTACTGGATAGCCCTATTTCATTCGATACTCTTATTTTATCTGCATACAGAAAACAAAACAGCCTATGACTTTTCTACATTGTCATAGATTGATCTAAGCACAACATCATTGATCCAAGCACCCTTTGACCAATCATCCCACACACTGAAAGTAACCGTGCGGCTCTCGCCCTTGTTCAGCCAGAAGCCATTCTGGTCAAAGTATCCTCTTACCGTTGTGGGATAGTCCAGCCAAACCCAAGCTGCCACGCCCTTTGTAGCCGTAATCTTGAATTGAGCTTTACTTCCACGAAGGGACTTTGTCATTACCAGGCCCGGATCGGCAATGCTGTTCAAGCGAAGGCTTTGCGGGTGGAAAAACGTCGAGTGAGTGTATCCGCCAGCCTCGACGGAAATTGAAAGCAGAGCGTTTGAAGTTGGGTTCTTGCAGGCGAAAAAGGTGGACAGAGCAGGGTATGTAACCAAACGAGTGGCGTTGATTGGTTGTACGTCGAATTTGACGTTGAATGATCCATCGTGAGCTGGATTAACGTGGACGGGCGGATCAACATCGAGAGCATTGCCCTGCCAGTCAACCCACTTGAACGAGGCGGTCCCAGAAACCTTATGCCACAGATCAGACACGACCCAAACCTCCAAGACATCAGTAGCCTCGTCGTAAAAGGGCCAGACAATGACAGGGTTGAAGATGTCCTTGGCAGCATAATAGGCCACCTTTTGCCGCAGACTGTGTTCGGTGCTGGACCAGGTCGGGCCAACCCAGATGTCGTTAAACTGCCAGTATAGAGCGCCCATCTGGCGGTTAGAAAGCCCGGATCCTCGCCTATAAAAAGCAATCTGAGCCTGGTAATAGTCGGCCTGGAACACCTGAGAGGTCCACGTCCAGGCAGTGAAGTTGGCTACGGGATCCTGCAGCTGGGGCAACGGGTACCAGAGCTTAATGCTATCTGTGAATTGGTTGATTCCACCCGCAGAAGAAGAGAAAAAGTCGCTGCCGCCACTGAGATGACGGTTGTGGTGCCGCACATATGATGAGTCAAAGTAGAATTCGCTCTCGGGGATGGCTTCTTGCCAGGAGTAGACCGAGGGCATGGAGGGGAATCCAAACTCGTCAGCAAAACGACCAACGGGATAACCGCTGTACTGAAAAGCAATAGTTCCGTCGTAGTTGTAAAAGTCGGTGTCGGCGTATAGCGCATCAGGGCTCTCCATATAGTCGTATCGAGACGTCTGAGGACTGACCGAGTTGAAGTCGAGCGATGTGTAGCCGTGATAGGTTGAAGAAGGAATGTAGCTGATGGAGTGAGTATTGGCGTAGACACACTTGGCAATATGCTGCTGGAAAATGGTCTCGTAGTTTTCGAGCTGGGGGTTGTCCCGGGGATTGAGCCACCAGCCATAGATGAGGTATTCCAGCTCGTTGCCACCAGCCCACAGCGCCAGACTCGGATGGTGGTTGACTCTACGAGCGTTGTAGTAGACCTCTGCCTCGTACTCCTCAAGAAAATCGGAAGTTGCGGGAAAATAGGCCACCGAGAACTGGAATTCAGACCACAGCAGCAAACCCATCTCATCAGCCAAGTCGTACGCCCAGTCTGGGAGGTAAGCTCCCGAAGACCAGATCCGCATCATATTGAAGTGCGAGTTTACGGCCAGCTCAAATGTTTCCTTGATCTTGGTCTGGTTGACACGAGGCCACAGGATGTCTGGAGGCACAAAGTTGGAGCCCTTGGCATATAGCTCGTGGCCATTAATCTCAAACTTCCAGCTGGCTCCGGGGGCAACGCCCTTGGCCTTGTCTTCAGCGGTAATGGCATTAAGATTCAAGACAATGGTTCGGAAACCAACTCGCTTGGTAACCGTGGCAGGCTTGGAGAATGCAGAGTTGATGAGGGAGAGCGTTGCCGTGTACAGGGGCTGCTCGCCGTAGCCAGAAGGCCACCAAAGATTCACATTGTTGCCAATAACAGTATTGCCGGTGATGGTGCCGTTAGACTGGCTTATTCCAGCTAGACTGGCCTCTTTGAGCGTATGGCCCTTGCTGTCGACAATCTTCAAGTGGAACTGCGTGTTCTTGGGAAGCGTGCCGATATAATCGATGCTGGCGTTGAAGACGAATGGCTTTGACTGATCGGGCGATAGGTTGGGCATTTGGCCTTGACGAAAGATGTCAATCGCCGTGTTAGTGATGTAAACAGGATCGGCCTTGGCCTTTTGCACAATATATGCTGGTCTCCATGGCCCGGCTGGAGCAAACTGCGGGCCCCAATCCCATCCAAAATCGCTTTCCTCTTTTCGCATGTAGACTCGGCCTTGGAATTCTTGGTTATTGTAACCATTCGCCGAATTTATCTGGGCTAAGTATGCAACTGTTAATGGGATGAACGAACAAGAAGAATATACTGAATACTATAATTCAGCCACCAAAGGACGTACCAAGATCACTTCTCTGCGCAATGTCGAGAACAATCTTGCTTGCCGAGCCAAAGTTCAAGCTTAAGACTGGATCTCCAGAGCATTTTGGCAAAATGTCGCTGACATCAAATGTGTACTTGCGGAACTGGTTTTTGGTATTGCCGACTGTCTGATTGCAGAGCTTGATTTCACAAAAGGTGTCAAGGCCTTCAAAGACGAGCCATGATGTAAGCCCTTTTTGAGATTTCCTTTGTAGTCGCTCAAATTAGCTTCATTCTCCCCTCTTTTTTATGACTCGAAGTCACTCACAGTCCTTTGATGGGCCCAGATGTATATGTCCAGTTCATCCGCTGAACCCAAAATTGATTCCACTCATTGAAGCCATAAATGGGATCTTCAATGACGCCGGCAGCCAGCAAGTCAATGTGAGCATGTGAAGGCAGCTTGCCAGGCACAGTGGCATTGACGCCATTGCTCACCGTCCACGAGACATCACTGAGATTAAAAATGTGCTGTGCGCTGACGCAACTCGCCAGGAGAGAAAGCGAAGCCAACGAAAACTGGCGCATTGTGCCGAGTTTCTGGCAACTGGTCTCTACACAGGGGCGTTGTCAGCATCCAATTGTAACGCTATTGCTCCGATATTCGTTCACGGCAGCACATAGCTCGCCTATATACAATAATTTGTTGTTCAGAGCAGACTGAGGAGCAGAGAGTGTGTCACAGTTTCCGTCGCGTAAGAGAAACTACATCACGCAAACATGTCCGGGGAGTGAGTTGTTCACCTAGCTGCAGGAACAATGGACGTGTGAGTAAACAAAAATTAACTTGTAAACCAAATACAAGGTATTGGAGAAAGGCATCAAAGTGCCTTTGGTTACCAATTCCCCCCCCCGCAAAGGCATTGTGATAGGTAATCTAAATCCTTGCTTAGGCTACAGGGACCAACAAGTGATGGCTAGAGTCCAGGGCCATACACAAGCACATGTGCGGACTAGATTCTCCACCTCCACACTTTTGTCATTATGGTTATATTTTGGAGAACGGAAAACCTGACGATCCTTTACTGCAGAAACCGGGTACTGTACTGAGCTGTCGCTTTGCTTTTCCGGCTCAACTAGCCGTCATAACTCGCTTTCGTCTCTGCTAGGAACAGCTTTTCCGTAATTGCTGATCCACTTTGCCAATTCATCCAAATCTCTTGACTTGTCCAGGTTTATAGGCTTTCGTGGGGGAGCAACTAGTGACAGCTCTAGAGACTTCAGTGACAGCCGGCTAGATGAAGTTTGGTTAGCAACGTATGCTGCCAGCGAATGGCAAGCCAGACTCCGTCGGAGCCGGGCACGACATGCAGTGCAGGAAATTACCCCTTGCTTCCGTCATGCCTCATTGCCACTTCTCCAAGCAATTATCACGAGATGGCTTGGTTTTCTACCATGGTGTTTTGCGGGGTAGATTCGAGGATTTCCCCTTTGAGAAGGTTGTTAAATGCGGGGGAAGACAATACAGGAAAAGGCGAGAGGCTATGATTATACGAGCAGCTTTCGGCATTCGCATTGTGGATGCTACGTCAACTTAGCTCCAAATGGGAGCGTTGATCCGGCGGAAATGGTTCATATGGCCTCATTCGGATGTGCGTGAAGAGAGCTTTGGGCACTTGTGCATTCGTATGAGCATTTGCTATAATGGCCTAGCAAGGAGAAGCTTTATCCGTCGATAGCGTGGAGAACGTTCTTATTTAGTAATACAGGCGGAGCAACAGGGTTCAAAAGAGAGATGGTAACTGCATTAATTGGCCCAAAGAAGCAGTGGAGAGCTGACGGTCTCATGAGTTTCCGGAAAGGCGCATCAAAGTCCACAAGATTAATTACTCTGTCTCGTCCTCCAGACTTGAAGGTTTTTTGCCTTTCACCGCAACTGGTAACCGCTTCCAAGTCACAGCAGAGATTGAAAGACAGGAGACAGCCACATTAGAAACCGAGAGTTGGCTGCGTCAAACAGGCTCCCAAGACAGAGCGCGGAGGCGCAGACTTTCACAATGGCATCAACCCTTGCCTTTTCCATTGCGGCTTCAATTCTGCTTCAGCCAGTTGTCGGCACAAACACAGGCACAGTCCACTGCGCCGACGCCACCTACCAGCCTGGCAGCGTCTATTTCTCGGATCAATGCTACAATGACATCCAGAGCTGCATCACCAAACTGGCAGCCAATGCCTCAGTAGTTGATTGCAATGGCGCCAACATCAGCATGCAGCAACAGGCAAATACTGGAGCCGTGGGCTCAGCCCAGAACAGCGACATCAGCGTTTCGTTCAAAAGCATGGTAGACCTTTGTCTCCTGAGCGGCTCAACAAGCGGAACTTGGGGCTGGAGCGACAACCAGTGGTACTGGCTTTGGACGGGCGGATCTTGCTATTCGTCCAGCGGAGGATCAGACACAATGCCTACAAGGCCTGCGCCATACTGCTTGCAAGATCGCGACTCTTCGCTTCCGGACTGCTACCCTCAGCCGAGTCCTGGCGGAGGTCCGCTGAAAGTCTTGAAAACAGCAAAGACCACCAATGGCTTCACTTCATCGGCCCGAGGCTGGAACACATACGGAGCTCAGGCCCTGACCAACGGCTCTACGCTGATTCCCTCCTTTGCAGGACAATCTGGCCTTTATTATACGCAAAAGTTTGTTGAAACGCAGTGCGGCGTCCTTGCCAACTCCAAATTCAAGGCTGCAGGCTTTGATATGTGCAGTCTTGATTCTGGCTGGCAGTCATTTGATGAGGTTGATAACAACGGCCGAATCATTTATAACGACACTCGATTTGACATGCCCAAACTTGGTCCGTGGCTTCACAATCAGGATTTGAAACTCGGCCTATACATTACTCCCGGTGTGCCTTGCCAAGCAGCCAACAAGACCATTTTAGGCACGGATATTACCGTCGGATCTGTGTTTAACGGCAATTTTGATCAGATTTTATGCCAGTTTGACTATAGTAAGGATGGTGTTCAACAGTGGCACGACTCTGTGGTTGATCTGTGGGCCTCTTGGGGTGTTGACATGATCAAGGTGAGTGAAAGATTGCCCATTCTCTACTATGACGAGAACAATAATTAACGCGTAATACAAAACAGCTCGACTACATCACTCCTGGCTCTCCGCAAAACGGCGCCATGCTGGGATGCCAAAACTCAGACGCCGTAGTGGCTTACCAAAAGGCCATTGCAAAGACAGGCAAGGATATCCGTCTAAACATCTCATGGAAGCTGTGCCGCAACGAAACTTGGCTGCCTGTCTGGAACGGTTTAGCAGAGTCCATGCGCACGGATCAAGATATCAACAACTACGGCCACGAGACGTTTCTCGCTTGGTCGGTTGCTCAGCGCGCCATTGACAACTACCGCCAGTATATCGGCCTCCAGGCTCAGCAGAACAAACCCATCACAATCTACCCAGACATGGACAACCTATTCGCCGCCAACGCGGAGAGACTGACCGGCGTCAACGATAGCATGCGAACCACCGTCATGAACCACTGGCTGGGCGCAGGCGCAAACTTGATTCTCGGCAACGATCTCACCCAGACGGACGATCTTGGCTACAAGCTGCTGACAAGCTCCCAGTCAACTGCTGCCGCCAACTTCTTCGCCAAGTATCCTATGCAGCCGCGCAACCCTCGCACTGGAAACAACCTTGCCCAGCAGCTTCAAGCCTGGATCGGTGGCCCGAGCGATAATGGCAAGGAGGCATACGTGCTGATTGCAAATTACGGACCTGATCAAGGATCTGGAGGCTTTGGGACGCATCTTTATGGGCGACAGGCAGTGACTGTGTCTTTGGCTGGTCTCGGCTTGAGTTGCTCTGGGTGGAAGTTTACTGATGTGTGGTCAGGCAATTCTACGCATGTTAACAACTACTATACTGCGTATCTGACCGAGGGTGAATCTCAGTTACTGCATCTGACGAAAGGCTGAGAAGTAAAGAGGCTAAAAAATGTCAATTTATTAATATCACAGACTTATTGACCATTATTGCATATGTGACTAGCCTTTAAGAAAGAAGCGTCACCTATGTTTAGGTATGGGGGCTCAATTGTGCTATATTCATAAAGTAGTACAGAGCTACCCCTGCCATGTGTTTGTAACAGTAGGCTGAGCTGTACACGCTCCTGGAACCGTGTACGTGTGATTAGGATCCGCCTCCCATGTTACATCGCCGTTTTGAGCCACATTGATGTACTTGTATTCCACCACCTGCCCGGGGGCCAAGTCTAATGTCACGAACCACAGGGGATTGGAGCTGGTGTAATCGGCTGCAGAGAGCGTGACAGCATTCGCTGTGTTCCAGTTTCCTAGAGCGCTAATGTCACCAGCTATCTTAATTGTCTGTCCGAAAGTTGTTGTCACGGTTTCGTCAAATTTCACGGGAATGGCTGTGCAAGAAGTTGGAGGAGTCGAAGTCGTCGTACCACCACCGGATCCTAAAACACAGATGAGTTAGTATTAGGAAGCAACCTGAAGTAATAGGTACGGATATTGTCAAGAAAATCAAACTATATATGACCGAGATCTTACCCAAGTTAGGACAAATACCGGTTCCACTCAGGTTTGACTTGGCATAAAATACTCTAGGAAGGCCGCCAGACATGGCCACAGCGAGGTTGCCGCTCGAATCTGTGGTATAGGCTGTGCATGACAGTACTTCAACGACTTGTTGGTTGCTCGTGAAACCGGTATCAGCTGATGGCAGTGTCAAGGTGTAACTGCTACCATTGGCGCCACGGTTGGAGAAGACGCCGACGATTTGGGATCCCGTGCTGCCTTTTCGTGTAACAATGGTGGAGCTATCAGAGTACGTGACTGCCGCCTGAGTTGTCACATAAGCGCTATTTTGTTTAATGGCTTGGCTTCGGATTTGGTTCAGAGCCTTGATGTGGGTATAGAGCACAGCGGAGGTGCTATACCCGGACAGCCAGATTGCTTCGCGATTGTTGGGAACACCGCCTCCATTCAAGTGTTGTTCTTGGCCCTCGTAAATGATGGGGATTCCGTCTGCAAGCATGGTAAACGCAATGGCATTCTTGGCAAGTGATATATCAGATGTGAGAGAAGGGAAGCGTGGATTATCGTGATTTTCCATGAAGGAGCCGAGAAGGGTGGTATCAGAGCATTCTGATTTCATGGTGTTGAGACCATTAACAAGGTTGCTTATACTGCCACTTGTGGATTGGAAAGCTTGGGTGATCCAATAGTAGCTAAAAACGTTAGTATCATGGCTTGATGGAAGTAATGATACATACGCGGGGTAGTTTAAAGTATTGAGACCGTAGTTCTTTTGATACGGGCAAACAATCGCTGGGTCGCCATTGTCAACCTCGCCAACAATGTAGACGTTTGCTGTACATGTTACTAAAAGGTCTCACTTGTGCGAAATTGAACGAACCTGAGGATTGGAATGGTTCAAAAAATCCATAGTCTAACTCGAAGCAGCTGTCCATTCTCAGACCATCAATGGTATAGTTGGCCACGAGTTGCGTTATCCAAGTCTGCCACATGCTCAGAACGTTGGCGTTTTCGGTGGCAAGATCTGGCAAAGACACTGTATTATCGCCTTCCCAGCAATTTTGTATTTGGGTCATGTTGTTGGAGTTGAAGTCGATTAGGCAGAATGGATGGTAGTAGGATTGCTGATAAATTAGCAAAGCCTTGTTCGATAGGAATGCGACTCACCGAGTTGAATGGGTTGAATGTATTATATTGAACGCAAGTTCCACATCCAAGGTATCCCATGTGATTGGTGACAATGTCAACCATCAAATACATGCCAGCATTGTGCAGAGCCTCAGATAATGCTAGCAAATCTGCAGCAGAGCCAAAGTTGGTATTCACTTGGTAGATATTCTGAGCCCAATACCCATGATAAGCCTCTCCATCAGCGCTATTCCCAGCCAAGTTTTCAACTACTGGCGATATCCATATCTTTTTCCTCGAGTCAGTAATGGCGCCACAGACGCTAATGATGGACATGGCACATACGGCAGTAAATCCCATGCTCTTGATGTAATCCAGGTTCTTGATGATTCCCTGCCAGGTGCCTCCGCAGTAGACCTGGGCTCCGGCGTTACAAGCAGAGTTGGTCGCCCCATTCGTCTGGGAAAACCTATCAGTCAGAACTTGATAAATAGATTGGGAGCGCCATTGCGCAGCGGTGAGAGCAGCAGCAGAAGGCAGTGCTGATATCCATGCCAAGGCTACGTGCGATAGCCTCATTGTGGTGAATTCTAACGATGCCGAGTTGTCAAGTCTTCAGTACGTTTGGGTGGCGAGGGGGAGATTTTAGTCGGAAACTCGTGAAGGTTGTTTTAGGCCAAATACGCGATGATCCTATAGGCAACGCAATCCAACTCAACGAATCGTTTGGCGGCGAACAAGAATTCAATACGATTCAAGTCATTTCCTTCAAGGAGGGCGATACACAAGCCGGGAGTTCTTTGAACAAACGAAGCAGATTAACTTCACAAGACGAGATCAAGCCAGAGTATTATTGAATGTGGAATCCGCATGATTCACTTAGTGACCCAATTGCTGGAAATCGGTCCGAGTAGCGGCCGTGCTTACAGCGCCGAACTGCCAATTTCAGTAACAGAGAAGCCCACCATTCGTCACAGGCAGCCTTTTCGTTGAACGTCCACGGCCAGAGATAGTAATAGGCACTATCACGTTCGAAGATATCGTGGCCATAGCTAGACTGTGTCAATTTCCAACTGATGAGATGCCTATTTTTTTCATCCCTCCCAAGACCATTAGGTCTCACGCGAATATCTCGGGGCTATGGCCCGACACGTGTAAAAGAGATCCAAGGATGACTCTATTGCGCTGTAAGCTAGGCCGGCTGGTCGGCAATAAGGCAGTCTCGGCATCATCAGGTTTATGCAGCGGATCTTCAGGACACGATGATTCGCCAATATCGCCGTCTCCTATTCGGCGCCCCTCGGCCATTTGGAGTGGTGCTGCCCCTGATTTTTAAGGAGAATGTCGACGATCTCTGCGGCCTATTCGCTGCTAAAGATGGACTCGAATGTATTTAATATAGTCCTGGACTGACGCTGGACTCTATGGCCTGCTGAAGAGTCGCCCCGCGAACAGAAAACGCGGGGGTGGCTTACAGGCCTTTTAGCGGTGCAGTGAGACGGGAGATTCCCGAGAAACATTCCCGCAACCAGGATGTCATTTGCCGGGCCTAAGCCTGTAAAAGTGAACGGGCTCAAGTTCGAAATAGTAGTATTATGGAAGTTTTGGACACTATCCATTTGATACCATGAGCAGCTCCTACAGCCTAATGCTCCTTTGTGTTTCATAGTGTGTGTGGCAAGATATCCGGACTGTAGTGGCTATGCCGCTGTAACAGCAAATCGGCCTAATAGCGGCGAAGATGGTATTATGGCGAAGCAAACTCATGATCAACGGTTCTGGAATTCGGTCGTTCTCTTACAATTCTCCACTCACACGGCCCAGCGATGGAGTGAGAGGTGGTCATTGTTCATCGTCAGACACTTGCCAATATATTTATATTAAGCCGTCAAGATCGGTATCACGTCGGGCCTTGTGTCAAACCATCAGTGAAACATGTGACAGCGATTTAGTGTAAAAATGCGGCCGAGTATTCGAACGCTATGGCTTGACGAATAATTTTGGATCGATCAAACTTTGCCTCTACAAACTAATCCGTCTGCCGCTCAACTCTATACACCATGCACCCCTCACCAATATTTCTTTGACTCGCTCAGCCGAGAGCGATCCGGGGTTAAAGGGCATGCGCTATCACAATCACCCCCGACAGCTTCACATGATACTGAGACATCACGGGCGAAACAGCGGCTTGTCTACCCGAATATTTTTATTTCCGCTTCTCCTTTCTCTTGATCAGGTCTCAGCAAGTTGTTTGACAGTGAAATTTTATTACGACCTCGCTCTATTTTAAATCGACATGAGATAATTTAGCCACCTTCTTAAGGCTTCGCCGGTGACTTGCTACCTAACCACTGGCTGAAAGTCTTCAATTCAGGGTCAATCTCCTTTATCGATTTGATATCAGCTCCGTACCCTTCTTTCTCGAAGAAAGTAAACATGGTTCTCATCTCTTCTGACATTCTCAATACGAGGCGGGCTATGAAACCAAATGTAGTGGGCGGAGGAGCCCCCGTCTCCTTACGAAAGACCTCTTCTACCTGAGCATATGTCAGTTCATCGCCAGCCAGCGATATGCTCTTGCCTGAGTATTCATGCGGCTGCATAAAAGATAGAGCTGCAAATGTACCAATGTCGTCGGTCGATATGAGCTGCAACGGGCGAGACTTTAAGGCTTCTCTCCAAATGGTGGCGAAAATCTTGCCGACAAAACCAGGTGCAAAGTTCTCCATAAACGCCACGGGCCTGAGAATCGTCCAAGACATTTTATCCCCAGCACTATTGATGAGATGATGCTCAATGTGATGTTTGCTGACGAAATGAGGGATGTTGGTGGGATTGTCAATTGACTTTGCGCCGCCGCGATCTACAGACGAGTAGACAAAGTGCTCTACACCGTGCTTGATGGCCGAATCAACGAGGGCCTTGCCTTGCGCCTGTTCGATAATTGGACCCGTCTTATTCATGGCTGGTAGCTGTGCAAGTTAGCCAAAGCACATGTTTATTGGCTTGTCTCAAATACACACCTGAACGCTAAAAACTCCCCAGACGGGTTCTTGGGCCGCTTTCTTGGCATTTTGGAATATAGCCTCTGTATTGTCTAGATTGCCCTGGACAAGTGTGATGTTTGGAGATGCTGCAGCCAGCCTCTTGGCTGATGGTGAAGCGACATCTCTTGTGACGGCTAGAATTTTAAAATCGGCATTCCTGGCAAGCAGAGCTTTGATGACGCTACCGCCTTGTTTTCCGGTGGCTCCTGTTATAAGCAGCGCGCGAGACATCTTTAACTGTGGTCGAATATGCAACAATTTCAGATCAATTTAGTTTGTAGAATCCAAGTAGTTGTGTTTTCTGTTGAGATATGAGCTCTCATTGACCATCTTATATGCCCTGAAGCTCCCTTGTTCCTCCAGACAGCTGTTTCTCGTGAGCAATTCGGAGTACTGAGGATGTCCGGAATACCACGTCCACGGGCTTCTTTACAGTGGCGAATACAGTGCTTCGGTGCTCGGCATTGTCTTTGCTAGTGGGCCAGTCCCTCTACCAGATCTAGATACACGTAGATCGCAAGTTGACTCAGACGCATTCTGTTTGCTAAGCAACAGGCTGCAATTAATACACGTATCTTTTCAACTCCTAACAATAATGCAGACAAGGCCAAAGAAGTTGTCGGTTCGATCAGCCGCGCGCTTGGCTCCACACACCCATTAGTTTCCCGATGGATCCCCATTTCGCTGTCCGATGAACTCCGGCCTGTCCACGGGCCGCATTACAAACCATCCTGGTGCCTTGCTCAAATACTTGATTGAGGCAAACGTAGTACATGTGATCCCAGACAAGATTTGCCAATATCTGCAAAATAACAGGCTTTTTAGACATTGTACTGAGATTATTTTTAAGCATGATGTTAGCTCCACGGAGCGTCCGTGTTGTGGGAAAATCCTTCCAAGATTCCAGTAAACTACGCGACAAGTCAATGAGCCATTCGAAGTTGATTGGCAGTTCAGAGCCTTTAGTTCTAGTCAGTACTTTGACAAGCTGTCCTATCGTGTATGCCTATAGCTTTTTTTTTTTTTTTTTTTTTTTTTTTTTTCATAAACTATATGACCTTTATTTTAAAAGTAGAGCTGTACTTTGTACATCACAGAACTAGGCAATATGGGTGTTCAAGTAGTCTTATTCTAGCCTGATATATCTATTTAGACGCCGGCATATCTATGACATGGAGCCATTTTTTAGAAAGCGGCTTTGTTCTTGGCCAAAAACTCTTTCCACGTTGTTGGCTTCAGTCCCACCTTGCGCAAAAGGTCAAGGCTTTCATCGAGGCTCTTCCCAGCATAGTAGCCCGGTTCTTCAATAAAGAGATGGTTCTCTAGCATCTCCACGCCTAATGGGGCTGGGAAGAAGCTTTGAAATGTGTCTGCATCGAGCTTCAAAAAGTTTGCTTTCCCACCAGTGACTTCTTCAAACTCTGCGAGGATACGCGTTGGTGTGTAGTAGTCAGCTGCGGCAAGAATCTGTTTGCCCAGGACATTCTCCCGCTCCTTGATTGAGGCAACGACATATTTACCTGGCACAAAGTCAATCAGTCAGCAGGGGTTTCTCCAGGCCATTTTTGGAGACTTACCCATATCAGCTTCGATGTCGATGAGAGGGAACAGGGCCTTGTCGCCAACAGGATAGGCGAGAGTATACTCTCCATTGTCGCCTTTGCGTATCATTTGCAGCGCCGTATAGTTGCTCATAAAGTAGCCAGGCAGCACAAAGGTACTAGGAATGCCCTTGGAGCGAATATAACGCTCTACCTCTGCCTTCCTATCGAAGTGAGGAACGTTGGTGAGACGGCCGTTAGTGGTGTCCGTTACATGGAGCAACGATGAGAAAATCAGGTGCTGAACTCCAGATTCATGGCAGGCGTCTGCAACAATTTTTCCGTGATCCAACTCTTTGTTTTCGCGGCCCGTGAAATCAGGGATTGTCACGAGAAAGACGGTATGGGAACCCGTGACGGCTTGTAAGACTGAGTCTTTGGAGTCCATATCGGTCTTTGTCATGTTAGTTTGTAGAAGATATGTAAAGGTGGTTGAAATGCTACTTACCGCAACGACCTCAACACCTTTAGCTGCAAGAGCTTGAGCGGCTGGCTTGGAAGCATCACGAGTGACGCCACGGATTGTAAACTCTTCTTTCAGTGAGGCATCAGACAGCACGGCTTCAATGATTGAGCCACCTTGCTTTCCAGTCGCTCCAAATATAGTCAAGAGCTTTGGCATTTTGACGTTTGGCTTTTGGCAATTAAGAAAGTTTAGGTATATTTTAAAGAGGAAGTCAAAGGGCCGCAGGTTTGAGAGGTCAACAACTTGAGCAGATGCAAATTGGATTTTGAACAAGAAAAGCCAATGGATCTAAGTTGTCCCTATCATGTCCTTTTATATCCAGAACCCAGAAGTGGATTAACGGCCATCTTCGGGCTGCGGTAACACTCGTAGGAAACCAAGTTACGATGACCAAAGCAATCTCCCTCTCGTTGTCCGACAAAGACCGAATGCATTGATATGGACTTCTCCACAGCCTGAACAGAGTCAACTTTTACATAATCGGCATTAAGGATAGACGCTACACTTCATTTCCGTTTATCAAGACTGAAAGATCAAAGTGTTGATAATCAGATAGTTGTATAGTATCTCAAGCAAGTTTAGGGTACGGCATTGGTGGACTCCGGTGCTTCAAGTTCGCGAATGCAAGAAGTGTATTAGGTAAACAAGTGGACTTGATAAACGCCACTTTTGCCCCTTCGTTGTCCGATGAACACCGATTGTCTTGCATGCTCAAGTCAGACAAAGGGCTCCTACGTTGAGCTTCCTATCTAAATAAGCTTAATGTGTGTTATAACCTAGAATCATGTTAAGTTATACTTTAATAAAGTAAGTTTTCGCGATAGCATACTTATTGTAATAGTTTGGCTTGGTTGTTCTACACGATCTTCTACAATTGTAAAACCAGCACTGTTCAGCGACTATTTGATCGCACGGTGTCGCACAAGTCTACGCAAGAAAAAGTTGTTCATGAAGCAGCCACCACTTACATCAGCCAGTGGATTGTTTGATCGGCTGCGATCGTGTCCGTGTCAGCCGGCAATTTAGATTCCTGCACAGATCGCAACGCCGCTATCTGGACGTGGTGGATTTTGTTGTCGGGTGTTAGTGGCATATTCTACCGTCCATCATATCGCGGACCCCGAAAATTGCCGGTTATGGAAGATTTAGTAGCACAGAATGCCATCACATAGCGCAACCATTGCGGTACATAATGGCGTATTTAGACCTACTGTCGTAAATTTTGATTGCAACAATGATACTTACACGCACTCGTTGATCATCAACGCTCAAGCTACTTCAACGATGGCCAATAAACTTCACGATAACGTGTCTCGAGTGAAAAAGTTCAATGTTCTCGGGACAGCGACCTTCATCGGCCTGCGCGCAGCAGATGTCGCTTTTCAATATACTCTTTTGAATGACGGATGGGCATCAAAGTTGGTGCAGACTCTGGGGGGACGGTCCGTGGAACTGGCGCAACTGAACTCAGCCGGGCGAGGCCTTCAACCGTATTACACAATCATCGCTATGATGGCCCTCGGTAGCAGCCTGAAGCAGATCATCACAATGCTTGTTGTCTCGGAGCAGGACACGCCAGTATCATCGGCCATTGTAATTTCTCTATTCAATACTGTATTCAACTCACTCAACTCACTGTTCTCGGTCTGGGATGTTACCTCGAGATCTCCGCCTACGGCTGGTTCTATCCTTGGGTCGCCTTCAATCATCGCTGGTCTCGGATTTTATCTCGTCGGCATTTCCGTTGAGCTGCTCTCAGAGCTCCAGCGCACAGCTTTCAAGAAAGATCCCGCCAACAAGGGGAAGCCTTACGCGGGGGGTTTATTTTCTCTCGCCACGCACATCAACTATGGCGCCTACACTATTTGGAGAGCATTCTACGCCTTTACTTCTGGAGGCAGTCTCTGGGGATTCGCTGTCGGACTCTTCTTCTTTTACGATTTCGCGCATCGTGGGGTGCCTGTTTTGGATGAGTATCTTTCCCAAAGAGTAAGTAGCTTGGCCATTGTCTTCAACGCGATATGAAATTGACAAAAGACTTGTAGTATGGCAGCCAATGGGCCACAATTAAAGCACGCGTCCCGTACAAGTTAATCCCCGGTATTTATTGATAGTCGACTTTTCTTTAACCTAACATGTGTTGCCGGCTGGAATATCACGCCAAGGTGTCCATAAAAATTGATTCAATCAGTTAGCAAGATGGATCTCTCAGCTGTCTCATTCGCGTCTTGGATGAAATCGCGAGATGCCGAGGGATTTGGCGATTTCCAAACTGAGACTAACTCTATTATTTAGTCAGCATTTACACTATAGTCCCTATCCACTTATTTGTCAGCAGAATCATCATACAATCTCCTTACTCTGACATTCACGGCCTGTGACACTAAAATCGGAGCTCCGGTCTTTGTCAAGACATTCTGTAAGCAATTGGTTGGCCAGAACCTTGTAAATTTTGGCTTTGAATGAGATCTCTTGGTTACAACGCGGAACATGAATACTCGCAGTCGTTCGCTTCCTAAAGCTCTCATGTCCTGTATGAGCTGTCGAGATCAGAAGCTGAAATGTGATCGCTCACAGCCACGTTGTAGCCGCTGTACTAAGCGAAACGACAAATGCACATATCCAACTACAAGAAGGCGTCAAGCTGAGCCTAGGAGAACTATCCCAGAGTTGGAAACGCGACTAGGTAAAGCAATTGACTCTGACTAAACTCCCGCTGCTAATGCCATGACCCAGCGAGCCTCGAGAGTATTGTGAAAAGTTCTCGAGATGATAGGCTCAGGCGTACTTCAAAGAACGATGATATTATTGAACCGTTCCCCGATGAGAGTACTCATGATGCCGCTAGTAGAGCGCATTCGCCATTAGATTGTGAGGCAGAGACAGAGTCTTCAGCTCTGCCATCATTTGAGACGAGCCCCTCAAGGCAGATACCCGATGCTGGTCGTTTAGAAGATCTGTATGCTTCTTCTGTTTTATGCTTGGCCCGTGGCGTATTTCTAATTGACATTGTAGGACCAGGATTTATTTCGACAAATTGCACTATGGAGCGCCGATGCTTCGTCGATCGAGCTTCTTATCAAAAGGCTTGTCATCTAATATGCGCCCACCAATGTATCTGCGATATATTATCGCGGCTCTAGCAGCATCTATAGTGGAAAACTACCACAGTTTGGCCTTGACATTATATCATCAGGCTAAGCTATGCATAGAGGAGGAAGAGTTAAAGGTATGATGAAGAAACAGCATGATGGACACCAATGTTAACGATAATACAGGATTTTAGTCCACAGCCTGTTACCCTAGCCCAGGCACAATTCTGGTGCTTGATGGCCAATTTTGAGGCACAACAAATGCTCTTCTCACGGGCCTCGACGAGTCTGAGCCGCAGCCTCCGAATAGCTCAGATGCTACGCCTGCATCAGCTCGACATAGGTGATGGAGAACCGAAGAACCGGCCAGAATTAGAAGAAGCGCGCCGTACATGGTGGGTCATCTTTTGCTCCGACCGCTTTGTTTTAGGGTCAACAGGGTGGCCTGCCATGATAAACGACGATGATGTAAGAAAAGCTTCATATTCGTTACATCCAATAACCATCTGACGCTTCTCAGACATCCACTTTTCTTCCAGCATCAGAAGAAGCCTTTGAAAGCGGTGTAGGAGAATCGACAGGCTTTTTAGGCAACGTGCTGCAAGCACGCTGCAACAAATACTCGTCATTTGCGGGGAGAGTGCTCGCTGCCCACCTGTTTTATCAAAGTGCGAAGCATGTTTCAAGCCATGTGTTAGATGAACACGCTACAGACATTCGTAATGGCTCATTTTGGATGCGGCACACTATGATCGACAACGACTTGGCGACTTTGTTGATGCGTTTGCCAGAAAATCTGCAGCTTCCAAGGAGTCTCCAATGCCAGAACGCCCTTTTCACAAATATCATTATTCACACGACAATTATATGCCTCAACCGGGCGGCTATACGAGAGACGCGACGATTGGCTCTGCCTTCACTTCTACTGAACCGCAGCCAAGCTCGTCTATTGAGCGCAGCAGAAGAAATTTTTAATATTCTCCGAGAGATATCAGAAGTGGACGCTGCGTTCAGTAATCCATTGCTAATGTATTCTGCTTACGTGGCTTCGTCTGTCTATCTTGACAAGTCTATTGCCGAGCGTGAAAGACAGGCAGAATTTAACTTGACGTACCTTCTTCATATCATGATAGCTCTGAGCAAAACTAACCCAATTGCTCGATCGCTGGCAATCCAGTTGGCAGAGGATATGAAGAACGTTGGGATAGATTCTTCTGCAATTGAAACAGTAAAGTGCTATCCCCAATACCGATTTGGCCTCTACTAATTACGCAGCAGGTAACCCAATCGCCCATGGCCCCCGCTCTAGTTCCATTGTTTACAAATGACGACCCAAGTTCAATGATTCTATTCTGCTCCAACCAGAACAATTCGAAATCGCAACACGCCACGCCTATACCGCCAGATTCTAGATCTGATGGTTTGACAAGAAGTGCCGCTGTGGCAGACACGGCAAATATGACACCCCAAGTGTCACGAGCTAGGGAATCGGCCACCAGTTTTGCCGCAGATATTGAACCACCAATTCTCTGGGTGGATATGGGATTCGATATGGGATACGTGGCTTGATGATATATGAGTTTTACTGCATAGAAGCACCCTTTCTATTATCAGATCAGTTGGAATATCACATTCAACGTATTATTTGATACATAATTCAATTTACTTTGTTATGGAGTCGCAATGGACTTGGTTAAAGCGAGTTCTAGAATAAACAAGCTGGCTTTACTTTCTCTCACCATCTAGAACTTGCTTGATAATGCAAAGAGCATAAACTCAAATTTTCGAAAATGAAACCACACGAGTCAATAAGGCAACTGCAAGGGCTCATTTGTGTCATCGAGGTCTACATCTTGCATCTCAACAACTTGCTTTGTAATTATGGGATTGGAGTCAGTTAATGAATCCAAAATCTCAACATAGTCTGGGACCTAGTCAGTTGTTTTCAAGCAACTTACACAAAAATCCGATTATTAATCCTTGAACGAATCGGAGACTTTATTACTCGCCAACCTCAACCCAATGTAAGACGACGTGCCAGAAGCAGCAACAACTGACTCGCCCGAGCTGTTTTCAGGTTGGCCTTGAATCAAGCTTAATGACAAATGGATGTCTTATTACAGCTAGACCTGAAGATTGAAGCTTAATTTACCACTCAAGCGGCAGCATTTATTTGGATCATACTAATCATCCTATCTTGTATACTAATCAGAAAAAGCGAACGTGAAGCAATCCAGACACTTATTCATCTCATGCTTCAGATTATTTAAGTAGTAGTCAATCCATCTCATATTCATACATTCGAAAAGCAAAACATTCTTTCTCAACTACAAACTTCAAACACAAAGGACAATATGAGCGAAACAATTAAAGTTGGTGCCGTGCAGGCAGAGCCCGCCTGGCTTGACTTGCCGGAATCTGTCAAGAAAGTTACATCTCTGGTTGAAAAGGCTGGGAAAGACGGAGTGAATGTCTTGGGATTCCCAGAGCTCTTTGTGCCAGGATATCCATGGTGCGTATCTTGTGACTTGTAACATCAACTTGGACAGGAAAACTGACGTTATTAGGAGCATCTGGACTGAGCCGTACCTTAACAATACGGGCATGTTCCACGAGTATATGGCCAATTCTCTTGTCAAAGAGTCGCCTGAAATGGACCAAATCCGCGAAGCTGTTAAAAAAGCAGGCATCTTCATCGTTTTGGGCTACTCCGAGAGAGATGGTGATAGTTTGTACATTGCGCAATCTTTCATTGATCCTACTGGTACAATTGCGCTGCACCGCCGGAAAATTAAGCCGACTGGTGCCGAGCGCGCAATTTGGGGAGAGGGACACGGCGAAGAGACTCTTATCAACGTTGCGGACAGTCCCTTTGGCAGGATCGGCGCTCTCAACTGCTGGGAACACTTCCAGCCTTTGCTGCGTTATCACGAGTACAGCCAGGGTGTTGATATTCACATCGCAGGCTGGCCCCCGTTCTTTGCCAAGCCGGAAAACATACCTACTCTTTACACCTCAACGGGCGAGGGAGATCGCCTTGCCTGTCAATTCATGGCCATGGAAGGAGCCTGCTTTGTCGTTGTCAGTACCCAAGTAATGAGCGACAAAGGCAGGGAAAAGTTGAAGCTGGTTGGCAGCCCGCATGTGCGGACGCCTGGAGGAGGCTTCGCCATGATATTTGGGCCTGATGGAACGCCGCTGGTTGACCCTATGGATCCGGGAGAAGAGGGTATTCTGACGGCAGAGATTCAGCTGAGCACCATTGACTATGCAAAGCAAATGCTTGATGTCGTCGGACATTACTCTAGGCCCGATTTGCTGAGTCTAAACGTGAATCTGAAGACGGCAAAGCCAGTGCACTACGCATAGGCCAATTGCCTTTGGTCAAAGGTGAACATGAATCAGGCAGCTCTCTATGTCATCTTTGGATAATACTTGGCTTCTTGAATAACACACCCCTGTTGCTTAAACTAGCAGCTTGTTAAGGATTCTTGGGCTCGTGAATCCTCTTTTTAGAGCAGAAGGTGATAAAATAATATGTTGAGATTGTAATATGGCTGATGTAACAACAATCAATTACTAATATCTCCCATCGGCATAACTTTCTTCATGATCAGAATACTCTTGGTTGTAACTATACTCATTATTACCATACTCCTCATACTCCTCGTCATTATCATAATCCTTATTATCCATGTCGTGAGTAAAATTTTCGGACTCATGCTGCCTCATTGGTGATCTAGGCTGTGTATGCACATGAGGCGAAGGATTCTGCTTCAGATACTGAGCCTTGCCTTGCTGTGATGGAGCCCCCTGCCCCTGGGGTTTTCGTCCGGGATTTCTCGGCGGTGAATATTGTTGTGAAGGCTGATATGCCCCACTAGGCGGTCGCTGAGAGTATCCTTGTGATGAATCATGGTCGGTATTTCTTTGTCGACGTGGTGCATTATTTGCGTTGCCATTCCCGGTCGAATCATAATCTTCGCTTCTCTCGCGATAAACCCGGTCCGAATTTTTTTGCGAACCATCATGCCTGGTAGAATAGTTCCGACGCTGGGCCTGCGGAGTTGGGGGATTATAAACAAATTTGTTGCTCGGATCACTGGGGTCGTGATAGTCGTTTCGAAGGCCAGAAGTATAAGACTGATCCATGTCACTCCCGATGGCCTCGTGAAGGTAGGCATCAAACCTCTTGACGGCATTGGCAACTTCTTTGAATTGCTTGTAGTTGAGTGGGAATGACGTCAAATGAGGACCGTCACCTGTGTTTTCTCTTTTCACAGATGCGTCGGCATGATCCTCATCCAGGTGTTTCATTGAGGCTTCCTGCATGTCAAATTGTGCAAGGGAGTAAGCAATCTGAAATGCGTTCCGGATCTGTCTACCGTTCCATCTTTCACTCGGCTCATTCCTGTCAAAGTGCGATGCTGCAAACGCCAGGATGGAATCACGGTCAATCTCCAAGGTCGGACACTTAGAGCTCTTTACATCCCCATCGTGTTGAAATTTCTCCTTCTCCTTTTCGATGTTGGTGAGCTTGCGGATATTAACATCAAAGATTGCGAGAGTTTGTCTCTTTCCCAGTGGTGGATAATACAAGCTGACATGGATGCGAGATTTGAACGCTTCATCTAGGGTTCCAACCCGATTCGTGGTAAGGAAGAGGATACCAGAATAGTATTCGAGGACACGAAGGAATACTGAAGGAATAGTCAGAAGAGGAGGCATTATAAAACTCAACTTAGACATGCTTACCTGAAACAAGGGCATTTCGATTCAAGTCGCTCACTTCCCGGCGAGCAAGGAAGACGTCCGCTTCATCGAGTAGTAACACACAATCCCAAGTGTGGGCCAAGCGAAATATCTCCATAAGCGATTCCTCCACTTCTTTGGGAGTAAAACCGAGATCGCCACACGTAATTGTGAACAGGGGCTTCTTATTGGCAACAGAGACAGCCTCGGCTGTAGCAGTCTTGCCCACTCCAGGCACGCCATGAAGCAGGATGACAAGGCCAGAGCCCTTGCCTCGAATCAAGTCTTGATGCAGGCGAGCGCGTGGCTGTTGTTGTTTCCGGATATTTTGAGCTTGAAAGTGCGTTTTCACTAACGACTTGACTAGACGTTTATGACTTTGGTCTATTTTAAGATCGTCAAAGGTGTTCTGCGATGCAGGAATCTTTTGCAAAGTATTGACATCAACCATAACAAACTTGCGCTGTCGGAGGGCATATGCGATAGCACGGCGTGGCAAGAGGCAGACGTTTTGCTCTTCGACCTGTGGAACTTTTCCTACTTCCCAATCATTGGATAGTCCAAAGTCTTTCAAATGGCGGATTTTCAGGTAGTTGGCGAACCATTCGTTTCTTTGCGTGACCTCCTCAATATCCTCAAGAAGCTTAGACCGTGACTCATCTGCCCAGTGTTTTATATGAAGCTCATCCGCCCCGGAGTGCCAATCTTCATCGTGAAAATCATCAGGAATTCCAATGGAAGACGCGTAGAGAGATGAGTTTGCCTTGTAGCCCTCTGCAAAATCAACAATAACATCGCTATCAATGTACTCAGAAGTGATTTGTTGCTTAGAGTCGGACTTCTCTATCGGATTGCAGGTGAGCGTCCACCCGTCATAGTAGAGATGCGGTTCTTTTATTACGCTTTGGAATTGTTTGCCCTGGGCGTGGAGCTTGGCCACCATCTCCTGAGAGTCTTTTAAAAAACGCATCGGGTAGATGCTCAGGGTCGAGATATCCTTCTCACCCTCATAAGACTCAATCGTAAACAGTCGATCGACAGGTCCGTACGACGAACCATTATAGTCCATGCAGTAACAGTAGAGATACAAATCTCGCCCAGGATCCGCGTTGGTGTCCTTAGGGTACTCCTTTTCGATACTAGTGACCGCCATGCTATAAAGTCTCCAGACAATTTGAGATGCGCTTGAGGCCGGTGCTTTTGCTTTTCCTGAACCCTGTAAAGAGTCGGACAGTGGAGGAGTATACAGGAGCTCTCCTGTTTGAAAAGCCATCCAGAGGTTGTTGCAGCAAAAATTACGCTGATTTGTCCCCAAAGCTCGCTCCCAAAGAGGCAAAATTTCTTTTTCCACAAATTCAGCGAATCTTCTGACGTGCTTGAGCGCCGTAACCGAGTTTGCAATCGGTCCTTCAACTGCCTCCTCAGGGTCAATGGGACTTGTTGGTCTGCCAGGCTCAGAATTACTGTCAGCATCAGAGTCACTATCATCTTCAGATTCTTTTCTGGGTTTTGATAGCATGGCCTCGGCCTTGGGCTCTGTATTTGGCTCAGTCACCTGTTCTCCGCCCTGTTCATCGACATTGGCCCATCTCTGTTCAAGAATGTTCAAGCACTCTTTTATTTGCGGTAAAAGTAGTAGAATGTTTGAAACGGCTGAAAAAATGTCCGCGGTTTGTCGACTGACCAATCGTCGCCATGGCCAGTCAGGCGTGACAATAACAGGAGAATTGGCGGCGACTGGATTCGAACACGCTGAATCCCTTTCCGCTCGTCATCGCTAGCCGACTTCTTCTCGTATTTAAAGTCCCATATTTTCCCTCGCCGCCGACGAGCCTCGTGAGAGGCTTCTTTGTCAATATGCGGGTGGCCTAGCAATACTTCAATAATTTCCAAACCCTCCGTTAGAGAGTAACGATTTTTGAAGTGTTCGAAGTCAACCTTTCTAACATTGACGACTTTAGGCATCTTCTGTCGCTTTTCTTCCCACGATAACTCTTCCTCTTCCTCTTCGGATTCGGATTCGGACTTCATTGCAAGTTCGGAAGGGGGTTTTGCATCGCTCATTACTGAGTTGGAGAAAACATCCAGGGGTCTTTCTAATTTAGATGCATCTTCTGCTGACTCTGCCACTGTAGAATCGGCCATCTTGTAGCGTGATGAAAAAGTTTGGAAAAGTCTAACTGGATAAGTGACAGATGTATTGGTTATAAGAAGAAATCCCAAATTCAGGGGACTGGCGCTTACGAGAAATGTTGGGAGCAGGCGCAAGGAATTATGAAAGCAGAGCCTTGTCCTTGGCATCGCTCTTGCAGGGCTCATAGGGCGAAATTTGGGGGCCGCAAGCAGTGTGTTCCAATGAATTCGTTGCCCGCTCACAAAATGAATCAATTTGCCTCAAAATTGCAACCTTTGTCAGCGACAAGCATGTGAAGAACGCAACCTTGGATAGCGATAAGCGTGTCCTATTGGCGGTTTGCTTTGTTGACCTAATGGTTACCACGCAAGGCCGAAATGCAGCTTATCAGACTCAACAATATTGAACCAATCAATTCATGCCGCGTTGCCAACAGTCCAGAGCTGAATGAGGGGAACCCTCCATTACAGCTGCAATAGGCATCAGCCGTTCTATGCGCTCCTTCAAGACACGTGTCGCATTCCGCCAGCCGTCTCCAAAACTGAGCAAGCCCGCTGCGCTCGAGATGCTCAACGGCTGGTTTTACAAAACAAAATGGAAGGGAAACAATATCCAGGAGAGAGTGGTTCCTTGTATGAGTTCCATTATAAGCCTACAAAGTACTCCATCATAAAGGGCGGCCAAGTACATGTGGCCCTACCGCCTATCATGGGCTTGGAACGGAGAGAAACTAGCGACAAACAAGTCACCACAATTGCTGCTACCTTTATCGAATCCAAAGCCGAAGAGATTCATGGAGGGTTTGGAGGCTCCTCAGAGTTCGACCCAGAGCGTTCCCAATTTGTGCCGTTTCAACCATATGTGTGAGTCCGTCTGAGAGTAACACAACAGGCATTGGTCAAATTTGACAAGAGGAACTAGACAACTAGAAAAGTCGTTGGAGGTTTACTTTCAAACGGCTCTAGGTATCAACCGCGATGAGGAAACATGGGATAGCTTATGCGAAAAGATCACGGACACGAAAGCAAAATATAACGATAGTAAGAGTGGGATTTGGCATACCATATGGTACAAAATGGGTGGCTATAAAGACACCCTTGACGGATGGACTGCCCTCATACCAGATCAATATGGACTTGCTGTCGTCAAGACGGGCATCGCTGTGATTTTCAAGGTTTGTTTAGAACATCATTGAGCATTTCCTATGACGTGAACGTTTTCGAGACTCACTTTTACAAGCTTGCGGAACACTCAACTAAGAGGCGAAACCTCATCTTGAAGACCTTTGAGGGGTTACGGGATAGTTTGACAGCAGCTAGGCATAAACAGGAGAGCTTTCGATCCCACAAAAATGTTCGAGAATGTGCAGATCGTCTCTATCAGGCTATCGTCGACTCCATCGAAGACATGATACTATTGACGTCTAAAAAGGACCCCAGATGTTTGTGAAAACTCATCTGCATGACAAACATGACTGCCCGCAATTGTTCTAATGAAAATGTAGTTTTTCGATTCATTTCTAAACCAAAAAATAACCTGCCACCTCCTGATGCTGAAGAGATCTTGAAGAAAGTGGCCACAAGTAGCAAAGAATTTGAGGATGCCATCGGGCTAGCTCGAGACCAAACCATCGAAAATACCCAAGCAGTAGCTTACTATACCGGCACGAAAATTACCTTGGTCCATCGTGATGTCAGCGCCACGATGCGCAACACCGAACTTCTCTCCGGAAAGATTGACAGTTACGCGACCGAAATGGATTCTAGAATGCTTGAGCTTCGCCGTTTCATTTCCGAGGCGTCAAAAACACAACAAAAGCTCGCCGAGAACGCAATGGAGCAACAGCACAATCAGCTGGACAATAGAAATCTACTTTTACAACTTATCGAAGAAAGTGAGAAAACAATCATGATGCAGAAAACTTTTATCTCGTTGCTGACTGTTGATAAGAGAGAAAAATTCAGTTGCTGCGCTTGAATTGTCAGCATAATAGCAGGTCCAAAAAGCGTGCAGTGGTCAGCGAGAGCCGACTATTTGACATTTTATTTCCTCCCGACCCAAAACTACTCGTCCAACAATCAAACCGCGACTTGGAACGAGCGTTTCTGCAAAGAGCTGCGATCAAGGCACCCACTCAAGGTCAAGTCCAGTCGCTACTGAGACATCACCGGTTCCTCCGCTGGTTAAATCAGCATGGCCCTGACCTGGTGCTCGTGGACGCCAACATCCGCTTGCCTGGTCTCAACAAGCTATCAGCCGTATCGGTCTTTTGTGCAACTTTCGTCGCCAGCATCATCAAAGTCCAACCTAGTGAGGTGGTGATACAGTTCTTCTGTGGGCTGCACGATATGCCCAGAGATCCTTTATTTGGCCCCAACGGCCTTGTTCGTTCCATGATCTTGCAGCTTCTGATGAAGCTGATCAACATGAAGATCTTGGATTTGAACTTTATCAACGACCGAGACTATCTGATGGCGCTCGAGGAGCACAACCTGCATAGTCTTTGCGACACTCTTGATTTCTTAGTGAACCAGTTTCCGCCTGATACAACCGTTTATTGCATCATCGACTCCATCTGGTGTTTTGATAAAGAAAGGTTTTTTAAAGACTTTGAGTTTGTCATGCAGCATCTGCACAGACTTGTCAATAGCAAACAACTAATCCCCAATTTCAAGGTGCTATTGGCAAACCCAATGCAAAGCACAAGAAGAGTCAAGGGGATGTCGATCTTTCGCAATGATCCATCAAGCATCATTACTTTATCGCCCAATAACTTGATTCCGCTGGAAATATCCAGCAGGGTTATTGAGGGTTACCTTTTACGGCCGTCGACTCCAACGCCTCCTATGCGAAAGTGGGAGGTAGATAGCGATCAGGATGGTGAAGGGTGGAATACTGAATAATAGATTTGATGATATTTAGGTATCTGGAGGAAAGTAAAATAAAGAGAAGCAGCAACATAGTAAAATCGTGAAAAGTAAGTTTATTTAGGTACTTAATAGACCATGTTCGCTTATCTAGGTAGATTTGGTGCCAAGATAGCCAGTCCCAAGCTGTGCTAGATCCTGGGGCAAAATGACTGGGTATCGAAAAACTTTGTGTTTCTGAGAATAGAGTCTATATTCTTCCTATTAGTCCTCCCATCAGGATATATGTTCTTTATGCAGCCTCCATTTCGGCAAAACCTGTTCACTACGCGTAGGCAAATTGCCTTTGACCAAAGGAAAACATGTATCAGGCCACTTTCTATGCTATCCTTAGATAATGCGTAGCTAGCTCAATAAAACACACTTGTTGCGCAAACTAACATCTTGTGAAGGGTTCTTGGGCTCGTGGAACATCTTTTAGATAATATAACATGTTGTATTTGTATCAAGTTCTCAGTAATCTAGAACTTGAGAAGGCGTATTCACTTCTTTTACGAGAAATATAGGACTAAGACGATCAATATCCAAACGAGATGCGCCATGGAATCCCACAAGAATGCCGTTGCCGCATTGCATGGTTTCAGAAGCGCCTCCATTGCCACCAGCGCTAAATGTTGATCCCTTGTCCGTAGTAAATTGAATGCGGTCCGTCCTCTCAGCACCCCAAATGATCATATCAGTCACTTTCTCGACCGCCTCGTTCTCGTTCAATTTAAAGCTGAATCTACTGTGGTGTAATCCGCGGTGATCCAATGTTCCGTAGCAACGGCTAATCGCCTGATCGCTCCAAGTGATCTGCATCGAACGCAGCACTTGCGAAGAACCCGTTGCCCACGAATGAGTTCCTCTCCAAATATCAAGCGACTGTATGAACAGTTTGTCGTCATCTGCTCTGCAAGCCCAAAAGGGTTGTCCACCACATCCACCAACGGGTTTGTTGATCACAACGTTGCTCGCGTTGGATGTGTGAAACTTCTTCATCAATGGTCCAAGTCTGTCGATGTCTGTGCCAGACGCTCCAGTAAATCCCAATAAATAGCCACTACCAACATCTAATATGATCTGGTTCCCACCCAAACCCCCAGCCGTGAATTCTTTGCCTTTATTTGTGGAGATTTCAATTCTGTCGACACGTTCGTCCCCGCAAAGGACAAAGCGCGTAATTCTTTCTCCAATGTCCAATGATAGAATTTTAACATCACCTTCATTATTACCATAAACTTGGCTTGGCCGATCAATATCTCGCCAATATAATCTGATTCCGCGCAAAATATTCCACGGCTGAGGTTGATTGCTGACCCAAACCTCGATTTTGCAAACAGGAGTATCAATATTGGATTCATTGGTGTGAAATGTTCGACCGCCGCTGCCACCGATAGAAGGATTTGGGACTATGTTGTCATTTTGAAATGCCCTTTTTCATGACAGTTACGAGTCAAACTAGCAAGCTGTTTACCGAATCCAGAAAGACGTGGATTTAATATCTGGAACAGCTGGTTGCAAGCTTGATAGTACAAAGCAACCTAGGTTGACTGGTCGAACTATTGGCCACCGATCACCGCTGTCCCTGGCTTTCCGTCTCCGTTGTTTATCCGCTCCGAGAGAATGGTTCGTTTTTGTCTAATCAGATTAAATCATGCAGGATTTATCGTATAAAATAAAAAAATAAAGAAACGCCAGGAATCGTTTGTAATTGTATAATAACACTCCAGCTCATGCAAAGTGCGGGGGAAGTTGAGGAAATCCCTCAGCCGCTATGCGCCAATTACATCTGAGCCTTGACACGTACGACGCATCAACGAAGTCAAGGAGGCCCAATTCATGTACCAAATGGACAAGTTATTTCACAAGTTGGCGTGACGAGAGCGGCCCAGGCTCTAGATAGGGAAGAATCTGCCATGCAGCTATCAAGGGCATATGCATAATTGTGCAGGACGTCTATGACTTGGTCCTTTTTGTACAGGTACGCTCCCTTTTGCTCTATTGTGGATGGCTGTGGCATCAAATAAGCCTGTCTGCCTTGGGATTCATATGTGGGACGTTTGCGCTCTGGAGCACTTGGCTTGTGATACTCGTCATATTTTATAGATAACAAACGGGTTGGTCGATGGGCAGCAAAGCCTGTCGAAAAGCGGTTGAAATGTCATTTCTCCTCTAGTTAGTCCGCATTGTATTCTGGGGGTGGTATTTCTCATGAAGAGAGATGCGTATGCTGTGCATTTGGCTTCTTGTTAAACTTGTAATGACTTTGCTTATAGAAGCATACACGTTCCGGGGAGTTAAATAAGAACTGGCATTACTGTACTGCCTGCTGGGTCCTAGGATGGCTCAGTGGGCATTGAGTCGGCAATGAACCGCTGCAGGCAGTGGATTCCTCCGGTAAATCCTCCGCAATGTGGAGGAACGGTGATGAGCGGGGGAATTTGGAGGATGATCTTGGGCGGTGACTTTGGTGCCGGAATAAATGGAATTAGGCACGCGAATTGTATTGACACTGTTCATTGTAATGAAGCTGCTCTCGATAGAGAAGATGCAAAATGCTGAGTAAAATCGCCCCAAGCGGCATGATTTAAGCACTGCTGAGTAAATAGCGAAGAAGGCTTCTCTTTGTCAAACTGAGTCGTGGTCATCCTTTCATCTGATTAAGCCTGTCACCAGTAACAAATCATAAATTCTCAAACATCATATTTCTTCTCAATGGCACCTCGTTGGACTCGCCTCATTCGGTTCGTGGCAGAAGAAGATGGACATATCCATCTGGGGCAAGTGGACGAAGACATCTTGGATGTTGGCCTTGCAGCTTTCGAAGGTGTCCCAATTTCCGCAAAGCTGATTGCAGGGTCTTTGTACGACGGAGTTGTCTCAGATACGACCATGACTGTCAAACAGGTCGGTCCAGACAGCTCTGCCCTTCTGACTGCGATACTCATCCAACATACCTAGCTCTTACCGCCAATCTCGATTGACCAAGGGAAAGTCATTCGCTGTCTCGGCCTCAACTATCGTGACCACGCCAAAGAGGCCAATATGGCGATTCCAGACGTACCGGTGCTGTTCTTCAAGCCTCCGCACGCATTAATGGGGCCTTGGCCCGAGAAGATTAGGATCCCAAAGTTTGCTCAGGACGGATCGAGCGATTATGAAGCAGAACTCACCCTGATAATATCCAAGACGGGCAAAAACATCGCAGAAGAGGACGCATTTGACCATGTGCTCGGCTACACGTGTGGGAATGACATTAGTGCTCGTACGGAGCAGTTCAAAACGAGTCAGTGGTCGTTCTCCAAAGGGCTGGATGCGTCTGCGCCAATTGGTCCCGTCTTGGTGTCTCAAAGTGCGATTGGCGATCCTCACAGTCTTAGCATCAGGGCTATATATAATGGAGCTGTTGTACAGGACTCGAATACCAGGTATGTAGAGTGTTGAATCGCGTAGCACATCTGCTGATGGGGAACAAATAGCCAGATGATATTCTCCATTCCAAAAATTATTTCATTCTTGTCGCAGGGCACGACGCTTGAGCAAGGAACAGTCATCATGACGGGAACTCCGCCAGGAATTGGATGCATGCGGGATCCTAAAATCTGTCTACGTGATGGCGACGATATCAGGGTCCAGATTGGAAATATCGGGACGCTGATTAATGCGGTCTATTATGAAAAGTGAACACAATACGCAGGACCGTGTAGCTAGATATGATTCGCTCAGAAACTATACAAGGGAATACCTTGGAATGAGATATGTTTTCATCGTGGATGACGGGGTAAGAACTAGAGGAAATAATCGGTCATCAATAGATTAATACCACAAAACAAGGTTTGAGACGCACCCAACGCCTCGTTGAAGGCATCGAAGAGTTGTTATTTCCGTAAGTCAAAATCTGAAAGCGACCGCGACACCGCCGCTTTGATCCTTTAGTCGACCAGCTTAGCAGTGCTAATCGCGGTTCTTTATGCCATATTGCATGTTATTAACAACGTGAGGAGCCCCGACTAACTCCAGGCTATGAACATAGTCTTCATTGACAAGTTGTGAGAAGATTGTATCTTAGAAAGGGCTAAAAACTTGAAAAGTTGGAAGAGCGTGCTGGAGGAGGGCAATCTTGTCATTATGAGTGACGAGGAAATAGTCACTCTGCAACGCGTTCCGTGCCAATTGGCTCCGACCTGGGGCATAAAAATTTGTTGACGTCTCGCATAATGAAAACTGTAGCACTTTACGCTTCTGCGCAGCGTTTTGGAGACGGGGATCTTCTTCCTATTGCGGGGGGCCGCGTATTATTAAGCCGGTTTCTTCTTCGCGGGCGGCATCTTTCAAGGCATAAACGGCGGGGCAGCAACAATCACCCCTTTGTAACAAACACGGCGATCGCCACTGATGCTGCCTGGATTGCTTCTCAAGGCGAGCTTCCGGATTGGATATGCCACGCGCTATGGAGTTTTATTCTACCACGTCTGTTGCCTGTTATACTTGCCGCAGGTAATATAGCCTCTGCAGTCTGCTTCCTAGTTCTGAATGTTTACAGCAAGCTAACACTGCACCTGGAATGCCACAGGCGTAAGATGAGATGGTGAGGCTACTGAAGTTTTATTTGTGTTATGCTTTGCTAAATCCTGTTACTGCTATATAGTAGTCGCGATCGACCCTCGTGCTCGTCATGTATAACGCTGGGGAGTGCCTGCTCTTATCCTCATTCTACGAGAAAGCCTGGTCCCAAGCCTGGTAAGGTCATCACATTATTTACCTTTACAGTTAATAACTAGATTAATTATTATCATGCAGGTAGTAGCAGAGCAACATCACACAATCGTCGGGGACCGAGGACGATGGGCATGTCAACTAGAACTGACGGCTCCATGCGTCGCTCCAATGGCGCTGTAACGGATGTTACCACCTGTACAGCCTCTGAACATACTCCCAATGCAACTCGCTCAGAGTCTCTAGAGGAAATATCCGGCGAGGACCTTGGGCGATTGACGCCAACTTCCAGCCAGTGGTCACGCGGTACCGCTACGGTTTCGTTGAGCCACCTAGAGTCCATATCGCTCTCTGATATGATGCATCCCTCTCACGATATACCCTCCTCCCAGCGATCACCAGATGAAGCATACACCGAAGCTTCCAGATCATCGGCGGAATCACATCTAGCTATCTGGGAGCTCCTCGAGGTTTCGCAGCAAGTATATGACGAACTGTGGGTGGCTCTCCTGGTATTTTGATACTTTGCGGCTTTGCTAACAGAGTTAATTGCGGATTAATCCAGCCTTCAAGCATACTTTCATAACATGTCGACGTTTTCACTATTTTACAAACCCGGGTTTCTCACCAAGTTAAGTGCTGTGTCATCCAATTCAGAGTCGGCTGCTCTAGTGTCGTCAATGTTCATCTTCTCTTCCCGTTTTCTTCACGACTCAAACAAGCGGGGGTGCTCAGAGTTTCAACATCAAGACTCCAGCCCGCTTCCAAGCCCAGAGACTTTTCACACGCTGGCACGCAAGTTTATCGCAGCTGCCTTGGATGAGTGCTCTGAAGATGCACCGCCTCTATGCGTCTTGCAGGCATTGACCCTGAGTACGTTTCATCAACTATCTCAGGATGTTCGAGGCTTGGCTTGGAGATCGCTTGGACTATGTATACGGGTTGCCTACGAGTTGAATCTCCACAAAATAGACGCTGAGAGAATTGCCAACCAGGACGACAACCCCACATACGACAAAGAGCAATGGATTCTGGACGAAGAACGCCGAAGAGCTTGGTGGGCAATATGGGAACTTGATGCCTTTGCCTGCACAATCCGACGGCTGCCGACTGGGCTTGATTTGACGCAGACAAAGACTTTTTTGCCAGTCAGTGATGAAGCATGGTTCGGAGGGACCTGCCAGCCCAGCTGCTGCTTGGATCCCGACCCAAAGGCTCGATGGAAGATGCTTGAAAACTGCGCAAACCAGAGTTGGAAGTCATGGTATATTGTGGTCAACTCGATGATGCGAGATGCTCATCTTCTCTCGTATTGTCGCGGAAGGTACGGCACATCTGGAACAATACGAGATGAGTTGAAGACTCTTGAAGAGTCTCTCTTATCGTTTAAAAGAGCTTTACCAAACCAACTGTCTTACTGCAATGAATACCTTGGCTTCCATTCCAAGACCCCAATAGAGACACAACCAACTCTAACAAACGACTGCGCTACGTATAGCCTGTATATGATGACGCAGTTAACAAAGTTTATGATTTACCATTACCAAATGTTCTGGGAAGGTCGAACAGCGGAATCAATATCTACTGCGGGCCTTGCAGAAGATTCGACAGACCAACAGTACCCACTACCGACATATACCGTCAACATTGAAGCTTGGAGCCGATATCTCGAAAGCGCCGACAACATCCTTCGCATGATACGAAATAGCAGCCCTTATCACGTTCGCTACGTGAACCCACTATTTGCGAGTACCATATGGCTTGCAGCAGTCGCGCAAATAGTAAGCAAGGTTTTTAACCCCGAGCCTTCAAATGCACAAACCTCACAATCCAAGCTTGAAGTTTTGCAGCACAACTTTGATGGCTATGTCTCATTCTGGGGCACCTCCAAGGCTCTGCAGCATAAGCTCAACAGTTTGGAAAGTCGTCTTCAGTGTATTCGTCGTCGACAAAGTAACAGCTATGAGCCTCAGAGTACAAATAGCAGAAACCCTTTGGCGAGGAACCAATCCCAAGGTCCGGCGAGTAGACAGTCTCTCGGAGTCAACTCTGGATATCAAGATCTTCTTTTAGACAATACAGCTGCAGCTTCTACAGGAGTAGACGTCCCACTCGATTCCACGGGTACTTTCTATTCGTGCGGTCCCTTTGGCTTGCCGGCAGATATTGTGAACAGTGCGTGGCCAATGGATCTGACCAGCATGAAGTACAATCCTTCTGATGTTTTCAATTATGACGCACTGGATTTTCTGAATTACTCATTTAATGGCTAGTCACAAGAAGACAAATATATGTCTTTTATTTAATTTTACTCTTCATTTTTCCCGCTTATAACATCCGTCTATTGTACTCTATTCATCTCCGGTTTTATAAAAAATATTCATTTCTGCGCATCCTGCTTCAGTCCATGTGCAATCCAAGCTTTGTTGCTAGCAAGAAGCCGCTCCAGCTTCTCAGGCTCATCCAGCACTTTATTTAGATCGTCGCCACTTGGGACGTTGTATCCCTTCTGCACTGCTGGCCGCGACGCCATTCTCTTGTGCCAAATCTGCAAGGTCGGAAACTCTGTAAGATCAATTTCAGAAAATTCTTTTCCAATGTCAGTAAAGGTCTATCAATCAAGCGATGGTGAAGAATGTAAATAGTATATGATGGCGCAATACTCACTTGCCGAGTTCACCCAGCACCAGAGAGCAATGTCTGCAATGGTGCATTTATCACCAACAAGATAGTTGGATCCAGACAGCGCAAGGCTGTTGTCGACCGTACGGTATAGGCGTCTTGTCTCGTTTTTGTATCTGTCGATAGCATAGGGAATTGGCACAGATGCCAGCGAGTAGCGGATGAAATGATTGGCTTGGCCCTGCATTGGTCCGACACCAGCATTTTGAAAGAATAGCTACAGAAAGAGCAGCGTTTAGTACAGTTTCGTGAACAAAGAACTCACTCCAAGGCCAGGCTGTAACAGGTTTTTTTACTCACCCAGTTATTGGTTTCATAATACTCCTTGCTACCCTTTGGGTAGGATAGCTTATGCTCTGGGTCATAATTGTCAATCAGGTACTGCTGAATGCTGCCCGACTCAAACAACGAAATGGGAGTCTTGTCTGGCAATTCATCCGTCAGAGCAGGAATTCGCCCATTCGGATTGATGGCCAAAAACCATGGTTCCTTTTGGGCCGATTTCCCAAGATCCACGACTGTTATGTCATACGGAAGGCCAAGCTCCTCGAGCGTGATTGAGACCTTGTGGCCGTTGGGCGACTGTGCTGTGAAAAGATGAACCATTGCTCGAGTTCAAGTCTCAGATACAAAAGTATGATGTATGATGCTGTTAGTTCAATCCAAGACAAGACATCTATGTGTATCTATCAAGGTATATATATATATATTATCTTGTGCGTATTCTGCCTTGTGCGTATTCCATCTTGCAAAGTCAATGTCAGGATTCTAATTTGCGCCAAGTTTCCACCACTGATTAACAATCTTCTACGCCTGTGGCGTAATTGTTAGCCTGTAGCCTGACGGCAACTCGAAATGAGAGCAAACTGAAGATACTACAATGTTTGAAGACGGCCAAGAATCTCGTAAGCAAGATGATTACTTCAGGCAAGCCTTATTGCCGGGCTATCAAAAGCATCAATCCTCCGAAACTAGTTGAACAATTCCTCCGACCCCTTTGGCTTGCAGTCACCAGACCCTTGTAAGGAGTTCGTCCGGCGCTACCATCGCTCAAAAACGCGGGGTAGCATATCTTGTAATGTTTGCCCAAATCTCTAGCTTCATTGGCGGGTGTAATCACTACTGGCTGCAGTTACTGTTTGCCGACACACTATACAATATTTTATAGATATCAATGCTGAATAGTAACATGAACATTGTACAGAACATTGGGCATAAAAGTAGCTGCGTGTTATTTTTTATGACTACATATGAGATATTCTGCTACCAACTAGCCTTGATCCAAGAAGGGTCAGTTGGAAACGACTCTGGATGTTGAATGATCCAGTCAGCAACTTCAGTACAAGGTGCACACCATATTCGAGCATCTTTAGCGACCAGTTCTACCACTTCTCTCATGGCCAGGAATTTCTCTTCGCTAGTCTGAAGTATGGGATGGAAGAGAAAGGATATGTACGCGTTGGACGCCACAGCGTCTTCCAATTGCTGAAGAAAACTCTCTTTCAAGACTTTAGGATCGAATGCATCTTCCTGGGCGCCGTAGAATTTCCGCAATCCAGAGAATCCGTTCATATAGAAGTACGCATCAGTGGTCTTCCAATGAAATGGCAGGATGACAATGTCGCGCGTAATTGCGGCCCTTTCTGCAGCTGGAGATATGTAGCGAATCCCATGTTTATGCAGGCAATCGTACGTGGTGTCGTTGATCAGGCCACCGGGAGGCCGAAAACCGGCATAATTTATTTCCAGCTTTTTCGCATCGGCAAGGCTCTTGTCAAAGATTGCCTGTTCCTCTTGCGGAGAGAGTTTGGACCACGTCTCATGTTGATATCCATGCCAGGCAAGTTCATGCCCGCGGTTAATGATATCTCGGCCAACAGTAGGATACACTCCCAGGCTCCAGGTCTCGAAGAAAAAGGTTGCTTTGACGGCAGACTCGTCGAGGATTTTCAGCATGCGCGGCAGCGCCTCTATGACGGACGAGTGTTGCCCAATTGGCTTTTGGGAAGGCCAGGTGCCGCTGTTTATTTCTTGAGCTTCGCCAAGGTTGTCTATTGTGAAGCTCACAGCTGCCTCAGCATTATTAGGCCAAAGAGAGCTGGCCATTGTTAACCTGATTCAGCCGATGTCGACAATAGTGCGAGAAAGATGGATAATGACGGCCCATTCTAATATCTCTAGCATAATTATTAAGAATGGCTGGCTATTTATTGGTTCGGCAAATGAGAGATACGTACGCTATGACGACTTACAATCTGACATGTAAGATATTTTGTCGCTACGTATATTTGAGGGGTCGACCGGTACATCTTTTGGCTCGAAACCTTGACGTTAGCAGGGCGGATGAGTTCCGGCACAACTAACGGAGGAATTCGCGGAGGAATGGACAAGTTTAGTCCAGCGTTGATCTCTCTGTGTACGCACCATTAACCTTCCTATTGGATAGACTGGCCTTGTAGGGGGTGCAGCTTGCGGTGCTGGGTACGGAATAGCTTGATTCTCGATAATATTAAAGACGGGTGGCGCTGATAATGATCTTGAACTGTTTGCCCGTCTTGCTTGATCTGCTTATTACTGCTTTTTTATCCACTCACATCAAAACCTATTGACTAACTAGAGCAAAATTGAGTTTTGGTCATTTTCAAAGGTCTAGTAAAATCAGATTGCTAGCCCATTGTCCTTTGGAATAAATCTCCCCTCTACTTCATTCTGCGCAAGTTAACTCACTCGCCAACATGCCTGCAAAAACATCTCTCCAGCCACGAGGTCTTAACCATCATGCCTATGCCACCTTGAATATGGACGAAACGCACCACTTCTGGACTGAAGTCATGGGTTGCAAGTTTTTGGGCGCGTATGCCTTCCAGGAATCCGGCCACGATAAGCCTATTCCAGACTCCTACGTGCATAGTCTCTATGGCATGTCTGACGGCTCAGCATTGGCTTTCTTCGAACTGGGCCATGGTTATGAGAAGAAAGACGACGGAATCCCCAAATACACAAAGCATCTTGCTCTGAGCTGTGATAGCAAGGAGCAGGTGAAACAATGGCATGAAAATTTCACTGCGCACGGCCTCGAAGTTATAGGAGAAATTGACCACGAGGGAATGTGGCTCTCGATTTATGTGACTGACCCTTCTGGCCTCGTTATCGAACTTACGCATCAATCGCACACGTTTGACGATAACGATGCCGCAGAGGGGTTGGAGGTTTTGAGACAGTGGCGGAAGGATAAAATTGCTTTGAAGCAGTGAGACTGACGCCTTTTCAATGCAATGATTCTAAAACTATTATCTATCATTTTTTTCCAAAGCAAATTAATTCACGTTTCTGCAGTCTATAGTCCGTTGTGTTGGACCATGTCGCACGATTAATATGTGGTAATTCTAGCAACTCAGTTTAACGGTGCTAGCTAGAAGTATTGTCTAAAGCAATAAGCTCACCTTCGAGCGAATAGAAGTTGGCAAAACCATGTTATTATCTCAAAGTGAAGCCCCAGACTCCTTGATCAGTGTAATGTATTGTTGGAGTAGTTTTCTCATCGTGTCCTCAAAAGAAGTACACTTCCACCCAAAAGCTTTTTCTGTGTCTGATGTGTCTAGTTTCCATCTTCTCGTAGGCAAAGATCCTGTACATTGAAGCAATCCACTTGCAACCTCGCCCGGGAAATGCTGTTGCGCAATGTCCAGTATGGAGTTCCACTCAATACCATCCGGTGTATTAGAACTCAGGATGTAGTCTTTGTTACCGGGCACTGATGGCTTGATCGCATCCACATGGGCGAGTGCAACATCGTCTACAAGAACAGGCACTCCCACAACCGGTGCTTCCATGACTTTACCTTGGACGATTGGCATAATCATGGCACGAGTTCCCACGAAAAGTGTTTCCAGATCCGTAGCCCAATCATCCGGGCCAAGGACAACCGAAGGAAGCAACTGAATAATGTCAAAGTGAGGTTTCTTCTGGGACAAGAACTCGTGAACATGCTTTCGGGCAAGGGTTTTGGATGCCCAGTAAGCCTCCATGGCATTGTGATATGGAGGCGCAGTGTCCGTGTTCAGGTCTCGTGATGTGAAGACGGTGTCGACGTCGCTGCTGGCGAGCCAAGATAGGGGAATCAAGGTGACAACTGAGGAAGTAATAACTACTCGACGTACGCTGGGTGTGTTGAGAGCGGATTTGAGCAGTGATGACTCCATATCAAGAGGCGGTTGGACAATATCTCGGATGTAGTCGTCTGTCTGTCAAACGTCTGTCAATAAATAATGCCGGCGCATTGCCAATAGAGCATTTGACGTGCCTCTTCAGCGAGTGGAGATGCAACATGGATGATTGCTGAAATGCCGTCCAAGACTGGATCAAAAGCTCCAGCTTTCCCCATGTCCGGTATGACCACAAATTCAACACCGCCGATAAGGCCGTCCATGAGAGGGTGAGATTTTATTTTGGAGATTTGTTCTTCTTTGCGTACGACGCCACGGACTCTGTAACCCTGTGCGAGGGCGATGCGCAGTACTTTGAATCCGATGTACCCTGTAACGCCCGTGATCTAGCATGAAGTTTAGTTGACAGCTTGACAAAATGATGACACGAATTCTTACTAGGATTGTTTCTTTAGTCATCTTGGAAAGTGATTAGGATGAATTGGCTATTTCGTAAATTTTATTTAATGAAGAACAGTAAAGGGTAGGCCGGTTGAAGAGACAATTGGGTTTGTTGATGGAGACCGATTGATATGGCTTGCAGGTCAAGAATATATAGCTTGAACACGTATCCAATTTAACATCTTGTGTCGGGCAAAAAGCCAACAGCGAGAATATCAGGAACAACAATCGTTAATTCCAGCGGCAGAAAACTTCTGGTCCATTCACGCTCGCTATTTGTAAGATCTTGATACAGCAGCAAAAGCCCAAGTGATCAGTGTAACCATCTAGATTAGTTTACGGAGATTGGGTCTAGGCTTGCGCTAGACAACGGCCGGGACCCCTGTTGTGGCACCTCGTTCGCCGTCCAAGAAGTCTTAAATAGCTTCTATGCCCGGAGTTCCGGGTACGCTCCATAACTCAACCTTTAAACAGTCAGAAACAGCATAGAAGCCTGGCAATGTCGGGACCAGCCCTCGTTGAATTGCGTTGCACTAAATGTGCCGTGACTTTTACGCAGAGTGCGTCGTTCCCATTTTCTTCCTTTACTAACTGGAACTAACTGTCATGTAAAGAGTCTTCGTTAGTACGCCATTCCAAGCGGTGCCTGGCAGATGTTCGCAGCGTTCCACGACAAAAATCGTGCGAGCAGTGCGTCCGTGCAAAGTCCCGCTGCACGTTGACGAGGCCTAAATGTGAGCGCTGTTTGGCCAAGAGACTATCTTGCTCCTATGTTTCGAGACAACACGGGAACCATGGGAACAACAAACGAAATACAAGACAGTGTCCAACTCCCAGCGCTTCAGACTCATCCTCTGCTCCTGGTAGCTCCAAAGATTTACTACTCACCCATAGTGATTCAGCATCCGTCTCTCCCAAAGTCCAATCCCCTGCCAACCTCGGGCCATTGGGTATATTTCCAGGATTAGTACAGAGAGCTGGGAACATTGAACAGCATGCCTTGCAACATACGATAAGAGTACTTAGAACATATCCGCGCATGCTATCAGCGCGGACGCAACTACCGCCATTTGTACATCATCGCCAGACAGAACAGGGTGCTCTGCCTCAGGCTCTGAAAACATGCTATGACATTCTCACTGCGAATGAGTATCATCATCTTCCTTTACAAGAAAGGATCATGAAAGAAATTGCGAGCTTAAATAAGACCGTCAGTGCGACTTTTTCCAAGATTCTTATTGACGCTAACCCAGCGCAGAGAACGCTGAAAAGCGCGGGAGACCTCCTTGCATCGGCTCAAGCCTTTGTAATCTATGCAATTTTATGCTTGTTCCCTGATGAAGATTCTGTGCGGTCCGAACTCAGTGAGGAACAACTCATCCTGGGTATATCCGAGTTTTCGCTGCAGCTAGCATCCAGCGGCTTGGCCTTGCACGAAGAAACCACCGATGGCCAAATTCCCCAATGGCACGATTGGGCAATCATGTCGGCAAAGAGACGCACGATTCTAACTATTTACATGCTCACTTGGGCGTGGTCTGTTTTGCGTAATTACCCTTCCTTTTACTGCCACGAGCTACAGTTCATGTTTGCGCCATCTCCAAAGGCACTTTGGCAAGCCCAGACCGAAGCAGAGTGGCTATCGCTGTATCGGAAGTGGTTTCAAAGGTGGAAGGGAGACGGATACAGAATTGGAGAGTTACTCACAATTCCACCAAAGCAGATCGATAGGAGGACGGAGGATTGGTTAGAGGAGGTTGATGAATTTGGCATGTTGTTAATGTTACAAGGTAAGAGTCGGCCTTGAATCTTGGCTCGCATTATAGCTCACACAACTCCAGTAAATGCTATTTAGGCCACGTCTCCATCCTTTCTAGGCTCCGCCAAGTCTGGGTCCTATCTGCAACAGATTGCTTCGCCAAACATCGGAGCCCGGAGTTCCGCGTGTAAGTAGAAGTATATCCACTTACGTGGGCAAGATGAATAATTGTTATAGCGGACAGCTATTTCCGTTTGCATTCTAAGCACTTATATTAGGATCTGTTGAAATATATAATATGTATTATATCTTGGGAACAGGAATCGAGCGTTCAGTTCTCTCACAACAGCTGTTACGCCACCTGATAGTCTTCTTCATTCTTTCACCTGATACTAGCCATGGCCGACTTAATCATCTATGGCGCCACTGGATACACTGGTCGACTTGCGTCCGGATTTGCCAAGTCTTACAATCTCCAGTTCACTGTGGCTGGAAGATCCGAGAATAAGCTCAAAGCCCTTGCTGCTACTCTCGACGTCGAGTATCGCGTATTTGCAGTTGACGACCCTCTGGCTGTCGACGCTGGCCTACACGGGGCGCGGGTTCTTCTGAACTGTTCCGGACCGTTTTTGCACACGGCTGAGCCACTCATTGAGGCATGCATTCGCAATGGGATCCATTATCTGGATATCGCCGCCGAACTGGACAGCTATCAACTCTCTGAAAAGAAGCATGAAGAAGCACGGCAGGCCAACGTTATGCTCTTGCCAGGTTGTGGTGGTAGCGTTGCTATGCTGGGCTGCCTTACTCAGTACATCATTGAGAATGTAGCCAATCCAGTCAGTATCGATATTGCCCTCCACATCGCCGGTCCCATGTCTCGAGGTTCGGCTATCAGTGCAGCAGAGAACTTGACATCAAAGTGCCTCAGGCGGCTGGATGGAAAGCTGGTGGACCAGGATCGTGGGCAAAACATGGACTTTGATTTTGATGATGGCAGAGGCGCTGTGTCCTGTTTTCCGTCAACTTTGCCCGACGTCATCGCAATATGGCGATCCACCAATATTCCGAACATCAGAACATTTGTCCACGCCGCAGGAAATGCTTTGCCCACTGGCAATATTGATTCCATGGCAGAGGGTCCAACGGCCAAGCAAAGAGAGGCCAACCCATATCATGTTGCCGCCACTGTAACTGCATCGGATGGCTCAATTACTCGTGCTGTCCTTCACACTGTCAATGGCTACACATTTACACCGCTTGCTTCTGTGGAAGCGACGAGGCGAGTGCTGATGGGAGAGATGCAGGCGGGATTTCAGACGCCCTCCAATCTTTTTGGTTATCGCTTCGTAGCAGTAATAGCCGGAACAGCCTTTCGAGATCTTTGAGCGCGTTAATCTACCGAGGCAATATTAAAAAGCCATTATTATAATTGGGTGGTGTCGTAAAAGAGAACTTTATTAGTTAGCATAGGTGTCAATAGATGTCGTTGATACCCACCGTTCATGATTTCGTCTACATATGCGATGGGCGAAAGATCAGTAGATATCCAAGGAAATTGCTGGCTATTTTCCGGAGAACTATTCTCATAATCAGCAACTTTACCTGGAAATTTCTTGGATTATAGAAGAGCTCTCTTACATTTGATCAAACGCAGCGTACGTTTGGTCGGAAATGGCACAAATATCTGTAGACATGATATTTCCCAGAATTTGGGAGCCATTAGGATCTTGCTGTTCTTTAGAGATGCGAGATGCCTGGTCAGGAGCTGTTGTTGGACATGGGGTGTTGCGAATGTTCTCTAGAAGAGTCATCAGCGCCTGGACATGTCTCGTAGACAACCAATGAGGCTCTGAATTGGCATCTATAGTGGCATCGCGCTGGCTGGCCTTTAAGAGAACGTTGAGCACGCTCTTCTGGAGCTCCTGGGACTTTGAATCATCTCGTGTCTCCTCCCAGATACTAAGTAGTAGCATGGATGTAAGAGCAGAGTGAATCATTGACCAGCTGCGCAGCGGGACAATACTCAGTGCTTGAAACTCTAGGAACCTTTCTAATACATTCTGCAAGCCCCTTTTTGCTCGAACGATGAGCAATCGATGAGCATCAGTCTGCAATATTGGGGTAGACTTGCTGATGGCAGGTCGACATAAGAAGCATATTGTAAATGAGGTATTAATCTGCAATGCAAGGTACTCAAGAAGCTCTCGTAAATTCTTGCAGAAATCTCGTGTTTGCAGATATGGTTGGGCACGCGAGCTGCAATCGTCTATTGATTGCAAGAGGCGTACAGAATGCTCTGCGTCTGGGTTACTCTCCGTCACTTCAAAGCAGATGTATGCGATAGAGCGCATGACTTCAGTGTAGGAAAGAAAAGAGCTGGAGATGTTGCTGCGGTGTAACTTTTGCACTTGAATGTTGGAAACGCTGGTTGGACGGCCATGACAAACACTCAAAAAGCAGTCTTGCCAAACAATGGCAGCCCTATGAGTTGAGATTAGCGAGACGAAGGGGTTTTCTAATATTTCGTTGTGCCTTTGTCACCCAAGACACTTTAGTGAACATACCATAAAGCCCTTCTGTTTCTGATATCCGATCCTGAATGGCCAGCACCATGTTCGGTGTGTAACCCAAGCGCTTGAGCGAGCCTCGCAGTGGTCCCTAAGAGGACCCAAGCACCATCGGATTGGCCAATATTCTGGAGAGTATTCCCTAGTATTAATAGGGTCTGTACTGCATCGAGGGACGGTCGTAACATATAGTTGACTAATTGTAATACTTGAAAAGCTCGTCTCACTTGGTAAAAGGTTAGTCTTCCGAGAATGTATTCAACACTTGCTGGCTTACCAAAATCTCTAGCTGCCTCGGATCGTTGAGTTATAGGCAGAGTTGAGAAATGGGCGCCACAGGAAAGGATAGCCAAAAGGAGAGCGACAAAGGCAACTCCGTCATCGCTTACCCAAGTATCCGAAGCATGTAACTTGTCCTGTAGCTGCCCAGCCGCGCAGCTTTCGAGGTATTTGCAGACACGGACCTCGAAGCGGTCGATATCAACGAGGAATGGCATGAATGAATATGCCGTGTGGCGGTAAGAAGGGAAAAACCTATAGTAGAAGTTGATAAGCAACATAGATTCATATAACAATATTGATACGTATCATACTGGAAGAGGGGTGAGCAGCCTCATTACCTGTGAAACTCTTCATTCTGGGGTGAGAGCTTTACTAGAGTCTCCCATCTCTGCTGAGTTGTTGGAACTGTAAACAGAGGATCGTTGCTAAAAGAGTTTTGAAGACCGAAAAACACGCGCGCGTCGCGAATACCAGAGGACGGCGGGCGATCAGCAACGCGCTGTCGCAGCATGGAGACGATGGAGTTGTCCCCCTCATATGTATCGTCTGCTGGCGTGGAAGCTTTGCCATTTGTAAAGCTGGGCGAGTTTTCTGCATTGGACTGGCTGTCTGGAGGTTCGAGGGATGGAGTAAGCAAGGTGTCATCTACGGCCTCTTCAGAGTCACCTCGTCGAGGGACAGACTCGTCTGCAACTGATGAAGCCCGCAGAGAGTTGTTAGCATCGGCTTGACGTCGTTTCCCACGCCGCTTGGTCGCTGAAAAAGAATAGGAGCAAATCTCGGGGTGGCCCCGTCTCTGGCAAGTGCTGCATGGATGGCCGTGATTGCAGCGGACTTTGCGCCGGTGGCAAGGATAGCAGGCCTTTTCAGTGGGTTTGCGTCTTCGGCGCAAGATGTGGTCGATTTCATCTCGGTCCATGGAGGTTATACGTGGGGAGGATTTGTAGGATTGCAGAGAGATTCTGGCTCCGATAATAGTTGAATAAGAGATGTGTGACGCGAATATCCCAAGACATAATGTTCGGCTCTCGGCGCCCGGCTACCTCGGCGACACGGACGGCCCCACGCAGCAAACTGACCTGTTCATCATTTTCTAGTGCAATTACTTGTGAATTGGGTGAAAGAGAGAGAGTTTTTAAAGAGTAATAATACAATCGTGTATTAGCTTACGTGCACAAGTTGGTGGTGCTGTCACGGACCAAATACTTGGCTCATTGGTTGTACAAATAACTCGGTCTCGGAGCATCTCGGTCTCGCAGCCATCAGTCTGTATATGACGACGATGGCATCCTCCCTGTGTAGCAGTGATTATAAAAAGAGACATGTTAGCGTGCAACAATGAAAAGAGCTACAGCCTATCAGGTCGTCCATCTCACTGCACAAGAGCATACACGAACCCAGCTACTCGGCAATTCTTCCAGTAACAAACCAGTCTCTACACCATCAATCATGGCTTCTACCCCAGATAGAGACCCTGAGCCTCCGCACTTGAGCTTCCGCTCCTTTGTGGACTCCCTCCGCGAAGACAACGACTTGGTCGAAGTCAACGACCCCGTCGATCCAAACCTCGAGGCCGCAGCCATTACCCGTCTCGTATGCGAGACCAACGACAAGGCACCGCTCTTCAACAACGTCCTCGGGGCCAAGAATGGCTTCTTTCGCATCCTCGGCGCTCCTGCTGCGCTGCGCCAGTCCAAAACTCAACGCTTTGGGCGTATCGCGCGGCATCTGGCCATGCCCCCTGACTCCAGCCCAGCCGCCATCATGGAGAAGCTGCTCTCGGTTGACTCGCAAAATCTAGTCGACCCTGTAGTGGTCGAGTCGGGCCCAGTCAAGGAGAACAGCATCGAGGGCAGTGACATCGATTTGAATGCCATCCCAGCGCCCATGGTACACGAGACTGACGGTGGCAAGTATATTGGCACGTTTGGTGTCAATATCCTCGCCTCGCCCGACGGCAAATGGGTCAACTGGTCCATTAATCGGACCATGGTCGTGGGGAAGAATACCATGACTGGGGCCTGCTATCCGCCGCAACACAACTGGCAGATTGTCAACAAGTGGCGGGAGATTGGGCAAGATGCGCCCTGGGCGTTTGTCCTTGGAGTGCCCCCTGCAGCTGCCATGGTCGCTGCTATGCCAATCCCAGACGGTATTAGTGAAGCTGCCTATGTTGGTGCCTTGAGCGGAGAGCCCTTGAAGCTTGTCAAGTGTGACACAAACGACCTCTACGTCCCAGCCAATGCGGAAATCGTGTTTGAGGGCACCATCTCAATCACCGAACAGGTTCCCGAGGGTCCGTACAGCGAAATGCACGGAGTCAACTTTCCCGGAGACTCCAAGATGATGCCCTTGTTCAAGGTCAACAAGATCACCTACCGTAACAACGCCATTCTTCCCTTGTCAGCCACGGGCAGATTAACCGACGAAACCGTGAGTAAAAGTCAAACAGTAACATTCCGTGTCTTTAGCTGACCAATTTGTAACAGCAATCCATAGGAGGCCTACTGACAGCCGCTGAGATCCTCAAGCTCTGTCGGGCTTCTGACTTGCCGATTCTACAAGCCAGTTCGCCTCTCATCTCTCAGTGTACCTGGGTCGCGCTTCAGGTTGATGGAGCTCGACTCCGGGCCATGAAGACCACTCCCAAAGAGTTGGCTGAGCTTGTCGCCAACGTGGTCTTCAATTCCAAGGCAGGTGTACCTTTCCATCGCATCCTTCTGGTCGGTGAAGATATCGACGTCCACGACGATGCAGACATCATGTGGGCATTCTCCACAAGATGCCGGCCTGGATTGGACGAGTATCCTTATGAAGATGTCAAGGGCTTCGCACTCATCCCGTACATGGGCCATGGGAACGGCAATCCCATCAAAGGAGGCAAGCTGGTCTGTGATGCGCTATTTCCCGTTGAATATACCACAGGCAGAAACTGGGTCAACACCAGCTTTCGTGAAGGGTATCCCAAGTCCCTTCAAGACACGATTTTGGCCAGCTGGGAGAAGAGAGGGTTCAGTAAGCTGGATTAGATACAGACATTCTCTGTATGATCTTTAGGTTCTATGTTCGCTGCTGGCATCAACTATGCTATTCGTCACAGTCAGCTAAAACTAAAATGAGATGGATTCCAAGCAACTTCAACCTGTATCATAGTCACACACGCCCTAATGAGCAAATTTAAAGACATTTGCTGAGGAAAAAAATCATGACCTTTCTGATTTTTATAAGCAGAAACAGTGAGGAACAGCCTCTAGTCATTCCTCCAATAAGCTATTGAGGCCTTCATTCTATGGCGATAATTGTGACGTATCTATGATCCAACTCATGTCTAAAATATTGAATGTCTCTACATCTTGTACTACCTCTTCTTCGGGCACGTTCTCCAGGATCGTCGTAAAAGACATGTCATTATCCCTGCTGCACAAGCAGTTACCTGCTGTATGGCTCTGAGTTCCGGCAGATCTCAATGTCCAGTTTAAACAATGCTTAAAGAACTGCATCATTTTCCAGAAATAATCGCGCCTCACTTGCCCATTCTCTGTCATTGATCCCATGGCCTGCATTTTGTCCTTGAGGGCCGTAAGATAGGTAGCAATGTCTGCGCAATCGCGCAATTGGCCTGGTTCTCCCACAGCAATGCCGCCAAGTGTGCCGGCAGCCAGTACGAGAATGGCATACAACAGCTCTGATTCCTGGAAGAGAATAGTTCTTTGGAGAGTTTGACATGGTAGAAAGACGTATTCTTTGATATAGTTTTGCGCTGCTTGCATGCATGAGATTACAATATTGAACCGCTGTAGCGATGAGCACCAATTGCAGCAAGCGAGATTGTCTTTGTTATGAAGGTTTCGGTGCTTCATAGGCGCATGAAGGCCAATCTCTTGTATATATACTTGTAGATGGAGACATTTCCTTTGAATCAAGCCTGCTAGAGTAAGTATATCGTACACACCATTGATAAGGGGGTCGGAAAATACGCACTGTTTGCCTTTGTCTCTGGTGGAAATTGCTGTACTAACTGATCAAGCTTCCCTCTAAAATTCCTCATCGTAGCGTTTATTTGGACATAATCCATATTGCATAAAGCCTCCTTGTTGCTGTATTGAAATAGCTGATCAATTTCCTCGGCCAGCTTCTGCAATTGCACAAAACATGACAGCAATTTGTCCGATGCAGCTTGTGGAATGCACGTCAACAGTCTACAGCATTCTGCGACATTGCTACTGTACTTGAAATGCGTTGGTTTTCGCATTGCCAATGCGATACTGTTGAAAAGGAAAAGCGAATGAGTGTATTGGCCGCGTAAAAGGTACCTCAGGCTTACCAAGAAGAAATATAATAACAAGCCACAAATGTTCGCATCGTTTCCACGATGGAATGATAATTCTCGTTATAGGTCGGCCACTCAAGATGCTCTCGATGTTGAATGAGAATATCCCTGAGAGATTCGTCTGGAGGGCCAAGCCTGAGCTCTACTGCCATTGTTATCGCCATTTGTGATAGCTGGTAAATCTGCTCTCTCGCGGAATGGAAATAATGGTGGTTCCTTACACATTGATATTAGCATAAGGATATCAAAATTAGTGCTCATCAAGCTTACCATGTGAGAAATACTAATAATCCCTGCAATAGATCAATATTTTTCTCCGCTCTCAGAATCACTCTATCGGCCAGCATCTTTCTAAACTCTCTTTCCAGCCGTGTTTGCAGATGATCTCGAGCACAGGCAGTGAGGACTGCAAGCAAGAGACAGGGTCGCTCCCATCGCAGACATTCCAGATCAGCCTGGAAAGGAAGTACTATGAGCGGAAATTCTGCCGAGGTGATAACGAAGTCTTCTAGCAGCTGATTCGCTGTATCAGCTGTGAGGAAACCCTTGGAAATCACGTCTTGGTGGATATTAACCAATTCTGCCGCAAAATCTAGCTCCGTACTTTGTTTGATAGCACTAGTTGCATTTATGTTGGTTGAGCTTTTGAGTTCTTTATTTAATTCAGTCTTTTTAGATATCGATGATATGAGGGTGACTAGGCCATCAATCTTCTCTTCAACTGCTCTTGTTCTCGATTTCCTGAGATCATTAAATTAGTCTTTACTCAACAAAATGAACGAATAGGCCTACGGTTTTGGTCTAGCTCGTCGAGGCCGAGCAATGGCTTGCTCAAAGATACATGCCGTCCCATTGATGCTACATCTGAGTTGGTTGTTATTGACTGGCTCTCGGCTATACTGAATGGAAAGGATGGATATCAAAATCACCTTTTACACAATAGGGGCACGTTGGTGCTGTCCGAATCCAGGATGCAGCGGACCTTGGAGCTCCTACAGGCCTCGCAAGATCGGCGAAGGTTGCCTGTTCTCCTGGCTCCGAAATGCGCAACTCCAGAGGCTGTGGTTGTCTCCATTGCCACGTGTTGGCTGCCACAAAACTAGAACAAGATTTTCTGTTGTCAAAAGTAGCCTGTGCAGCTTTATCAGCGTATTACGAGGGCTTCCAGCGAGGTGTCAACGAAAGAGTCGCGGATGCCCCTAAAAGATGCTACCGGAATTTCGGTACAGTGAGCGAGCGCCGAGATTCCGGAGTTCCTCTTTTTCGGCGTCAAGATGGCGCGCTAAATTAGTCCCTGTATCATTGGATTTGAACTTTGGCATTAGGTGATTTGCATCTCCATTATACCAACATTATACCAACCCATGAACAGGAGAGAAACTCTTTTTGCGTCCGTATTGTAATCACATATACAAGCAATCAAAGCTCCCTTGAGTGTATATCATTAAGCGACTCAATAGTCTTGTATTATTGTTCAGCTCCCTATGTACTCCTGGAACCAGCGAACAATTGGCTGGCTTATCCTGAATAGTAATCTAATAAAAGTCTCTGACCTTCTCATTACATAGATCCCACAGTTTTGCACCAGAGTTCCTTTGCAAGATTCCTTCTTCCACCTTTGGAACAGTTCCGCCAATCTGACCAAAAGGAACTACAAAGCACCCATTTCTTTTGGCAACATCCTCCGACAGCCCAGCGTAAAGCTCTGTCAATGCGCCAAATCGCGGCGGATGAGACATGAGATTATGAAACGCCTGAAGGTACCATGGTGCGTGGCGGGCAATGTCTGTTTTGATCCCACCCGGATTGAAGGCGCAGCTGATGATATCAGGGTGTACCTTTGCCATTTCGGCCGCGAGAATTGCGTTTGCAGCCTTGCTTTGAGTGTATCTCATAGTGCGGCCGTTGAAGCCCTGAAATTCCGGAGGGCCCAATCCCCAGTCCTCCCAAACTATGCCGTCTTGTCCCGGAGGTGCCACTGCAGTGCCAGAGCCAGCCCAGCACACTCTCACAGACCCCTTTGGCGTGTCAGCATTTCGGGCTGTTTGAAGCATGATTGGAGTGAGGTGGTGTTGCAACAAGTAAGGACCGAAGACGTTGGTTGCAAAGGTGAGTTCGTGGCCCTGCTTGCTCACGCTGCCTTCCGGCGCCAGCATAACTGCCGCATTATGCCAGATGACATCAAGACGCGTTTCAAGCTTCAGAAATGATTCTGCCGTCTCCTTGACACTAGATAAATCTGCCAAATCAAGCTTAAGAAAGCAAAGGGCCTCTCTTTGCGGTGAGGACCGTGGCCGCATTCCTAGAGGAGGCTCTGAATTCATGATATACTCGATAGCAATTTCTCCCGACTCTGGAGATCGCGAGAGAAGATAGACTTTGTTAGCATTGGCATGGTATAAAATCCTGGCCAATTCAAGACCTATGCCTCCAGTGCCTCCAGTGATGACAAAGACCTGTCAGGAAAATATGTCAGTAATAGTAGTATTAGAGGAATGTTGCTGCAGTCCTACTTTTCCTTTGAGGCTAGGTACATCCTTCTCCAAAAAGGTTGGTTTACTAGGGAAATAGGATCGTAGAAAGGTCGCCATGAGTACCTGAAATAGTATTTACGGTGTAGAAAGTCTGAAATGTTTGCATCATAAAGATTCGGGGTATGCCATAGCTTTATAGCAGGCTGTTGAATGGCGACTCTGGAATTTCGGACCAAAAATTTGACTGAAAGCCGGAATTCAAATCGCAAGACCAGGCATCGGAAACTCCGAGCGAAAGTTCAGTGCCGGGTGCTGAAACGGTCCGAAATTGTCAAACGTCATCCGCTGGTAAGAGTTTTAATTCGTCAATCCCCTTTAGTATCGTTATTTCCCGTACTCAGTTATGTGGAGGGATGTTCATCGCATTGGCCTGTTCTCAGTATAGTCGTAGTGTAACTTAAATCGAGAGGATCATGGAGAACATTGTGGTAAGATTGATGGGCACTCACGCAAGCTTGCTTATTGGAACGAATTTCCAATTGTAGCTTACTAAGTTATTTCACTTATCCAATATTGTTATTAAAATGCAAGTTCATTCATAATGTAGATTCCATTCTCAGAGTTCATGTATTGTGTACAGCTATCGTTTATCGTAGTATATCTTCAGGCACAATCGTAGTTATCCTTGATACCCGTCTTTCAAACTCGACAAATAGTGGCCACCATCTTTTTAGCTCTACACGGATATTAATATTTTAACCCTTGTTACTACGTGTTTGAGATCAACTCACGTTCTATTAGCAGCTGCAAAACGGCGCAGGATAGCCAGCAGGGTATGCACAGCAACTCGAAGGACAAGCAGCAGCAATCACCCACTGATTGCCGTTGCAAACAAGAATATCGTGAAAGTCATTAGAACAATCATATCCAGCACCACTGCATGCTTGGCCCGGGTTAGGTTGTGCCAAAACCATGGCAGCGAGAGAGCTGAGAAGTGTAAAAGATGAAAGTTGCATTGTGGGAGATTTATTTGATAGCGTTGACTTGGCGGTTGAGGATGTAGAGTGTAAAGTAATGACTAGAGAGTCTGCATAAAACAAGTTCAGGGAGCCGGCAAGGCCTTTTTATAACATTTTCTGCAATGCCTCCTCGTTCAACGATATAATCACCAGATACCCAGCTAGGAAATTCACAGAGGGCAGTCAATCAAGCCATACGCAGCAGCTGTAAAAGGGAATCCAACCGTTGATCTCTCAACCGCACCAGATCCTTCGTGCCAAGCATAGCCACTCGTCCTTCTACAAACCTGAAGTCGTGAATCCTATATGCATTCCTGCAATCAGCAATTAAAGCGACCATCCGCCTGCGACCCAGCAAAGTGAATGTATGTTGCCTGCCTCTGGCTGGAAGGGGAAAGGACTTTTGAATGCGCAGACATGAATGAAAATGTGCCAATAAGCTTTCAGCGTTTCCACAGCTTTGAACCAATCAGTCAATCTAAGCAGTGAGCTTTTGTGTCATACAGGAACACTAGAAATCCCATAACGATGCACTGCAACCCAAAGAGGCGAGCTCGGCATATCGGGTACGGCATATCGGGCGCTTTCACGGATATATCTGCCGTCCTGGGAAGCATTCTGCTTTAGCCTATTTTGCGCAAGCCAGTTATTTGGCCAAAATTGGTGTCTCTTAAGACCGCCAGAAATACAACGCAATTAAAGAGAGAATCAAGGTTAATTTCCTAATCAGTGCATGTTCCTTGGCATATGTTGCTTCCTGACTTACAGTTCTAATTTTCCCGACGTCACGGCCACTACGCCAGTATTTTAGAAGCCGGCAATAAATCTGAATTGTAATGACTACATATGTATGCGCTATTATACGAGACTTTATCTTCAATTGGCGAAGGATCTCTGTTCCCATAAATAACCCCCAATGAGATTGAAGCCCTCGCCTCGAAAAGACCCGCGCCAAATATTGCATGTTACCAACCACTCCACTTCAACACATCCAAAGGTAAATTAAAGATGACGTAAAAATACACAATGAAACCGGTAAGCTGACTTGACACCGACTTTCTTCTCAGGATTTCGCGTCCTGACTTTAATAGGAACTAATACAAAAAAACAGTCGAAGGATCGATCCCGAGTTCGGGTCCGAAATCAATCTCCAGGCTTTTAGGCGTGATCGGCAACTTTTGTGGGCCAATTAGAAATATTCAGGCTTGTCGACGAAAGGGAAAATAGAGCATCACTCAACGCCCAGTCCGCAATTGAAGCTCCGTCTCGTGGAACTTCGCGTCTTTCTATTCTAAACATATATTTCGTTGTGCTAGTCCAGATATTTTTGGTGCTGATACATGAGGAGATTATACGTTCTTAGATCAAATACGGTCGCTAATAGCGTAGAATAGGCATACAAACAGCGGATCGCTTAGAATATCCTAAATGACACATTGCTGCGCCCAATGCAAGATAGCATATGTGAAAAAAGAAAAAAACAAATTTAAAAAAAAAAAAAAAAGTGAATAAACAGCATTTGGTAGTAACTTCAATAGTGAATTAAATACACCGCGTTCCGGGGATTTGGTGGTCGGCCCGTCGTGAACGTATCCATCTTATCTCCGATCAATCCAAGCTCTAGGTTTTTGCAAATACGCAATGCATTCAGAATCTCAGACAGACAGTTCTCATTAGAACATTTATTGCATCGAAAATATCAGGCATAATAAGGGTGTTGCTACGTCCCCGTACCTATTCTCTACCATACCTACCAGCTACTCACTCACTCACTACCTGCTGATAGTCGCTATATCCGTAGCAACGCGACCTACTATTGACTCAATCTCATTCTCGCCTAGCTGAGATCTCATAAACATCTTCAAACCCTTTATAAAGGAGTATTTAATCGAAGATGCCTACTCCCGAGGATCTGCGGATATCGTGCATGTATTTTTTAAACATGACAATGTCATAATCATTAGGCTCTGTATTTTGTTTTGGACAAACATGTTTTGAGAAATCCATCAGTAAATAAACTTGCCATGAGTGCGGGCTATAACCAAGGCCAACCCTTTGGCGAGCTTGCGACAGATGCAATACACGATAATGATTACTGAAACGAATTATCGTTGATCATAGAAGAGATGTAGCAATCACTGTCTTAGGGATAGCAGGTGTCGGGGCAGTAACCTGCGAAGCACTGATGGAAGACAGGCGCATTGCTGCCATTTGTCTTTCAACTATGAGATAACTCGTGAGGATAATAAACCAATTTCAGTGAGTCAAATCGTATCCTAAACATGTTGAATGAAATAAAGGCTCGAAAGCTGAGCCCTGGTAGCAAGTCTCTTCATGGGAAACGTACCCATACATCGGCGCCGATTCGGCAATTTCCCAAATTTTCATCACATTATAAGTTTGGAGAAGACCCCTTTCATTGAATATCTCTGTTCTCTACAAGGAGATCCATTCATTTGAAAGCTATGAATAAAAAAAATATTCAAAAAGATGAGAAGAATGACGAAATGCAGTACCGAGACCAAGACTCGACGAAAGGACAGCAAACGGATAATCTGACTAGGCCAGCCACCAATGAGATCCTCCAAGCTGAGAAGAGCACACCAGACAGCAAAAGCGCAGATGAGCCATACTCCATCTATAGCCAAAAGACAAAAACATTTCTCATCATATCAGTCTCCTTTATGGCAATTATTTCTCCGCTCTCCTCAGCAGTCTATTTGCCAGCCGTCCCACAGATTGGCCACGACCTGAACGTTTCGCCATCTTTAATCAACCTTACCATCACAACTTACATGGTCAGCTTCACATGCGTTTATTATACATGCATCTCAGTAAAAGCTAATGACACACTGATAGATCTTTCAAGGCATTGCCCCATCCTTTATTGGAACCTTTTCTGATACTTACGGTCGTCGGCCTGCCTATGTAATATGTGGCATCATATATCTGGCGGCAAACATAGGATTGGCTCTCAACAACACCTACGCGGGTTTATTGGTTCTTCGATGCATTCAATCATGCGGAAGCTCGGCCACTATCGCTCTTGGATCTGCCACTGTAGCTGATTTAGTCACCCGTGCGGAAAGAGGCAAATTCATCGGATACGCGGGAATGGGTGTGACTCTGGGTCCAGCGATTGGCCCCGTTGCAGGAGGTCTCATTACAGAGAATCTGGGCTGGAGAGCTCTATTCTGGTTCTTGGCGATTTTATCCGGAGTCCTTTTCCTGTTGATTCTTGTCTTTCTCCCCGAAACATGTCGCTCGGTTGTCGGTAATGGCAGCATCCCCTGCCCGTGGTGGAACATGTCTCTCCTAGCCTATATCCAGCATCGGAAAAATCGACTTGGAAGCACTTCAGAGAAGCCAGCAGCGAGGAAGAAAAGGCCCAATCCATTTGCTGCACTCAAGATTCTTCTTCACCGAGAATCTGGGATTATACTTGGATTTGGCTCGCTCATGTACGCCGGATACTTTTCCATCCTCACAACACTTTCCAATGAGCTATCTGTTCGATTTGGGTACAGTCCAGTCATTATTGGTCTTTGTTACCTTCCAATTGGCGTAGGCAGCATCACCACTCGATGGACAGTGGGATACTTGATCGATCGCAACTTCAGGCGGCATGCTGCCAAGGCGGGCTATGAGTTTACGGCTAATCGTCAGCAAGACATGAGTCAACTCAACTTGGAACGAGCCCGTTTGGAAGTTTCTCTGCCTCTCATATATCTGTCCGCAGGGGTGGCCTTAGCCTACGGCTGGACTATGGAGAGTAAATCCTCCCTGGCCGGTATAGAGGTAGCGCTCTTTTTCATTGGTATGTTGTTCACGGGGGCTTTGAACGGCCTAAACGTATTGGTGGTAGATATCAATTCAGATACACCTGCCACAGCTGTTGCCGCGAACAATCTCTTCCGCTGCTTGGTTAGCGCTGGGGCGGTGGCTATTGCTACACCCATGATTAACAGAATTGGGATGGGCTGGATGGGCGTCTTCATTGCTGGACTTTGGGTTCTGTTCAGCCCGTGTATCTGGCTTATAATGCTGTATGGGTACAAATGGCGACTAAGTAAAGGCCATAAAGAGGAATGTTAAAAGTAGAAAGAGTGCTAGATTTTCTCAAAGACGAATAGACCTAGAATAAAAAAGCTCTGTCTTAGCGACTCATTGCTAGCTATACATGATCAATGAGAGAGCGGATCTACATACGCTATCGACATCAACACTTATGGCGTAATCACGACAAATCTTCCAACTCCTGTATACTCAGCCCCCATATCAAGTGCTGCTTTCCATTCGTCCAATGAGAAACTTTTGGGAATCACAAAATTCTCCCCTCTAGGGAACAATCCTCTCTCTAGCATCCGGACAAACTGTGTCATATCGTCTCTTTCGTACATAAATTTGCCCTTGATCGTAATGTCATTTGCAATGATGCGAAAGCTCGGCAGCGGTACATCAGGAAAGCCTCCCATGAGACTAACACGCCCTTTGCGTCGAAGGGCCTTAATTGCGCCATTCAGATGCGCCGACTTACTTGCTGCAGCAGGCGAAAAGTCTAGCACAGCATTGAGGGCTCCAAACTTTAGCAATGCAGCTGCGTCTTTGTCTTCGTCTCCGGTGATTGTAACTGTCTCGATGTTGGCTCCAGGAGTTCCGCCTAGAATATACTTTCTCAGCCTCTCCAGCTCTTGGTCATTCCGGCCCATAGCAATGACTCGGGCACCCATGGCGATGGCAACTTCAACTCCAGCTCCTCCAAATCCGCCAGTCGCTGGGCAGATGGCGATAGTCTCCCCAGGCTCAAGCCTAATGTCGCGTAAACCACCAAAAGCCACCAAAAGATAGCCAAGATAAGTTAACTCCTGAGCCGTATATCCCAGCTCATTGCAGAGTCTCATTTCATCGAGAGGAACGCAGCTCTCCAGTGGAAATCTCGCGTATTCCGCAAACAGCCCATCCCGCCACACGTCTCTCATCAACTTCTGAGCATTGTCATTGAATCCGTCCGAGATGCCAGACAGAATCATTGCGTCCAGATCGTCGCGCCCACGAATCACGCAGTCCAGAAACACTAGTTTTCCGACTTCGAGAGACACCGCATCATGCCCCAACGCGACTACTCGGCCGACAGCACAGAATCCTCCAACAAGCGGCATGGGGAGAGGATATTGGCGGCTTCCGTCGTAGATATCGCGCTGGTATGAGAGTACTCCAGCACTTAGAATTCGCACAACGGCGCTGCCAGCCTCTACTTCAGGTGTAGCGATAGATTCGAGATAAACTCCGCTCAAGTCCTTCTCCACTGATTTGAGAATAATGGCTCGATGATTCTGGGGGATTTTGGACTCCATGTTGGCAAGAGGTGATTGATGTTATTGAAGTAAACAGAGTATGATTGAATTGTTGTTTATGGATTCAAGAGGACCAAAGAGGCTATTTATGCTGAGGACGTTGCCCGCATGGCATTGAGATGCCAAGCTTGTAGACCTCTCGGCCGAGAACGGGTTTCCGTGGGATATTCATCGCCCGTGGCTAGAACGAATTTTCCGAGTTCCCGCGAGCGAATACTCCGGCTAGAGGGCCTAGAACGCAATATTCTTTACGAAACTATTAGGCAGCCTTGAATTAACAGCGCGTAGCTGATACCATATCTCCGGAAAAGAGGGAAGTTGTGTGGTCATGTAATGTTCCACGGAGTTAGGTGTCTACTCCATTACAAACGACTGCTTAGATACAGAAAGGGGGAAGGTTTGTAACCTAAATTATCATTCTGCTCCATGTGACGTCGCCATCCCACCTTCGTCTAGGCCAAGCCAAAGGAGCTCATCAAGTCCAATATCTGGCATATCATAAGACTCATCCCAATCCTCATCGACGTTTAGACCCAAGTTTTGCCAATCGTGCTCACTGCGCTCTGGCTGTTCTTCTTCAAGCCGTTTCCATTCTACCACACTCAAGCGAGACTGCATAACAGCATATGCCATCTTCAGACTCTCTTGGGCTGCTTCAATCATCCTCAGCTGCCGAGCACTACCGGATTCTGCGCATTCGGCACGGCATAAAACAACATTTAGTTTCATATGCAAACGTAAATTTGTCTCACCAAGCCTTATCCGCTCAGTTGTCTGCTTCACGGCTTCGCGAAGCGCATCCAAGAGCATTTTCCGATAACCAGACGGCCATTCCATTGAGTTGAGCTCCTCCATATCAATAATTAAATCTGAACATATGGCCAGAGAGGCATGGATAATACGGTTCTTGAAAATGCCGCCACCCATGGATGCAACACGATAGAAATCAGGGCTATCAGGTGGCGAAAGCAAAGCCATTGCTGAATCGAGGCACACTCTTCTAGAGAAATGAAAGCCAACGTCGCCAACTCGGGAAGCAGTGGCGAAGGGGCGATGAAGAGCGAGCAAAAAGCGACGAAGCAGCAGATCAGCCATGTTGTGCTTGAAGGACTTGATCGCATCTCCGTGATTACTGCCTGCAATACTGGTGCTGCATTCACGGCAGGCCCTGTTGAGGGTTGAAGTAAGCGATTGAACTTCGTCTTGGGAGAAGCTGGACCAAGCTTCGTTCATGCGACGGACGATTTCACATCGTGGTTGAAAATATATACCCAAAAGCCGTTGCAGGGACGTATCCGTCACAGTGTTTTCTGCATAACATGGGAGAGTCTTGGTCCTCTCGCTGATGTCTTGGTCATCAACGTTCCGAGGACAATAGGTGTCAAAGTCATCAGGTATTGCCAGCGGGGCTCCTGAGTCGAGTGATGCCTGGAGATTCATTTCAAGTATTGTGGCCCATAGCCGTCTACGAACCTCTGCCTCTCTGTAACAACCCAAGTCAGCATGTCAATAGGTACAAGTATGCAAGAAATCTGGAATTGACAAGGGCTTCTTGCCAGAACGGGTAATATAGTCCTTATGCAGGGAAACTTACAAGACAGTCATTGTTTTAAAGCGTGATGGGTCGCGATGTAGGCCCATGTGCATGGCAGTACGAAGAAGAGTCCCGACTGCTATCCATACTAAATCTGCTCCGATGCACAAAACTTGTCGAGCGAGAATCAACAGGCATTGTACCTGAAGGCCGCTGAGGCTTATCCGGTCTTTCTTGACGGGGCCAGATACCCAGGTCTGTGCTTCATGAACCCACGGAGAGAGGCTCCGTCTAATGTTGTCAGCGTCCGTAGCATCTCGAAATAGGCTGGACCCTATTGCTATTACAAGCTTGACCTTGCACTGCAGCGCCATTGGTGCCTCTTCTGGATTTTTCCAGAACTCGTCATATTCTGCCCAGAATGAAGGAATGTGGAGGATTCGAAATGCCGACTCGAAGCGGGTTACGTACAACTGCGCCATTTGATCGGCCCAGCCTTTGCGGTTCAGGAATCGACTCGAGACCGACTCTGTAATTGATGTTTCGGAATCATTGTGTTTTATTTTTTGAGCTAGCTGCTTGCAACGGTGAAACAGCCGTTCAAGCTTGGCCTTTTCGTCTCTTGTTGCTTCTCCCTCCGCTGATTGGTCCTTGTCTCTGTTAAGAACCGCCACCCTCTTGAACTGTCGATAATCAGTAGGTGATGACGGAAGCAGCACTCGATTGGTTGGCTCACCTCATGGCCCCCGTGCAACCAGTGCGTTGGACCGTAGAGCCTTGACTTGTTCAGCGCTAATGCTTGATCCTGAACATTGTCCAAGTGCTGGCTGTTTTGGACCGAGTCCTGTTGGGCCCCCCATGGCTGAATTCTTGAGCCCCGGTCGTGTGCACTCGGCGATACCAGTTGTTCCTCTATCGCGCTTATTCGACGTCTGAGGTTCACCAGTTCATCTTCCAAGGGCCTATTAGATCCATGAACAGGCAACATCGCCTGCGAGTTATGCTGGTTCCCAAGAGGTTGCTGTACCGGTCCCAGGTAATCGAGTGGGCCAGGGTGTAGTGGTTCAAGCCTAATGGGTTGCCGTGATGCAGCACCGACACCACCTTGACTCAATATCTTCAGCCATGGGAAAGGATACGCTGGGAGAGGACGAATCGTTGAGTGAGCGTCATAGACACACGCGCATCTTGCAGCTACACATTGCGCGCAGGGCTGCTCAAGGTCGCATCTGACCTTTCGTCCTATGGCGTATAAGTGTCAGTCACTATTAGAGGCTCAAAGGCGGTGCTTACGGCGGCATTCCTGACATGACCGAGCTGGCCGGCGACGTTTGAGCGGAGGAGGCCTTGAAGCAGCTTCAGGGGCAGACAATTCCATCGAAGTTTCTCAAATCATCAAAGTTTCTCCCACCATGTTAGATTAAACCGGGGATATTCATCGACATATGAAGGATGAAGCTCGGGCGTAAGGACCCCTCTTCGCTTCGGACTTGAGAGCCAGAGTCAACCGGGTTTAGATCAGGGATAATGTCCGCTTATGTCCGCTCCAGCCACTCAAAGGCCAAGGACAGCGAGCTCCGAAGACCCCGGTCAAGAACTATGGAGCATTGATGGCGCCAAATCATTTTAGTGCCAGACGATATTGAATGCTGCTTGAGAGTTTCGATTTGAATGCAGGACATTACCCTGTAATACTGGAGAATAAACAGACAAATTCGAACTATATAGTAAAGGCATATTTTAGTATTTAATCTGCCAATGGAAAAGACTGTATGTAATAAAAAGCATTTCATTTCGACTCAAATATGGAGGAATAGTATGTATCTTGGCTTTCAAGATATCTGCGTAGGTATAGAGCTAATGATGGTTACGGTGGGTGATGTTGATTCAAGATAAACACATAAATATGAAGCATATTTTAAATTCATAATATAACAATTATCTTAGGTGTTCTTAGCTCTAGATTTACAGCGTATAAAAATTCGTAGTCAAAAGTATATCAACATCATAGACTTGGTGAAATACCAGACTTTGTGGTGTAGATTGTAAAAGCTATAAAAAGCCACAAGATGATTTCTAGATTGAATTCCAGATCTAGGAGCTAGTGAAGAGATTGATCTATAAGCAAATTACTTGCGAAGAGCTGTTTGTTCTGTTAAGAAAAAGATTACTGTTTCACTTTTCCTGTCATAAGTGCACTTTAGGCGAAAACTTTCAATTGACAAACATGGCCTGCATCTTCTTAGATAACATTACCCTTGACCTGATGTATTGTCTTGACATCCGTATTTCGCCAAATGGCCACAGCGATAAACCCAAGAGCCCAAATGGCGGTCCCGGCAACATGTATCTTGGCCTGTGCATCGGCATAAGCCTGTTGAATGGCGAGCCGAGCTGGAGTGCCAACCGCATAACTCAGTTGAACCTCCAGCGACCCATAGATACTCATCAGATTGGGCAGCTCCTCTTCCGGTAGATAAATCGCAAGCTTATTGGGGAAAGTGGACTGCCAGATTACACCGGCAATGGTATATCCCACCGCGCCTCCTATGGAAGAAAACATGGACACAATGGCCAAGATGACAGCAATGTGCTGATGACTTGCGATGGACAAGGCGGCAACTTCAGGCGTAATCATGATGATTCCAGCGGCAAATGATATAAAGATTTGGCACACGATGATGTAGCCAATGTTCCCGTTGGGCTCTCGGAAGTATATCATGAGTCCCATGAACAGCGCGTAGACGGGAATGGCGCCAAACAGGGTGACATATTTAAATCGCCCAGTATAACGGATGGCGAGACCAGCAATGATGGCAAAGAGGCTGCTGCCGAGGCCATAAATCTGGACAATGTAGCTGGCCTCGGTGACGCTCAGGTTATTTACCACCTGTAGCGATGAGCTGAAGAAACTGTTCCAGCAGAAATAGCTGATGAAGAGAACGGCACCGAGGATACAAGAGCCGACCATGTTACGGTCCAAGAGGAGAGAATATGGGATAAACGTGACGCGTGCACAGAACCTCTCCCACATGATGAAACTGACAATAAGTGCAACACCAAACACCAGCAAGCCTATGATGAGCGGTGAATGCCATCCATCTGCCTGAAGTGCATACAAGTTGAACGGCAGCAGAATGATTGCAAGGCCACTTGTCAGCAACAGCAGCCCAAAGGCGTCAAACTCGTGAACGTAGTGACGGACAGACTGCCACAAGGTCCTCACATGTTTCTGCGGTGCAACGAGATTTAGTCGACGGGCTTTGTAGGAGTTGAACACCAGGAGACCAAGCAAGGGGGAACACAGCGTCGGGACCATGATGGCAAACATTCCAAAACACCACCGCCAGCCAGGCCCGGTCAGAAACGCCTGCGAGATGGGCCCTCCAAGCCACGTGGTAATGATATTGGGCGAAGACGTCAGCGCAGTCATGAGGCCACGATTGTGAAGAGACGATGTGTCGGATACAAAAATATTGACGCTGTAGAGCAAGGCGCTGCTGCCTACTGTGCAAAAGACCTGCGCTGCTGCGTACATTTCAACGCTGGTGGTCATGGCCATCATGACGAGGCCAATGGACACGATGAGCAGAGACAGGCCATAGCCCTGAGGCCGGCCAAAGATGTCGAGGATCTTGGCCACGGTCAAGTTGCACACTCCGCCGATGATGCTGCTGAGGATGCCCACCGTTGGAGTGAGAGAGTGGTCTCGGAACGCAGACGTGATGTACGGAGAGAGGACCGCGGCCGTGTTCTGCTGCATCAGCATGACAAAGTAGACGACCCAGATGAGGATGTAGGCGATGATGAGGTCTGTCCGCGTCCACACGATGGCGATGGCCTCGACTTGCTGGACGCCGGCCTGTGCATCTTGGCTGGGGGACTCGCTGCCGTGTTGCTCTGTGCGTGTTCCGTTCAGCTGGCCAGTGGCGATTGTGCTGTAGCCACCGAGAGGCTCGCAATCCCGCAGTAGCGGTGTATCACTGCGAGATGTATCACCGCGAAGGTTGTCCATCTTGTGACGAGGCTTTGGTTCAATAATGTACGACTGCGAGAAGCATCAAGAACAGAGGACCAGATAAAGGTGGGACAGGGCAGGGTGTAAGACATTGGTCGCCGGGTGCATGAGCGTCAGAATCGAGACTCTGCTAAAATCGCAGTTGAAAATAGTTTAGCCAATCAACATCAGCGTAAAGATATTGTAAATTCTGGAACACAGATTGATCATGTTGTTGATTAGAAATGAAGAGAATGGCAGCTATAGCTGACTTGGCTGTCTTGTCTTGCCGCAAACAGTACTCCACTCCATTATGCGGCCTGTCTGTAAGTCGGAGCGTGAACCGTGCTTGAACCACTATCTTATTCCCAAAACATGATAGTTTCAGTGGTTTCTGCAAGGGAACAAATATTTGCGCAAACTTGCTCAAACGAAGCTCTGCCAGTCAATGTTTACAAGAGCTGGATTTATATAGCGGCCATATAAATTGCAGAATGGGTGATGAGTATTCGCAGTACAGTCAGTACTGAGACACGACTCACTCGCCTCGACGGATTCAGCGTTGCAACCGTCCCCAACAAAGAATACATACAATGAAGACCAACTGCAGTGCCAGCCCGGCCCCAACCGTCAGCAGCACAGATCCGCTAGCCACAGGCCAGATGGCTGCAGATGCGCAGAGCCAGAGCCAGAGCCAGACACAGACCTCGCGCCTGATCCTGGACATCATCTTTGACTATGCGCTCAACAAGTTTGACGACTCGCGGCAGCGGCTGGAGGGTGGCAGCAACCGCTTCCTGGCCGTCATCGCCAGCTTCGTTGCCGCGGGAACCAGGGTCGAGGCGTGCCTCCCCGCGTTCCCGTTCAAGTCGGCAAACAGGGTCTACAAGGTTCTCGGGACACTGCCAGACAAGGCCGAGGAGCTGGCGCTGCAACGGCTCGACGCCATGTGCCGGCGCATCCAAGAGGTGTATCCACCCGGAGCCCGTGTCACCATCATTTCCGACGGCATCACGTACAACGGTGGGCTTTTCTGTGCATGAGGCTATGCGTTTTTTGAGACTAATTATTGGTACAAGATCTTTTATCAATATCGGATCGCGATACCTGGGCCTATGGCCGGGCCCTGCGCGAACTGGCCGCCAAGAGGAAATTCGACAATGTGGGCTTCTCCAGAATCAAGGACCTGCTGGATCTGCCGCTGCCCGAGACTCTGACGGAAATCATGTACATTGCAAACTGCACATCCTTTAGGCGAGAGCTGCTCAACAAATACGGTAAAGATGATCTCGACATCGACGCCGAGATCGCAAACAACCCCGATACCAAGCTGACATATCTCGGATACAAGCGGTTCCTAGAGTCTGACCTCAAGTACATATTTCCCCAGGGCCCGGAGCGTGGCGCCAACGAGTACAAACGGGACTGCAAGTACATCGCCAAGCAGATGCTCATCAGAGGCTACGTGAGACACCAAGTCATGCTAGGGCTTACTTTAGTCTGTGTCGCTAACAGTTTACAGGCCTTTGCCCGAGCGATCAAGCACAGCTATCCAAATCACCTGCGCCTTTCCATCCACGAGTCGGTGGCGGGCCTGAAGCTCTCGATATGCCTGCTCAACACCAAGACCGGCTTCACAACCCCGTGGCACTGCAGCGTGGCTCAGCTGACGGACGGAGAATGGGTCAGTGCGCCAATGGGCGAGTTTACCAAGGATGAGAGAATGGAGGTTGTTGTTGAGGACGGACGGCCCATGTACTTTCGACAGAAGCCCTCGAGTCCTGACGAGCATGCGACAGTGAATTACCTGCAAGAGGCGAAGCAGATCAACATGAGCGACTATCTCAGCTCGGCGTCCACATCACGGACTGTCTCGCCTGTAGTCCCGTCGCCAAAGAACTTTTCGGCCTTTTCGCCGAGGGAAGATGCGATGAGTAGCAGGGCAAGCACACCAGGGACGCATAGTCCTGTCATTTTAGACACTGCCGACGAGCATGAGGCCTCTCTCCAGGTAGAAAAGGATACGGAGGGGGATGGCTCATCCGGTAGACGGCTCATTCCTCAGATCATGGACAGCTTGGCGGCAAGAGATCCAGGGCGGATCGTCTTCTCTCTCACCACGGCGAGGGATGGGTCGCTTGGACGTCTTGACGTGTCTGCAAAGACATTCACACGTGCAGTGGACAGGCTTGCTTGGTGGATCAAAGACCAAGTCGGCATCAGCTCGTCGATTAAGCCCGTGGGATACATTGGGCCACGTAAGCAATATCTTCATTGTTCTTCATACATACCTACTAACTAATTGCCAGACGATCTTCGACATGTATTGCTGACGTATGCATCTGTCAAAGCCGGATATTCTGTATGTTGACCTAATCTTGACTACTCGCGTGAGCCTCTACTTACTTCCCGTACAGGCCCTGTTCCTATCGCCAAAGAATAGCACCGAGGGAGCCTTGGCGGTTCTTGACGCCACCAAGTGCGACATCTGGGCTAATGCCGGCGAGGTGCCTCTAATCCCTCTCGTAAAGGAGTTGTTGGAAAAGCGACCTATGAAGCTTTTGGAGCTTCCCTTGCTGGACGACTTGCTGAGTGACAAGCCGACAGAGCCATTTCCCTACACCAAGACATTTGAAGAAGCCAAGGATGAGCCGTTTTGCTATCTCCACACGTCGGGCACAACTGGTGTGCCGAAGCCTATACCTTGGTCTCATGGCCTGATTGGGACCATGGATGCAGTGAGACTGCTGCCACCTGTAGAAGGTGACCATGGGCTGCTGCCGTGGACTTCAGACTGGAAAGCGGGCGACAAGATTTATTCAAGCTTTCCAATGAGTCATGTAAGTGCCCTGTTTTATGAGAAAGAAGAAGTCTAGCTAATTCACTTTAGGGGGCCGGCATTATCATGGACATTCTCATGCCGGCACTGTTCGACCTACAATGCGTCTTGGGCCCAGTGGGAGTGTTGCCAAACATTAACCTTGTCGAGAGCCTGGCAGAGAACATGGACATTGACATCTGGAGCATGGTTCCGTCTTTGGTTGACGAATTAGGCGAAACGCCAGAAGTGCTCGCCAAGCTGCAAAAATCCAAGTTCATCTGCGCCTCTGGAGGACCTGTAAGCCCAACGAGTGCCGGAAAGGTAAACGATGTGCTTCGGGTACTCAATCTCACTGGAACAACGGAAGGCTTGTTTATCGGCAATCTGGTAGTTCCGAGAGAAGACTGGTATTGGTTCTGCTTCCACCCGTACTCTGGGTTTGAGTTTAAACAGGTGGAAGAGGGCACATACGAGCATTGGGTGCACCGCAACAAGCACTGGCCGCTTTTTCAGGGAATATTCCAGACGTTTCCTGAAAAGGACTCTATCAATTTCAAGGATCTCTACAGAAGACATCCGTCCAAGCCACATCTCTGGGCCTTCAAAGGTAGAAGTGATGACCTTGTCGTGTTGTCCAATGGATACAAGATATCGCCGCTTGAGACTGAGGCTTCTATCACAACGCATCCGGCAATCATGGGCTGCCTCATATTTGGTACCGGAAAGCCACAAGCAGGGCTGTTGATTGAGTTGAAGGATGGTTACGAAAAGACCGACGAGCTTCTCGATAGCATATGGGATGCCGTCAAGCAGGCAAACTCACAGTCGAGACACAAGGATCAGCTGCTCAGAGATTTTGTCACCTTCTCTGAGCCCGATAAACCATTTGTTCGTACCGACAAGGGCACCATCAAGCGCCCAGCTACACTGGCACTATATGAAGGGTACATTGACCGCTTCTACGGCTCTCGGAGTGACGAGACGACCAGCTCTATTTCTATCGACACCACTTCTGCAGATGCGATACAAAATGGCCTCAAAACCATCCTTTCCTCCGTGCTGCCTGAGATTGATCAAGCCGCACAAATTGCCAACTTTTTCGATCTTGGCCTAGACTCTCTTGGGGTATTTTCAGTTGTCAAATCTATACGAGCTGCAACTGGCTTGGACGAGCATCTTGCTCCGCGCCACATCTACGCCAACCCCAGTCTGGCGAGTCTCTCCATTGCCATCAAACGTCTAGCAGCGACAGTCAAAGCAGAGATGACAAAAGAGGCTACTACAGAGGAAGACGAGGTCGTGGTGAGAATCGCCCAAGAGGCGGCACAGCACAAAGCTCGCCTGTCGTTTCCCTTGAATGCGCTGGACTATGTCAATCCAAACCATGGCATGGGTCTCATGTTCTACTTTTCACTACAAGACGGCGTTGCCTTTCAAGATGTCTTTGATAACCTTCAGCAAGGCCTCAACCGGACCTTTGACATGATACCCGCACTCGGCGGCAAGATGATGAAGCGCTCAGAGCAAGAAATCGGCTACATCAAGAACGACTTGTGCGTTACTATCCCTCCAATATCGATGGCTGCGACTGCGCATAACCGACTTATATACAAGGATCTTTCAGATATCCTTCCGGCTTTCGACGATCTGAGAGACGCGGCCTTTGCGACATCACTATTCTCTGATAGCCTCGTTCTGAGAGATGATCCCTTTCCAGTCTTCCCAGCAGACATTTTCGTTGGGCAAGTCAATTTTGTAAAGGGTGGATGTATCATTGCTGCCGATCTTAATCACTGCTGCCTCGACGGCGTTGGGGCGGTGATTGCGATTAAGGCGTGGGCAGAGAACTGTAGATACCTTCAGGGAGATGCCTCGGCTACGTGTCAGTGGTATGACCCGGAGAGCTTCAACCACAGCCTGCCAGAGATAATCCACAAGCAGGAAGGATGGCCAAGCTCAATGGACGAGGTTGATCCAGCGGCATGGGATGTCTTGCCCTTCTTTCCGCCGAGCCAGCAAGTCAAGGCTACAACTCAGCCCGAAATTCACCCTCGATACGGATTCCCGCTGCACAATGTCTGGCCCTTGCCTCGTGCTGAGAGATGTATGACCACCACCATGTTTCTCATCACTCCTGAACGACTTGCAAAGATGAAGGAGAGTGTGGCATCCGATAAGTCTGTCCCGGGAGTATATCTGTCCATGAGTGATATCATCCAAGCCTTTTTCTGGCGAGCCGCCACCAGGGCCCGTTATCGTGTGGCGAAGGAGATCCGAAAACAGACCTTCAACTCTGAGGCAAAGTCGATTCTAGAACTCCCTACAGACGGCCGACCCTACTTTTCCTCTCTTCTGCCTTCAACCTATATGGGCAGCGTGCTCGTTATGAACCGGTTCAGCATGGATCTCGAGGCAATGTGCTCCCCTGACACAAGCATAGGCCGCATCGCCTGGCTACTTCGCCAGTCCAATGCACGAATCACCCCTCCACTTATCCACGATGCATTCACCATTCTGCAAAACCTCCCTGATCACGGCAGGTTCTCAACGGCCAACATGGGCCTTGAGCACATGAACTCTATGATCTCCAACATGCTCCTGTTCCAGACCAGCGAGATATGTTTCGGCGACAAGTTCTTTGCGAATAGTGGCTCGCCAGAGTCTATGCGTCCACAAGTTGAACGCGGGAACGGACGGTTTCGATTCCTGATTATTCTGCCCATGAGGAAGGATGGAGGGGTGGAACTTATGCTGGGGACGCATCCTGAGGAGTTGGCGATGCTTGCGAGGGATGAGGAGTTTATCAAGTATGCCGAGCTAATGGGCACAGAGGCTTGATCCTGGCCGGTTTAGATGTACATGTAACAAGACTTGGTACAAACTGTGTGTAAATTAGCTAAATCTCCCCTCCTAGAATAGCAACAGTGCACACAACGAATAAATCATCAGTAGTAGAATTGAATCACATGGTAATACCCTATGAACTGAAATAAAAGGGGCATCAATATCGAATGCTCATAGTCGGTGGTGCATGCTTTAGACTCTCTGAGATTATGTCCCACGCATTTGTCGTGTTCATGCCTTACAAAGAGTTTAAAAATGCTGTGGAAACGTCACTTGCGACGGATGTACAGGAATGTCGTCGACAAATCGGCAGCCATCGGTAGTCAAGTCACCACGGATGGGCTCAGCTTAGGCATCCTGAGCGAGTTGATCTCCAAGCTTGAAGAGGACGATATCTTTACCTCATACCCAACAAGAAGACGTGTGTTGTGAAGATTAGCTTGAGTAGCTACGATTGGGTATCACATTAATGGGCTTTACTTTCATTAAGCTGTCTTTCACAATTAGAGGGTTCCCCATGAGTTCTTGTAATACATTGGCGGTAGAAATTTACGACAGGTATATACATTGAAAAAAACTGCGCACAGTGTTTTAAGACTGAAGTAGTTATAGTCAGCCGTAGGACAAGTTGATTGGGAATCACGTTGACCCGATAGCCAACAAAGCTATTTGATCGCTCAGCTATGCTGCTAGCATAAGTGCCTAGGCAACGCGCTTCTAGCTTCAAGTGCAGCATGTTTAGTTTACTGACAGCAGTTCAAGGGAACTCCCAAAACACAACAGACATGTCCAACTTTCCAGATCGTCACCAGCCGCTTGCACTGCCCGAACGAAAGCGCGTCCTCGTCCTGGGAATGAGTCGCTGAGCGGCTACTCTGTATGGTAAAATGAAACTCTGTCTGCTTAATTTGCTTTTTTGGCCTAGGCTATTAGGCGTTGAGCGACATCCCGGCAATCATGTCTTCTGATGAACTTGCTACTGCATACCCTGAAGCAAAAGTAATCCTGACGTTCCAGGACCCCGTAAAGTGGTTTCATTCCGTGAATAACACCCTCATCCCTGTGCTACAATGGCCAAGCTGGAATTTATTTTATCCCAATAGGAAATCTTGTATCAATAATAGTTAAGTTTCAATACTTCCAGTAAGCTGTCCCTCACTTGGAGAATTCCCCCATTGAATGGCCCTAGGCTGATAGTTACGTAAACCCGCCTCAAAATGAAGCTACCCCAGGAAATGGTCCGCCGAGCTAAATAAGTGACCCAGCACGTGCTTCGTCTTATCGCATCCAGCCTCACTCCGCGTATTGCAGTACCAACATGAACTCATCTACGGAGAAATGGCCATAACTCTTACACTTTTCGAAAGTTGAGGTCTTTTATTCGATGGCCTCCCTCGCCACAGCCGAGAACAGCGTGGCACGAGTGCGGTGTCGTTCTGGTTTGTGATCCAATTCAACGTGATCCAGAGAAGCGCCTGACAGGTCCTTAGGATGTCATACCTGCCGGCTACGAAAAGTGCGATGCAAAGCTGATAATGAAACTTTGGAGGATGCGAAGAAACAAGCGTCCACATGCTCCAACTGCAAAAGACTCGGGCTTGAATGCCGGTGGCAGCGTCCTGCTCTTGGCGAGAGGATCTCGCCTCCGCCAAAAAGGAGAAACATGATCGGACGGCGTGTCTCGCGTCGTGCAAACGAAGAAATTCCGCATTCGCCTACATCTACGCAGTCTGTGAAAAACGATGATGCCCAAAGTCTGGATAAAAATGGCAGTGCCTCCAAGTTCAGAGAGATGGCTGATCAAAATGAAGCTCCTCACTCTGACCACAGCGATGATGTCTCGAGCCAGCCACCGAGTGACCCGTTTGAGCTATTTTCTGGCGGTTCATTCTACTTTGATGCTGCTCTGGATTACCAGTCTCTAGAACTAAATCTTTCGGGCGAAGGACTGGATCTCATCCCGTTACCGGCTGTGTCTCCCTCTGTGTTGCAGAGACAAAACGATGCACGGCCACTTGTTATTGATGATGGGTTTTCTTTAGAAGAATCTGACAATGGCTTATGGCAACTTGGGACACTATCAACCGACGGAGACGAATCTATACTCCAAGCTGCAAAGGCCAGGGGCCCCTCGGTCAACGAAGACAATCGGCAGTTGATCCAGCATTACTTAGAGGTAATGAAGGGATATGCCAAAGTGGACGACCGTTCTAAAGACACAAATAATCTGTTTATTTCGGCATTCTCAAAATCTCTATCTTTTCCGCCTCTATTTTATGCCATTTTGTCATTTTCAGCCTCACATCTGGCCATGGAGAGTCCTTCTTACTGCGACCAAGCAAAGATCTACGACCGTTTAGCACAAGAGTCGTTTAATCAATTTGCACGCGACAAGACCAGCACTGTGGACGGCTTGCTCTCGGCCCTCTTTGTCAGAGTCAAGCAAATACATGTGACGGCTGGCAACATTGACACCTTTTTCGAGCTGATTTCCGCCGCCATCGACATCGTTTGCACCGAAGAAGTGGAAAAGGCGCTGGCGGATCCATCCAGTCTTATCAGACGTATTGTCATACGCCTTGCGATCTTGGACGCGCGAGCATCTCACTATGGGTTAGGCGGCGGGCAGCTTGTCCAGCATCTCAGGAATATTCCCACTATATCCCCCATTTTTGATGCAGGATTAGGGCAGAATTCAACTGTTGGTGATGTAAGCAGCCTCATTCGAGCTGATTCTTTTCGTATGCACGTCGCGCAGTTGGACATGAGGATACAAGACCAACTTGGAAATGAATTCGCCACTCTTACGCCTGTGCGAACAGAAGAGATCAAATCTTTGTACAAGTCTATTCAGCAGCAAATTGATCTATGGGAAGCAGAAGATGGCGAAGAAGACCGAGAAGACGCTGTTGAGGAAGAACAGCTCAGTTCTGCTACCTACGGTCGATTCACTGTTCTATCGGCTTTACACTCAGCTTTGTTATATCTCTACGCAGTATATGTAAGTACTTCATTTGCTTGTTGAGATGTGATGTTGACGAAGAATAGCCGTTACTGTCGTTTGATCCAGAGGCTTCCGTATCAAAGATACTTCATTACCACCTCAAGATTCGCTATGATCCATCGCGCAGTTGCTCACCGTCTTCTATTCTGCCGTCTTCACTGTTTCTTGCTGGAATCTGTACCAGTGACTCGATTCGACGAGATTGGATTATTGAACGTTTTCGCGAAGGAGAGGCATGGGGGATTTATATTCGAAAGGCAAGAGAATTGCTCCAGGCTATTGTGAAACTGCGGAAAAAGGGTGATAATCCCAGCGTGCGCAGCGTCATGGATCAAGTTACTGGAAGGTTCATTATTTAGCCTAATTTTATGTCTAATAATAATTGTTATGTGCTTTAATAATTAATAAGCTGAATCTTTCTGTGCATTGTGATGAGCGCTGCTGGCATTTGGACGAGTCATAATCTTTCCCGCCTGAATTGTAAAAATGCAATAAGCAGATAGCCCAAATGGCAAAAGTAAATGCAGATGAAAGTTATCTTTGACCTTGATTAAAGGCCTGACGATGTCTAGCAGCTTAATTATCATGGGAAACATCGAGTCCCGTTTTGGTAGATATCAGTACGTATTTACTACACTAATAAGATAATTCCACTACTTCACTCAAAGCGATTCAAATATTGCCCCGGGCGGAGCATAAAATGGAAAATTACAATGTGTACCTAAACGTCTGCCACCGCTCAAAGTCTGTCTTGTCGCTGAATTCTGTTCTGAGCACTTCATCTGCACCACCTCCCTCGGCTGTCAACTTTGCGTCACGGCGATTATTTTCATGTCTGTACCAAAGATATTGCAGAATCGGGACAATAATCATCAGAGCGTAGCAGCCCACTATTTCAACGAATTAGAAGCCATTAGATATAATGTTGCAAATGAAGACATACTGAGCATTCTAAAGGCCAAGTCATAGACTGGTGCCTGGCTGTCGAGAAAGAATTCTAGGACATGTGTCAGATAATAATAGATTTCTAGGTACTCTCGAATACTTACGGGGACCCGCAATCAGTCCAGCGGCCCATCCTGCAAAGATGATGCCAGACGCAGTCGATTTCTTCGTGTTTCCTGCATAATTAGAAGCCATTAATCCGGTACTAAGTGTAAAGGACATTGTGTGCCTATTTGAACGTCAGCTCATGCAAATCGTGTGGGTTACGCGGTGTACTGACGTGTAGGTGAGATAGTAGCCTGCGAGGCGGCCGCCTCGGTTGCTTTCAGGGAGTGCATGAAGCAAAGATGCGCCAATCAAGGGCGGTATGGATACAAAAACCGAAAGAAGAAGCCGGATATTGTTGCGATGAGAGGCTATGTAGGAGAAGATGAGAAAAGTACCAAGCTGGATGACTGCAGCTGGACACGCAGAAATGACAGTCGTTTGCAAGGCTGAGAAACCGAAGCCTTTTACAATTTGGCTTGAGAACTAAAGATAGTGTTAGCTTTGCAAGCATAATCAGCTGGAATATGGCACTGACTTGACTCGCGAATGTGGAGGGCATGGTGTTGCCGCTATGGAGACAATAATCAGCGTTGTAGTAGATGAATGATGGAGACACATATGGCTCACACTGCAGTCACAAAGAAGAAGATGGTTTGAGGATCCCTCAGAGCTTCCCAAAATTGAGGCCATTTCCAGTGATTGTCCGTGGAGACAGTCTGGTTGTCTCTCACTCTGTCTCTTGCGACTTCCCTCTCTCGTGGAGTGAGCCATCTAGCGTTGGCATAATTGTCGGGCATGAGAAACGCAAGAATAATTGCAAACACAAAGCTGAAAGAACCAAAGAACAGGAAGAAGATTTTCCAGGTAGCTATGGACGAGTTGTGTACTGCAGATAATTAGCAGGAGACTGTACGCATAGTTTCAAGTCCACTTACTTGACCCAAGGCCGTAAGAGAGAATACCGCCAAAGAAATTTCCAATCTAGGTCCAGTTGAATCAATATACGGTATGGTAAAAGAAACTGAGAGTTAATACGTACTGGTGTCCCACCGAGCCAAAATGCGGTCCTGAACGCTTGTTCCGGCCGAGTCCACCAGTTACTCGTGACAATGACAAAGACTGGTCCTATAATGCTTTCTACTAGCCCAAGGAAAAATCGTGCGGTCATAATGCCGGCAAAGTTGAAGCACAAGGCTAAATTGAAAATTAGCGTTGTAATAGATCTGTATAGAATTGAGACATACGTGTAAGGAGCACTATACTCGACCACGCAAACACCGCAGCCGCAATCAGCTTCCCCGTATGTTGAGGCCATTGGTGAACGATTTTGGCCCATGCGATTGACCCGATCATATAACCGATGTAGAAGATGCTATGGGCCTGTTAGCTTTGTTGAAGGACAAAATGGCGGGGCGCCTGACCTTCCCAGCCAGCTAAATTGGGTACCATGAAGATTGAGTGACTGTTGTAATCCGAATATAGAACTATAGTTGATGAGGGTCTTGTCCAGAAACTATATTGAGATTGTCAGCAACAGCCAATTGGTCTTTATACAGAAATAACCAACAGAGAAAATGTAACAGCCACACAAAAGAGGCAAAATGATTAAGTCTATCTTTCTTTTGACTCGGGCTGCCTCTTCTTCGGTATACAAGATCTCTGTGGACTCGCTTATATGTTTTTTGTCCAGATCTTGGTCTGTGGTAACGTTTTCAACATGATTGGGGGGCACGTGAACTTCTTCCTTATCCATGTTTCCAGATTCGATCGATTGCTTTGTGGCTGAGATGTCTCCTGCAGAAGTCATGATGGACAATGTAGTGAAATACTTCCACTTAGAGTCTGATCAATCACCAAACAGAGAGGCAGCGAAAGAGATGCATATTAAATGAAACGTCAGCTTATTCGAGGCATATTAATGCTATTATTGTCGCTAGATTGGAAACTATATTCTAGACACTGTTGATAACGAGTCAAGAGCCGATATTGTCGGCTTTTTGGCTCACGTGATCTTGTCGGCTCTTTCATTACAGTATTACCACTGTCTTAGATGTTCGCCGACAAGCGATATGTAGGTCATGTGATCTTGTCGGCTGCGAACTGTGTAACTTCGTGTAAGTCGAGGGAGGAGTCGAGGGAGATAGACAGCCCGAGATAGTTATAAATGCTCTTATGAGTAACAGACTCTGTGACACAAACAATCTAAATATAACCAAGCTGTTGACAACTTATCATCAAGCCAAAATGGCAATTGGAAAGGCGCAACCCGCAGAACAGCGCGTCCATGAGCCGCAAATCACACACCTTTCCGACACGGAGGACTCACAGCCCGTGATTCTCGAGCCCTATCACGTCGATTTACTCCCGGAATATGGTTACGTCAGTCGTGAGTATCTGATGAGCGGCGTTGCCGCTGGCGAGTCTTACTGCACTCGTCTTCTCTTGCGGTGCCCTGCAGACTCGACCCAGTTCAGCGGTTTGGTGGTGGAAGAGCCATCGCATCTCTGGGGAGGGACAAGCATCTGGCGCCATATAAACCGTTGGTTAATGAGAAAGGGTAAGTCTATGTATTGAACTATACTTTTAGCAGGCACCTAACAAATAACCTGAACAGGACATGCATGGCTCGAGGTTGATTCACAGTCTCCTTCAGCGATTGGCAAGATCAAGAACCTCGATCCCGAACGATACAAACACATGCACTTCATTCCGGGTCCCCTTGCTGATGAGTTTATGGATACTATACCATTCACTATAACTGTTACACGAGAGACACTGGAGCAATCATATGTTGATTTCAAGAAGCAGTGGTGGCCGGCCACGACGCAATCTCCAGAGATTATTACAGCGGCTTCCTACGCCCTCCGCTCCGGACAATTGGGCATCGCAGCCACTAGAGTAATCTTGACAGGCTTGTCCCAGACAGGAGGTGTTACCCGGCGATTCATTACACATTCATCCCATCTCAGACTGCCTGATGGCGGCCTCCCATTTGAAGCGTTTATTCCCTGTCAATCTGGCGGGGAAGCCTTACCAGATGCTCCAGGAGCCAAGATCATTGAGCTTCTAGGCGAGTCAGAGTTCCAGTCTGTTCGACTGCCTTGTGGGGTCAGCGGCCAGATACTCGGAGTCTCTCATCGACGGGCTGACAGCGACTCCTTCCGGCTCTACGAAATAGCAGGCATGGCTCATCGCGAGTCTCGATATCCTTCGGACATTGACAAGAAGCGATGGTCAGTCGCAGAGCTCAATGGCGCAAAATGGAGCACGTTTCCCAACTCTTTTATCTACCACGCTGTGTTTGAGGCGATGGAGCGCTGGACCAGTGATGAGGCTATTGCTCCTCCTTGTGGCGCTACTATGCAAACGATTGGCTTGAGCGATGAGATTGTCCGAGATGACCATGGCAATGCGGTGGGAGGAGTAAGGTCATTGTATACAGACGTGCCATTATCTCGTATTGTTGCGGCTACTCCGAAGGGCCGACCAAACTGGTACTGTGGTAAGTTGCTGTCTTAATTCGTTTCTACGTTTCAAATTAGCTAATTATCCAACAATAGGCTCTGAGTGGTCATTTACGCCTGAAACTCTACAAAAATTGCATGGCACAGTGGCCAACTATCGCCGTCTTGCCGGATTGGCTATTAACAAACAAATTCAAGCTGGCTTTTTACTTGTAGAGGATGCCGAGGTACTGCGACGAGAAACCATAGAAAACGTCATCTTCTAATAGACTTTTCTATCGCTAGGTTGCATCATTTTTAATCACTGCAATAGCTGTAATTAGTGTCTAAATACACCTTCCATAATTGCGTTGTCAAAGTGTAAATCATCCGATTTCTTGGCGTGGGATAACGGAAGATTGAAAATACCCTGTTATTATTACTTATTTTCTTTAGCGTATATAGGCAGGTATGAATCCTGTGCTGTCTAGCTATATGTTATTTCCCTTCACCCTACAAATTATCACGATCGCGCAATGCTCAGCTCGGTTGTATACCAGTTTTGAATTGCCCTGATATCGTAGCCCATTGCCACGGTATCAAACACTTTCAGATGCTCCCTGCTCGAGGCTCCATTGTTCGAAAGGCGACCAACCCATTTGCCATGCTTTCGGGCTGCGGCTACAATCTTTTTGACGGCATCAACAAACTCTGGCTCATCGCCTTTCGCAGGGACATGGCCAAGAATTGATAGCGCAAGATCGTTTGGGCCGATAAAAACCAGATCTGGACAAATGTTAGTCCAATCCCTTTTACAGCTTTTAGTTCTTCAGAAACTGACCGACGCCAGGCACCGCACATATAGCGTCTACATTCTCCACCCCCGCTCTTGTCTCAATTTGAAGACAGGTGATGAGTGTGTCGTTTGCGGTTTTCAGATACTTGGGGAGATCGATACCATGAGTGATGGCCGGAAACGCTGAACCCTGCCCTCGGCATCCTCGTGGAGGGAACTTCGAATGGGACACAACAGCTTTGGCGTCTTCGGCGGTGTTGATTTGAGGCACAACGATACCGCTGGATCAATTTCAGCGGGTGCATTGGCAGGACGCATATCGCTTACTGCGCCCCAGCATCCAGGGCTCTCTTGATCAAATCTGAATGAGTCATTCTTAGACGAACAAGTGGCGATACCCCCATCGCAGCGATGGCGGCTGTTGATGAGTGCATAGAATCGTCGCTGATATGCCCATGCTCGCAATCGATGATGATACCCTCATTTTCTGTCAGCCAGAAACTAAATGTAGGTGACAAGTGCTGACATCAACGCCGGTCTGGGCTATTATCTGAGCTGTGCGAAACGATGGAAGCCCTAAAAAGGTCATGATCGGTTTCGAGTTGGCTCGGAGCGCATTGAGCAAGCGTAACTGCGGGTTCCGAAAGGCAGCCGCCATGGTTGGTAGACAGAATACTCAACATTAATAGCGGGTTTCAAGTCTTTAGTTTACTGCTCGAAACGATGACAAGGTCAGAATGCACGGAAAAGAATAAAGGTGGATGGCATAATAATAATAAGCCATGCTGATGTAAAATGCTGATGTAAGAAGACAATACAACATCTTGCTAGCAGATCCATAAGAAACCGTCAAACATTCGCTGCTGTGAATATCACGCGCGAAGAGTTGAAATTTTTACGAGGCAACTATACAATAACTATAAACAGGCAAAAATGAATGTAGAATACGCTGATCCTTAAAGAGACACGCCATTCGCGGTAAAAGCTAACAAAGGGAGTTGCGCTGCATGGTGTGGCAAAGATCACAAGACCATGGTTTAGCAGACTGAATATATAACCTAGCAAATTAATGAGGAAAAATACTAAGGACCTCAGTGCCACATATCTCAATCATGGTCACTAATTAATACATAGAATAAGTTACTATGGAATCGCCTACGGCAAAGATCTCTCCGATGCAGCATTGTCGATAAATGTGCCCAAGGCGGTGACTAGTCTCGGTTGATGGCGGATTTACAGTGTCAAGTATTTATTGTATCTGACTCTTTCTTTTGCAGATGGTAGTAGTACTCTGCATGTATAGGGCTTCGCTTGATTGTATTAATGGAGAGCTTAAGTTGTGCTAAACATGGAAGATCGGGGATCTTGTCTGTTAATATTTCTTTTCGAATCTATATACATATACCCAGAGCCCAGCTCTCTGCTCTATGGCAAGGGTATCTATAATATTATACAAGGACATACTCTACGGAGGGTCAAAATCCGGACTGACGCTACATATGGGAAACTACATCTCGATGACTTCAAACTACGCCGCTGCACCCAGCCCTGCCAGGATAGCAACCATGATCTTTGTAGCTGTTGAGACGCAGACAAGCTCTCCCTTCCCACGAACTACGCCGCTGCACCCAGCCCTGCCAGGATAACGACCATGTCCTCGAAAGTCCCCAGTATCATCAGACGCAAGTCTCTGTCCCCTCATTAGGTTCTTGTCCGTTTTATTTAAAGATATTATCGCATCTGGCGGGGCTGGCTTGTATCATCTAGTTCCCAGAGCATAGATGATCCAGTCCTCCTCGTAGATCTGGTATTCAATGTGTTGGTCGGGGGGAAGAGTCCTGCTCTTAAAGAAGAAGTGATCCGTCTTCGACGTTTGCGCCTGCTGCCCTTTACTTGGATGTCGACCTTGGCTTTTGTCATTGCCATTCTTTGGCGCTTACGTGGGCGTTTCTCATTGTCATTATTATCAGAGTCGGTTTGGGGGTTCTTTCTAGGCATATCATCAACCACAGCTTGCTCGGGCTCTATGGTCAGGCTTTCCTTTTCATTATTCGTTGGAGTATCATCTGAAAGACTGGCAGAAGCGGTTAATCCTGATGTTGTAGATGTCCGTCTCTCTATTTTTTGACGCTTTAGTCCATGGCCATCATTGCAATCATCATTAGCCCTTGCTCTCTTTCCAATTTGGCGGCTACTTGCGGCCCGGTCTGAGACCATAGGGCTCTTTGTTTCTCTTGTGCCGTCCTCATCGAGTCTCCGCCGCTTCTTGGGTGAATATCCATCAACACGTTGCGTGCTTGCGGTTGGCTGATGTGAGGGGAACAGATTGTCGTCATCGGATTCGTCATTTTGCTGGGCTGCGTCATCGAATCTCATTCGCTTTCTTGACGGGTTTTCATTTTCTCCATGTTGCTCGCATTTTGCGTCTGCATTGTGTTGAGACAAATGGCGTAGATGTTCTTCCGCAGTTTGAGAAGAGGACGGAGGTTTCTGATGCCATGAATCGGAGCCTTGTATCGTTGAATCTTGGCTTGGCGCTTCCGACGCGACTCTATCCCCAGCACAAGGAGCATCGGGGGTGCCAGAAGGTGCCATGTCGCCATACCAGAGATCCTCTTCGTCCCAAAACTGCGTTTGAGGAATCTCCGAGCCATCGTCCGAGAGCGGCTCAATAGGCGCCCCGTTGACAGCATACTTGTCGTCTTTCCAGCCGTATGCAACGCCATCCAAGAGCTGCAGGAGGCTATTCAAGCTGCCGGTTCTGCAGAATTCAACGGCTATGACGCGAGCAGAGCCGCAGGGGAAGGACTGGCCGTCCCTCCAGGCGTTGCGCTTGAAATCGGCGAACCACTTGGTTACCTCGGCCTGCCGCCGCCGGAGAGCTCGTTGAAACAGCTTCTCGAAACTGCTCTTGTCGTTGGACATGGTGGCCAGCTGTATCGCAATGTCGAAGTATTCAGTGGTGCTGGCGATGGGCATCTGGATCGTGTTGAATCGCTGCCAGCACTCGCCCCACAGGAACTCGGGATCGCGAATATCCTCTGGCGCAGTGCTCATCCATTGCAGAGTCTGTTCGCGAGACTTTATCGGCGCCTTGGGGAGGCTCATGATGGGCGTGTGGCGCGCTTGAATCGGCCGGTTCGCAGTCGTAACCGTGATTGCTGTCGTTGGCGTTGGCGTTGTTGCAGTTGCAGTTGCGGTCGCCACCGAGAATCAATAGCGGCTCAGGTTGAGCTTGATGTTGGTTGTGGACAGACTCATCTCTATGAAGCTTCTGACTGTGAGACAGACCAGCCGTGCTGCATGTTGTGCTTCTTGTAGGACAAGGCGGTCAAAGGCGTTCAAAGGCCCCACGACATTAACTGGCCGTTGTTCGCGCAGTACCCAGTCTGACACATAAATTACGTGGCAAAAGAGGTACCGATCCATAACGCGGGCGGGCGTCGATTAGCTTCAAATGTGATTATTGTGTTCAAGATCCTGGGAAATGGCCCGTCCTACTGAACAGCATGCATCTGATGATTCTGATCCGCCGTCCACGCCAGTATTTGATGATGGCAGCCAGGATATGGCACGCATATAAAGAAGGACCATGAGCACCTGATAGATAGTAGGCGCAAGTAGGTTGGTAGTATTATTATTCTGCAGCTGAGCGATTCACACCAAATCGACGCATTCATTGCATGCTTTCCATCTTCACATCATGTCTCTGTTTGTGAAAAGTCTAAGTCAACTATTAAACAAAGACAAATCGCTCAATCCTTCTTTGTCCAAACAGCCTGACCCATGGCCTGCACCCAGACAAGACGCAAGAGAAGCCCTGGCGTTTGAAGATGTAGTAACTCAACTATTCGCTGAAGCTCCGCCATCTGAAGAAGCAACTCGGCCATTTACTGAATCATTTATTGAATTCGGAACATTGACCCATACGGCAGAGGAGCCAGCACCTGAAAGCCTTGCATCTCCTCGGCTCCTCGCTAAAGCGCAGCCAACTGACGACGAGGCGATCCAGTCTGTTAATGGCCTATTCATATTACCAGAAGAAGACGGGCATTTGAAAAAGATTACTGCGCCGCAAGCGAGGACTCAACCTCTTACTCAACAATGCGTCCCGGCAGAAGACACAAGTATTTCAACAGAGGAGTCAATACGCAAGGAATTGACAGCTCAACAACGGGCTGAAGCACCGTCACTTCAAGAGTCTGACCAAGAATCTCAGCCATTCACTCAACCTTACGTGCTTCTAGTTGATTCGACTGACACGCCCGAGGCCATAGAATCTATGGAGGCAACTATACGGAATATGAGACCATCCGACAAGAAAAAAGAGGCCGAGTGCGCTCAAATTGCCTCTGTACCATCCGTGCTTTTTAAATACGGATATAGAGCCGAGACAATCGAGAGTGAGACCAAGAGAGATGTGGCTGCAATTCTTCAATATACTTACTCCCGCGTGCCTGATACCCGGCTTATCATATCTCACCGTTCCAAATATGTCAAAGGCAGAGAGATGAGCAGCAGCTCGGCCATCATCAGCCCCAAGCAGCCACTCCGCAGCAGAGACACATTTGGCGTTATTCAGCGCACGCAAGATGTGGATTTCACCATCGACTTGCTGCATAGCCACAATTCTTCTAGGCTCAATTGCCAAATCATCTACCGACCTGACAGCGATAATTGTTTCTTGGTCAATCACACAGGGCAGGACATGAATCTTGTGAGCTTGAACTCGGAGGATCCTTGGAGTGCATGTGTCGCAAAGGGTTGGTATACGGTCATTGTCCCCAGCATTTTCGAGCTCACTTTATCAACCCCTAAGATTGAAGCCAGTGATGCTTCATTCTGCGTTGAAATCATGCTACTCAAAAAGCAATTCAACATCTGCATTCCAAGGCCGCATAATCACGCACCGCAAAAACGGAGTGTTAATCATGCTAGAGATGAGACTACGTCAACAAAGCGACAAAAGCTAAACAATAGGAAAGCCGAAAGCACCAACTTTCAATTACATTTATCGGCTACTGGCGATTCAATCATCCCAAAATCTCGTCGTGATTACGTTGCTCGAATTGCAGATCTCAGAGATGGAGAGACTGCTATAATTTCTTCCCTAGCACCTGGTGGAGGTAAAAGCATTGTGCCCGCTGTTAGATCTTCATACCAACTACGGCGGCATAGTTCAATTAATAAAACGGCGTTCTCGCAAGTTTTTACCGCTCGGCACTCTGAAATATCAAAAGACTTGGTTGTTAAGACTCCTCGATCTCAAGATCCCATCCATCTAATGTTAGCTGTGAAGATCTGGAAAAGAGAAAAGACTACTCTCGAGAGACTAAATCATGTAAGTTTGTTATATAATACTCATTCCTGTTTCTATGACGGTTTCTTACCTTCCAATAGCCGAATATCGTAACACTCATCGCCTTTGACAGCCGTATACTCGCACTATACCTCGAGGAGCTCCCCAAATCTCTCTTCCGTGGAAGTCTGTCTACATTCGAGCCACTCAATGCTTACAAAATACTGTATGGCGTTGCATCTGCCTTGAAATATTTAGCCACTCGCCGGATTGTGCACAATGATATCAAACCCAAGAATATTGCTTACTGCCGCAGTCGAGGTGCTGTTCTATTTGACTTTGGAGCGGCCACGTCGCCTAAATTTGAACAACCAACAGGTGGAACAGCTTGGTATATGCCGCCAGAATTCATAGAAACATCGGCGCGCGGTGCTCCAGGAGATATATGGGCCTTGGGCATTACAATGCTTTATGTGACTGGCAAGATTCAACATCCGGATAGGTCATCTAATAACTGGCATATCATCGACACCCGCCATCAGATAGAGCCTGCGTACAAAAAGGCGCTTGACTGGCTGCGACTTATTTCTGACCAAAGAGCGAAACTGGACCAAAAGGATAATGTTGAATCTCTGATTTACCGAATGCTCCAACCAGAGCCGATATACCGCATAAATGCAGCAGCTATTATTACCGAGTTACGATCAGGTACTTTGAAACCCATTAGACTCGAGTAGGGATTACTAGCATAGTGTTCCGCTATGCGTCATGCTATAAGAAGGTTTCCATGCGGTCTAGCGAATATAAAACATTTCTTAGTTTATAGGTGTCGGGCTTCAATATTCGGATCGTGAAATCTGGCTTCTTGTCCAATCATGACACATGTAGAGTTTTGAAGAATCCTGAAAGTGACGTTTTAAGATATAGCGTGTATGGCATTGCTTAAGGTGTCAGGCTCGGCGGTGCGTGCTGTGCGCAGGTCGGTGCATTTATTGAGCATTGCCGCTCGATGAAAAACAAGACCCTTTTCCATTTTCAACAGAGCTTCATTTCACAGTTTGTTGGTTGTTGAATACTTTGACTCATATCGGCGGGATATACTCACCAGATATATTTTACTTTTTACAGCAAAGCCATGGCCATCTGCGTTAGAAAGCACACGAGCCAATGTTGCTGCCGCCATTTATCCGCTGCGTGCTGCCGTGATCATTGCATAACTTCCTCGAGAATTGTCGGCAAGTCTTTACGTACCTCGTAAGATTTTACTGCTTATCATTTCCGCTACCCTCTGAAATAAGAAAGTAGATAATATATTACAAAGAATTGTGGAACGGTCTGTAATAAAGTGTACTAAATAGGGCAAAAGACCACGCTTATAGATGTAATTATAGCGACTATGGTCACAAAATTAGCTGTTTGTACGGGATCAGCTTCACGAAGAACCAGGATGTAACATATCAGTGTATGGAATCAAAAGCTCAAATGAGAGTATTATGAAGAATAGCGGGGGAATATTACCTGCTTTATAAGTGATGATACAAATTTTTGCATTTGCAAAACATATATATGCCCTTCGCAAGCCCACCCAACTAAACATGACCAGATCAAAAATTGGTAGGTTGTACCAAGATAATCCTTTCGATTTCAAAATGAAGACATTCATGAGCCTGACCTTTTTGATGGCTATTGCCATAGTAAAGGTGCAAGGGGAACAAGGTGTAAGTCAATGTTTACCAACAATTTACATATCGCTAAATAACTACAGGCTTGCTTTTCCTGCGAAAGTATCAACATTGGTGCTCCTGTAAGTAAACGTTTCAGTGAAGCTTATATCTACCTACTAACATGGTCCAGGGCGGAGTATGTGTATTGTTGATGTGAAATAACGGAACCTCATGAAGCTAAATAAATCTAGTGCTGTACTTTTGAAGCCGATAGCCCAGCGAAAATATTGCCTTGCCCTGGTGATTGCTCTGTGAGTTAATATTATTCCAAGATGCTGTTACAGAATATGAAACTAACTAATATTATTACCAGGGCCAAGACGCGGTATTTCAAAACACACCCTTGGAATTATATATTAAGCTAATAGTAACAGGCCTGCTTCTATGAGAATGGTCAAGTAGTAGGTTTGTTGAGATCTATTCAAGACGCTCTAAACTAATGCTGGATAGACTTGTTAAATTCGCAAACTCATACTTGAGTCCTTGTCATTTTCGATCCGCATCTCAACACAGTTACGTGATTGCAAGTATGACTCTGACCGGCGCGAAATCAGCAATACAGTCTTTATTGGCTGGCAAAAGTGTTAAGCTCAAATGGTAATCGACTCAACAGCTAGTGAGAAGATTAAATAACATGAACTCTCTTACATGCATCAAATTTTGCAGTACTTAGCTCTTGTCTCCCGTGCCATTATCCGGCTTGAGTGCGTCATTCTCAATAGCTATTAACAGGTAACAAGATAAGCGGTAAGATGCACTATGACTAACAAATTTCTGCGAGAAAAACCAGAGGTCTGTATGCTATCATTACTTCGTGTTTGTCTTGAGAACTTCTTCAAATTCTTCAAAGAAAGACTGCTCCCAATCTGCCCTTGATCTCGTTGGTTTCCAGCCTAGCTCTTTGCCAATTTCTGCTCTCGTCCTAGCATTGCTCGCAAACCCCAGTTCGCACAGTTGCGTGTCCCCACGAACCCATTTTTCGGCAGCTTCTTCTAGACTGATACTTTTCGCCTCGGTTTCAGTCAACTGTCCAAGTTTTACGCCGGCCTTGGCAATCCACTGCGCGACATCCTTCCAGGCGAATGTTCCGGTACCGCTAAAAACAAACCCCTTCTCTCCAACCGGAATGGCTCTTTGTCCCTGGATCCAATCCAGCAAGACAATCTCGTATAATGGAGCGAGGTCGAGTATGTGCACAAACTCCCATACGCCTCTGCCATCACCAACATATTCTGCTCGTCCACTTGCAATCGCCGCCTTCATTTGCAGCGGATACTGAATGGTTATTCGGTTGAACTTTCCGGATCCAACGCCGTAGATTGTAGGACTCATGATAATTGTGGTAGGCACACTCTCTTCCTTTCCTGTCTCTACAACCGTGAGATCCGTAGTACGCTGAGCATATGGCTCAAGATTTTCTCTTTTCTTCAGATACTCATAAATATCCGAATCTTTATCGCTGAAGGTTCGAGATTCGGCATATATTTGACTTATGGGTCGATCAGCAAGATTCGACGTGCCAGACGTATGGATATAATATAGATTGGCATCTTTTTTCGATGTTTTACGTATCCCAAGACCTTGGATCAAGGCCCTGGCACTCGCAGTATGGTATCCGGAAGCGGTGTGAATTACAACGTCGTTTTCGGAAGCTGCGGCTTTGATAGCGTCCAAGTCATCAAGATCTTTGATGGTATAAACTTTGAGACCAATGGACGAGAAATATTCTGCTCGAGAGTCATTGCGAACGAGGACAGAAATCTCCAACTCTCTGATTGCTTGATTGGCCGAGGATTGCAAGTGAGAAAGAATCGACCCGCCGATATAACCGGTCACGCCGGTAATAAGTACTTTTGTCATTGTCAACGCTGAGAGTATACACAGCCGTTAAAAGAGTACAATTTCATGATGGTTTTATGATACTTCTGCTGTTCTTTTCATTACAAATCATATCGCCGGCGGGGCACTTGTAACTCCGTACAGCCATCGGAGATAGCTGTCTGACGCCAACTTGTGCCAGAGATGGCATGCATGTCGTCGGTGATAACTGATCATCAAGAATTAAGCTAATCTTGATTGACGCTTGTATTAGAAATAGTGTTTTACCCACGCTTAGAAATACACTTGTTTTGTTTCTACATCAACGAACGGTCGGAGAAATGTAATTCAACACCACATTCGAATGACTTGACCTTGTCTTCATTCAAGACTTGAACCTTTTCTGATTCATCATTGCGCATTGTGCTTGTTGCTTCTTATCGTCGACTATATTAATGAGAACGCAAACCATTCATTTGTCGTATTGCGTTGTGGTAGAGATGTGGTGATATGTCTAAACCGTAAACTAACCGGAGATTTAAACCATAGTTTTAGCATTGAATGCGGGGAAAAGATATCTAGTATGGCAGGTATAGCTCAACAAGGCAGTCATTTTGCATGTAAAATAAAGTACTATTCAATTACTATATATACTTGGTAGTAGCAGTATCAACAGTAGCCATCGCAGCAGAATTAACAACAAAATCGTAGGGCGCTCTAACCAAATCCCATATTCTTGATTGGAGGTTCACTGGCTTCAAACTGCAAGATTTGCTGCAACTCAAGAAAAGACAAAAGCAGACGTGCCAGATATAGGCAGAATAACATGAATGTCCGTTTACTACCATTGTTGTCGCCGTTGTCGCCGTGATTCAGGTTCATGTTGGCAGCGTGGCAGCGTTAAAAGGCACATACATTACGAATGACTTGGACAGGCGCATCTTAATTTTTCGTGTCACTGGTGCCGGTACTCTAGAAGAATGAAATGGTAACGTTTGGGTCTGCATTGTCGCCGCTACCTGGTCCGCCATCCCCTTCCCAGCGCAAGCCATGAAGATACTTGGCATTATCGTACACACAGCGTATCTGGAGAGTCTATCTGGCGCCGCACACCTTAGCGCCCCTTTCTTTGGAACTGAAAGTCTCCCATATAGTTGACCATCCGGGGAAGATTTTGTCATGGCTTAATTGACGTCGAGCCAGAGCCTCCGTCCGTATCGCGGCCCGTTTTGAGGCGCCAAATGTGGCATCCCATGCAGGATCCGTAGTGGCTTCGCAAATCGGGATCATGTCAGAGGTGCAGACGTCGGGTGTATGGCCGATCTTCTTGTCCTATTGTTGGAGTCTTTTAGGCCAATGTCAGTAAATGAGACATGATGTGTAGGCGTAGGTAGCTAGTAGTAAAACATACCATGTCGTGAAGGAGTTGGACTCTAAGACGGCTGTTGTCCATGTTGAGTAATACCTGTGGAGAGTGTTGGACATTTGACCAGTCTAATGTCTGAAATCTGACGCACCACTGCCTACCTGTGGAGCGCAGCACCCAAGGCCCAGACGACTTGGACAAGGTGGAAATGCTGAAGTCTGAAACCTCGCCTGAACATGATAATCTGAAGCCACAGTCTCTGAGCGTGTGTAACCGGGATTCATCAAGACCTGCTTGTAAGAGGTGTCGACTAGGCTCTCCAAGAATTCTTCCTAAGCCGTATCCATATCTGGGCATTGGGAGTGCCACCAAGGTCGGTCGAGGTCGTTGCGGTAGTCGGTGATGCCGACAAGAGAACTGGGGTTTGCTGCTCAAAAGATCGGATGGAAGATTTATTTGTCGTAGAATCTTTTGGCGCCTTTCGAGAATCGCTTGGCGAGAGTCTTAATCACCTCTTCTGCCACTTTGACCCCAACTTCTTCCTTAAGCTCATCGCCCGTGGGCTCGTCGTCTTTGGGCTCACCGTCTTTGGCCTCATCGTCGTCTTTGTAGTCTCCATCTTCCCGCGGAGGTTCCAGGTGTCAAAGTATTTGTCAACATCTTCAGGGCTGGAGTTTGCTGGGCTCTTCAACAATGGGCTGCGCGAGTCTCTTGCTTCGACGGAGGGCGTAGGGGCGGTGGACGCAAGGCGTTTGGGGGCCATCGTGACGTATCGAAGCGCATATAGGTGATGGTGTTTTATTGAGTCGGGGTAACATGAGTCTTTTCGAATGGCTGCGAGAAAATCCTGTGTCGCCATGCTGCAGTTCCTGGCGACAAATTCAGTCTCCATCGTCAATATGACAGTCGCAGCGAGGTACGCCGCCCGGACTTGCGCACCTCAGACATCAAACGCCCAACCATTGAATCTGGTCACGGCACATATCCATAGCTTACGCCAGGGACTTGGTCTCTTCGTCTCTTGATCGGTGTTGGACTGGGCAGCGAATCTTCTGGCACGGGATCAGCCAGCATTCCTTGGCCCGAGCCGCAGACCAAAGGGCGCAGAGCCGCGGCGGCAGAGATGGCACAGGAGGGAGAGGCATCGTTGTTGGATAGTGGGTGAAGGAGTTGAAGGAGTTGGAGGGGGTATTTACAAGCCGAAAGCAGGGCTTGGCTGATGATGTTTGAGAGAGCGCAAAGCAGAAGATATTCAGGTGCCAGCAGCCAAGGTGATTTCCACCTGAGGCAGCCTGAATCTGCAGGTACCAAGCACAGGCCAGTCACTGTATCCAAGTACCCACTACCTATCAGCCCAAAGGACCTGTACTTCCACGACGTGTACCGGGAACAATGTCCCGTGCAGAAATTCTGCCGCATCGCAAAATGTAAGGCGGTGCAGTAAAGCGGTGCAGTAGTACTCCAACTCTGGCCAAAATCTTCGCGACTCTCCCTCTCGTTTGCAATCATCACAAGCTGTACGCACTCTATCCGTCACCGATTGCTCAGTCACTTCAGTCACCAATTGATGGCAGTCAGATTCTCCATCCAGTACCTCGACGACCGCCTCTTTTTTCCTCGTCAGAAATTCTCCCCCATGTGTAAGTTGGACGCCCGCCCCCACCTGTCCATTACCAGGATCCCGATCCCGATCCCGATCCGGTCCCTGAATCCGTGTCCAATGAGCGTCTGGTTTTTGGCTGATTTCTTCTTTTTTTGGCTTCGGCTTCTGCCGCTGCCCCTCGCCGGATCCCCGCCGTAAGTCAAAATGCTGTCGCACAAGGAACTCTAATTCCTGTACACCATGGAAGCTGATGTTTGTGGAAAAGACTCTTCGCTGCCAGTTGATCGCGATGACCGACCATGTTTCTTTTCCTCGCCGCCGCCGTCGTCTTCACTGTCCTCTGGGCCCTTAAGGCGTATTTTTCCTGTCGGCTGCAGCTGCGTGTTCCCGATTATTACACGGAGCAATCCAATGGCTACGGCACATGCCGTCGCGGAACGAGCGGCGGACTTGGTCATAGACGACCTGAAGGCTAGGAAAGGGAGACCCGGAGAATCCTACCAAGGTCCTATACAGGAAGAGGTTGATCATGCAAACGATGTGGCAGTTGCCGCTCTCCATGAAGAGGCGCCTGGAATAAGTGCGGACTCCATAAAGTGTGGTTTTATAGGTAAATCATACTATTGGTGGTTGTACGGACCTTTTGTCAATATCCAACGTCAGTTCTAATCCGTAGGCAAGCTCTCCAGCCTCATAATCTCCTGCATTATGTGCCGTTCTTTTTCCTCCAGCTGAAGTAGTCTCCTCACCAAGTTTGCCTTGATACGAACCGTCGAGAGCTGGTCCCGTAGCTCCACCAGGATTTCGGCTACTCTCTCGCCCCCCGATGTTTCGACTACCTCCGACTTTTCAGCTGAGGGGTCCATCTCATTCGTGGCTGCTGACTCTACAACGGGTATCGAGACACCCGCAGGAGCAGGTTCCTGGACTTGGGCATGACTGTCGAGATCCTCAGCCGCTGGTTGATGAATCATTGTGGTGCTTTGAACCGGAGGTATGAGTGAAAGCGCACCTGTTGCCGCCTCCGCCGAAAGTTTCGTCTGGTCGACAGGCCCCAGGGTCGGCTTGTCCGCTACGGCCATTGATGTCGTTGCAGGTACAGCAACAACTGCTCCGGTCTTGAGCGTTAATTCTGCATTCTCATCCACCCAATTACGTATGGTGACAAGGCTCTTATATTTTTCCAAGTCTTTGACCAGCAGGTTGCCAGGATCCTTGACCGTGCCTCGATTGTTCTTGGGGTTGAAAAGGATATTCTCCCCTTTGACACTGCTGCCGGACATGGCTGCCGTCAAAGTTTCCCACTTCTCCTTGACATTGGTAAGCCTGTCCACCTCGCCAGAGATCATGATCTTGGCGCTGAACCTCTCGCCCAGTGGATCCTCTACTAGTTTGTCCCTCTTGAGTAGCACGGCGGTCTGCATGAAGCTTGGGATGCCGCTCTTGATAGCTTTATTCTCATAAAGCCCCCAGAAGACGGTGTTCTTCCTCCCGCCACGCCTGGAACTGTGACCTTGCGTCCTCATTATACCTTCGACACGTGCATGGCCCTTGATCTTGTCGGTCTTTTTGAGTTGCCACGTGTACCCGAGACTACCCTTTCCGGGTCCGCATGATGCCTCTAGATTAGGGTTCACTGAGTGGCTCACCTCCCGCTCTGTCTTAGACTTGAATATAGCCCATGTGTTGGACGGAGTGATGGCTTTTACATCCCCTGCGGAAAAGGTCAAGGTGACCTTGACTTCTTTGAAGCGCCGGTTGTTGCCGCGCGGCACGAATCCGAATTGGAAGACCGCGAGTGTGGCGGGCTGGTCACTGTACAAAAAACCGTGAACGGCCTGTACCAAGTCGCATTGCACAATGAGAGCGTCGCCACCTATGTTAACATCGATCAAGCCTGTGCTGTCGCCGCCGTTGTCGATGTTGGCGCCTCTGATTGTGAACTTGGGCTTAGCGCTAATATCATCCGGGTTGGTCTTGTCCTCTAGAACAATCTCAAACTCATTGTTAACTGATCTTGCCGTCATGGTGGCGAACCAGCTGTTCTTTCGCACTCAAAGGCTGAGGTATCAGACATGAAGGGAGCGGGGAAAGCTTGAAGCTGTAGGAGTCATTACATACATTCACTGGTTTCACACAGAAGAGTTGGACACACCGTCAAAGGTTGCTAGCCTTCATTGGGGCATTGGAAGATGAATGTACCGTACATTGAGGCATTGCAAGATGAATGTACTGTATATATAAGGATTTTAAGTGTTCAGCGGTGGCTGGTCAGCAGATTGGGGGCGCAACAGCCTGATTACCTTTGGGGCTGCATGATTTGTTGGCACGAACAAGGGCTTACATGGGTCACTGCAGAAGGGCGTCTAAAGGGTGGTATCGCCAGCGACAGCCCGGAGTGGTATCACGCACATGCGTGCACCCTTCAGGGTTACCTGAGATTGCGATCAAAAGTAAAGCACGCCGGCGAACTATAGAGAACGAGCTTGAGCGGGCGGGCCGTTATTGGCGCGGTTGGTTCATTCATCATAAAGTCACTAACATCGCTTCACGCTTCTGGGGGAGATGTAGAGCAGAGCAACCTCATATGAATACAACATGGGACGCGCTTTACGCCCGTCTGTTCTAACCACCCTTTGGACAGCCTTGCCGCTGCGTATGGGGCCTCGACAGCTGTAGCTCTAGCCGGAAAGACTACCAACAGACGTCCAGCTGCATTACTTTCAGAATTTCTCCTCCTCTCATAATGCATTCATTCCTTCAATCCATCTGCGAGAACAAGGCCTACGCTGGCGACTAAGGCTCATCCACCCGCAAAGTCGTCCGCGTCTTCAGCTTCCATGGCGCTTGTTCCCGTCCTATTCGTTGAGGCGGCACATCTTTAAAGAATCTGGCAACTACCTCTTCTCGCAGGGCCTTCATTAAGGCGTCCGTGTTCGTATTCGACAGGGAGGAATGGCCGAAAACTCTCCGCACCGGCAACCACTTGTTGGGGGTGACGTGAATGCTGTTGAAGGCGCTGCACATCCCGCGGTGGCTCTTCAGCCAGGTGTACTCAGCATCCGTGGCAGTCTTACCGCTGACCTGGGCGCAGTGGAGGATCATGGCCGCCAGCCCGGCCGCCAACGCGCACGATAGTGAACTGCCATTGTACGTTTCCCACACCGTGGGTGGCTCGTCTACACGGCGCGCGCCGCTACTCTCTACCGGAAAGCCGAGCTCGACGCCGGGCAAGAAGTAGTCGCAGGATGCATCGCCCCCGTCGATCTTGTCCCAGCGAATGCCGTCTTGGGTCGCCGCACCGATGCAGAAAACCCGACTGGTGTCCAGCTGCTTCGGGTAAGACTTGTTGTCAGGAAATCCAACGCCCTTGTCTGGATTGGCACAGAACAGCAGGATGTTGTTGTCGGCCGCGAGCTTGATTGCGTTACGCAGCTCACCCATCCGAGTTGTCTGATAGTCCGAGTCCTTCTCGTCGATAGCCCAGCTCATTGAGATAATTTCGACCTTCTCTGCCACGGCCCACTTGATTGCCTGAACAGTTAGATTCCAATATTAGCACCTTTGCCGAGTCCAAGAGGAGAAACCCAGGTGGACGGGACGACTTACCTCGACTATTGACTCAATTGAGAATGAGACCGTCGCTTGGCCTGAGCTGTCACCATGCTTGGGCTCTGGATTGAGCTTTGCCACGTAGAGCCTGACCCCAGGACACATGCGGCAGATGTAGTAGGCCATGACGGTGCCATGGCCGTGAGCGGATGTGTTGTAATTCTGCGAATACCCATTCTTTGACCTCCTCGAACTCGGATTCGGCTGGTGCACCCAAGAGTCGCCGCGCTCAATAGAATCGTCCAGTGTCGCATAACTAGACTTGACGCCGTCATCAATCAGGGCGACCTTGATGGGAGTCGTTTCCTTCTACCAGGTCTGTCAGCAAACAATTCGTATCACGAAACATCAGTATTCATAAACCTTATCTTTCTCCAACATCTCGATGATGTCTGCAAACTGATCCATACACTTTAGCCAATCCTGCCTGTGTGATTGTCAGTTAGATTGAACCTCTGATCTGAACCGAATAACTTATATACGTCACGACTTACTCTGCGAATCCCTGTTCGCTCTCTCCTTTGAGTTTAGACGCCGCCGATGCCATTCCCGAGTCCCTCTTCTTTGCTGGTTTGATTGCCTCGCAGTGGATTTCTACGAGTTTCCCTTTGTTGACTTCCTTGAACATCTGCTGCAGGTCTTTCTTGAATTTTTCAACGTATACTTTCATAGTCGCCATAGACTCTAAGCCCTGTACTTTGATGTCAGCCGCATGGCAACTCCGATGCCGGCATGGTGTGCCGCAACCAACAAGGGAGCATTACCTGGTTGGTCTCGAGGTAAACCTTCTCCAACTAAGGCCATTTGTTAGCAATTTTCAACTCTGGCTTCTCATGTTATCGAATACAGTGGCAAGCTTACATTTTTGAGTCTTGCTAGTCCATTCCTGTCTGCCCAGGCTTCTAATACCACCTTAGGCCGCTGCAGTACAGGTATATAGTCTTCACATGGTCTCCTGCCGCTTGATAGATGACTCCTGTCGGAATATCCAACCGGGCCCAATCCCAAATTTCGACTTGGAGACCCTTTAGGGACTCAACAATCGCCTTGTCGCTGTGCGGTAGTGTTTCCTCGTCCCCAAAATCGTCCACCATAACCTCAAAAACCTTTTTGACCGGCAATGTGTTGCGGTTCTTCAGCCAGTGGAAGATCATGTATAAATCATTGCGGCCGAAACAGTCCCAGGAACTAACTACGGACAGAGACTTTAACTACTGCTTCAAATGCTATTGGACTGCCGAGGAGACGCAGCCTGGCCAGGAGTGGGAGAGATTGCCGAAATGGAGCACCGACCACGATCGATTTCTCAGCGCGAAGAACATGAAAAGGACGCAGGGACTAGTTCAAACTCAGAGAGTGATGATGACTGAAGTCGACGAGGCAGCTTCCATGGAAGGTAGGAGATGTGTTGAGATCAAAGGGACTCCGCTGTCAGCTTTTCCAGAGTGAAGACTCTTTCAAGTAGCTAGAGTCCAATCTACTTCAGAGCGTAGAGCACAGAGTCATGTACGTAACTGCATACAAGAGAAAAACGCCCCCGATTCAGGTCACTGTAGCTGCTGCCCGGTACCACCAACATCAGCAATGAAGTGTCTGGTGAGCGCGGGCGCCGTTTGGGTAGTGGTCGGTCGACTTTTTCCTCCAGCAGTGTGGGTTACTTTGCTATTGTTGTTTTTATTTTATCTCTCTTTTTCTTTTATGTATCAATATATTGTTCTGCCTAGCCTAGTTTTAGCAACTGGTATCTCTTTATATATTCGTTCGATGTGACCTTGATGTAGACATATTCACTACAGGCGTAAAATGGCACCAAATCGAAGCTTGTATATGCAGTATCAACCTATTAATCGTATGGCCCAGTCAGGTCAAAGGGCAATGTCTCCATCTCAGTGTCGGTGCGGTCATAGTGAAGTCGAGTGCGAACCACTACGTAGGCTGGAACGAGAAGAGAATTCGTACAGCACTACCAATCTGAAGCCATAAGCTGTTGAGCATTTTGTTGTTTGTATCTTTGACTTCAAACGTTTTAACACATTGCTCTGTCTGCTTGGCTTCGATCCATTGACCTCTATAAACCGGTGGTCTTGGTTGCCCCTACCTGTGAAAAAAAAAAAAAAAAAAAAAAAAAAAAAAAAAGAGCCGGCATCATCACTTTTGAGCCGAATCAAATCAGAACATTCTACTTGGGTAAGTGCGAAATGTTGCATACTGTATCTCAGGTATCTTCACCATCGAATGCCACATGTATTGAATATGGAGGCCTTAATGGCAATCTAAAGTGCCTTCAGCTTGGGGATTCAGCCCACGTCTTCTACTATAGTTTACTGCAGTGGCTTCTATTCGTCCTGACTGCCTACTCTTCCCAGGAAAGCTAGCGGCTCGTTAAAGTCGAGCGAAAAGCTATAAACTATCTCATTGATCTGGCATCAATAACCTCCAGCTGCAGATCCTGCTTGTGCAGGGTAGCCAGGATATCATTACTGTTTCCATTTTTAGCATCAACTTTAGAGACGGGCGCAGTTGATACTGGTATCCAGGTCGGCAACAAGGTGTTAAGTGATTTCCATCTTGAACTCTACGCATAATTCACCTTGATTTGTAACCATCAACAAGATTCCATCAAGTTTAATTGTCAGAAATGGCCGACTGACTAATTCATAAGGCGTCTAGAACGACGTGGTTCCTTTGTCTAAGAGCTAGTATCTTAGCAAATTGCTTCCAAAGTGACTGATGGCTCCGTCTCCACTCATCTTGCGCAGATAAATATACAAAGATTTATACCTATCCAACTCAGACAAATGCCCATTATTAATTCTCGTTTCCCATCTTTCCATCATGCATCTCTCGTTCGCACTCTACCTTGCTACGGCAGCCTGGCCTCTATCTGGCGTTGTACAGGCATCCGAGACCTGTCGACATATCAATATTCCCGTTTCCGTGTCTGTTCCACGCTTTGAGCTAGATACTACCATAAATAACAACTGGGACGCAGCCACTCTTACATTCAACTTTACACGACGAGATGCTGGCTCTCCGACAGCACCGCTTCCTATTTCCGGCGTGACATCCACTCCTGTGGAAAGCAAGTTCACTATAAGTGCGAAGCTTTGCGGTACCGGAAAATCGATTCTCATACTAACCCATGGGATACTTGAATCTTCACTGTACGTAACTAATCTATCCACACAATACCGCGTAACGGTGTGTTACTAATTGCCCCAGTTACTGGAATCCTGGTTTCCCCGGCGGCGAGTCTTATAGTCTAGTCAGCGCTGCTGTTGCCGCTGGTTACTCTACGCTCACTTACGACCGAGTTGGAGTAGCGTCATCTTCTCCGTAAATATTTCACAGGCTCTTACATGTTTGGCGATCTGTCTAATTCTTTGCCGTAGGGCAAACTCTCTCTCAGAAGCCCAATTTGGTGTAGAAACTGCCATCCTCAACCAACTCGTCCACTATGCAAAAACAACCATCTCTGCGTCCAAGGTGGCGCTCGTCGGGCATAGTTATGGATCGTACCTCTCAGCGGCCACCGCCAGCCAAGTAGCGGTTGATGCTGTCGTGCTGACTGGTTTCAGCGGAACGTTGCAGTTTTTTGCGCCGTTTCTTGCTGGAAGCAATTTACGCGTAGCCAGGATCCAGGATCCTCTCCGCTGGGGACACCTTGACTCGGGATATCTCACGTCTTCTGATGTTTACGCCGAAGCGTACGGCTTCTTTGCCGAGCCATTCTTCGAGCACCGTGTGGCCGAATGGAACTTTAATGTGGACAGCCAGCCGTTTGGCGTTGGCGGGCTCCCATCTCTGCTTGCAACCGAGATTCCGTATGGCAACATAACTGCGCCAGTGCTGGTCTTGCAGGGTCAATACGACTTGCCTTCTTGTGGCGGCAATTGTCTTGGTCTGCTTAACAGCACAAGTGAACTTTTCTCAAACGCCAAAGTGGTAGAAACTGTCGATGATTTGCCAGCAGGGTAAGTAGCTTCTTTCACTGACTATTCCAGAGCTGAAGCTGACAATCTCCAGGCATAACATTAATCTTCATAAAAGTGCTCCTCAAGCGTTTCAGATGCTGCTTGCCTTCTTGGGCAAACAAGGTCTCTAAGCTATACAGTGATGATACATCTCATCATGCGATAACTGTTATTACGCCCCTGCCACAGGTACTGTCAATTTGTCAATTTGGGAATGCTACATGCCGGTGATCGCGCCTACAGTGTCAAGGATGTTCCTAGTCTTATATCATAGCATGAATAGACATATAGCAAAATAGCTGTCATATAAATGCTGTAATTCTTAAAGCTTTATGGAGAGCTACCTTTCGCTTGTGATGCCATAATGCAAAGGCAGGATGCTTAGTAACGAACCAGCGATTAGGTTTGTCAATTGCTCGCAGCTCGTAGATGCCGGGAGACGCATCCATTCCAATGCCGACATCATACAGTAAATTCGAGGCCCACATACATTTTCCAAAATAGGCAAATGGATCCCATCCGCCTCCACTGTCCGAAAAGGACTAATGGTCCAAGCATGCGGGGGGCGCGGGAACTTGTTACAGTAGGACGCAGTTAGTTTTCTGTTTTTACTCTTTTTTCACACAGTAGGGATTTGGGTCCGCTTGTCGGGAGACATCCAAGCCCCAGAGTCGCCCGGTATTACGGAGTAGGTCAATGAGAGTTGAGCTCTAGACTTAACTTGTACGAAGTGCGATTATAGGATTAGACTATTTGATAGGTAGTCTCTATAAAGGCAGTAGACGGTAAAAGTTGCTGGCTTAATTTGACGCGCTTCAAAGTGGCTGCTATGCTCAATTCTTTCTGCGAGTCCTTCTCCCTCTGCTGCTTTTACAACATCCCTTGCTCACAGACTCTCTCGCATCGTCATCATTAAAAAGGCCACTATTACCACCGACTTGCTCTCCACCCGGAACGTTTTTACTGCTGACATTGCTCCCAGACCAGGCGGCAATCTTCTCGAGCAATTCATTCGCCATGTCCTGCAGCCTAACCTGTAGCTAGTAATTAGAGCAAGCATTTGTAGTTTTCTTTTCTTTTTCTTTTTCTTGTTTGGCACCTACCTGATAGTCTTCGATGTCCTGCATAGCACTCTCGCTGTCATTTGAATGTTCAAACTGGAAGTAGTGATTCCAATCTGGATTCATGATGTCGCCTAAAAGCAAAACCACGAGTAAAATATAAGGGGAAGCTCGTTTCTCTGCCGTCAGGGAGACAGAGGCCCCCAAGATTAAAGGTAAAATGTGCAAATCGAAAGCTCTATCTTCATCTGAAGAGATGATATGGTGGATTATCCCCTGTGTTTGTTTTCAAAAGCAAAAACTCCATCGACGCTGTAGCAATCTGGCGATTTATAGAGCTCTATCGTGTGATCGGAACATGTCGACACTGTGCAGACGCATTGGCGTCCAAAGCTTCATCGACACATTCTACGACTTTGTCCGGAGACGGATCCATTAACTCTTTCTGCTCAAAAAACTACATAGACGTCGGGATCCCCGCCGACGACCTCAGCTCAGTATTGCCAAGGGCTGGTGCGGCTTTACCGAGCGGCAATTGTCAGCGCCACGCTAACTTACATTACGAGATACAAGCTGGGATTTGATAAGGTGTTCCAGCAAGGAAAGCTGATTGACTAGATCAGGCATATGGAGTTGAAGCTTGTGCGGCAGTGATTAGCGGCGCGGCAGATTGACATGAGGTGACTTGTATAGAATGCGCAGAGGAGATTGGAATGCCATCTTCGATTGTGTATTCGGAACCGGGCTGGATCGACTCACCGACATTCGCAATTTCTGGATCATCACAGTTTCTGGATTAGAACTTTTTTCCCTACTTTGGATTGAACTGCATCTTTTAGGTCTTGAATCCAAGGGGCTCGGATCCCAGAAGCTTTCAATGGATACTGGGAGGCTGGCTGCGCAGCATGAGCGCGCATGCCCTCGGCCTTTTCGGATTGGAGGGAATCATTGACCATATATCGATGCTTACAAAGTCTATATTGGTCCAAAATCTCTGCAACCAGCTAGTTTTGCACAATGAATCTCGGGACGAGTCATTTTCTGTCAGCTTTCAAGCTATCCGAAGATTTGCGGGGCTGAGCTGCTCGAATCTATCTCGTCACGGCCCCATCTATGGACGCTGACAAAACCCATGTACGACTTATTGGGGTATATATACCATCTCATTCGCCTCAATTCTCGTGGTCATGGTCATCAAGCTGTTTTTGAGTTACAATAGGCGCCATTTATCTTCACTTTTGCTACTTCAAGATGGGCTCCAAAAAAAGGAACCATGCCGGTTCATTCCGCATCTACCAGTCTTCTCCAAATCTCCTGTTCGACGAGGTGCCCATCAATCCTCTCGACACGACAAATCTCGTCAAGCCCTGGGTCGTCACCTATTCCATATACATTAATGGACGCCTAGATTCTACCAAATTACATGACTCTTTGGAGTCTCTGATATCGAAAAAGCATAGAATTCTTGGTGCAAGGCTTGTAAGTGCAGTTTCTCTTCCGGCAGGCCAACAATGACTCTGATGCGTCTTTTTCTAGACTTCGGCATTGGACACCTTCTATGTGCCTCATTCGGAATCATTCTCGCGTGATACCTTGCCAGCGGTTGTATTCACGGCAAATAACCATGGAGAAAAAAGTGTAAAGTCCGCCAATCCTCATTTGCCACAGTCAGATGCTCGACCCGACCGAATCACGCTTCATCCTGCCGCCGAATCGCTTCAAGCTTTCGTTGCAGCCGAAGGAACTCCAGAACAGTATTTCCCAAGCCCCAAACAGCCGGAGCTTAACCCCCCAATGTTGAAAGTTGACGTTGAAGCATTTTCCGACGCGACAATCATCAGTGTACGCAGCCCTCATATACTCCACGATGCCAAGGGATTCGAGCGAATAATCACAGGTTGGGCGACTGCGGTGAATTCTGGTGTAGAACATGTGCCGGATCTAGCACCGTTGGGATGGGATCCTTTATCCGGGCTCGGTGACAAGAACAGCCCAGCAAACGACGCCAAAAACATTCCGCGGGGATGGACGCCGATCGTGGGTGCCGCTGAGAAACAGTTCGCCGCCAACATGCAGCAGGAGTTTGCATCGGAGCCTCGGGCAAAATCCATGTCGATTCATTTCCCTCTATCTGAGATTAGCCGGCTGCGAAAAGAAGCTCAAGTGGCGGCTCCAGAGGGAGTCCGGCTGAGTGAAAACGACGTTGTTTTCGCCTTCTTGGCTCGTGCCTGGGCCAGTTCCTCCTCTGCATCGCCATCCACTCCGACCTACTTGATGTTCCCGATAGATCTCCGGGGTAGACTGCCGGAGCGGTTTGGGCCAGACCCTGGCTCGTATATTCACAACTCCGTCTTTGCAGTTCCTCTCTTGCGCACTTTCACCATGGAGGATCTTCGAAGCATGTCTTTGGGCGACGTCGCCATGGAGGTTAGAAAGACGGTGCAGCAGCTGACGAGTGAGGAGATGGAGCGCAATGCCGATTGGGTGCTTGCTAATGCAGAACAAAATCCGATTCCTCGCGGGCCCGAAGGATTGATGTTTGGCGTCAGTAGTTGGAGGAAAATGAAATTTTTGGACGTCGATTTTAAGGGAGCTGTCGCGAGCGGCGGCGATGGTAGATTGGTCCGCATATGGGGAAGTGCAAGCACAGCTTTTGGAGCTCGAGGAATCTGTGTTGTCGAATGCGACGATGGCGAGGGTGGGCTTTGGTGTTCAGTGGAATTCCCCGAGGGGGACTGGAACAGAGGCCAGTTCGGGGATCTTGAAAAATGGGGAGTTTAGTAACGTCACTTGAGGTTGTGAGTTTACAAGGGGAAAGCAGCGACAAGTAAAGGGGGCTTTGATGTGGAGTTTAATAATTAGAGACATGGAATTGCCTGAAACAGCATTTGTAGAAACTTTTGACATGGATGAACACCGATCTCAGATCCAGTAAGAAACGGAAACTCGCCGTGTCCAAAAAGTCCCTGCTATGTGGAGTACAGAGGACTTCCAATCCCCGGACAAGGGCAGATCTCATGGCTGGACCTATCCGTGGCGTCTATAATTATCTTGCAGGCTACTTTAAATCGATAGGCCCTCAACGTCTGCTATTGGTCGGAGCTCTGCCGTGAGATGTCACCGACTATGCAGCGATGACTAAGATGGCGCCGCCATATTTGTTGTTGCTCTCAAAGTCGCCTTCGCTCTTGTCAAACTCTTTCGGCAACAGACTCGACATGATTTGTTGAGCTGAAAGAAGGGTCTTGAGCTACGGAGGCATCGATCATCAAACTACTGCTCTCTAATCTTGACACCAACTGTCAAAATGGCTTCCGGCGCAGAAAGGGGGAGGCTTGACGAGCACCAGCCAGCGCCTCAGGACGAGCAAGTCCTCCCGCATCGGCTCAGTCGGCAGCATTCCTCGGACGGATCGCCTCCATTGGCAGAGCTCTCGACGAGCACATCCTCGTCGGGCCGCGGAGCTCTCCACTTTGTCAACATGTCCCACCCGGAAGACATCCGGCGGCAGAGCAACGTCCAGCGGGAGATCCGCAGGCACGTCATGAAGGGCGTCAGCGACCATCGGGGACATCTACGCGGAAGACGAAGGGCTGCTGCTCAAAACGGTGCCCAGAACAGGCGGCAGTCTCCGCATCCGGAGAGACTCTCGCCCAGCCGATCGTTGGCGCCTCTGGGAAGCTTTCCGGTCCAGACTAACATGCGCATGCTCGAGCTCGTCCGCTTCGGTATGAGATGGATGACTATTGGGTAATTGAAGAATGCTAAAGTGATACCAGCCAACGAAGTAACCGGCTTCTACGTGCCGTTTCGTGTCGCGTGGTGGGAGACAGCCATGATGGACCCTGGCGCCTTTTACGTCACTTTGGGCAACTCGGCCGACTTTTGGCGCAGACTCAACACCAACGACATCATGGCCAAGACTCCCGAGATTATGAGACACTACTCAAGGTCACTTATTGAACTGAGAAAGCGCTTAGATGACGACTCTGAAAGGACAAACCCGGGTACTATTGCTAACATTTTGGCACATATCTGCCTCAACGTAGGCCATTACACAGATCCCCTCGATATACTGCACAGATGTATTAGCTAACCTCTCTCGTAGATGAGACACTGTGATTGGGATAGTTGGAGAGTGCATATTGATGGCCTCAGGCTCGTCATGAGGGATCGGGGCGGATTTGACAGCTTGCCGTACCAGATGCTCGTCTTGATGCTTTAGTAAGTCCTTCCCACGAAGCATTTTTTTCTTAGAAAACTAACCATTCACTTAAGCTACGACATGTGCGGTGCCATGGTATTTGATGCTCCACCCCGGTTCGAAATCGCACCTGGTCTTGTCACCACCAATTCAAGCATCAGAGCAGCACCGCCAAGACTGCAAGCGATACTCGTACAGCTACAGCAGATGCCGCCTGATATCGCTATTGCTGCTGATGCTCTTCAAAAGATCTCAGACGTCGCGGACATTGTTAACCTCAACAGCCATTCCGCAGCCTTCTGGACAAAGGATGTTGATTCCATCCTTTTAATCGGCCCGCCAATGCACTATCTCTTGTCCATGCCAAGGCTACCGGAAGACTTTGATACTCTACCTGACACTGGGGGGCTTGTTGTGCGCGAGTTGATACGGCAAGTGTGTCTCCTCATCATGTCGGCTCTGAAGCAAAAATTCACCTTCTTCACTGTCGAGAGAGGCACCATACAGGCCAAACTTGCGCAGTTCATAACATCAAATTTGTATTACATCGGCTCCGAGTACCGCGAGATTAAAATATGGGCACTGGTCACAGCTGCCTTGTTGGAGGAGCGTACCATGCGCGAGTTGTATTTGACCAAGCTTGAAGATGAAGCATTGGAGAGCCATACTTCGCCGCAGAGCTTGATTGAGATTGCAAGGGAAACCATCTGGCTTGACTCTTTGGAGTCTTCTGGCTCGGATGAGCTGCTACATGATATGGATCTCGTATTCGGATACTAATCTAGCGAAGAGCTCGACAACTGCTTAATTTGACACGGTCGTTTCCGACTGCCTGCGTACACGATCTTTGGGGATATAAGCTGCTGAATAGTCTTCCAATCGCTACTGCAACAAATAATTACTTTTGAGCGGGATTATGGGCAAAATATCAGATTATGCTCTTATTTACCACATATAGCCGACCCCGTTAGAGTTGGCCACCATCAAACCATGCATGTTATTGATCAACATTACAAATCAGCTTCCTCAGATTGAAACTACTTGACTGAGGCTATCCATTTCTGTTGAGACTGAAAACCTGTTTAAGCAATACATCCGGGCGACAATCGGCGGGGGAAAAAGCGTGCTTCTAAACGTGGCTACTGTCTGAATTTACAATCTTCGGGCGCTGCCTCAATCCAACTATAGTCTTACAACCTAATACATTCCTTTCTGCACATATGCCTATTTAGTTGCTGTATACCAGTATCGTCAACTAACCATCAATTACACATTAGCCCTGGTTGTCAATTTAGGGAAAATGGCCAAGACGGTCCACTTCCCCAAACGGGCTAGTGCTAGATCTGAGACGATCATCTCCACTTCTCGATGTGAACAATGTGAGTTGCCCAGCTCAGACGTTTTTGAACCTTAATATAGCAGTATTTGGCTCTAGAGTGAGGCCATTCGCTTCGTAATAGCCACGCTACAAGTTAAATGAAGCTAGGAATAGCAGGGCTTGCATTTACAGGCCGGGCGTTGAGTTTGGAGCCCGTCCTGGAAGCCGTGATAAAGACTGCCATCGGCGTTGTAAATGGAGCAAAGCACTATATCCACGTTCCTGGTTTCTATATGTTTTGCTACCAAACGAAGACTCAATACATTGACTCCAACTTGTCACTTTTAATACCCATTTTTCTTTTACTTCTCCCACAAGCATGGATGCAAGTCTCGCCTCCCCAGCATGCATATCTCTGTTTGAGGATGACCTGTCCCGCTGGGAGGCAGTAAAGGACCGCAACGCCATCGCCGATGGCCTTTTCTTCTGCGCCTCTGCAAATACAAAGGTCTACTGTCGGCCCGTGTGTAAGGCCCGCCTCCCCCGCCGCGAAAATGCATCCTTCTACAAAACCAGTAGAGAGGCTCAAGCGGCAGGGTTTCGCCCTTGCAAACGCTGCCGGCCCGATCTTGACGGTGTCATGCCGGAAGACGTTGCCGTGCTCAAAGTTCAGGCCTTTCTAGAAAGTAGGAAAGGAATTTTCAACAGCGGATCCACGCCGGAAAGCCTGAGCCAGATGGCTAGACAGGCTGGGCTGTCTAAATGGCACTTCCACAGGGTATTCAAGAAATACACGGGAATGACGCCTGTCCAGTACCGAAGGATGGGGAGGCGAAATGTCAACTGGATTCAGAGTGAATTTGTCACCCAAGAAACCGGCTATCTGGATCTATTGACCCAAGCAATCGAGGGGTATCCACAGCTGCTGGAACCCCTGGGCATGCTCGAAAACTCTACTTCGGGTAGCTTCTCAGAGAGCCAGAGCGAGGACAACCCCGGTGGCGATCCAAACTACGTATTCTGGCCACAGAGTGAGGAGGTTGAATAAGAGCCATCGGAAGGCTCAAACTCTGCCTATGTCAAGTGTTTAGTGAACTTGTCTCTTGGCAATGGTTTTATGAGCATTTGGAGCTCCTTTGCCCAATGCATATCGCAACGTGTGTGGATTTATGGCGAATTAATGGCAGGAATCTGGAAGATTGTGATAGATATGTACTTTCAGTCTATTTGGTTGGTTACCTTGGAGCGTTACGGTGTCGCCCGTGTCTGAAGGCAGACGCAGGGCACATGGGCACGTGTCAATTTTGTCACTCTCTGGGCTTTATAAAGGAAGCCGCACTTTTCTTATATATCAAAATGAGATTGGGCTACATCTATAGCCAGAATAGTACGGTATCAAATACAGAAATGCAAATATCCAACAAGATCCCACCGTAGCTTAGCAAGTGCTGTGTTGTTTGATTACTTTTCTCATATCTTCTGATGCCTGAGTTTAGATACCCATATTGGAAGCATACAGTATCTTTGCTGCGATGCTATATCATGTTGAGAAATAATCCGTAGCTGCTCATTAGCACTACCAGCTAGAATTCTCGACTCATACCCATGGAGCATCTTCAAGCCACTAAAAAAGTGAATGACGGTGGCGACATCCAAAGATAGAATCTTAGCCGTAAATTTGACTTCCAAACCACGTATTTTTGGAGTAACTGATCATATCAGAGGCTCGATTTGGGCTTGAAAGCTTGAGCTGGCTCTGGTCGCGAATGCTACTGCGACCCAGTCTGTTGCATGCTGTTGAGAGAAGAAAAGTAGAGCATTCTAGGTGATGATAGCCTCCAGTCAAAGAGCCGACTTCCATCGGAATGGCCAAGATTACTCCTACCAGCCTACTGTTTCTTCACACTAATACCCTGTATCATCATGCGACTACTATGTGCTTTCTTGATAGCGGTTCGCTTTCTTTGGACAATGCAGTTCTGCACATTCAGCTTTTGGTAAGGAGTGACCGAACCCCAGGGGTTGGCATGAGTTTACGTTTGGACATCCATTTGAGGAAAACGGCTGCGAAGGGTTCCATTTCCCCGAATGAAGCTAGCAGCTTTCTGGGGTAATAGCTGATCGAGACAGCCAAGTCAGCATGATAGAACATGTTGAGATGGCAAAAGGTGTTTGGTTACATGGTGTGGCACCCTTGTTCATCTGTAGATGGGACGCAAGTAAAACATTATTAAGCATGGCCATCTCTCAAAGAACTCGCTATGATATCTGTGGCCCTAGTCTGGTATGCTAGAAATAGTGTATATACAGAAGGACGGCCTTCTAGTGGCTGAAAGGCTCGGTGAAGAATGGCTCCCGGTCTTAGACAAAATATCGCATGGGTATCACTCCAGGCTAACGCTCTGAGGAAAGCGTAGCAAAGGGCTCCACTTTCCGAAAATGGCAACATGAACTATGAGCTGAACTCAACATCAACTCAGCCCCTTCTCGCAATACCGAATTATAGGACGCTGCTGAATAATTGTCTAGAGTTTTGTGTTGCTCTGGTTATATGATAACCATATACTACCGCGGATGCTCACAGCGGATCTCGCCTTGTATCAAATCGTCCTAGTCGTACCCAGAGTCCTGAATTCTTTGTCAGGAGTCGTATCTTTTTGCGGAAGTGACCCTGACTATGGGCGGCATGGTACGTCAAGGCCACCAATAGCATCTCTCGCCGTAGCATCGCTGTATAGCAACTGGCATCCACAATCCACGCCAGTTGTACACGCACCCGTGGAGCAGTAACTCGGTGACGGGCCATCCTCTACTAGAGAAGAGGATGATGGGAGGACTGCTTTGAAATCGACAATATCTGACAAATGTATCTCAACAATCATCGTACTTTCTGGAAAGGTGTTGTTGTTTGATGATTTGGGAATCTTTTACATCCTTAAAGTTATAAAGATGTAAAAAGATTTCTTTATTGTCTCTCAAAATTGAAGCTACATTTCTAACTTAAACGCTGTTCCCAAATTCTTTCTTTTCTCTTACAACTTAGTAACAATGGCAGCTCCTTTCCCTTCTCCAACAACAACATGGCACTCCAAGGCCTACGACAAGATTGACCCAAAGCGTCCTGAACTTTCAGCCAAGGGAAAGAATGTACTCGTCACCGGTGGTGGAATTGGCATAGGAGCTGCTGTTGTCAGAAGCTTTGCTGAATCGGGCGCATCCACCATTGGTATTTTGGGGCGCACTGAAAGTGCTCTTCTGGAAACCAAGGAGAGCGTTGAATCGGAGTTCAAGTCGACCAAGGTCATTGTCTTGGTCGCTGATCTTACCGATGAAGCGTCAGTAACTAAGGCACTGAACCACTTCAATAGTTCCGCGGGCTTGATTGATGTGCTCGTTCATAATGCAGCCTACATGTCGGATCTAGCGCCTATTGCAGACGCCAAAGTCGATGAATGGTTCAAGAGCTTTGAGGTTTGTAATGCAACTATGAAAATATTATGTCAGCAAAACTAATTAAAAAATCATGATAGATCAACGTTAAAGGGTCGTTTATCATTACAAAGGCTTTCCTTCCTTTGGCAGCCAAGAACGCCGTCTTAATCGCGTCGGGAACAGGGGCTATCTCGTTCCTGATGCCGAAGACCTCGTCCTACCTCCCTTCGAAGCTTGCAGAGTCTCGGTTCTTCGAGCATGTGCAATCTGAAAACCCGCATATCCGTGTTCACAATTTACACCCTGGCGGCATCCAGACCCGCATGGCTGACAAGACTCAAGCCGCCGGAATGGAAATCCCCATGGACGATAGTAAGTAAAGAGGATATACGTGTTGATGAGTCTCTCTAACAATCCGCTAGTTTCCTTGTCTGGCGCATTCACTGTGTGGTTGGCAAGCGAAGAAGCTGCTTTCACTAAAGGAAAGTTTCTTTGGGCTAACTGGGATGTCACCGAGCTCGAAGCCATCTCGGATAGACTGCGTGACACCTCATACCTTTCCATTGGTGCGGTGATTGATGGCTTCCCATTCGCTCAATAATTTTGTTCACAGCGCACATATATTAAAAATATTCTCCCTAGACTTGGAAATGATCGACTCAAGTACCTATACCATTAGCCATGCTCTTCTGTGAATCATCTGCGGCATCTGCATTATATACAATTGCTCAACGCTGCGCTTACTCCGGCCCATATATAGGAGAGTGAAATTATTTATCTAAACGGAATGAGACCAAATAAAGGAAGCCACTCTGCGAAATTGCTGCTCGAGCCATTAATTTTTGAGCTGGACTATAGTCATGTAGAGCTCATGCACAAGCCGTTGAATCCTTCCAAAATGTCATATTGGCGCCATGTTACTTAAATTTAGGAGACTTATATACTATGTCGTTGCTCTAGATCAATATTTGGGATATTTCACAATTGTAGCGCTTGTCACCATAACGATTACTTCAAGGAGACAATATATTCATTTTTTTTCCCAGTCGAGTTTCGGCTTTCTTGTGTGCAGCCTCAATCACACGCCGAGCAGCCCCGATCTCATTAACATCACTATAGCCAACCATAAGCGAGTTTGTTTATTGGACAGACTGCCGCTTTATTTAGATAGCCTATCCTGAAAGCCTAGCAAAATTAAAGAGGTGTTTTCTGCCTTTTTGTTCCTTCAAGGTTGCTGGACAGCTCTATAGCCAGTAGTAATAAGCCTCCAATCAACCAGCCAAGATTCTACTTAACAAAGGCCTTATCTACTTTTTTCTCTTCAATATTGACCTGACAAGAGTTATTTTCCTCTACCTAATTCTCCAGGAGCTAACGGGAAGATAATTGTAAATTAAACCCGAGTTTGCTTCATACTAATTACTCACATAAAGCAACTTTCTCCGAAGCTTATACGATCCACTAAAAGGCGCGGAGATCGCTCTAGTGCCTATTATTCAAGCACGAAATTTACCGCGAAACCACTCAGCCGTAAAACTTACACGTCGTATCCCACAGCTGCATGCATCTGTATTAGTGAACTCTCGCCATTTTGTGATCTCTTTACTCATGGCTTTCTTACCAATCGCCAACTTGATTCATAATCCTCATCGCCAGCGGAGATGACATCTCGCACTTCGGGGCTCTCCCATGAGAACTGTGACCTTCATCTACATAGCAGATTGAAGATGTTTAGTCTAGTTTAAGATGTAGTCCGTCTGCCCAGCTCCAAGAGGTCTTTAATAGATCATTCGACATCCTCATCTATTCTGTTCAGAGAATAATACATTCAGTCAGTCAGTCTGTACTTGTTTTTGACTTCAAGAAGCTGCCTCAGGCCTCTAATAATGCCGTCCGTCGTGATCGTTGGAGCTTCTCGCGGCCTTGGGGTACGTGCCCAATCAAGAATTATCTCTACTTCTCAATTTTCTTAGGAATATCATGACCAAATTAAGCTTGTTGCAAAATGCTGACTGGCGTTTTAGTTTGCCCTGGCTAAACTTTGGTCTGAGGACCCTTCCAACACCGTCATTGCACTGGTCCGCAACAAGGTGGCAGCTGTTGACAGCTTCAAACAAAATCTGGGGGACAGAAAAAACCTCGTTGCTGTCGCCGCTGATTTGGAAGACTTTGAATCTTTAAAGGTGTGTCTAGGATTAATATTCACCTCTCGATTTGTTCACCCACCAACTGATTGACCGGAAAGGCCGCCTCGGAAGAGACGTCTAGGCTTCTCAATAACAAACTTGACTATCTCATTGTAAACGCTGCCGTCAGCGATAGCATCATTGACGACATTGGAAATGCGTGAGTGCCCATCTTGCACCAACTGCGCCGGTATTACCGCACAATAGAATGCAAGAGTATGTTGACTGATGGCCTCGCCTTTCAGCGTCCTCAATGACCGCGAACAATTTGACAAAGACATGCTCCAGACCTTTAGGACCAACGTCTTGGGAGTCGCTCATGCTCTCGGCCTATTTGCACCCCTTCTTCGCACTGGTACCGCTAAGAAGGGAGTCGTCATTAGTAGCGGTGTTGGTGACCCTCACTGGACAGCTAAATGGCGAACTTTTGGCCATGCACCCTATGGTATAAGCAAGGCCGCTGTCAACCAGGTTGTGGCCAAGTTTCATGCCCAATACGCCTATGACGGCGTCACGATATCGGCAATCAGTCCCGGTATTATCAAGACGCAGTTCAACACTCCGCGACCCGAAGGTTAGTTTCGTGCAACTCAGGGATTTCGTTCATTTAGACGTTGCCTATACTTTCTCATGCCACCATTTACTGATACACTCAGTAGATGCCAACTATCAGCGCATGCAGAAGACATTTGGCCCCCCTATCAGCGAATCAGACCGGTTCAAGGGACCTTACACTGCCGATGAATCGGCTGCAAAGGTGACCGACGTGATTCTAAAGCAACTAGATCTTGAGATGCATGGGGGGATATTAATTTCGGAGCACGCTGACCAACAGTGGGTATGAGCGCGATTCTGTGGTGAACCGGGTTGTCTGGAGTTATCCGGCTAGACTTTGACGATGACATACTCTTGGTTGATGGTTGTCGGTTTTACCACTGAGTATGTGGAGAGCATTGACACGACTGCCGATACTACGAAGTGAAATTCGGGAGTATAGGGCGTATTTAGTGTATATACTCAGCCATGTTTACACCGACGGGACAAGTCATCAATTGCCATGCTGGCTATTTACCCCAAGACGCCAGTGATGCGAGACAGGAGCAGATTGACAATGATGAATGGCAATAAAAATCGTCTCTCACTTTCTCTGCTTAGAGCATGTTATCATCAACAGTTTATTTGTTTTTGCCTATGCATTTGTATCGTAAGATGTATCAATACTTTTGTTCCCAATTCCCCATTTTTGTGCGATTTAATCCATTTTAATTATTTTCTGCTTGTTGTAACTCAAGGTGAAAGGATCTAATCAGGGCATCGCTCTCGTCAAGGGTCATGACCTTGAGATCTGCCATCTGCTTGATCTTGCCCGTACTGTAAGGGTGAGGTTGGACCGTTAGTGATTGAAGTGTCTCAGATGAGTGGTCAAAACTTACACTTCCTTGATCTGGTCGTCAGTCATCTTGAGACCAAGCTGGTCAACTCTGCTCTTGATGGCATTCCATCCAGTAAGTCTGGATGTGAAGTGCACACTTGAATCTTGGTTAGTTTAATGCTATAGCTTTACCTGCGTTATAACTTACTATCTGTATAGCTGTTAGTCATGAATATGCAAAAGAGATTGAGAATGGTGGTACTTGCCTTGATAGACCAAAGTCTTCTGGCTTAAGGATCTCATAGGTGGAGGGGGAGTTGAGGATGGCCTTGGCGTGGATACCAGCCTTGTGTGTGAAGGCGCAGAATCCTGTGATTTGTGTAAGCAACACGACAGTACTGGACTATAGAAGTGGCAATGACATACCGGTAATGGGGTTGTTGAAAGGCACGTTGATCTCGACGGTCTCGGCGACAAAGTCTTCGATAGCCTTGAGCTGGTGAACCTTGTACTTGGAAAGAATGTAATCTCTGCTAGTGGGCATCATTCTGGCCATCTGGAATTTATCAAGTTAGACCACAAGCAGATTCCTCGGGGTGAAGGTGTAACTCACAAGAGCTCCAAGTGGGCAGATACCGTTTCTTTCGCCGATTCCGAGCACGGATGTGTCAATGTCTATACCGCAAAAGTCAGCCTAAATTCCCACTCCTGCAGAAGCTGTTGGCAATGCCGTCGGATCATGACCCATTTGAAAGGTGTATGTCGGCTGTGTTCTGGGTGATTGTGAAGTTATTCATGTTGCAGGATGAGCTTACGTGTAGCACCAGCCTCGAGAGCAGTAAATGAGTTCTAAAAATGGTCAGCTTCTCATCTCAAGGCGAGTTTCTGAGGATATGACAAACCGCAACAGCACAGCCAGTATCATCGTGGAACTGGGTCAGGTTAGCTCAATGTCAAGCGAAAGATGGCTTCCAGCAGCACATACGTGAACCTCGATATCGGTAGAGACACAGCCTCGAAGGGTTCTCACAAGGTCCTGCGAATTATTAGCATCGGGTAGACCGAAGATGATTCCGATCACCTACGTAAACCTGTCTGGGCGAAGCGCAACCGACGGTGTCGGCAACACCTACTCGACCGACACCAGCATTGCTGGCGGCGCGGTAGATGGAGAGCAAATCGACGAGATCGGATCTTTTTTAATGTTAGCAAGACAGCTGCCATCCACACCGATCCTTCGAAACCCCGCTGACACAGTCAACAAGAGCCAAGCCTTTGATAGAGAGGAGCATGTCGTATAGCACTTCTTTCGGCCTTGCTCGTTCCACTTGGCAATGAGGGGCTTGAGACCCTGAGTTCTCCATTTCTTGTTCATCATGACTCCAAAGTCCAGGGCTTTTCGACAAGGAAATAGTGCGGTCGGTCGTGAAGGGATCGGCTTAGCTAGAGGTAAGAGACGGCACTCACCGGAAAGAATCTTCACTTGAGAATCGAACTTCGCAGCCTCGGCTGAGCAATTGTTAGCTTCTGGTTTGACCAATCAGTGAGCGGAGCACATACCTCTTGATGTACTCAATGACCTCGAGGGCCTGCTTGGTGATGGCCTTCATGTCCTTGCCACCAAGGGAATGCTCCCGGAGGAATTCTTTTTTCTGTAAGTTAGTCGATGGGCGAGATACGCATATTGGGAGGGCTATGCTCACGACTTGTTCCGATGACAACATCGACGCCATCGACGCCGCAGTCACACTTTGAGGGTTTAGTCAATTGCAGTAAAGCTGGGATGGGGAGGCACATACGGCAAGCTTGGCATCCTCCATGGTGCATCTTGTGTCTAGAATGTCTGTTAGAAGACTAGCCCACTGGGGTTGTTGCATGGGAAATCACGAACGGGTCAGAATCTTGGCCTACTATGACGTTAGCAGTGGGTCAATTTGTCGAACGCCGGTATCTGGATTCTCACCTTGAGGCCGAGCTTGCAGATGGCTTCGCAGTCCTCGCGGGATTGCTGCAGTTGGTTAGCACTGAATTGAGGTCCAAGAAAGGTGAGCCAGCAAGACTCACCGGGCTGGCAGCGGGATTCGTAAGCTCGATATAATCCACACCAAAGTCCGATCATTGGGGCTGTTAGTTTTCTTCCATTGAAGCGGCAGAGCCAGGATCTATAGGTATCATACAGCATTGTTGCGCTATGAACAAGATGACGTTAGCGACGAGGACTAGAGCAAGGGCCGGATTCCAGCTTCAACATACATCTTGATCTTGTTTTCTCTTGAAAAGTACGCATTGGCGAATTGCTCTCCTTCTCTGCAAAATGGTCACCTAATGTCCTCTGACTCTCGACTTTTGTCTCTTCCCATACCTCAGAGTCGACTCGATGATCTTGAAGTTGCGGACATTGCTCAACAGGTCGTTGACGTTCGAATAAGGATTCGACGCGGTGATGCCGGTGACGGACATGGCGGGCGATTGGGGCGATTAGGCGTCTGGGCGGCGAAAAGGTTCGTGATGGGTTCGATTAACGAGTCGATTCGGATCAATTGGGCGAGTCAATTGGGATCGAGCAAGATGATGGTGCTGGTCGTCTGATGTTGGCGCAATTGGCTGTTGGCGCAGAATCTGCAGGTGGGGGTTTGTTGGTTATTTAAGATTTACAAACTTTTTGGGAGTCATTGCCAGCGCCTCCGATCCAATGACGTAGCTCGGAATCTGCTTAGCTCTCGACGCTCGCAGCGCCGATTCAACGCCACTCAGGCCCAGCTCATTAACGAATCAACGAGGCAAAAGGGCGGGAAAAGCCTGGAGCAGGGCTGGTACCCTCTACCCCACACCAGCGATTTTTCCATTTTTGCCGTGAGTCACTGGTCCATCGAGCTCCGATCGCCGGACTTGGCTCGGCCAGTATTGCCTTTGTGGGGGAAATGCCAATGATGATTCACAATAGTGCTACAGTAAGGCGCAGAGTTGTAAATCACGACGACGATGCGGCAGTCGGTGCGGTGGGAGAGAAGAGACATCAGTAGGCGCGCGATGGATGCAGCTCCTGGCTCTTTGTTACATGCCGAACCGGCCGAGAATTCAGCGTCTAGTTGCCCGCGCAAATTTATCCATGCGACGTCGCAATCAGGTGTCATATAAAGGCATGAGGGCCTCTGTGTTTATGGGCGGCACTGGATGTTGAACCAACGACATTCCAGCCAGCCTCAGTCTTGGGAACCAAGCATTGTTCTCGAAAAGTTGGCAAAGATGCTTGCAACTTCTGTCGATACTTGCCTACACGAGCCTAGCTTTCATGTCCCGCCCTTTGTGGGTTGAAGTGAAGATGAGCAAAGACGCTTGAATCGACACAGCGAGCATCAACGTAAAAGTCCAATTGGCGGCTGCTTTGTTTCCTCCTCTGCACAAATTTTCAGCGTCCAATCCCTGCCGAGAATATACTCGCTCATGATTGCCAGAAGGAGCCTTGGTCTGGTCCAGGGCACTCGAAACCCCAACTGTGGAGTGAGACGGGCCTGGCTTTAAGAGTCTAGAAGGGAGCCGTCGAGTTTGGAGCAACTAGCGCAAAAGCAAAAGCTGGCAAGGGACCTACCCCAGATGGCCATGTTCTGTTTGCATGTGGCTCTTTTTTCACGTTTGTCACACGAGAAGGTACCTGAGCCCGGTGAATTGTAACGGTTCGGCGTTTGCTCGGTCTCGTCGGGGTATTTGATGGAGCAACTTGCTTTGCGCTGGGCGCAGCATACTCGTCGAAACTGTTTCCTGCGTATTGCCGAGTCATTACCTGCTCAATGGTAGCAGAAAAACAAGAGGAGGCCACAGGTATTGCAAGCCGGTTGCAGCACAAGAACGTGTCTGGGTCCGTGAGTGCTGAGGCGTGAATTCTGTTCCATCACAACAAGAGTCAACCAGTGGTCTCTTCTCTGGCCAAAGCATTGTACTGGACACAGCTTCAACGAAGGTCAGGGCAATATTGATAGCACAGAACAACCCTCTCCTCTGGAATCAAGGCCATCTCTCCCAACTTCGTTGCCGTGTCCATCGTTTGCGGCGTTGAGTGGCTGCATGCGTTATCGAGATGCCGGTGCTCCACTTCTCAGCAACGCGGAATGCGGAACGGCGACGCTTCCACGTGGAGTCCAGCATTCTTCCTTCAGCCATGAATCCATCCAGCAACTCCATCAACGCTCTCTTCCACTTCTCAACGCTGCACAGTGCCGTCTTCTACGTAGTTGCAAATCTCGTGACATCATGTTCTCGACCTTTCACCTCGGCAACGCTCGTGGCACTCGCTCAAACAGACGATCTCCTCACGCTTTGCGAGCGTGCGTGCGGTGTCGACAGGCTCGCATCAAGTGCAGCGACGAGAGGCCATGTCGGCCCTGCAAGAACAGCGCGAAACGGTGCTTTGACGAAAGGCCTGTGCAGAGGTCAGAGCAATCGCCGAAAGCACCAGATACCAATGGGGTCTCCCGGCAGGTTGACCATTCCGCCTCGTGTCATCTTGAACAGAGCTCATCAGGTCTTACATACACAAGGGCTACATCTTCAAAGTTCTTCCTGGAGGCTCTTGGGGCTAGACTCGGCGAATCAAATCTCGCTCATGGCTTTGATCCATCCCTCCTCGAGCTCAGTCCATATATTCCACAGCCATTCCTCGCAATACCAGGTCTACCCTCACCTCTATCAGGAAACGCCGTTGGAGTCAGCATGGACAGGCAGCTAGAAGAGCTGCTGGTATCCACATTCCTCCAGTCTTACCAGATTGTGGCACCTATACTGGACGCATCCTGGCTCTGGACGCACTTCTCATCTCTATGGGCCGTCAACTCCAACATGTTTCGTCAACGATGTCCGCTCATCGAGATCATCCTCGCGTTGGGAACTCACCAGGTGTTGACGCTATCTGTTGATGATGCCAGTTACAACGCAGCTACTTTGGCGTATGATCCACCCGGCTATGATCTCTTTGAGATTTCTCAGATGGAACTGCTCAGAAGAACAACCGGGCCAGACTTACTCACCGTTCAGGCATATATATATGCCGCCATCTACGCTGGCAATCTGCATTCACACTACAAGGCCCATCAGATGCTATCACTGGCAGTCCGAGATGCATACCTACTTGATTTGCCAAGTGGAAATTGCAGCGCAGAGCAGCCCAAAGGTCATATATCTGCAAAAAGGACATGGCTGGTCTTGCAGATGTTGGATACCGTCATGTCAAAGGAATCAGGCCTCCCGTTTCTAATCCCAATGACAAAACACGATCAAGTTGAGCTTGGTGATTTTGAAACCACATACGATGCCGTGAATCACAATGGACTGTCTTACCTGGAATGTTTCAGACAAATGAACAGGCTCTCTCAGCTCATTCGACAGTCTACGACCGACCTCGATCAGATTTGCAATCAGCCTAGTGGTCCTGATGGCGTTATAGGCATTTTTTACACCAGTGGGGCATCATCCGTAAAGACATCAATAAAGGCAATATCGACCTGGTTCAAAGCCATTCCCCCGGCCCTCAAAAGCTTTACCAAGGATACTTCTAATAACACCAACGACAACAATAATCTCGACTCCTCTTTAGACGATGATATTCCAATGTGGCTCCATCGCCAATCCTTGCTGCTCAAAATGTCCTACCACATGGCTTGCCTCCTCCTCCTCCGCCCTTTCTCTCTCTCTCCTCCTGCTACCACCATCGAAAGCAGCCACCACCCCATCTCCGCCGAACTCAGCATCATGTGTCTCAAGCACGCGGTATCACTCACTGCAACTCTGGCAGACAACCTAAACAGTGGCTCGTTCAATGTCCTCGCCCACGCAACGAGGTTCCAGTGGCTAGCCATGCTGTGTCTTGCGGGTTATGTGAGTACTCACACAACGACGCCTCAATCTACGACGTTGGCGCGGAGAGCGGTGGATGTGGCTGTAAGGAACCTAGAGAGATTGGCGGAGCACAGAGTGTTGCAAGCCAGAGAGGCAGTGGAGAGAGCGAGAGGATTGGTGGAGATGATGAGGGTGGCCGTTGGCAGGACTATAAGCAGAGTTGCTCAGCTGGGGCAGCCTGGTGACGCCGCCTTGACACAGTTGCTCTCATCATCTTCTTCAGGGCTGGTGGATTCTATCACGGGAGGGCCAGTGGATTTATGGAACGATCTCTCATCATTACCGTACCTATCCTGACTAGTCACAGAAAGAAACAGTCCAACATAACGCCAGCTATACAAACAGAGTATGTAAGAGTCATCCCTCATTCAGTGTAGCTACTCTATGTAAGTTCAATCCTCATCCTTGGTTATCTAATCAACTACTTCAACCCCGGAAACACCTTCATTGCGTTTTTATAATAAATATCCTCCACGTCAACATCGACAGCTCTACCCGCATCCTTTAACAAATTGGTAAAGTACTTGATGGAGCCATTCGGCGCATTCGGAAAATCACTTCCAAACAACACATGAGTCAGATCCGCCACCTCAAACAATCCCTTCAACGTAGCCGCATCACTAGACAACGCCGTATCGTAGTAGAACCTCCTAGCCTGAGACCTAATCTCACTTGGCGTATACTCTTTACCTATCTGCGTAAACGGCAACAGGCCGGATACACGACCGATAAGAGATGGAAGGGTACCACCACCGTGTGATAAGATGATCTTGCAGTCTGCACAGTTGTTGATCAACCTGCCCGAGATAATGAGATCAATGGCAGTTCGGCCCGTCTCATGAGGATAGTCAAACATGGGCTGGGGCAGTTTGCTATTAACCAACGCCTTATCCACCGCATGCGTCGGATGAACAAAGACAACAGCTTTGCGCTTGGAAAATTCCTTCCAGATGGGCAAAAAGGCTTCATGGCCAAGATACGTGTTATCAGGGCCGTACCGCGTATAGATGACTACACCGTCGGCGTGCAGTTCATCCATACCGCGTGCGATTTCCTTGAGACAAGCTTCAGTGTCGAAGAGCGAAGGGAGGACGAGGAAGAAGCCGTAGTTGTCGGGACGTTCATCGCGGAGGCGGGACACGTAGTCGTTGCAGGCTTGAGCGAGGGAAAGGGCCTTGGAAGAATCTCCGACGCATGAGGGTCCGGGTGCAGTGACGGATAGGATCGACTTTTTAATGCCAACGGCGTTGGCTAGGTCAAGGTCGGCTTGGACGGTCCAATCGGGGACAAACCAGCCTGATGGATCACCACCAACCTCTTGTAGAGCTGATTCAATTCAAGTTAGTATTGGTATTATGAAAAGATGAGCGGGAGGTATACCCTGAGAGTAGACGGGCGGGTAGACGTGATGGTGGACATCGATTTTGGAAGCCATTGTTGATGAGTGTGTTCAGAGGTGGTGATGAATACGATTGTATCTGATATAATGAAAAAATAAAAAAGTGAAGTTTATTGGGTGATGGTGTTTCGATTGTGCTGCGTGTTGTTGTCGAGTTCGACCATGACTTTGACCCTTTTATAGAAGACCGGCTCATGCTGAAAATTGGTCAACCCGGTATTTTCGGAAGTGGCAATCTATCCAGGTACAAGGCGGTATGTGATTTTATGGTATAGAACACTCTTTCTACTAGCATTAGCGAAATTGCTCAATAGAAACTCCTGTTTCTTCGTAGCACAGCTCATCAACATCCGGATCTCTCGACGTCTAGGATCTGTCGATCTATTTCCCGATTTGGGACTCGGAGCTTGAAGCTGCTCCACTTTCCGAAACCAAAGGGGGAATCCTCCATTCGGCAGTCCGATCTTCTCATCGCTCGTGCCCCCTACCCTGTAGAGAAAGCGAATTTGCCTGAGAAAGAGATTCCTAAAATTACCACATGTGAGGCTACTAAAGAGATGAATAAAATTTAATATCCTATGCACATGAGTATTCGAGATATCTTTGTATTATCGCTACAAACAAGAAAGATCCTTTGGCTGTCTGCACAGAGTATACTAGTGGAGGCTTCTGAGTTGCGAATCTACTTGTGAAAGATGAACTTGACTTTGAGAGGCTTGCTATTCAAGCGAATTGCCACTGGGAGAGTTGAAATGAATAAATTATCAAAGGAATTTTTTCCTTAGAAAATGCTCACGTACATTAATATCTGAAAGAATAGGTGAAGAGGGCCGCAAAATGTTCCTGAAACATTCACAGTTTGCCGTGAGCTGGGGCAATTCACGCCACGGCGACATAGCTGCTGGTTTCAGCGTCGCATATGGCCAAGAAGATGTTCTTTTGAGTATTCCAGTTTCTGAGATATATTTTGGCAAAATACTCCGTCTATAATACACAACCCCCAATTTGTGTTCCATGACTAAGCGCCTGCTTTGTTTGCTGTTTACATTTAATCCATAACCGCCTTTACGACACAACCCTTCCTGCTACGCGTGACTGATGTCCAGCTATATCAGCGCGCCGCATCCCGATAGAGCAGCGAATTGTCGACTGAATGACGGTTTCAACTTCCTACTAGCGCCAAGTCAGGTCAGAGCACGAAAAAGCACCCCATACCGACCCAAATGAAGCTGCATCATCCCCTTAGGCACTGAGACTACTGGCTTGGCAGCTGGTGGAAGGAAATAGACGGTCAGGCGTTCCAAATAACACGCCTCTCTTGGTTGCCCTGATTAGATTTGGTTCTGAACGGGACGCTATCGCCAGGCAATCCGATGTTCGACATGACTTGCTACGTCGGAAGTCGGACGTCAACAACACTTGTACCATTCCTCCGATAAAATGCATTAGTTCTGTCAAATATGTTGGACTGTTCCTAATACTTTAGTTCTTCGGAGAAGAATTCTTGTCTCACCGGCGTCTTGTGTGTCTGGATAACGGCATTTTCGGCGTTCCGAGTCCAGGCCAAGTTAGCTACAACGAGACTCTCTTATTTCTGATAGTCTGCAATGCAGGTCTTAGGCAAAGACCAATGCGTCGGCCATATCAGGAGGATGCTTGCGCGCGGAGGCCACATGACGCATGCGCCAACATTATCAGCAGACATTATACATTGTAGTTACATGCAAACCATCGCACCCAAGACCTCGGCATTTTGGAAAGCTCCGTTAGGATATTATTCTGCGAAGACGGCAAGGGTTCAAACAGACGCTAGTGAGACACGAAGAAGCATAGCAGATTCTTTATTGTCACAGTGGTAAAAGTACAAGCAAATTCTACTTGAATTGTACAATACTTCATGCTACTGACATTCTAGCAGCAATGTTTTGTTCTATTTGCTATGATCTGGTCCTTGGTTATGCTCATTCATCACAAGCAGGTGGTCCCATAACAGCACCAAAACAAGATGGACTGGTATTCGGTACTTTTTATCTAATCAACAGGGACCGGACAATACATAGAATAGAGGGTCTGGTATGACGTATTACTAGTGTCTAGAACTTACCAAAGGGTCTCTCCTGTGAAGGGTTCTTGATCGACCTAAAAACGCTGCCGAAATATTATGACACATCCGTGGATGGCTCACATATGGGGTTACTCCACCAGCCAGGTATGCTGGGACTGCCTAATACGGTAGTTTGCATACCTGACTTCGGCCCCACCAGCAACCAGGGGCAGCTATTCGGGTCCAACTGCCACCGGTGTTGCGGCTAGGGCTGGTAGTTTCGGGATCAAATCATTGCCGGCCCTGCAGGGGGGATAGCAAAACCGGGACAAACTACCACCGGTGTTGCGGTTCGGCGACGTTGGTTGAGCTGTTTAATTCTGCTTGCCAAGAGGTTGTGGACACTGGGTTGTGAATCCAGCAAGACAGACTGGTTTATTTTGGGGTAGAATTATGTGGTGCACTGGGGACACTGTTACCAACTTGAAGCTGCTCGAGTTAGTCGCACATTACGCGCAAGTTAAATTTGTTTCTGTGCTATACCGTTTCAATTTTATTAGTGTAATAGACATCAAACAGAAGCATGAATTTTGCTTTATTTCGGTCTGTAATCTAATTAATACAGCTCATAACACATCTACAGCTGCTTGCCATTGGTTCAATCACTAATGCATCTTTCAATATTGTAACTAGTAGAAACTTGCATGAAATATAGTTTAAGAAATTGAGTTCAGATTTGTAGCTAGGCTAATTGTTCTGCTCTATATAATGGAGGTATGATAGCCGGCCTCTTGATTGTATAACCTGCAGCTATCCCATAACTAATTTGGATGGTTCATCTTGCCAAGCAAGTCATGGCCTTGAATAAACTCTTTCCAAGTGGTCAATGAAAGACCAGGTATCTTGATTCGAATCAGCATATGTTTTTGACCCCAAATTTGCCCGTGATAACCTGTAGCATGATACTTACATCTGCGGCTTGAATAAACTCGTCTCGAGCATACACATTTCCGAATGTCTCAAAGATCAGAAGCTGCTCAGTAAAGTCCAAAGCATCTTCTTCGGTCATTGAAACGGTTTCAATAAGTCCTTGTTGGAATTCTTCTGGGCTGATTTGAGTGTATTTTGTTGGGACGTTCAAAACTTGGAGTCATTAGCGGAGGAGAAGGCGTAAAGGCGATAAACATGGAATAATACCTTCTCCTAGCACCTTAACCTTCTCTGCTTCCGACAAGCTCTGTGCATAGAATGCGATCGTCTTGGTAAAGTATTGTTGCCCGTCTTCAATTACAGCGCGTACAAGTTTGCCCGTATCAGCGATCGAAACGTTAGGCAGGACAGTGGTCGGGCTGTGCAGAAACGAATGGACGTATGTGCCCGATACCTGCCAGACGTTAGTACTCGCGGTGCGCATCAAACGGACTCCAGAATTGCATACATTCTTAGGCAAATACGAGGCCGGATTGGTCAGGCAGTTCTCAAAATAGTTTGGAAAGAGTACTGTCGTGGTCTTTTCCCAAAGTGCAGGATAAGTCGCGTTAATGTATTCAGTCACTTCGCTTTTACCCTTCCAGTGATGAACATGTAGATACTTCCCGTGGGAAAGAGCAACTGGATCTGGGAGAGCACTCCAAACAAAGTGCGTCAAAGTAGCCGTGGCCGCCGCCGCATCGACAAGGTTTCTGCCTTGCTGGACTTCGATTGCAGATGAACACGATGCCCAGAAATCAGTCAGTCCAAAAATGACGCTGGCTCCAGCGAATGCGCCGATCAAGGCGTTGCTACCAGCACTGAGATCAGCAGATACGACTTCAACGCCCTTTGCGGAAAGGAGTTGAGCAGCAGGTTTGTTGACATCTCGAGTGAGGCCCCGTACTCGATATCTCTCAGGATACTTCAAGAGCTCCGCCACAACAGCTCCACCCTGTTAAAATGTGAGTAGCTGTGCAACATTTGATGTAGAGACAAGCTATCAAGACCAACCTGAGAACCAGTTGCTCCCACAACCGCGACTGTAACGGGTGCCATAGCAGTAGCGGTATATACTTTTGCTTCGAACGGAAAGCTGAAAACGATGTTTCTACAACTGCGATTGAACTTTTATCGTGCTTGAGTTCTACGACTGAACATGTTGCTCCAGGGGAGTGTTTTATATATCCATTGGCTCTACATCCCTGGATGCTCGATGAAAATCATCATGTTGCATTGCATACCCATCATGCGATTTCTGACTCGACGATCTACAAGGTTTTACTGAATTGGAAAGTGAAAAGAATCGATTTCACAACCTAGGCCTGCTTCCACCGGCGCTTACTGACAACAAACATACCATGGGTCCCTCCGAAATGCGGAGCTCAGATTGCTTCAAACACAAGAATTGCAGGTTCTTGTGGTCTCCGTAGCGGGTCATGAGCGAATAAGTAACACGAACAACGTACTATTTGCAGAACATTCGTTTTTGCAAATTCTCTCGGCTATCAATGTTTACCAAGTCCCCGCTGAGTCAGCATCAGCAGCATGAAGTATAGTGAGCTTGAAATACCACATCCTAGCAGACACGGGGCTTAGTGCGGCCCGTAGATATCTTGATCGAAGCACTGAATGGAGGGAGTACCCATTCTGATCAAAATCCAGGGGGACCCGGCCTCGTAATTACGAGCTCTCATGAAAGAGACCGAGAGTATATGTATCCAGTGCCGAATGGAGTCATTTTCCCATCAATGAGCATTGTCTAAGAACAGATCATGGCGCCAACTACCGTTCTTATTACAGGTGCAAATAGGGGTGAGTGTTCTTGTACCTTTCTGGAAGCAGACAGCAGAAAGTTGGCTCATCACAAGTAGGCATCGGAGCAGCTCTTGTGTCTCTCTACTTGGCCAGGCCTAGCACAATTGTCATTGCAACCGTTCGAGAGATCAACGAAGCCAATAAATCTAAACTGCATTCCCTTAACCAAGCCAAAGGATCACGCTTGATACTGGTTCCTTTTAATCTAGATCTCCCTTCCAGCGCCGCAGACGACATCTTCCATCTGCAAGATAGATACGGCGTCCCGTCTCTTGATATAGTCATAGCCAACGCTGGCATTTGCAATACCTGGAGTCCAGTCGACAAGTTGTCCGATAATGAGGTACTCATCCATTTCCAAGTCAATGCTCTTGGTCTTTTACGGCTGTTCAAAGCCGTTTTGCCACTTCTGCAAGCAGCCCAGCAGCCCAAGATAGCATATATGTCTACCATGTTAGCCAGCATACAAGATATTCCACATGACCCGTCTCTTACCGCCGCGTATGGAATGTCGAAAGTTGCCGGGAATTATTTGATTGAGAAGATAAATGCAGAATTTGACGATATAACTGCGTTTCCAATCAGCCCGGGGTAAGTCCCTTTCATCTCGAAGCCGTTGCCACTTTTGACAGATATTCTCCTCCATAGATTCGTGAAAACAGATATGGGAAATCGCGGAGCAAAGTTAGTTGGGCTCGAACAAGCTACGATGTCAGTGAACGAAAGCGCTTCACAGATCATTGACCAAGTATGTATCATATTTATCAACTACTCTGATCGAAGCCAGTAAGAGTGTTCTGCTGATTATTTGAACTGTTTAGATCGAAAAGGCTTCCAAGACAAATACCAACGGCAGATTCATTAATTACAACGGCGAGACGTTACCATGGTAATGAAGCAGGTATCAGACCGAAACTGATAATCTGTCTATCGCTTGTTCAGCGGTATCCCGCTGTTTTAGAGATTTCAGAGAATGAACAGCAATTCCAGCTTCTTGATTCTTGCCTCTGCATCTTGTGTCATGGGGGACTAGCTACCAGGTGGCCAAAAGTTGGTGACCGAAGACTCGTGCCGTAGGATAGTTCATAATGTATTGAGACTTCGCGATATACTTTTTGGTTAGCTTTACGTGTTCTAAGGCTCTTTATTGTACATGATACAATTCAATGGGCAGTAGCATTAACAATGCCACAGTTGACTGTTGCTCAACTCTCACAATTATATATATACGTCTATAAGGAACTGGATATAGTCATATTGGACATGAGCGCTTTACTGACATCTCGTCACGCTTTTTGACCACGTTATGTATCATCCATCCGTTAGTAAGAGAGCTCCAGTGCTTTGATACAGAGAACATAGGACCAACGACGTTGCAGAGAGTGATCTCATGGCAGCAGCTAGATACCAGCGTTTCGACAGTTCGAGCTGCGGCACAAAAGGGACAGCTTAAGCTTACTGCCAAGGGACACTTCGGAGAAATCAGCAATTTATAGCCCCTATAATTTAAAAACCTGGACCATGTTTCAGTAATCAGATATTTGTGACATGAGTGACACGTTTAATTGCTCAAACGAACCCACTGCCATGTGGACCATGGATGAAGTAATGATGAATAAGAGACGGACGGTTCGGACATTCACCGATAGCCCGAGGCTAAGATCGAGTCTGGGGTACTCTTTTTATCTTAAAAGAACGCCTGTCCCATTGAATCGCCCATATCTTCGAACCAGCATCACAGTTTCAAGCCTTTAAGATAAACCAAGCTATATCAGATCATCATTATAATATCACAATGTCTTCCTTAACTTACTACTCCCTTCCTGGGTATAGTGAATCTTGGAGAGAAAAGTATGGATTTAGCGACGCCTGCCTTCTGGGAAGCCGTTTGGAAGTTACCGGCCAAAGTAAGTCTATCAATGCTAATTTGGCTCTCTGGCTAACCGTTATAGCCGGCAAAGATCCTTCAACGGGAAACGTTCCCGCAACTATTGAAGAAGAGATTGCACAGGCATTTTCTAATATGAACGATGTGATTCTTCACTCTCTTCGACAAGCTGGCAAATTGTCCAAAGGAGATGGAGCAACGGGCTGGGACTATGTCGTCAAACTGCGAACATACCATGTTGGCCTGTCCAAGATGCAGGACCAAGCTCGCGATATCATGGTCCAGAATATCAAGAAGTGGTGCCCCGATCATCAACCATTGTTTACGATGATTGGTATCGAGAGCCTGCCATTTCCAGATCTCCATGTAGAGATTGAGGTTATCGCAGAGGTATAGCTATAAGAGTTCGTTATAAAATTTAACTAGATCTTCAAATAGTTACATGCATCTATCTGGCTCTTGTACCTTTTATGAAGTTTATAATGAAACCAATGTATAGTATATGAAGTGCTTTGCATCTTATAATAAAGCTGTCTTCTCTATCTCTGCCCGAGAATTCTGTCTTATTTGCGTTTAAGATCTAGCTCTTCGTGTCTCTATGTAGTCAACAACGTCAAAGAAGCTGCGTTTAAACGTTCTTTCCTGCGTTGTGCGATTAACGTATTGTAGCCCAAACTGTGAGTCAAAGCTCCCCCACTCCCAATTGTCTACAAAACTCCACATGAATGCTCCCAGAACATGTATATGGTCTTCCCAGATCGCCTTGAGAATCTCTCCCAGGAACGCAACGTAATATTCGGAACGCACAGTATCGTACTGGATGGCGTTGAGCTCTGGCGGGTTCGCTGTGCCATTTGTTGGATGACCAAATTCGGTCACCATCACAGGAGTACGGAAAGTATTCCAAAGATATGATAGCTGAGTGCGCAGGTAAGTTGGAGTGCTGTACATCTGGATACTCTCGCTGGGTTGCCCAATCAGCCAATCGTTTTCAGTGGTCTCGCTGATGCCAACGCAACTGGGGTAAAAAGAGTTGCTTGTCTTATTATTAGCGGCACACGCAGCGATATCATATACAACAGGAAAGACGATTGGCGCCGTATACACATCCATGCCGATGAAGTCTGGTTGGTCTAGATTAGTAACATATCTCCATACCATCTATCGGCCTACGAGAAAGTTCTTTTGCAGAAGAATAACTGTAACTTACCTAAAGTTCCTTTGAGGTTGCATAAATCGCCTTCACTTAGCGGCACATAATCCTGAACCGTCATCTTATACGCAGACGGATAATCGCGACCAAGAGCAAGAGGGTACAAGAATGGACCCAGCTGTAGATCATTGAAGTGTTCAGCTGCGGCCACATGAGATTCGTTCAAAGGATTGAGAGGAACACCAGGGGGAATCTCCATCTTCATGGAAATTTTACCGGTGCCGCGCAATTCGTCCTTATAAAAATGATAGAGCTTGGCATGCGACTTGATAACATGATCGACGCTGATGCCATTGACGGTTCCAACTTGAGGTTCGTTGAAAGTAAACCAGAAGGGCACACGATCGGCAAAATGGCTCATGACAATTTTGCCGTAATTTACAAAGGCATCCTCAAACAAGTCATGCTGAAAGCCGAGATTGCTTGTCCCAAGATAACAGCGAATGCCGGCATTGGTCAATATCTCTGTCTGGTTATCTCCGAAGAATTGTAATGGAGTATCGAAGTGATGAAGGGTAACAACGGGGCTGATGCCCTTGGAAATGGCGAAATTGATCAAGTCATCATAATGCGCCAGCCCTTGAGAATTGACGGGTGTTCCAGAGAAGGCAAAAGGCAAAATGCGAGACCAGGCGATACTGAAAGAATAGTATCGGATCCCGATGCTCGCAAGCCGCTCTATATCTTGGCGGTAGAGATAGTAGTTTTCATCAGTAATGTAGTTTGGCGACAAATCCCGGATACCCAGCTTGGCAGCCGTCTCTGGCGGAAGATTTGCAAACGTCTCAGGTATCGCCGGCGCCCTGCCCTCGTCCGCAATGGCTCCCTCGATCTGAGCTGCGGAACCAGCAACCCCAAAGACAAAATCCTGCGGGACTGAGTAGCAATCTGTTGGCCCAAATAGTAACGGCGGGGGAAGAACAAGCTCTTCTGTGGGCACTGGAGTAGGGGAAACAGTGGTCGAATAGAGCCCGCGTGACGTGAAGTTGGGTACAGGCGCGGCTTCCCATAGCTTGGAAAAAGCCAAATGTCCATATTGACCGTCGTTGTGAGACGATGCAGGTCTTGCCGACCGGGTGTCCCAGCTGCCCCATGATGTTGTTGATATGTTTGGCAGTAAGTGCTTTACTTCCGCATATGGTGGAGCATATCGAGGTGTAGAGGTGAATGTTGGCACTGGAGATGCTGTGCGGACAGTTTCGGTGTTGGTGTACTTGAATTGTGCATATTTATAAGTTGGATTTTTCTCGAGTGCTGCTTTAGTCGCAGTTGGTTGACAGAAAGGCCGAGTTGATGGACCGTGGGTGTGGGTGTAAATTTGCTGTCCAAGCGCACTACCGATAAATACCAGCAAGTATAAGAAGAATAAGAACATCGTGTAGCACTAAAGCCAGCTTTACGCCGATTCGGAAGAACGAAGATGGTTGGCTCTACTCAATTCTCTTTTTCAGGATTATTCATGTTAGACTTGTTGGAAAAGTCAGGGCCGATGCCAATGGTATACATGTTACAGGAGCTTTATAGTTCTTTACTTCATTATTGTCAACCATTCATCTGAACAGTCCATAGTGTTACACAGCTTGTAGTACTGAGGCCCTGACTCTAGTGGAGACCGGTATACTGCATCCTATTTCAGCTAGACAGTGCCGGATCTCATGTCGTGGGGCTAGTTGCGCGTGGAGTTCGCCGTATCCTAGTTGCCTAGGTACGATGAATCAGGAGCACATGTGCATAATATTGTGAAATCGAGGGGATTTTCAATGGCTTACGGGCCGATATGCACCCCGCACTTGGCACAGAGCTAGAATAGACAGTCTTACTAGAAGCTTGTACTAGAAGTTTGCTCCTCGTGAGTTGGATCCTACCCATCTTGCGGGGTGAACTAGCCTGCGGAGAGCCTCGTGAACATGGAGATTTGTTGCTCTGGGGTACCGGCAGCTAGCTCCTCGTTGGGCCTAAACACGTACCAAAGCGGAGACTGACATGCCTCCTTTTGCTGTCTACTTCGCAATCGGGGCGCAATAAACGTGCCAGCTTCGTTTTCATGACTGGCCAATCTGCGGAGATTAGCCGAAGAGTCGGGTCGTAAGCTGTCGCCCAGTTGGTTGCCTCTTTCACGATCCTCGGTATGACTGTAGTGCCCTATAACTGAATCTCTTCTGCTGTGTTGAAGACAGCTTTGCAGAGAAACGAGCTTATTGGCATGGCCGGCTTACCTTCAAGGAGCTGGAGGGGGGGTCGTGTCAGTACTGCTTGCGTCGCGTGCCATCGCCTCAAGGTCTGTCCTCTACTGAATCTCGCAACCTGCCTGCCACGGCCCCGTCAGCTGACGGCAAATAGATGAAATGCATCCGTACTGGGGGCGCCCCCTGTGTGCGCTGTCAGCGTGCCAGACGTGATTGTTGCTCAAGACAACCTATAGTTTCTGACACACTTGAGGTAGTCCTCAAAACGCCTGAGAACTTCAACAAGTCGAACAAATCCCGACCATCTGCTCGTACTCGTTACAGACGGAGTAATGGCAAAGGTCATACTAATAAAGAGCCGCCTACACTCCGCGATGAGGAGATGACCGAGCTGGGGCAGATGAAGGAAAATGTTGAAGATCTCCCGTCTATTTACTCGACGGCCCCATTCTGGACAGTCATGCAAGATGATTATGTCGAACGTGTTATTGACTTGAGGTCGACAAGCCCCGAAGACGCTCTCAACACACCATCAAGCACTATTCAATCGGGTGAGACTGTTTCGTGTGTATTGGACGCTGGATTATCAGTTGCGGAAATGAAACAGCTGATGAAGATGTATGTATGGCTCTGCAGTATGTTGAGTTGCGCTAACCATCATAGATTCTGCACGCGACTGTTACCTTCAATACCAATCTTTACTAAAGATGATTTCGAAAATCCAGATTTGTTGATCGAGGAAGAGCCAGAACTGGTGCATTCAATATGCTACGTCACCTCAAGATATCTGCCCGGGGGCTTGTCAACTGTCCAGTCAGTCTATCCACTTGTCATGCGATTCGTACAGGAAAGGTTTGCCGGCGCCTCATGGTCCGGGAAGGCAAATATCGGACATTTTAGGGCCCTGGTGATTCTCTACGCCTTCTCCGAGGCTGCTCATTGCAACGTTCATTCAACGCATTCCCCATACATGTTGTCGGCGCAGCTTATCAAGACTGTAACGGAAATGTACGGGACGCAACTGGGGCTTCACAGATCCATTGATGGTATTAGAGCTATACTGAGCTTACCACGCAACGAGCTGGCATCTAACATTAGCTACAAGAGATATAGTTATTGGCTGTGGCTGTTTACCATGTCTCATCAGTAAGTGTTATCTTTGACGCCATTGTTCGGGCATATATGTACTGAGAAATATGCGTCCTACAGTAGCGCACTCATTACTAGGACTCCACCAAGTATTAGAAGCGACTATTCTATACGTTCAGCGCCTGAAATATTTGCAAGAGCAAATATTAGCCCTCGCCTGCATCGTCTATTGGGTGAAGTCGAGCTTTGCTTGCTTTGGGAAAAGGTATGAGTCAACATCCTTCCAATGAGCTTTGCTAACGATATTATATCCAGGCGAATACCCTCGATTCCGGAATAGGCGAGTGGTGGTGTCCATCCGAAGTAGCAGCTCCCAAGGCATCTCAGTCGTCGCCATCGGCCATAGTTACCATTTTAACGCACGATTTGGCCGCATGGAGAGCCAAATACTCGTCCTTTATTGAACAGGGTAAATATCGTCGCTCAAGGCTTTTAAGACCGTGTGAAAATAACAATGACCAGGAGGGTTTGGAGTCGGACTCGACTTTCACCATCGGTTCTCGCAGTTTTGTCTCAGTACATATGCCGTATGCCATTTTGCGCACGCTAATAATAACGATGAGCGACACCTCTTAACTAAAGCCACGCTTGGCCATGCCGTCGAAGTTCTATCTTGGCTTCAACACCTTGGCCCAGTAGCTCAGGATAGCCTCCGCTATATCAGCGACTTTGCATTCATCATGCTGCTCTTTGCATGCGCTTTTATTCTACAAGCGTGCGAATCGCACCAAATGGCTCATGAAGAAAGACAGAGTAAACTCCTAACAGTATCAGCAACGGCCAAGCTGTTGGTTGAGCTAGGAATTCACGCATTTCACTTTCCTTCAATTTTCGGAAAGTCGCTGCAGAAGCGATTGGACAATCTTCAATCAAGCGGCTGTGATGATGAGAAAGTAGAGGGACTGATGGAAAATCCTTGCTCAGAAGTCCCACACATGTGGACAGATTACTATTCCACTGCCTTTGGAGATGGTCCATATCTGAATGAGACTGGAGACTCTGAAGTTCTATTTGGCGAATTATTAAATATGCATAACCTCAATTGGTACGACGTATTACAATGAGTCTAGGTTTAGACTGCAGAAAAGGATTGAACCGTGTTGCATGCTGCTGAATTTTACTCTAGGTAAATCTCAATGCATATAGCCAAACACCTCCATGCGACGCAAAAGTTTTAATAAATGGGTGAAAGAGAAATATGATAGCATACACTACATACAAAAAGCTAATCTAGTATTCCGTCCATTAATAAAACGAACTCAACTGACCTGCTTCATTGCAGTGTTGGCATGCCCTGAACCTATAGTCGTTAAGGCCCAGAAAATGCCTACATTCAGTTTCTAACAATAGCACTCTGAGAATGCAGAAAGTCGCAACGGTCAGAAGCATCCGGATCTCTCTGCGATATTATAGCAGAGTTTTGAACTGTAAGAATTGTATAGTCCCCTTCTCTGTAGCGCGGCCAATTGGCGCGCGTTTGCTTGGATACAGATGGAAAGCTGTTTGGATCGAGTCTCACAATAAATGAGACGAGATAATCCTTGACTGCTGTTGCCACTGCCGTGTCAATGGTGAATATCTCCTCATTAAAAATCGGAAAGTCCGCTGCTGAATGAACGTAAACTCCCGCATCAAAGATTGTTTTGTAGGCTGGGACGTTGTATTTGTCTGCTGCAGCTGCAAAGTAGTAGGTAGGGCAGTTTATGTTGGCATCGCCATTGAGTTGCTGAGCTTGCCACAGCGAAGGATCAGGACCAGGAATGGACAGGGGATCTACAGCAGCAAAGAGCGGGAAAATCATGCTGTGGAAAAATGGTTGGTCGTAATATGCGCCTTCAAAAGCCGATAAGGGATACAACTTGTTTAACGTGCTCCAAAATTGGGGGGTGGGCGAGTCCCAGGACTTCTGCCACTGCAGCTTATTTTCGTTGAACGAAGTTGTTGAAAAATTGGTGAATAAGATACCTGAAAGTCTTTTAGAATAACGGTTTGTATAGAAGTCTGAACAATAACTGTACCTTCAAACGAGTCGTGGTTCGTCAAGAGCGGTACCTTGGAAAAGTGTCCTCGAGTAAATTCTACAGACGGCAGGTCATGGATGATCTTATTGTCGACTGACGGTCCAAAGAACATATCTCCATAAGCATACAGCCCGGCAGCATAGGCGGTGTAGTAGCTGGCCGTTATCGATTTTTCTAGCTCAGACGCAGATAATGCCCGAAGGCAAGCGAGGTCGTTACAGCTGCTTGCATTCAGGACGAACTTGTATTGTTCTTGTAAGAAATTGCCGTCATGATAGGGCTGCATCCATGGGAATTCTATGTAAATCAATTAATATTTATTCAACCCTCAATGCCAAGATAAAACAGCCAATGGAAAAAATACCTGCAATTGCAGCTCTATAGGGTGGCTTTTTCTCTCCTCCCTGGTATATCAACTGATTGGCAACTGAGCCGCCACCCGCGCTGCCTCCCCAGATGGTTACCTTGGAAGGGTCACCACCAAATGAAGCGATATGGTGCTGCACCCACTCTAGAGCAAGACGCTGGTCTAGTAGGCCGGCATTTTTAACACCATCAACTCCATCAAATTCATCAGGATTCAAAAAGCCGTAGCCACCCAAGCGATATTGGATGGAGACCCACACAATGTTGCCCTGAGCATACTGTGTAAACGATGAACCGTCGGAGGAGATGGAGTTGCCAGTCACGTAGCCTGTCGCGAAATCGTTAGAGCGAAAACACTCTTGGAAACGTGCATTCCTACTCACCTCCTCCATGGATATATACCACAACAGGCAAGGACTTGGATTTTGGTGATGTTGGTGTAAGAACATTGAGCAGTAAGCAGTCTTCCGATGTTGGCAGTTCGGGAATGCCGCCTAATGCTTGAAAAGCACCCAAGTTGGTGCCATTTGCCCAAGCTGTCGGACCTTGAACACATTGAGGCCCTGCAGTGGTGGCATCGATAGTAACGGAATTTGAGTAGTTACCATGGGACTCGATGTCCTTCGGCGCACGCCAGCGTAAATTGCCTTCTGGCGAAACTGCGTATCGAATCCCAAAGTAGTAATCTAGGCCATACGTAGTATTGCGAACGCCTCGATATTTTGCGTATCCCAAATCGACTACAGGGCTGCCACTTGTGCCTTTCGACAGGGCGGTAACGATGAAGGCGCCACTCAAAAGGTAGATTTTAATAAAAGACATCATATTGTATCTTGCACAGAAGATCAAAAGCTACCATTCAAAGGCTGTTTAGCCGCAAGAGAAGATTTGTTTATTGATGCATCTGTGTGAGTTGAAAGCACTTTATATAACAATTTGACAGTCCTATGAGTAAACCTTTAGCAAGAGATGTATTCATTGTGCATTCTGTTTATTGCTAGGCGGAGAAGTGGCATCAATTTTCATTTTGGGCAGTGCTTGGCCGGGCTGCTTTGCCGGCTTACCGGCCTCTAATTGCTACTTGCGGCATGGGTTTCCAGGTTACTTCCGACCGCTATTGCCTCCCTAGAAAGAGTAGACGTGGGGATTGTTAGTTACTGAAAGTAACCTCCTTGTTAGATGGTGTCCGCCTGTAGAAAAAATTGATAAATTGCTTCTTAAGCACTTGCTCTTTGTTATACATATATAGGTAAAAGCTGGAACCTGCATAAACTACATGTTTATGCTGCTCTTTCAGGTCAGCTTCGATATCAAGAAGCCGATTGTATTTGCTAATTCTTTCCCCGCGAGCTGGAGCTCCTGACTTGATATGGCCCGTACCAAGCCCTACTACCAGGTCAGCGATAAAGTCATCTGTTGTCTCCCCAGATCGGTGGGACACAAAAACACTCCATCCCAGTTCGAAAGCATAGTTAGCGCTGTAAGTATCTTATTAGCTTTTTGTTCATATTCGACGCAAAATGTGACTTACGCTTCTATAGCTTCTGATACTGTGCCTATTTGATTGAGCTTCAATAACACCGAGTTGCATGCCTTTTTCTCCGAAGCCAGTTTAATGCGCTCCACATTAGTGCAGAGCAGGTCGTCGCCAACAAGTTCAATGTTGCAATCGCGATTGAACTCTGTCCAACTTGACCAGTCATCTTCCGCAAACGGATCCTCAAGTAGAACAAGGCCGTATTTCGCAATAATAGCTTTATATAGCTGTTGCATCTCTTTCGAAGTGCGAACGTCATTCGATGTCTTGTCTTTAAAAGAAAGGTCATACAAGCCCGATTCTTTATCGAAAAACTCTGAAGATGCAGGGTCACAAGCAAATTTGATGCGTCCTGTATGCCCTGCTTTCTCAACGGCCGCTATCATCAAGTCTAGGCCATCCTCCAAAGACGAGATGGGAGGTGCAAAGCCGCCCTCATCACCAATACCAGTTGCTAGGCAATACATTAGCCAAGTTTATTCCAGTATGTACACTCTGTTCTCTCACCTGGAGCACCAAACCGGTCTGCAATAATTGTTTTGAGTGCAGAGTAGACATCCACAGCCAAACGGATCCCCTCCGCAAAAGATTCGGCTCCAGTTGGAGCAATCATAAGTTCTTGGAACGCCATGGTATTTCCAGAATGAACACCCCCATTCAAAACATTGAGAAACGGGACTGGAACAACATATGGACCTCCGAGTCCAGCCTCTTGTCGTATGAACTCATACAAGGGGACACCCTACTCGCAAATGTAAGCATTCATAGCTGAGGAGAGAGTTTCAATGACACACCTTGGCCGCAGCGCCTGCTCTGGCGCATGCCATGCTAATTCCGAGGATGGCATTTGCCCCGAGCCTAGACTTGTCAGCAGTGCCATCCAGCTCCTTCATAAATTTGTCGATTTCCTTCAATTGTGTCTTTGGGTCAAATTTATGCTCAACCAGAGCTGGTCCCAGTACAGTCTCAACGTGGGCGACGGCTCGGGTGGTACCCATCCCACCGAATCGCGACATATCACCATCTCTCAGTTCCAGAGCTTCATGTTTTCCAGTCGATGCGCCCGAGGGAACAAGGGAGTAAAAGTTACCTTGTAACGTGAGTCGTAATCACTTGCGCGAAATCGTTGAATCACGTACCATGGGATGTGGTGACTGCTACCTGCACAGTTGGTTTCCCCCGGGAATCGAGTCGTTCTGCTGCCTTGATCGATTCAATCATAGCGGCCTTTGTGCTTGTATAAACAGTAGTATCGTCGTATTTGAATACCAAAATGATCCAGTCATTTGATCAGGCAATGCACTGAGTAAATATACCAAGTTACAATATTGATGGCTTCAACATGACGCCACTAACTTCTGGTCATTGCCGCAGCAGCAAAGCGGCTACCCATTGCCTATATCCGCTATACCCGGCCTATCTCAGCACCACCTAACTGGCCTTACGCAGAATGGAGATCCTTGCCCGCTGTAAGTAGAAGATGATACAGGGTTGTGATAACTCCTCACTAAAATCGGATATACCGGTTACAGGCTTGTTGCAGTACTGTGTATTCTTCTTGGCCAAAAGGTAGATTCCGGATTGCAGTGTTTGGGAGCCAGGAAAAGGAGGCGGGCCTGTTTCCCTCCCTCCCTCTCTTTCTCTCCAGGCCGAGCAAATATGCCCTTTCGGCTATCGATTAGTCTGCTTGAGCTGAGTTCCGCTGCTTTAGGGCAGCCTGATCTGGCTCAAGAGGAATTTAATCCGATGATGAAAAGACCGAGCATCGGCCTGCCACGGCAACCCTCCATGAAAACAAGTCACCTCCCGTACCGCCTTTCTTCCGAGTTTGTCGATAGTGCGCAAGTTCTGCAAATCAAGCCATTGACAGTCGTACTTATTTTTGATGCTTGTTTTATTACCAGTCCCTTATTCTATAAAAGTGAAGTTGAAGCTTCGCAAAAAAACCGAAACTCAGAATTTGCGAATAAACAAACCAGCCGAGCATTTGTGCCATAAGCAGCTTGTTCAGAATTCTTTCTAGAGCAGCTGTTCGATTTAAGTCACCGCGTACCTATCGCGCTCTATGATACGTCTTCCGACCGATTAGAATGGCTCTGCAATCTTCCCATAGCTCGACCGGAAACCATAAACCCTCAATCAAAAGAACAAGCCACCCATCTGAGAGTCGGGATCAGAATGAGTCACCAAACTATGACATGCCTGAGGCTTGGGTCAATCTAGACGAGCTGGCAGTGAACAGCCCAGTCGAGAATGCTGAAGAAAATGCAACTTATCGGCACCACAACTTGGAGGAAACAAGAAGCCGCGAACATGAGTGGAATAGACAGAACCAACACCAAGAGGGAAGCAGAATACCCACGCCTACGAGTCCAAATAATGACAACGACGGAGAGAAAGTGGAAGGAACACGTGTATCCCAGTTGGCCACGCAAATATACACTCTGTCATATCTGATATTCTTTTCCTTTCTCGGCACACTTGCGCGGATTGGTCTGACAGCACTGACGTTTTATCCTAATACCCCGGTTTTGTTTACCACAATTTGGGCGAACTTTGGGGGAAGTTTCATCATGGGTTTTCTTGCCGAAGATCGCATGCTCTTCCGACATGAATGGGGCACTCCAACATACGACGAACAACTGGCTCGAGCAAGAAGAGCAGATGTGGACGAAGAACGTGGCTCGAGCTCTTCTAGGACTGTTATAGATCTTGGCGCGGCAAGAAAGGCACATCTAGCAGCCAAAAAAACAATCCCGCTTTATATTGGATTGACAACTGGATTCTGCGGCAGCTTTACAAGCTTTTCAACCTTCATAAGAGATGTATTGCTGGCTCTATCAAACAATGAATTCCAAGTTCCCACCACAGAGCGATCTGGAGGCTACTCGTTCCTAGCAATGCTAGCAGTCATTATCACCACGGTCTGCTTGACTTTAGCAGCTCTACATATTGGCGCACATTTAGCTATTGGTACGGAGAAGTGCATTCCGTCTCTCCCATTCCGCCTTATTCGAAAGCTTTTGGACAGGACTGTTGTTATTTTCGCATTGGGCAGCTGGGTTGGTGTCATCTTGTTATCCATAATGCTACCGGACATAACTTGGCGTGAGAGGACCATTGCGCTTGCATTCTCTCCTGTTGGATGCCTAGCCAGGTTTTACCTCTCGTTGTACCTCAATGGAAGGTTTTCATCGTTTCCTTTGGGAACATTCCTGGCTAATGTGCTCGGTACTGCAGTACTTGGCATGTCGTGGGATATTGCTCACAGCGCTTCCGTAGGCATAGTTGGCTGCCAAGTTTTACAGGGCATAGAAGATGGGTTCTGTGGGTGCCTCACGACAATTTCCACTTGGGTGGCGGAGTTGAATAGCCTTCGCCGATTCCATTCGTACATTTATGGGACAGCGAGCGTGCTAGGGTCTCTTGCCATACTGATTGCTATTATGGGAGGATTGCGTTGGACAGATGGTTTCACACCTCCAGTATGCAGCTGAGTCCAGCAGCATATATCAGGCATTGTGCGAATGATGAAATGCAAGATTAGAGATCGACCTTGGAAAGGTTTTTATTTTCTTCACCCTTAGCCACAAACAATTGCCCTGAGATAGTCCATAGCGGTTCCATCGCAGTTGGTGTATTTTGCGAATTGCCTATTTCATGTACAGCTCAGAACTACCGTCTTTGAAGTTCGTATGGAAACTATGTCAGTGATTGATTTCATCTGTATAATCTCACTGGCTCGACACAATGATCTATCTTCACTGTTACTGTGTTTGGCATGATAGATAAATAAATCCAGATCATAGATTTCGATTCTTCCCATAGTAAGAGACCTAAGTTAAGCCTCGTTGATGAAATACCACTTATCCATGGAGCTCACTTTTAGGCCTGGAGATGACTGTCGTTGAACTGGTAAATCGTAAATCAGATCCTGAGCAATATGGGTTACATAGCCAGGTGACTCCTCCATAGTTGTATTTGTGCTACAATATTAGCTTTGATCCACACTATACCATATGCTCTGGCAATGCTTACACGGCGATTCCATGTTCTTGAGTCGTTATAAGGTGACGCCAGGCATTTGAGCATTTCTCGATAACCTGTGTAGCATAGCTGACGAACGTTAGTGTCAAGGGGGAACAGAGAAGTATTAAAGGGCCACAAACGCCTTATTCTTGCACTCCCCGTTAAAAGAAAATTTATTTGCGGGCTTTCCATCTGGCACTTTGTAAATGCGAAACCACTCTTTTGTCGCGCGGAGAAGTCCAGGCATGTGAACATCGATGTCTTCGATGTCGTCGAGCTCAGATGCTAAAGGGTCTTTAATATCAATGGCAATAATCTTCCAGTCGGTATCTTCGCCATCTAGAAGTGCCAGAATGCCAAGAACCTTGACTTGCTTGATCTCTCCTGGATACCCAACTCTTTCCCCAATCTCGCAAACATCCAGCGGATCATTGTCGCCTTTTGCTTCAGTGTCAGGATGGGTGAAATTGGGGTCTTCCCATGTCTTAACCGGCCATGTTGATGTCAGTGACATGTACAATAGGCTGCTGGAGAATGGACTAACTCGGGGTAATGCTCCATAGTTCCAAATATATCCTTTGTAAGGGAAGCAGTTTCGGACGTATCGGGGTTTGTTTTCTAGACTGTCCTGCTTGATGGGATTCAAAATCTCGTCTTTGGTGATCTAAATACTCAAAACAGTATTAGAAGAAAAGATCAAGTCCAAAAAACAGCCATGAAGAGCATCTTATATTCTGGGTAACTCACCTCAAGCTTGCTATTTGTCCAGCGAGGAATCTCGACCACCATGTTGAGTACAGCCTCTTGGGAATCATGATACAAGGGTATATCGTGAAAAGGTGAAATAGATGTACCGTTTCGTGTAACAAAGATACGATATTGTAATGTATTTGGGACGCCAGTCTCCAAAATACCGTATTGACAGGTCATGGTTGATATAGCAATGGGAACAATTAATTATGAAGCGTAAGTGAACGTCGAACAAGACAGGCCCCTGATCAAGGTTCCCAATAAAGGAAAGGAAAGAAAATAGACCAAAGATATATTCAGGTGTCAAATGTCCAAGAGTTCATTAACACTATAATTAGAGGCTTTCATTATTACATCACGACTTGTTTGGCAACTGGGTCTATAGCGAAAATCTGAATGACGACATCAGATCAAGATGATTTACGAGTATCGTCGACTTAGAATTATAATGTCTTATTCTCTTGCCTGTGGAAAATGCCTTAGGTAGACACCCGATATTTCCATCAGCTCTGATTCGTGACCATCGGTGGGGTGACGAGCCAAAGCTAATAAGACTAATAATACTGTCATTTTCGTGATTGCCTAGTCTTTGAAGCTGCAGCCCTTGCTTCACTCCATAGGACAAAACATCTTAGCCGCTCGCTAGTCCACGTATCCAAGGTGGACATATTATGCCAGCCCGTTGGAAAGTCGGATATGTCGGCCAATGTCCCCTGACAGCCACAAAGTTTGCCCACTTTGTCCGTCGTAGCCGAACTACCTCTTTCGATTAACGCTAGTATTCGTAGCATAAGGCTGCCATTGAATATAGAACAAAGATAGTTAATCGTGTAAACGTGAAAGATCTTCATTTCCCCTCCTATCCCGTAGCGTAACGGTTGATGATCTTTACAGTTGAGTGCTGCCGACCTACTAGTGTACTTCCACCTATACTGAAACAGGACTATATGGCCGTATGAGTAATTGATTCGGAGGAGAGAGGAGGAAGGTGAGGAGATAGTATTGTGGGTGGCTTTGAAGATTGTGTCTAATATCTTTTAGTACTCTACCTTAAACGTTGACCAGTAATCGCGTCATAGATGGTATCGAATATTACTTCTAATCGAATATTACTTCTAGCAAACTTGACCTATGGAGTAGCCGTGTAACTCACTTACCACACATTCGGCATGTTCCACTCTATACCTCCACCTGACCGACCTTGGCATGAGAACATTCGATATGGTCGGCAATATCGGTACGTCGAGCTTAGGGCTGTGATTGTTCAACGTTGCCAGTTCCTATGGCAGAGGGTACTTTGGCTTCAATAATACGCGTTTGCAAGACAGTGGACGGTATTGCCTCCAACTTTGGATAGATTTGGCTACTTGAACCTCAAGTCATGATGGCGTAACATGAGCCAAGTGATGTCATGTGGCGATGATCTCTTTCTTCCCTTCGAGATCAAGATATAAGACGAAACAAATGTGCTAGCATAGTAATAGCAATCGAAATGGGCACAGCGCTGGCTGCCATCCGAGAAATCAACTGCGAATTGTACAGAACACAGTACAACCACAAGCCATGGCACCATCAAAGAAACCTACTCTGAAAGAGAGGATTGAGGCGATGGGAGAGTACATTGCGCTTCGTGAGGATTATCGCGGTCGCCTGCCCGGTTACATATCCCGCTTTACTGGATACAAGCCGCCGGATGCTGAGCCGCCATACGAGCCTTTAAGCTTTCCGCCATTTTCTTGGCTGAAATGGATTCCGCTTGAGTTGGAAGTCTGCGCTTTTACCTGGATTGGCTCATTCGGAGGTATTCTTCTGATTGAAGCAATCATGTCGGCAAATACAGCGTTCTCTGAAGTATACCATGCGCCAATCATCATCACCTCATTCGGCGCCTCGGCGGTGCTGTTGTTTTCCGCTATCGAATCACCTCTTGCGCAGCCTCGAAACTTCGTCCTCGGCCATTTTGTATCCGCCCTCGTCGGCACATGCATTACCAGACTCTTTGTCCTCAATCCACACTACCACCCGTTTCTCGATGAGGGTGGTTTCCACGCCAATGTCTTTGTGAATGGTGGTTTATCAATGGCAACATCTGCTCTTGCGCAAGTTCTAATCGGAGCTGTGCATCCACCGTAAGTTTACTTCGCTCCGGAACCTTCAACTGTTCGTGAGAATTAGGGAGCTAAATTTTGACTAGTGCCGGCGCAACTGGACTCAATGCTGCTGTTCAATCAGAAGTTGTCACCCTCTCTTGGCGTTATCTGCCGGTTATACTTGCCTCGTCGCTAATCATGCTGGGCTGGGCTCTTATAATAAACAATGTTGGTCGTCGACGTTATCCTGTTTTCTGGTGGAAGCCAGGGAAAGTGTTTGTTTCAGCAACAAAAGAACAGCAGATTATGGAAAACTTGCGTGAAGCCAGGGAAGTGGAGATGGTGCTTAGAGTAGAGGAAGGAGCCAATGTGGGTGACGAAGGAGGCAGCGAAATTAGCAGACATGAGCCATGAGCCAGAAGAAAACGCCGTGGAGTATGGATACAAAGTCGGGAATTGGATAAGGTGATGAGCAATGGGAAGATAAGAAAGTGAACCATGCACGAGTGGTCAATAAACAAGTAGCGACAAAACACTTACATCGGGTAACTGAGTAATTGCACTAATTACGTTCTAATAAATATCCTATATAAAAAAGTAAATACACGGTTCAGTTGTCATTCTACAAAAGAACTTGCCTCTTGGAATGTCTGTGTGAGGCAAACACCTGCATACCGCAAGAGCGGTTGCTATCCACAATTTGAGTACGCGTGATCCTTTCCAAATGGAGCATTTAAACGCACTGGACATGTTGCAGACCGACTATCTCAAAAATATCTCGACACTCAAACCCCGTTAAATGAAATGTATTTGTACTCTCAAACGGCAGATCTCTTCACATAATAATGCAAGCAGAAGGTAAACAGAGCCATGTTCTAAGTTTATCTGAACATTTGGAGGCGCCATCTTCTACTGTTGGGATCTGGTCTTCGCGTGCATCCAGTGACCCCAATCCCTGATGCTCTTGCTCAAATCCCCCCTCTGGCCTTCTATATTCTTCCAACGTCCTATGATGATACAGTGATGACTCGTTGGGATTTTCGACTGGTGATATAGGCGCTAATTCGCTAAGATGGCCCCAGCTGTCAGGAATACTGTATCCTGCCTGGTCATGGCTGTGTCTTGTTGAGACTCGGCGTGTATTCGCGATGGATTGGTCGTTGAGAATACTGTCATCATCGGATATATGGTGTAGAGATCGATTAGAGCGAGTAGTATCAGGTATATGGCCACTGATGCTTTTGCAGGCCATGTGTACAAGAGCTTGGCCTTTCGAATTGTCGGTGCAATATGCTTTGCAAACTTGCTATTTGCCGCCAGTTTGAGAATCAGCCAAGAGAGAACTATAATTGTAAGATCTTATCGACATCCGCACGGGACTGGGTATATATTACCTTGATAGGTTGAGGCATTAATGGCGCTTTTAGCTAAAGTGTAGCGTCTACACAGAGCAATACGCCAATATCCTTCTAGTGTCTGCATGACGGCATCGCAACCAAAAAGAAAGTTTTGGGATGTCGGAAATATCGGTGATATCTTTAAAATCTAAGCCGCATGAAATAAATCACCGTATTATACTTGTACTCGTGGCATCCCTAGATCGGAATAGGCCTAACCCTTTCATTCTCAAGATAGAATGCTTTCGTATGACTCAAATAAACATCCATAGACTACAATTTATATTAAAAACTACATTTATCCATATATTTCCAATACTTCCACGATGCGCTGTTCTTAAGCGTCATTTACATCATCATGTGTTGCCGCGTCATAGGTTGGGGGAGGGTCCATCACCAGGACATCTAAAGATGCTTCCAAATACTATGCGGGGCCATATATGTCAGCTCATTGGCAGCAGTAAGACTTGTTTGAATCATACCTGTATAGAGCTTTCCAAACCATTGGAGATACCAACAATGAATTGAACTGCGTAGTCGGATTTCAACAGACAGGAACTCGATGATGGCCGGGATTGAACAACGATAAATGTACCCCACGCCCCCAAATCTAACTCAAAATGCTCTGATTCGATTGGCACCGCTCCATGTATAGTATTTGCATATCGTGTTTCTGCCATGCTTTGCCACTCAGACTGTAAAAAAGCAGACACAACGGCCTGCATCTGTATTTCCACGCTCCGGACGTAGATATCGGCCCCTTGAAACAACTCATGTGGGGTATGGAACTTTAATCTCAATGGCGTCCCTTGTCCACGTATTAGAACTGGCGGCTCTGGTAGAGCTATGTCCATGTGCAAGGACGGATAATACAAAGGCAGAGATTCATCAAGCCCAATAAGGTCTCTGGAGGCACTTTTGAGGCTTTGATTTAGCTTATAGACGGGAAGTGCGACAGTACATGATGCTGCGAGGTTAATAACAGGAGGGTTGCAACTGAACATAAGCTCCCGTTTGACGCTTTTGCTCCTGGACATCTTCCCGAGGATACATCGTTTCACTGTAGCAGATAACAGATAAGTCGATCTTATCCGGAGTTTTCCGTCATTGACTGATATTGACGAAGGTAGTTGGCAAGCGTTTTGACACGCGCAATTGAGGTCAGTCGGGAACTTGAACTCGATAGGACACAAATAGACACAGCCGCCAGAATTGTCATTGACAGCAGCTGATTGCAAGATTTTGAGGTCCTCGGATTGTTCGAATAGCTACACTTTGCGTTAGCACTAGAGAAAGCTGTTGGAGTGATATGCCTACCGTATAGTTACACTCTGTGGGACAACAGGTGTTGAGGCCAGGGGAGGCTTTGACTGTCAATCTACCTTTGGGCGGAGTGATGTGAGCGAGCAGTCTATGAGCTCAATCTGCGCTGCATTACTTACCCCGAAACGTTGCTGTTACTCGCGGCACATGTTTAAAAAAGCATCCTCGTATCTCTAATGTTGCTCGCAGTGGATCCCCTGGATGAAACAAGGGCGGACTGGATTCATGCTCTATTTGCAATGCCAATTTCATTGTTGCCGTAGCAAACTAGAGCGACCGAGGTATTAAATGTGAGAATGTCTCCTGCAGGATGGAAATAATATGCTGTGTTTATGCTTTGGTTATTGAAGCCTTGGGGAGCGACCTTTATTCCTGTCTCTGAATAGGGTAGTATCGTTTACACCTGACAGTTCTGCACTCGGTGCGCTATTGTCGGCTATACCGGATATACAGATCGGTCTGAGCTTTGGGATGGGATGGACACACAAGACAAGCAGCTCTTTTCGCCCGCAATGAATTAGCAGCAAAAACGTCATGATTCAATATATTTTGGCATGGAGCATGAATTAAAATTCTAATTCAGCAAGATATGCTCTTCGAACAGCTTGTTTTTCATTGGTAGCTCTTGTAAACATTGAAGAAACTTGCCCTCGCTTAGCTATCTTAATATACCGTGTCAAAGGGAACTTGGCGTCGAATCTTTTTGCGCAAATTCGGTGACGTCCTTTGGGAAGTTAACAAACACTCATTCCAGGTTGATCATCCTCCTCATGATTAAAGGTGCTAGAGGTAGAAGTCAGTTGGTCTTCACGCGTCTTGCAATTCGTCTGCTTTCGCTAGAAGTACCCAGGTGATTTTTGTCTGTCTTGAGTACGGTATCGCTACATACCTGTAATAGCAATTCCAAGTAATGAGTGGGCTGGCACACGCAATCTAATGTCCTTGGAGCTTTATACCGTGGCTTGACAGGCGATCAATATATGGCACCCAGCACTCGATATACTTTATGTCTAATTTCAACCGCAAACAGCTGGAAAAGCTACAATTTGATGAGCCAATACACGGAGCGAGTTTTGATATAGGGCAGCTTCTTGAACTGCGTTTCTTCATCTCTCATACTTCTCTGAAAGTGGATCGCGTGATCTGCCAGTCGGCGGAAACGGTATAGACTCTAAACTGAGATTCGGCTTCAATACTCGCGAGACTCTAGATACTCATCCATGTTATCGTAACATTATAAAATCGTGATTCATTCACTAACACCGGCATTCTTTTTACCTGTAGCGTACAATGCATTGTGTCATGATGAGGCGCGGCCGCAGTGATGTGGCGGTGATAGCGGCGATGACGCTAAAGGCCAGAAGGTCCAGCCACTCTTTAAGAACAGCCTAGACTCAATACTGAATACAATTGGCCGAGCATGTTTGCCGGTATATCCGCTTGAGTTTTATCATCGTTAAGTCACGTCAAGCGAAGAAACCACGCGTAGATGGAAACGCATGATTATTGAACTGGGACGAACTACAGCAAATGATTAAAATGCTCCGACAAATCTATCAGTTCTAAATTGTTAGTTCCTATTTCAGCACCCGCCATAGACGTATGTGCTTGGAGTATTCAGAGTGAAACTTTACGAAACAAAGCACACCGAACTTTGCCTGTTCCGATATTTCCGCCCGGCAATAGCGAAACGTCTTCCCTGAAATTTTGTCCATATCAAAGGTGCTGTATCGAAAGGAAGGCAAGCGAATCTGCCAAGCATGGATACCGAATACAAGCGCAAGCGGGTTGCCAAAGCCTGTCAGAGATGCAGGTCCATGAAGTCAAAGGTAAAGCGCTCGGGTACGGCGGCCTACTGCTTCCATGACTGATGATACGATTATAGTGCGACGGGCAACGACCGGCATGCGGTAGATGTCGGGGCTACGGGTATGCCTGCTCCTACCGGCTCCAGCGCCCCCGACTGCGAGCTGGAACGGATGATCGCACCAGTCATAGCATATCCGAGAGACTACCGGACTTGTGCGATGCAATACACGAACAGGAAAGATTGCTAGTCCATGCCATTTCTCTCCTTCCGCCTGGTCCGGAAAAGGAAGCACTCCAGCTGAAGAGCTCAAGTATCAAATGGCAGCTTGATAACGCCATCTCCAGCACGGAGACTGAAGTTTCACCAAATGCAGTGGCTGGCGAATCTCGTAGCAAATCACCCTCTGGCGGTGTTGATCGGTCTCCGGGCTACTTGGGCGAGGTTAGCGACATTCGGTTTGTCAATGTTGTGAAAAAATTTCTGCAAACCCAAGATGGAACAGCAATGATGCAAAAAGATTTCGAAAGCTATGACCAAGGAGAGAATTTGATATCTTCTAACAAGGCCTCTTGTCCGATCATCTTGCTGCCTACCTTTGAGGAGGCGAAACATTATATTAATGCTTATTTTACAACCATTCATATCGCTTATCCCTTTATCCCAGAGATACCTTTCATACAGCATTATAAGACACTCAGCGACTATGCCGCTCCCCAGGCCCAGAGCTGTAACAATAACATTGAAACAGCGCTATCATGTGAGTCATGTCTCATTAAAGCCTTTCCAGCCCTTTACTAACAATATAGATACAATATGCGCTATTGGCGCCTATTATAGGACCTTGCCGGGGAAAGAAGAATCTGCAGATTCGCTAAATGAGAAATTGTACTCATATGCTTTGGCATTAGCGCCAGCTTCCAACATGGAGCGTTCACTCGCTCAGGTGTCACTCCTTTTAGCAAGATGTTTTTACCTCCTGGTCGTGTGCAGGACAGAAAGGTTCATCTCATACGCTATCCAGACCGTTTGAAGAGATGCTAACAATCGTTTAGCTGTTGGACTATACTTGGTCAAGCCGTCCGTGTGGCCCAAAGCATCGGACTACACATAGAAGGCGAGGACTCAGGCCATACACAACCCAGCCATTCCCCAGAGGTCGAAAAGCGACGCCGCGTGTGGTATTCCGTCTATGTGTTGGATCGGCTTCTTTCCCTACAGCTTGGTCGGCCTCCAGCCATCCACGATGATGATTTCAATGTTCCATTGCCAGACCGAGCTGGTGATTCCGAGATTGACTGGACTGGCGAAGTGGTCGAAAAAAGAACTGGTGGCAGTCCATCATCAGGAGACTATTTCCTCGCGGTAATTGCATTCTCGGGGATTGTTGGCCGAGTTCTTCGGAGCCTATATTGCCCCAGGCGTAGCCATTTTACTTCCGAAGATCTGCTTAGCACGAAGGATCTCGATCGGCAACTCATAGACTGGAAGCTGGCCCTCCCGAGAGCCCTCCGTTTCGATTTAGGCCATACATTTGAGCAATTACCTATTTTGAAGACGCAGGTGAGTTTTTTCTTTTCTTTTTTGTATTCATCTGTTCTAAAACAATCTCAAACGCTCATAAAGCCATTACCTGACCATTTGTAGCGAAACATGTTGGCTATAAAGTTTCACCATCTTAGGGCCCTCATCTACCGCCCGTATCTCTGCCATCCGCTTCTGATGCACCTTGGCAATCCCAATGCAACCATTAGCCAGTTAGATTGGCCACCGATACGCGCTTACGAGAGAGCATGTATTTCGGAAGCACGAGAGACAGCACGGTTGCTGCATGGCATCTCCAGCAAAGAGGAGCTTGTTCATGGATTCCCATGGTGGCAGATGATATCATGTTTAGTATGCGCCAGCTCAATCTTGCTTGTGTCTAGCATGTTTGCGGAATCAACGCTTGAACTGTCATCTGAATTTGATACCGCTGGCTTGTCTGACGATGCAGAGACATGCCTTACGGTTTTTGATGCCCTTAGCATAAACTCTCCAGGGGCGAGGATCGCTCGAGATATGATGAAGGCTCTGAAAGAGTGTGGTGCGAGGTGGAGTAAGTGCAGCACTTCTTTAGCTTAAGATACATGCTAACTATTTGCAGAAGACGATAGTAATGGCACCCCCAGATATATTCAGGAGGGTACAAAAGCACTTGATAATCCTTCAAGCTTCCAGAGTCAGCTACCTCATCCAAATGTGATGGTAACTCCATCATGTACCGGCGATTACATGCAGCACTTGTCTTTATCTGGCAGCCTGATGCCAACAAACTCTAGTTGGCCAGCGGAAATTGTTGACTCAATGGCATGGTCAGCGCAGTTCTTTGACTTTGGTCACGGAAGATCAAGCTATATGGAATGTTTGGAGCAAGAAGAGCATGAAAGCAATAATAGTTTTTAAATTCAACAGCATTCGGGATTCTCTACTCCTCACAATAACCATAGCTATTTGTTACTTTAGACGATTTGGATAACATACAGGGCTACGTTTTCTGCTCTCTGCAATGAAAAATAATCCAAGATTCCCATCGACTACCAAAACTTTTACATGTCCGCTCACTTGAGACACCGTATTGCACAGCATTTGACTACAGTATTAGAAACAGCTAGCCTTTAATCCTCCAGGACTTCGTTATCAACTACCATCGCATGTTTTCGCAGTCCATCCTGAACAGCGATATATAACCACTATATTACGTTCCAGAATAAAAGCATACCCCATCTCCCTCGGCTTTATTCGTGGCTGGGTTCCACGTATCAGCATTGAATGCTACAACTCCACTCTCTGACAGACAAGCTGACGTCGTGATGCCGTGGCACCAATCCCTAGCATGGGGTTTTCTTTCCTCTACATGAAGCGAAGCTGAACAATTTCATCTTTGACAATGAAAGAGTCAGTTTCAGTATGCGTTGCGAATTTGACATTGTCTTTATTGACCTCGGAATAGACTTTTTTGCCTTCTCGGGAACGACGAGCACAGCTCTCACCAATTTGTAGCCTGATACACCACCCGCATGGTCTCTGTCGTGACGAGAAGGCATAACATGATCGATGGGCGTGTTGAACTTCTTTTCTATCCACTGTAACAGCATCTGTGAAAGGCGAGGAGCTACGCCTGCGGCGAGATTGATATTTGTAGAATTAACAACGAGCCGTACGTAGTCTGCATAGCCCACGTAAATGTACATGATCTGAGGGATGATGGGAATCGGGTGCTCTACGACTACATCGGATGTGTTGAAGAAGGACTCAAAAGATCCGCCTCAGAGATCAACTTTAAAGAATTCACAGCATCTGATTGGGAATAGACATCGCTTTATATGGGTGATTGGGAGGAGTTTGCCTATCAGATACTGGCGGGGGCTCAAAGAAGGCTTGTTGAAATGTCGGGATAACCATGATACTGTCAGGTTTTACGTCTTTAAGAACTGCCGTTGCTGGCTGACATGTGTAATGCCAAGGCAGTGTTTTACCACTGCATGGTGTGTTGCAATCGTAGTTCTTCTATATGAAATACCACTGACTCAAGTAAAGCTCGGCACCGTAACCTAGGAGTATGCACAGACGCATATTGACCAAGCTAATGCATTGGGGTAAGAATTGCGGAGAGAATACTTCTCTTCACCTGTACAATGAATTTAGTCTGGCTGATCTTTGACAACTTTAAATTGGCTGGCTTTGCACTGAATGTCGGCGACCCAACCCAACCTTTTGTACAAACGTCACTGGACTACATGTTCTACTACGCCCAATTAGTCGGGTTCAATCTTTATATTTCGATAGATTTGAACGCGTCTGGGAACGCGTGCTACCAGAGAAACCCGCATTATATCGATATATGCTCACCAATAACACACGAGCGAATGATAGCTGGTTAATTTCTTGCTCATAGGTGTATACATGTTTCCAGAAGGGCCTTGCTGGCTGCAACGGTGTTTGGGCTTCTGAGCCCTTTCCAGCAGCAGCTATCTAAACGCGAGCTAAGTTAGTTTACAGCCCTATGACTACGACTAGATGTGGTTACGCTATGAGGCGTGGTCCGCTGGCTCTGCTTACTATCAGATGGATGGAAACTGCTGATGAGCAGTAAGTCTACTTACCCATCTCCGCATAATCTACTTGCTATTACTGTGATACTAAAATGTGGTATCCTAGCCTATTCTTTGGGTGAATATCTCAACTACACATGGATTGGTAAGAACCCATTGTTCTCTCTTTTTACAGCAGTCCTAAGATCCGACTGAGGGTAGTCTATGTAGCCTACTCAAGAGACCCGCCAGGCTTTTTTAGCCTTGGCGTAATAACGCGCTGCTCAGCACCAGGCTCAAGTCTAGTTGAACAAATGTTTGGTTTCATTACTATGTAAATACCTCAGTCATTGGCTGCTTTCCGTGGTGGCTAGTACAGGAGTCGTAATCTCAGGGTGGCTTATCTGCTGGACGGACAGTGCCCCCTGCGTTAGCGATTTATGACAAGCGATTTACGGCATAATAAGCGATTTACGGTCTAGTAAGCGATTCACGCCAAAGTTTCAAGTTTCAATTGAGCTATTATATATATGTGTGTGTGTGAGTGAGTGAGTGAGTGTGTGTGTGTGGTGGTAATCAGTTATACTGTGTTGTTTTCTCATCGAGTTTACAGTTTGTAGCCTCGACTCCGTTACAATTACCTAGCCCGTCTTCTATTTCTGCTTCCTGGTTTTTTGTTCTCCCCATTGCCAGTGTTCAAGACAATGTTCACTGTAGGCCTGCTCCTTCTTACTGTAGGCTCAGTCCTATCCTCCACCGTCAATGACCGGGAATTGCCGATGTTACGCATTGCTCACCAAGAGCGTGGCATTCTCACCTTTTCATTTGATCCCAGCAAATCGTCATCGAGAAGTCTAGAGCTTCTCAGCACAGCCCAAGCCGGCAATAGACCGGGCTGGTTGCACTCACGCGACAATTTGGTCTATTCCGTGTCGAGAACGAATTATCCTAACAACTCTTCAAGCTCTGGAGGGGTATTTTCTTTCGATAAACATGTTGAAGATCCTGCCGCCTTGAGTCTTATTACGTCTCAGCCCTCGAATGGATTGGGGGGCGTTTTCTGCGATATTACCAGAGACGGCAGGACGTTATCTGTGGCCAATATGTAAGTATCGTATGCTTCGGTGCATTTAATAGAACTTTTTGACTGACTCGTTTATTCCTCTAGCGACGGTTCGAGTGTGGCTATCTATCCTTTACCATCGCCCGGCAGAATTAGTGCCCCTACTTTTGTCTTCAACTACAATCTCACCCACCCAGGGCCGGGGACCAACGACTCTCAGATCCAAAGTAACCCACATGCTACTGCTTTCGATCCTACTGGAGAATATATGATCGTACCGGATCGAGGCGCTGACCACCTTTACATCTACCATGTCGACGGACCTGAACGGGTAACCCAGATCAACAACATCACCCTTGAGTCGGGAACGGGACCTCGCCATGTCACATTCCGAGAGTTCAATAGTACACGAACATTTATGTACCTCGTTAGCGAACTGGACAACACCATCAGAGTTTTCACTCTCGACGGGGTCAACAACGATGGTCGTGGCCCCCGTTCACATTCGTCTCTAAAGATCGCTCTGATCCAAATGGTTTCAACCCTTGGCCCTGGATCAAGCCGATCAGAGCCAAATAATGTCAATTTGGCCGCGGAAATGGCCCTCACAAACGACGGGAAGTTTTTCTATGTCTCAAACCGCAACACCGTGTCGTATAACTCCGATACACTTGCTATCTACTCGGTCCATCCGGGTAAGTCGCAGCATCTCGTCTATATTGGGAACACCCCGACGTACGGCAAAATTCCGAGACATTTCTCACTCTCACCCGACAATCGGTTCATTGCAGTTGCCAACCAAGTATCCAACAACCTCATGGTGTTGGAGCGCGACCAGCGGTCTGGATTTGTGAAGTCGACGGTCGGCAATGTAACTCTGGGTGAATTTGACCTTACACAGAACCTGGGGCCGATGGCTGTGGTTTGGGAAAGGAATCTGAGTTAGTATCTTTGCCAAGTCAAGAGACATATCCGCCTCTACCTACTTTCACTTCTGTACAGTCTGAAATAAGTTACTTATAAGCAGGCTTTTCTCAATTTTGCTAGAAATTTTAACTATCGGTTATATAGACGCTTTCTACCTTTATCAAGTATATTACAGCGAAATCTTTCGCGCTTGCGCCTCTTGTATTAATCTGATTCCACTAATCTCATTGAGCTTGAATGGAATCTCGTTGAAGCTGGTATTCTCGGAGATCTGCAATCTGATCTAGTAGTGTGGTCCACAATATGTGACATTTGGCACCCTGGACATACACCGCATTTATACATATAAAGGCCAAGGCAATCCCAAGCTTCGGCTCTTGATCCCCTGTTAGCCACAGTCAATTACTATCGCCTGGCCATCTGTTCATCGCGCTTATCAACATGCTCTACTCATGTGTCTTGAAATTGGTCGTGGTTGGTCATGCTGCTGCAAGGCCTTTGGCTAACTATGCCCCTGCTTGTCCCACCTGTTTCCCGATCACCTTTCACGTTGACGCGAGTGCTGAGAATGCTGTCATCACCAACTCTACATCTGAGCAGAATGCCACGGGTATCTACGACTTTATGCATCTGGTAGCTTCGTGATTGAGGGAACCTACTGCATACCTCCATCCGCGGTCAAGGATGTGGGAGCTCTACAGTTCCTTGTTCACGGGGTAACATATAATAAGACCGTCTGGGCCGGATTGGGAATTTCTGGGAGATATAACTGGCATGGGTATGCTACTAATGCTGGTTATGATACTCTGGCTATCGATTGTCTCGGCCACCGTCAGGATCCTCAACATCCCGATCCTTTGAGCGTGGTTCAGGGCCCCCTCCATGTTGATATTATGCATCAAATCATCAGCCGTATCCGAAGTGGGCTCATTGAAGAACTTTTACATGCCAGTGAGACCATCATCTACGTCGGCCACTCTTATGGATCGGGTTTCGGCAATCTCCTGTCTATCAAGCACCCGGAGGACATTGACGCCTATGTCCTAACTGGCTTCTCTGCAACCTTGATGCCGTCGTATTCATTCTTTAGCGACCTTTTTTCCGCAGCAGATGTTTCAGCCCGGTTCGAAAATTATGTTTCAGGCTACCTCACAAGACGCACTATCGACGGCCGCAGAGCTATCTCTTACGCTGGCGCCTATGACCGGTCTATTGTCCCCCACGACTTCGCTGGGCGAGACATTGTTTCAGTGGAGGAATTATTCTCTCCTGGTCTCTTCACTGTGGTCTCCAATTATACCGACCCTGTGTTTGTCGCGACTAGAGATCTTGACAAATTTTACTATGCCGGAGCCCGGTTCAATGCCAAAAGATTTTAAATAGCACAAAGGCGCAAACCTTCCCACTTTTAATAAGCTATGGGATATACATGGCGCCCAACACTGGTCACTGCCTGTCGCATCACTATTCGGTGGCAGAAACCGCTGCAGCCATCAATGCTTGGCTGACTGACGTTCTCAACTCTCTTTCTTGAGTTGACTATCGTTTTTAGACTCGAACGCTGCTAATTTGGCAAACCTTTTTAATTCTTGTTACAGAATTTGCGCGAGGATGATGTGTATTGTCTATCGAACCAATGGTGGGTAGAGCAATTGGAAAGAAGTAGCAGGCATGCTGATCTTTAGAAGCACATGCAGTGTGTATTTATTAAGCATTTGTAGATGCTTGCTCATCAATGACAAAGCTCTGCAAAATCCGGGAAAGCCGCAAGAGCCGTAAGTTCCACAGAATAACATTCAGGTTGCCTAGAAAGAGGTTTAGTTTGAGATTTCAGTTTTATTATTCTAGGTTATTGCATTTACTTCGATTTCTATCTTCTGTTTCAAGCTAGTTCATTGTCTCTCTTGCTCCGCTATCTGTTGGATTCCGTTTGTCTAGATTTTCACTATTATAGGCAGTCAGGAGCCATGAATTGTACATGGGAAAAAGTAGGCCTTTGCTAACAGATTATTCAGACTGAACTGTCAAGTTTCGTGAAGACAATAATCCCGGACGCATTGATATATGGAGGTCTTCTACCAAGGATATTGTTGGTACAAAGATAGCATGCTGCCAATTTCTAAACCAACTGCTAAACAATACAGAGCTGTATTATAGTAACCTTTTGAGTAAGTTAGAAACCTGCTACAATATATTTTCAAGTTTGTTTACCTACCCTAATAGTGAAATCAAATACAAACTCTCTATTAGCTGTGTTTATATCACTAACACACTGAAGATTACACAACTATATAAAGCTATAATGAGCATAGAAGCTGACCAGCTACATTGGACACTAGTGCCACAGAATAGTGCACTCGATTTGACTAGATATTGGAAGACAATACGTCCAAGGCTGTATAATGTTTATCATTTTTATTCGACATTTACCTCTCCCTTCATTAATAGTCTTGCGGTACTGCAAAGCGACGCACTTAAAACATCTTCCCCTAGCATATCCACACCAACGTTTATTGTCCCACTCGGATGCCCTATTATTACTGACTTGTCTTGATCTTGACTCAAATTCTTTGCCAGCTTAGAGGCCAACGTTCCTTTTATTCGGCAGGCGACACCCAGATTTAAAGCCAGTGTAAGAGGGATCGCCTTGTGGGCTTGTCCCATCGATAGGACCAAGCATTTAATGTTGACCCCCGCAGACGTCTCTTTATCGGTGGGTTTGAACAACACCACAACTTTTGGCACACTCGCTGTGTTTGGGTCCATACCCATCAGTTCTGCAGCTTCCCGACGAACAGCTTCCAATAAAGCCAAGGTATGCTTTTGATGGTCCAGCTCAGCAGGAGCGATATCCGACTGGAGGTCAAAATCGCTACCATCAACGTATACACCTGGATTTGCCACGTCCAGTAGCGAGGCTGTTATTTTTCTTCCATTCTTATCTGTAGCATTCAAGAGTGTTACACTTTGACCAGTCGGAAGCACTTTCCCCGTCTGTGTTCCACCAGGCGACTGGAAAGAGAGTGTGATTTTTGATGCTGTATCCGGAACTCCGTCCATTTGGTAAGTTCCGTGAGGAACAAACTTTGGAGTTTTTCCACTAATAGGGAACGAAGCGACGATGATCTTCTTAGTATTGGTGTTGTAGATGCGTACGCTTGTGTAGCTCGTTGCAGGGGCCAGCCTGTCGTTGGGGAAGCTCAGAATGCCTTCGTCCACAGCAAATGGTCCAATAGCAGCGGTCATATTACCACAGTTACTGGCGAAGTCAAGTGAACCATCATCGATGACAACTTGGACGAATTCAAAATCCACATCGGCATCATCTCTCGGAGAGGGCGAGACAACGCACACTTTGGAAAGAGACGACACGCCACCTCCCATGCCATTCAATTGCCTGCCGTACGGATCAGGAGAGCCCATGGCAGTTGCAAAGATGGGCTGCCATTTTGCCCGGTCTGTGGGAAGATGAGATTTGTGAAATATGAGCGCGTTACAAACTCCGCCTCGCCAAAACGAGGAACGAATCGTCGACATGCTGACGCACAGCAAATGCAAAGCAACGTGAGCTGAGTCATTAAAGTTGAAACGCAGTTAATACCAAGTTGGGAGAATATTGCTCTTTTAAATCTTCCTTTCCGCGTGCGAAACGTAGCGCCACATTGTTGACCGCTGCTGAACTCAGCAACTCAATCTGCAGATTAGACATCTCCGCGCTGCTGCGGCGGTTTATATTCGCGTCAAAGCTCCAATCTCGTAGCCACAAGCTTGGCGTAATTAGTTTCCGATATCTCTTCGTGTATTTTTAAAAATTTCTTGGAAATGGCCTCTGCGTCCCCAAGCCACCTAGAGAATGTCGGATGGCGGACGCCTCTCCGAAGCCAACAACACATCGCTCGGCACCGTGTCCGCTGTTTTGACTCACTGTTTGGTTAGTAGACTCGGAGTCTACGCCGCCACCTTTGGTCAATATCCAGTGCCATCTTCACATTCAATTCTGCCAACCTGGTCCCGACTATTCCGGCCAACTCTAGGTTGCGCGTATTGATGGCGGCTTGTATTCCGGACGAAGATCGACGCCCTTGAGATCTATCGAATGGCACGGTTCCCCATGGGGTATACGAGTCCACCGGAGAACTGATTGTCTTACTTCAGCCAATTCAAGACATGTGTCGGCGGTGAAGGACACAGGTTAAAGGCAGACGACCTGAATCTAGGTATAAAGTAGTCTTGTTATTCAACGCCCTCCTTCGACTCAATTCAAACCTCTTCTAGCTATATTCAAGATATTTTGTTATTCGCGTTTTCGACGCTCTCGTTCGAGAAATATCTGACATCCCTGTTTTCATGACTCCGAAACGTACAGAACCATCCGGAACTCTTGTGCCTGCTATGGATGCACTCGAAAAAGAAGACTTCGTCAAAGAGGAGCGTCCATCTATTGAGCAGTTGGAAACTTATCAGCCACCGTTTACACCCCAGGAGCAGAAAAAGATTCTGAGAAAGGTTGACTGGCGCCTCGTTCCGCTCTTGTCTTTTCTGTATCTTGTGTCCTTTATTGACCGAGGAAACTGTAAGCCTGTCACTGCCTCTGCCTCGAAATCTATTTTTGCTGACGTGAAGAAGTGGGCAATGCCAAAGTTGCTGGGCTAGGAGAAGATCTCCATCTCTCAGGAACACAGTATAACATAGCCGTGACATTGTTTTTCATCCCCTATTCGCTGTTGGAGGTTCCAAGCAACATCATCCTCAAGCTCACTAGACCATCGATCTGGATCTCATTGATGATGTTTTCTTGGGGACTTGTCATGTATGCTGAGTCCCGTCCCCTACTATCTTTATCGCAACTAATGTGTAATAACCATTGTAGCACTTTGACTGGAATTGTTCAAAACTTTTCTGGTCTTTTGGCCATTCGTATCTTCCTCGGAGTGGCAGAGGTAAGTTGTGCCTACGATCTGTTCTAGCTGCAATGACTATCTATTAATGCATTCTTGTCCTAGGCTGGATTCTTCCCTGCAGGTAAATCGAGTAACCCCTCCATTATGTATATACCGTTGCTAAACCTATGTAGCGACCTATCTCCTCACTGTCTGGTATACACGTTATGAAGTTCAGTCTCGAATGGTGTTCTTTTACGCGGCAGTCTCACTTGCCGGAGCATTTTCAGGCCTACTCGCATATGCCATCCAGAAGATGGATGGAGTAGCAGGACTGGAAGGCTGGCGATGGTCAGTTTCAATTTCCTACACAAGGAATGGCCTCAATAACGACACTGCTAAAATTGACGGACAGGATTTTCATCTTGGAAGGGATATTTACTGTTTTCCTTTCATTCTTCATCTGGTCTTTGCTACCTGATAGCCCTAGCACGGCACCTTTCCTGACTACTGAAGAACGGGAGTTTATCGTCCTGAGACTAGAACAGGACACGGGTTCTGGACGAGGCAGAGTTACAAACAATGACAAAGTAAACAAGCAGCAAGTAATTGCTGGTCTCACGGATTGGAAAGTATGGGCAGCTGTGGTAAGTACTATCCTGGACGCTTAGATTCATATTTGCGGCAGACTAAATATCCCAAAGTTTATGTATTGGGCCACCAGCATCTCATCCTACGGCTTCACCTACACAGTCCCAACGGTAATTCTCGAACTTGGTTACACTGCTGCAGATGCTGTAAGATGCCATCATACAAACGCGTTGGTAGATGTGATTTCTGACTTCCTACACAGCAACTCCTTACTATTCCAATTTACGTTGTTGCCATGATATTTACTGTTGCAAATGCCATGGCTTCGGATTACTACCGGCAAAGAACTCCGTTCATACTTTTGGGAGTTTCGGTTGGAATAGCCGGGTTCACAGCGTTACTAGCAATTCCCCACCCGCAGCTTCCAGGACTGACGTATGGCATGTTGTTTCTTGCAACATCTGGAATCTACATGTCGTTGGTCCCTACTCTATGTTTTGTCGGTAAGATAATTCTCTAAGCAGCCATTAAAGGATGGGCTATTAGATACCATAGCTGACCGTTTTTTGTAACCACCCAGCAAACAACCTTGCTCCTTCGTCTAAAAGAGCCGTTGGCATGGCTCATCTCATTTGCATGGGGAATCTTGGAGGTATTGCAGGCTCCAACATCTTTCTCGCAAAAGAAGCACCTCATTATTGGACAGGCTATGGGTTCATCTTGGGAATTGACTGTCTAGCATTCATTACATGCTTAACCCTTCGTCACATATTGATGGGAATCAATAAGAAGCGCGATCAAATGACAGAAGAGGACATAAGAGAGAAGTATGGCAATGTTGACTTACTGGAACTTGGTGATCGCAGCCCATACTTTAGGTATACTTTATAGTTTACTTCTCAGACATGCCTATTATCACTCAATCTCAATACTGTATAACTATTACAGAAATTAGAACACCGGGCATCAGACTTGTAAAACCTATTTGCTATTATTATACTAAACCAAAGAAAAATTCTGAAAGTGTATTAAACTCTCCACCTATAAAGCCAAAGTCTAGTACCTTATCCATTTGTAAGCCTATTAATCCGAAATTATCTACCTCGGTTATATCTGAGTTTACTGGTAACTGCTCACTCGAATCTATAAATGTCTTTACTGGATCTGCAGAGCAACGCCTGGTACTATGATTTTGAATATTAGCTGGGGTCTCTTGTAGCTCTGTTAAATACCGATGTAGTTGAGAAATCCTAGTTGTTGTCTCATTTATATAGACCTCCATTACTATTTCCGAAGACGCTTTTGATTGTAGTAGTCCAAGAGCACATGCCGTCAGCCAAAAAGAGTAAAATCCTTGACCAAGTTGCTGGACGCGTTTTTCCATAATATCAACACCTTGGCCAAAAAGTTTGACTAAATCATCCCAACGCCCTATCTGCTGGGTATAATACTCGATCGATACAACAGCAATGTAGCAAAGCACCAGGAGTGCCCGGAACAGATCGTCTCGAAGGTTCGTAAAAAGTAAGGCTATGTCGGGTCGCAGCTCGGAGTAAAGCTTGGCAGTAGAAAAGGCAGCGTCATGCCGGGCAATCCTTGAAAAGAAATTTTTTGCTTCCGCGTCCATCTGGGGTATGATTGGCAGGCGGATTTGCAAGAGATATTCATAGAGGAGTAGTTTTGACAAAGGTTGCACTACTACCTTAGCTGTCTCCTCTGACCATATAGGTACATCTTCCATATGTTCCCTCAGCTGTTGATCCAACTTCAATACTTTATCAGCATCGAGATGAAGCCCAACCCTGTTGAATCTGGCCAACATCTCAATTCGCAAATGCAGATGCTTTTGGGCTAAGCAGAGGAAAGATGTTCTTGTATATTCGGTTATTGGTCGAGGAGGGGGCATCGTCGCTGTATTATAGTCAAGCTCCTCATCATGAATGTTTGAGGGCGCCAAGCAGTCCCAATCTAGCGGGCCAATACTGGCACACATGCCACGGTCCATACTGGCTTGGACCTCCAGCTCTACAATAGTAAACCACAATCTTCGTCGCATTTCTTGGTCAAACACCGACATGCTTTTGTTCAGGTTACTGGGCTCCCGGTGTAGGCCGGCGGACATAGCAAGCTTCAGCATATGACCGGCAACAGTCCAGTTGCGCTTCACCTTGATGCAATTTACTCTTTTTGCGATGAGTATGAGCACCTGGACTTGAAACACCTTCAGCGTCATGTGCTTCTGGCTCTGAATATTCAGCCACGCCTCACAGATCTCAACCCATTTCGTCGAAGTGTCGCGTTGAAGAGAGCTGCAACCGACGTAAGAGGTCGCGTCGGTTGTCAAAAGATTGGATATAGCACATGTCAACAGGAGTTGAACTAGAAATACAGCCGATGCATCCTGTGGCGACGACAAGAACCTCTTGTATTCTTGAAAAAAGGTTGGAGCGTGTAGTACTCGATAAGTGTTTTCTATGACTTCGAAATACACTTGCGCCAGCTTATCAGTGGCACTTTGCTGCGGAATCAACGATAATAAAGTGTTGTGGTCCGGAAAAGCTAGGGGAGGCTTAACCTGTTGCCTTTGCCGCTTCCAATTATCCTTGACTTCTGTTAACTGCTTTAGTCGTTGCAGGATTATTTTAACAAAGGCAGAGAGCTGCTCGAATTCTAGCAACACTATGGCACTATAACTTGCGCCGAAGTAAGTTGTTTCGAAGTCATTGCCTCGGAGCAACGCCTGATTGTTGGCTTGGGGCGGCTTTTTGACGTGGATGGAACAGTCGGATGACGCTGCTAATGATATTGGGTGTGTCTGAGCAGACTTGGTCATTAGATTCCTCAACTCAGACACACTTTCCTGTAATACTTGAATTGATTCCTCATATTTTGTTAACCTTGAATATGAGCTAGAAGCCCTAGCAGTCCCGTCCTGGGCATGCGCAAGATTGGTTGCTTCGCTCCAAAGGCTTTCTGAAGGCTCTCTGTGAGGATGAGCGTCTTGAGCTGACGTCGTAGGAAAGCTGTTTGTAGCAGTGTAACACTCATACCGACAGTCGACACCGCCCCTTTGACAACGAGCGCAAGTTGGATTATTTTGGTCACATTTGACCTTGCGGCGCCGACAAGCAACGCAGGCAAAGGTACGTCGACGGCGTTTTTGGCCCATGGCTTGCGCAGGTAATAATAATATGTCACAGAGTAATAGGTAGCCAAAACCCTATATAAATATAATAGCTTCTTTTTGTTATAGATATATCAGAATTGTACACCATTAAAGGAAAAAGATGCGGGTTATAAAAGGGTATACCGGTTATTAGTAGTAAAATACCCGAAGCTCGGTCGTAAGCTCGGTCGCAACTATTAGTTGTCCGTAAAGTCGGGAATTTCTCTGTGGCTTGTCTTATTCAAAAGACCGAGATTATACACAGCTAACCCAAATTATATAGTAATATTGTTAAATAATCCACTAGGTAAAAGCTGATTAGTACTCCTTTTGTTATAGTATTACAATATTGTATATTTAGTCACAATTGAAATTATCTTTATTCTACTTGCATAGGTTGGAATACCTTACTATAGTGCTATAGGCCTATTGGATGGAAATTTAAGTAGCATCTAAATAAAAGTAATTGTGGGAATAGGACTTCATTACAATTGAGCCATTGGTACAAGTTTGATGTACTTAGGAGATGACATGTAAATGGTGCAAGGCTGATATAGGAGATATGGAGGCTGTTATCTCCCTTGAAAGCTCCGTCGAGCTACTGGTCCAAAGCTTGCGACTGGACCATTTGGTAGTAGGTTCCCCTCATCTGCACAAGCTCGCTGTGAGTCCCTTTTTCTAGCACTCTTGCCCCACAAGCCTGTTCCCCGGACCCAAGAACAAAGATGACATCCGCATTCTGAACAGTTGCCAACCGATGCGCTACAACCAGCATTGTTCTCCCTTTCCCAGCCTGCTCAAACGCCGCCTGCACCAGCTTCTCCGACTCGCTATCCAGACTCGACGTGGCCTCGTCCAATAGCAAGATTCGCGGCTTGCGGACAAGGGCTCGAGCAATGGCGATGCGTTGTTTCTGTCCACCCGAGAGCGTAACACCTTTGCTGCCAATGTCGGTGTCATAACCCTCAGGCAGTGACGAGATGAAGTCGTAGATCTCAGCATCACGACAAGCTTGATGGAGCTCCTCTTCAGATACCACACCCTCAACGCCAAGAAGGATATTTTCGCGGATCGTCCCCTGGAAAAGCATCGCTTCTTGGGCTACGAGCGAAATGGCGGCTCGATATTCGCTGATGTCGAGATCACTAATATTGATTCCGTTGGCTGTGATCATTCCTTTCTGAATCTGGTAGAACTGTTCCAAGAGTGAAATTATTGTCGACTTTCCGCACCCAGAAGCACCAACGAGCGCGACGAACTGGCCTTTTCGAACCGTTAGGTTAAGGCCAGCGAAAATGGGGATGTCGCGTGAAGGGTATTTGAAGTGGACATTTTTAAACTCGATTTCCACGCCATCGCTAGACAAAAGTTCAGTAGCTGGCCTTTTAGTGATGGACCGACCGCTTTCCCGAAGACTCAAGATGCGATTTGCCGCTGCGGATGCCTTTGCCACGTTCGGACCAATGCTGCACCACTGGCCAGCATTCTCAGCTCCTTGTATCACTGCGGTGTAGACCACCAAGAACTTGGCAGCATCGTATGCTCTGGTGCCTAGGAGATGGCCACCGTACCAAAACGTGAGGGCCATGCACAGGAGATTGATGCTGTCGCTCAAGGAGATGACCAGGGTGCTCATCCTTGCTTTCCTGCTGGCTCTTTTGATGTGCTCTTCAAGAAGTTCCGAATATTTCTGGCAAATCATGTCTTCTAGCGTTAAACTGCTAACTATGCGGATGGCACCAAAGGCTTCGGCCGCAAACTGTGAACTTTCTGCGAAAACCTTTTCCTGCATCTCATCGAATTGTACTTCCCATCTGAGCCTAATAAGTCCAGCAGTAAACGTGATGGGTAGTGCCGCGACCAGCGCAACGAGGGTCAGCTTCCACCCATAGACAAATGCTATGGTAATGCATCCAATCAGGGAAAATATCGCAGTGTACACGAACCCCATATTGAGGCCCATTAAGTCCTCTAATTGTACAGTATCTCCGCTGATTCTGGATATCAACGAACCTTGCGAGTTCTCATCAGAGTCAAAATACCGTATTGGCTTTCGCATAATGCCTTCGAAATATTGCTGTTGACTTGTACAAACGACATGCTAGAGGACAATTGTCAGCATACATAGCCTCGAGGATCGAGTTTGTTGACAAGAAATTACCACTTCAAGAGCCTTGCATGACCACCCAACGATGAAGTACGAAACTCCAACTCCTATTGCCATATACAAAAATCTCAACGACCAGTTCTGGCCCTCAGAAACCAGTGCATGGCCCGAAAGTTGAAATACGGTCACAATATTGGCGAAAAGATAGGCTTGGAGTGGCATGGCCGCTATGGTTGTATTAATATGCATCCTGCACACGGGATCTGCGCACTTACATCCTGCACCAAGACAACCCACCACCGTCAGGGCGAGCCACAGCGCGTGAGACCTCTGCTCGACTAACAGCAGGCCAAAACCGCGGATAATCCCTCGCTTCTTATAGGGCACTTCCTCAACCTCGGTGGCTTGCAAGTCGAGCTTTTCCACAGCTCCCGTGCCATTGGAAAGTAGCGAATCACGACCAACTAGTCTGAGATCCACAGCTCCTGCTTCAGCGCCGTTCATAGACAATTGTTGTCCTCGAACGAGATTGCTGTATACACCATCTCTCTGTACTAGCTCACTGTGTGTACCTTGCTCGACGGCTTTACCTCCAGAAACCACGACGATTTTGTCCGCCTTCCTAATTGTGGAAAGTCGGTGAGCGATGGTGATTGTTGTGCGATCCTTGGCCACTCGATCGAGTGCTTCCTGAACAATACGCTCACTGCGAACATCGATTGCGCTTGTCGCTTCGTCAAAAATCAAGATCCGAGGTTGTTTGACAACACTTCGAGCGATAGCGAGCCGTTGGCGTTGCCCACCGCTGAGCTTTATTCCACTGTCGCCGACTTGCGTGTCATAGCCCTGTTGACTTTAGTATGTTATTTGTTATTGGGGGCGGTAGACAACGGTCTCACCTCGGGAAGTTGAGTGATAAAATCATCGGCAAAGGCCACTATACAAGCTTCTTTGACAAGCCTCCTTTTCGTCTGTTCGTTCTCGTTCTCAAATTGTGAACCGACGAGGCCATACGCGACATTTGCAAATATTGACTCGTTGAACACAAAAGGCTCCTGCTGTACCAACCCTATCTGTGATCGCCACCATTTTAGATCAACATCTTTGATGTCGTAACCGCCAATCATGATGGAGCCTTTTGAGGCTACAGGAAGTTTGTCCTCTTCCTCACACGGGTGGTACTAAGCCGAATATAAAGAATTATTGACAGATTTCGAGCCCTGTACCCCCTCCGAAAGGCCATACCATCTTTCAATTAGCCCTACAATTGTAGACTTGCCGGATCCTGATGGCCCAACAAGGGCTGTAGTCTTTCCCGACTCAAAGACTATATCTAGGCCGTCGAGCACCTTGAAGTACGGTCGGCTAGGATATGCAAACGTAACGTTCGAGAAAGTAATATCATCGCTTGCTAAGATTTCAGGATCCTTCAGGCCGGTCTTACTTGCAACTGGCCTATCGATAATCTGGAAGAAGCCTGAGGCAGCCGTTGCTGCTTTGACCGCAGCATTGATAGGCGTTGCGATGTTCATCAAAGACATTACGGACATTAGGACGCTCATGAGAACTCTGGCATGTCATCAGTAACGTTATCTAAGGCTGAAATCTGAGACCGCAGTAGAGGGGATATACTCACATGAGAACGCTGCTGACACTATGGACATTGCCCCACATATATAACCTTATTCCAAACCAGAAGGTAAGGGAAAAATCAGCATATATGGCAAAGAAAACGGGGGTCATCAGCAGGCCGAGGACCGGAGACATTTTTAAGCCCCTTCTGCGAGACTCCTCTACCCATCGTGAGAATCTCTCTGCCACACGTTTTTCGGCGCCATAAGCAACTACCATTCGAATTGAGCCAAAGGTTTCACTGGCAATGGCTGTAGCCTTTCCTCTCGCATGATCCAGGCTCTCCTCAAGCTTGACCCAAATCGGCACAACAACGGAGTAGACCGCGATCACGAACAGCATACCCGAGCTTGTGACTAATGTTAGCTGCCATGATTGTATAAATGCAACCACGTATGCGCTAACGACAAGCGCTAATGCTTGAAGAAAAGTTGCAAGCTTGTCAGAGATTCCAATCTGGAGGACATTGGCTGCCCCAGTGATCTTAATCGCGGCCTCCCCGGGAGGCAGCTTGTCTAGTTCCCCCACAGATTGATTAAAGAGTGCACGTAGGTAATGAAGCCTAATTGCGGCGGATAGGCGAATGCTAGTAATGCGAAATAAGTACTGAAATTTGTCAGTAGCAATTCCATGAGGCATGCCAAAGATATTTTACATTTGCAATATAGCTGAGAACGAATTTCCCAATAAATAGGTATACCACATCTAATCTACACGAAGATATTAGCCACTCTGGCATGGTGTTGGTGGGATTGCGGCGCATACGCTTTTTTGTCAATGGAGTCGCCGAACTGGCTCTCTGTAACTGCATTAGAAGGAGAGAAGTAATCATTGAAACTTCCCACCAAACGGCCGAAAATTAAAGTCATCAAGGGCATCGTCTAACAACCAAGTCAGCTTTTATACTCAAACTATATTCATGATAAAACTTACAATGCCTGACCCAATAGCTGCAACAGCCGCAACAACCAGGAGTATCATATCCCACTTTCCAGCGTGGGAAAAGATCCTCTGCGCACATGTCAAGATTAGCCTCAAAATCTTGCTCATACCGCAGACCATTACAAACCAGGTAATCTCGAATACAAGCTTTGCCTTCTGGTTGACTGTTTTGATAGGTGTTTGTGAGATGTTTGTCAATAGCATCGGTAGCTGTCGTTGCTGGGGCAGCTTCCATACTAGTTGACATTGCATCAACTTGAAGTTCTTGCTGCTCTGGAGACATATTTATCATGATTGATATACTTTGACGAAAAAAGTGTTGATAGAAGAAAGAAGTTGGAGGCATATCTTCAGAGATATGTATGTGCTCAAGTTAAAGCTCGGTGATTCGGTTTTATTGCTCTTTGGCACTCCGAAGCCATGACCGAGACTACGACCGACGTCCCTCGACCCTCGGCCCAATCCATTCGCAGATCTCACATGTAGATTATTGGATCGATGAAGAGCTACTAGTACCACGTGCTCGATTTTGTGAACGGTGAATCGGTGATATCGCTGTTCGGTCCAGCCGTCGCCGGTGTTGGCCTTTACCGCCATTCGCTCTGTACCCGATCAATTCGCTAGCTAGATAATACTCAAACGGCGGGTCATCTATACAGCTTCATCTTACAGCCGCATAGCCCAACAAAAGTACTGAAGCTAAAGATGTCGATATGTGACCTTTTCAGGCGAGTAACAATTTGACATGCTCCCTCATGCATAAAACACAACGATGCCATGATCCACATCCAGTTATCTGTTCTTTTTATTTTTGATGATTTGAGCGGATGAATAGGCCTGATTGTAGATTTATCTCCAGGCCGGGATATTATTAGCATGGATTCACTATAACCTCAAGCGTATGTCTGACTCTTCATTTATAAAAATGTATACGGAAAAAATCACTTCTGTTCCATTACACCAGATCGCTGCCGTATTTTAAATTACTTACATACCAATTGAGCCATTAGCTTTACTCCCGGCGGTTGCTATTAATTGAATAATGCCGCATGTAACCTTTTTACTCTACTACATCCTTTGCTTTGCGTATTTGGCTGCTGGCAAAACGTTGAAAACACCAGTCCGTACTGTCAAATGAGTCGGGGCTGCAAGAGTATGTATCCGTACCTCCGAAATCACCGAAGTAGAGCGCTTTCGCCTTAAAGTGAAACTGTAAGACGGCAACACTAGAGTTTGAACCATACACGAAATATAAACCCGACACCGAGAAACTCGGACATAGCGGGTTTATAGGTATGTTTTTATGCTTTACAATTGATTTGCGAGCTGTAAGAGACAGATATATAAGTTCGAGCAACTACTATTTCAAGTACAGACTTATCGCAAACATCTCAATCATCTATACATATACTCTTTTTCCTGTTCTAGAACATTTGGTATACGTGATACGCCTAGGCATCTTTGCACCTCTCTCAAAGACCAAATTCTACATGTCTGGTCTAAAAATCCTCATCTGCGGTGGTGGCTGTGCTGGTCCGGCTTTGGCCTACTGGCTCGCTCAAAGTGGCCATCGGGTTGTCGTTGTCGAGCGCTTCAAAACTCTCAGGGCCACAGGTGCTCAGCTTGATGTCTCTTCTCAAGGCTTGGAGACCATCGAGCGCATGGGACTACTGGATAATATTCGGAGCAAACGTGTCAACGAATTAGGCACATCGTTCGTGGACTCGCATGGCAACGTTAAGGCGACGTTCATGGCCAATAAGTCCGGCAAAGGCACCCAATCGGTCACCTGCGAGTACGAAATAATGCGTGGCGACCTAGTACAGATTCTCTATGATACGACCAAGGACTCTGTTGAATACGTGTTTGGCAAAACCGTTGAGAGCTTTGAGCAAAATGAAGAGCGGGTGGTTGTGTATTTCTCGGACAACTCGTCTGACACATTTGATATTGTGGTCGGAGCTGACGGCCAAGGATCTCGCATCCGGGGGATGATTCTTCCCGCCGGTTCTCCTAATCCCTACCGAGAGCTAGGTGTATACGTAGCCTACTGGGTTATTCCACGTACGGAGGAAGATGGCAACCTTTGTACGTTCTACACCAGCTCTGGCGGCAGGATGATAATGCGTCGAAGCCACAGCCCAACTGAGACGCAGGTCTACTTAACACTTCGAGACGATTCCAAAGAATTGCAGAATATGCCTCGCGCCTCGGTTGAGAAACAGAAAGAATTTTGGACTGAAAGATTCCGTGATGCTGGATGGGAGACGGCCCGGTTTCTTCAAGGCCTGAAGACCGCAGAGAACTTTTACTGTCAGCATGTTGTTCAGGTCCGCACGGATACGTGGTATAAGGGCCGTGTGGTGCTAGTGGGTGACGCCGCATACTGCCCCTCTCCTTTCAGTGGCATGGGAACCACGGGCAGCTTCGTTGGCGCATATGTCTTGGCTGGAGAGATTAATAGAAGCCCCAGTGATCTTAATTCGGCGTTTGCGAACTACAACAAGACATTGCGACCATTTGTGAACGAGATCCAAAAGGTTAGCCAATTCTTTGTGCGATTTGGTCTTCCTGAAACGCAATTTGGAGCATCATTCAATCTTTTCTTAGCGCAAATGGTCTCTGTTTTCCGTATTCCCGATTTCATTGCTAAATATACAACTGAAGAAAACAGTGGTTGGAAATTACCAGATTATTGAAGTGTTAACTAGTAATAGAGTTTTTTTTTTGTTTGCTTTATATTTATTAGTAAAGTAAAGCTAAAAGAATACTTCACTTGGTTATTTTACTATATGTAATAGTGTTATAACTGAAAAAAAAGTATTCCTAGGGTAGCTTATTTTCTTGGCCAAAAGTATACCTAGTAGGTAGTAGTTACTATAATAGAACTAGCTGCCTATAAGGGAATTATCTGTTTACAAGGAATTAGGTTACAATTATACAAGAACTAATAATTTTCTTTCAGACCTATAACTCAACTATTTGAGTAGTATACTTAGAATTAATTATTATATATCCTAACGCATTCCATATATTACCTTTTCCAACTGTCTTGAACACTTACCGCTTAGGAAGTCTCAAGTGAATAAGAGCCTTGTCCCTTTTGTCTTTACCCCATTCCATAACAAGACATTATCCACTATTGTCTTATTCTAGGAATTGGGGTTTGATATATTATAATAATACTATGTTTAGTTATCCTATTTCCGCATAAGACAAGGCATTCTCCAATACCGATTAAGTATATATAACTGGGAGGGCATTGAGACACTTACTAAGCTTTTTATGTCTTTTAACATTACTGCTAAAAAGTCTTGGGATACTGGTATTCTCGCCGGAAATGGAGATGGTCATGGGGTAAAGAACAATTATTAAACTCTTAATATAGATTATAGTAACTACTTATACTTGTTGAACAACAGCTCATAATTACAATAAATGCAGAACACTTCTCCTCGCAGACCTCAATCTATCAACCACAATTCAATCCCCTAGACTTCTTATTCTACTACAAACAAAATGACTCTTTTCCATCTTGCCGGCCTTGCTACCCTCCTTGCTGTTGCAACAGCCCAAATTACTACGCCATGTACTTATCAGGAGTATGTGTGTGGCTCAACACTATTAACCAATGGTATGTTCTACTTCTCTATTATCTCTTATTCAGCTATAAGCTAACCTTACTTTCAAGGATATACTGCTACTACTGAATTAAGAGCAGCATACAGCGCCAATCCCAACGCTCCGAATATTACAGATGCCCAGCTGAGCCAGGTTCTCTTCCGCTGCATCGATCAAGCTGGCGGCGTTGTCGGCAACTCTTACTGTATTGTCAACTGTGCTGTGATTGGTAATGATACCGTCAACGATGAGTGTACTATGTAATGTGGAGTGGTTACTGCGTGGTTATTGCAATGGCTAGGGCTTGTAATTTGCAAGCCTGGACGATATGAGGGATTAGAGCTGTGAAATTATGATAGTGCTACTACTCTTTTTTCCCCATGTTACAAGGGTTTTTTTTAATGAGAGTAGCGATTTCTGAAACCTCCCGTAGTTATTTCTATGTTTCTTTATTGACTCTAGTCGGTCTTTTCATTGTACTCTGCAAACTTACCTTCGTTCAAAGGAGCTTCATCAGTTACAATATAAGCTCTATTTGTTTCATACAAGATATACATTTTGGATAAGTTTCCATCTCAAGGAATACATTTACGGAAAGTTAGGAATTCCAATCCATAGCGACATGATTTCTAACAATCAAGGCCCTTTTCAAGTCGGTTACAATTACATTGATATCTATTAATTTCCTCAAAAAGTAAAGTAAGAAAAAGTAGTAGTTCAATCACTTAGCTTGTTTTCTCCTTAGATACAAGAGATTTCCATTACTATTTAAATGGTTCCATTGGAAATTTTATGGCCATATCGTTTTATTACTCTAGAAAGGAATGAATGTATTACATGGAAGTTGGAAAACAAGAAACGGCCTGCGAGTTTACGCAGGAGTTTCAACTTGGCTGGAGCTATTATTCCTTACTGAAAAAAGAAGGGGACTTGCAATTACCAAACACATTCCGTCCATGGTTAATGACATACAGAACAAGTTCAAGGCAGAGTAGAAAGTGGCATAAGTTTCATTGGCTAGAATCACATTCTAGATTCAACCTCGCCTAAATAATCTTAGAAACTCTGCACTACCGAATAGTCTCTATTTAAGGACCATGACATCTTGATTGAAGATGGCATTGGTACTAGAACTTAAGAAAGGTTCGATAGCTTACATGACGCACTGGTCGTTAACCAGAGTACCGTTCATATTGATGCAGCCCGCAAAGCAATACGCGTTGCCGACTATCCCTCCGCTAATATTGATGCAACGGTAGGTGACCTGCAGAAGCAAAACGTCGGGGAGGGGGGGAATAGATGGCGTGCTGGCGACAGCGGCGGCGAGCTCGGTAAGGTTGTAGCCTATAGGTGTAGCGGAAGCATAACGACATGAGACAAGCATTCATTCGAACGAAGAGGGTGTTACGGAAGGAAGGTGACCGTAATTACCATAGTCATTGATTAGATTAAAGCCACACTTGTAACTCTGGTAGATACAAGGATTGGTAAAGGTATGGACGCCAGGGATAAGGCAGAGCGCTGCGGCGAAAAGAGTAACCAAGGTACAATGCATCTGGGATCTAGTTGAGTTTTCCAAGATGAATACAGAAGAGGACCTTGTGTTGGAAGATGGGCTCTGGTTATTGTTACTAATACTAGAATATAGAATAAACTAGGGCGATGCTGGCTTTATGTACTCGGTTGACCCCTATGGCATGTAGCATAATACTCCAACACAAGATGTTCGCACTTGCATCCATAAATTCACAGGTAAAGTCCTGGACTTAAATTACACTTTCAAGGTTAGGATAACATAAATCGACGGAATCCATCTTCTTTTTAAAATATTAACACTCCTATTTACCCTTGACACAGCCATATATTTGGATCTCGATTACAGTTATGCACTATTATAGAGCCTGCAGATCCTTCAGTTCTCGAGGAACTACAAGCTTGTCTGGGCCGGGGGATATTATGGCGAAGCCAGGACGCCAAGTGGAAATCACGGAGTATTGGATAGAGCATCCCGAATTGTTGCCGCCATCAGAAGTAGACCATGGCTGAATGCCCTGTACGCTGGGTTGCCCAAGGAACAAAGCTCCTTGCGCAGGATGGCATGCAAGGGCGTGCATGGGTATGGCCAGCCTCAATGTGAGCTATTGCTCCAGCAACCCGACGACGAGCTCATCTACGATATACGTCATTGGTCTCATACCCCATGGCACGCAGAGTACTATACTGAGAGGCCGTTGCCCGAGTGAAATCGAAACGTGAGGTGTATTTTTTTCAAGGCATGAATTAATCCAAGCCTCACCTTTCCAACATACCCTACACCTGCTGGCTTGTTGCATGGTAGGCAAGAAATAGATGTGATGGAACAGATGCAAGTCTAGAGTTGCAGTTACTGGTGTACCTAGGATGCACCTTTATCCGAGTACATTGTTGGTCTCGAGGTATGTTTAGAGGTCCGCTCTATTGCATCTGATCTTGGTAATATCCCCAAGAGCTCAGCTTTAGGAAAACTGACCGTGAGACTATACGATACAAAGTTCTAGCAAAGAAGCAATCACATTAGCCACATTGCGACTTGTCTCATATTGCATAATCCGGCTTGACCTACGTTTTGCATCATTGATAATGTTGGCAGTCCATTCCTAAGAGTCGGACCAGCCAATCAAACAATTATATGAGTTTTCTAGCTCTCTGTGTTTATGTTGATGATCTTCCTCACGAGCTTTCGACCTGTTTCAGGGGTTACTGGAATTTTACTTGCACTGCATAGTTTGCGGCTTTCATCTTATCTTAGTGTAGGTACTTATAGACGTCGATTTCATAAAGACTACCAACATGTAATGCAATACTACCTTCATGCACTCAGTAATGTCGCTCCTGTTTCCTTCTTGCGCGTTTCTCTGAGGCCTGTCACTGGTGCCTGAGAGTTCACTTGTTCAGCTCTAGGTATTCACCCCCTTACATTTTCACACCGGCCGATATCCAACGGACGAGCATGCGTTTACCCGCCAAGTTTTCCGCGCTGTTGCCTCTGCTGAAGGTTACTGACTTAGAGTCTCCTTACTTGGATGGGGGTTTTGAGTCAGCGGGTGTTGGGTAAGTCCAGTAATTTCCATTGTATGAACGTGTCTGCCGTAAAAGAAAAGTGCTTACAGCCGACATTGTTTCAGAGCTCCGCCCAGGCCCAACAACCAGCCTCAGTTCCTCCTCCAGCTAGACGAACTACGGCCTAAAAGACTAACGCCTTCCTATTTATTCCCAAAGGGGACTTGTGCAGAATGTCAGTTTGCGACATTCTTCTCGCTGATTGGCGACCGGTTGTTCGCAGACGGAGAGATAGTCGCGACCAACGAGGGTACGATTTACCAGCCGCTTCTCGAGACACCGAGCATCAGATCCATCGACCATGGGTTCTCGCTCGAAGAAGGCATTCTTCAGTGGCGGCATCCGAGCTTTGCTGGCGGAAAAGCCAGCTTTTGCTTATCGGCGTCGAATACGGTCCTGGCTGTGTTCAACAAATCAAGCACTCCGACTGACTGTGCGCCAGCGAACCTAGTCAATGTGCCATGTGAGTTTATTACAACGAAACAGATCACACTAGCCTTGGCTCATGCGTGTTATAGATACCCGGTGTTTCCCATCAGTTGTATCGATCAATGTATTAGTCATGGATGACGATACTAGGTCTGCTCAACAAGCTGCAGGAAGCGCAAGTAATACGGACAGCCCTGCCGGGGCGAAGTGGCTGGATACCAGACCAGATATCACCAACCATGGTTATGACAGAGCCGGGGCGAAGTGGCTGGATACTAGACCAGATATCACTGGTTATAACAGAGCCGAGCCGAAGTGGCTGGATACCGGACCAGATATCACCAACCTTGGTCATGGCAGAGTCGGACCAAAGGAGCTGGATACCAGACCAGATATCACCAATCATGGTTATGGCAGAGCTCCCGTTGGGACAGATCAGCCGAGTCCTCTGGCTCTTATTGATTGGACCAGCTACAACTACAATACCGGACGACCGGGTTCCACAACACCCCCGAGCTCTGTTGGCTACGAGGGTAGCCACAAACATCATGATGCCGCTTCAAGTCCTATAAGACCCTCAGGTCCGGCAGGGCTCCCTGGATCTGATGGATGGGACGGTAGGGATGGGGAAGATGGCGATGACGGGAAAGATAGTGGTGATAGGAGGGATGGTAAGGATGGTAAGGATGGTAAGGATGGTAAGGATGGTAAGGATGGTAGGGATGGGGAAGATGGCGACGATGGGAAAGATGGTGATGGCGGGAGGGAAGGGAGAGATGGGAGAGATGGGAGGGATGGCAGGGATGGAACAGATGGCAGGGATGGGAAAGATGGTGATGATGGGAGGGAAGGGAGGAAAGGGAGCGCTGGTAGGGCTGGCAGGGATGGGGAAGATGGTGATGATGGTGACGATGGGAAAGATGGGAAAGATGGGAAAGATGGTGAAGATGGGAGAGAAGGGAGGGATGGCAGGGATGGCAGGGATGGCAGGGATGGTATCCAGGGTCCTCCTGGACCACCTGGGCCACCCGGCCTCCAAGGTATTAACGGGTTGAATGGTGAGCCTGGGCCAATGGGTCCTGAAGGTCCCACTGGTCCCGAAGGTGCCACTGGGCCAGCAGGAGCCGCTGGACCTGCAGGAGCCGCTGGGCCAGCAGGAGCCACTGGGCCAGCAGGAGCCGATGGGTCTCAAGGTCCAGAAGGTGCCACTGGGCCAATGGGTCCTGAAGGTCCCACTGGTCCCGAAGGTGCCACTGGGCCAGCAGGAGCCGCTGGACCTGCAGGGGCCGCTGGACCTGCAGGAGCCGCTGGGCCAGCAGGAGCCACTGGGCCCGCAGGAGCCGATGGGTCTCAAGGTCCAGAAGGTGCCGCTGGACCAGCAGGTCCCGAAGGTGCTGCTGGGCCTCAAGGTGCCACTGGACCTCAAGGCCCTATCGGTCCCCAAGGTCCTCCGGGTCCCGGATCAGCGGGTTTCACGGGCCAGTACGGGTACCTCGGCTGCTACATCGCGAGTAACGATGGCACCTACGGCCTAACTCCATACGCTTCACAGCAGGTTCTCACAACCTCGATCGACGACTGCGCCAATATCTGCTATGGTTTGCCGTCGGGCCCAACACTATACTTCACTCTGGGAACCGACACGACTACAGGTAACTCCATCTGCACTTGTGGTAATATCCTTGTTGCCTATAACTACCCAAATACCGGGCTCGAATTTCAATGCAATACGCAATGCAACTTCCCGGACAATCCGACAACAGAACAATATTGCGGCGGAACATATTCTGGGATTCCCACTGTTTCTCTTTTCGGTGCTATATAGATAATATTTCTAATACTATATTAATTAATATTCTAATACTACATTTTTCTAGCTGGGCCAAACTTGCGAAAAAGTGAAGGTCAAAGCAACAAGCTCGATATGACCCTAACTAACAGACGAGGTAGATACATCCACTTGAAGCTGAGGGAGCTAAGCGAAAATCTTTGCCGTTCAATCCACAGACAGTCCGAATCACTGCACACACATATGAATGTCAAGGTCTAAGTTGGATACACGAGAGGGAGGGCAATTAGAGAATAGATGGGCTGCGGAGTGGCTATTGATCGACGGTATGCGCCCAATAGCCATAACGACAGGAGATTCCTCAACCGGTAAGCAAACAACCTACCTACCACCAGCTTTACATCTGGTGAGAGGATTAAGCGCTGCGATAGCAGCATGAGGATAGCCCGTCGCCGAGATGGACCATGGTTGGAGCCGATATCAAGCATGGCGACGGTATCATCGAGTTCCAAGGAGACAGTACCTAGGAAGGCCATATTCTTCGTCTAAATAACGATCAAAGCAACATCTGCGACTTTTTATACGCATTCTTCGTTGTTGAATTCATTCGCTCTTACGACAATCTACCTATCTCCCATGATGTTCATGTGCCTTATGTTTGGGCTCTCTCCTCAGCTTAGGCTATGCCACTGGGCTCCAACGGCCGAACCTCGACATTTGGGATTTGGACATGTCGTGCCAGGTTTATCGGCCGGTCTTACAAAAAGCTTGTAACGGCGTCGCAATTTTGGTACACAAGGCCCCTGGAAGACATCAAATATGTTCGTTAACCTCAACCGGATGAAAGTGAACCGCAAGAGAGAGCCAAGTGGGACCACATTCCAAGAGTTGTCAGGCCATGTTTAGTTTCACCCCGCATGCAAAGGGGCTACTGATTCAGATGTGAACGGGAGGTACATGAATAAAATTCCGAGCAAGGTATTAGACGGAATCGATTGCCCTGCCCTGTTTCTCCCCCCACCCTCCTGCCAGGAACCCGGTTTCAGTTTTCCATTCTACAGGGCCCATGTTCTTTGCTGACCCTCTCGACTTCATTAGGTGTTTACCAGCCGATGAAGTCCTTCAAGGGGATTACAACATCGCAAGGAAGGGCTTCACAGGCGTCCACGCCAAAGCCCTGTGGATGTGTAATGCTATTTCCTGGAGGTTGTATCAAAAAGATCAAGTCGATCCAAACAATCCAACAAATCGCCCACTCTATAAGAGCAAAACTACCTTATTTATGTCCTACAATAGAGTGTGGATATATGGAGATTATTACTACTGGTTTCCCCAACAGCATTCACATCTGTGATCCCGCCATCTATGCAAAGACCATAGTCAAGCAAGATCCAATCACCTTCTGTCTACTCATCCTCGCGCCCGCTTTCGTAATCTTTATAGCGAGCGTCGACTAGGAGAGCAAACTAAAGGACGCAGTTTTAGTGTCTCAAGTAGTACGTCGTCGACTGCATTAGTAAGTCAACTTCACAGCTTGAGGACAAAGTTTATATTTTGGTCCCAATTATGAATCTTCCGGCTTCTAAAGATCCTGGTAGCACAACGATATCTCAAATTAAGTGAACTGAGTTAATAAGAGTCACAGGTGTCACCTTACTGGTGTCCACGACCAAGCATTATACCAAGTGGACTTTTCTCTGTGTAACTCAATAGGCATGTATGTTGAACTCGGATAATATACTAAATATAGGAAGCCAATGCTTTATATATTTAGTACTTGATACTATTTCTGCTTAGCAACCGACGTAAGGTACTCCTTATGCTGTAACACCGCCTCGTCCATTGTTTTAAGAGCACCTGCAATAGCTGGCCTTTCCGATATGCGGCTAATCCAAGCACTGTAGTTCTTCCACTGAGATGTGTCTAGTTCCGGGTAAATAACAGTTGCCAGGCCTCTGCAGTAGGGCAAGAACATGATGTCTGCGTAGGTCACCCGATCTCCGACTAGATAGTCTGTGCCTTGACGGCGAAGATGCGCGTCAATGATTCCAAGAAAACGTTTTATCTCATCACTATATCGCTCTATAACAGAAGGGAGGATCTCGTGATGGAACGTGGTATACCAAACCATCTGCCCAAAATAAGGTCCTTGGCCGCTCATCTGAAAATGCTCCCAGCAACGTGTCAAGTGTTTTTCTGGGCCAGAGGCGTAGTGCAGCTTATGATGGTTGTCGTAAATATCGACAAGATAGTCAATGATGGCACCAGACTACGTTAAGGGATGTAATGTTAGCCAATCTGAATATGTACGACTTTCGAAAGCCCTTCAAATCGGATTTGACTTGCCTCCCATATTGTTATATTCTCATTATTTGGATCTCTGAGTACTGGGACCTTGCCATTAGGATTCATTGCAAGAAAAGATTGTTGTTTTGTATCTGCTGCTAGAATTTTCTCAAATCGATATGGAAGGCCAAGCTCTTCGAGGATGAACGCCACCTTCCATGGGTTTGCAGAAGCTGCAAAAGGCGCAAAAGCATAAAGAACAAGAGGCTGCAGATCAGACATCATATTTACTTTAGGTAATGATTTTTTCCATTCAGTGATGTAGGATGACCCTCCAACTTGTACTGCATACATCTGACAATGCCTGTCTATACTGGCATTTTATATTACTCACACTTGTGATATGAGCCCTCGAACCAAGTATTCCCACAAACCATAGAATTGTACTAATCTAGCTGCGCCCCAATTATCAATCAATTCTGGGCATTTAGTAAGCGAGCTGTTCGCTGGCCAAAGCTTTCGGACCACAGTCTTCGGACCAGAGTCTTCGGACCAGGAGATATCTGACCAACCAATCAACAACCAGATGTTTCTCCGCTCTATTTGGCTATGTTACGTCACCTCACGCTTTTGGCATTTGCTTGGTCTTTCGTAAGCCGTTCCAAAATCGCAAAGTGTCCAGACTTCAATTATTTGTTCTTTGTCGCATGTGTATCGGACCTGTATTCGGACCAATATATCTGCTCATTGCCATTATATGAGTCAGAAGCCGAGAAAATAGCGTCTCAAATGCCGAAAAGTGGTTCACAGAACTCCAGCGAGAGCCAAGGCCCTGTAGTGAGCTCCTGGAGCTGCTTCAATTGCCGTAGACGAAAGTCCCGATGCAATAGACAGAGCCCATGCGGATTTTGCTCCAAAGCTGGCGTTGAATGCCTGTATCCTTTTACCGGACGCATGCCAACTCGCCAGCATAACTCGACAACTGCATCTGTTCCTTCATATCGGATGCCGCCACGGAAGCAGTCCCAGGTGCAGGTCCAAGAGCTCCTTAGCCGCTTGAGGCAACTGGAGAATGTGGTGGATAGCTTGAAGGCCCAGGCACAAGACAAAGACTTCATACCTGGCCATACCAATTCAGGCAATACGAGCCCAAGTAAGAACGGCGAAGGCTCGATAGCGGAAGAAGAAGGGGCTTTTATTGATGCGCGCACAATCAATTCGCGTCACAATCTTTCGTATGGATTGAGCAAATCGTTTGGCAGACTCCAAGTTTGTGAAAGCGGCACTATGTATACTGGCAACGGATTTTGGGCTGCTCTCCACGGCGAGGTGATTTTCTTTTTTAGGGCGTATTCACATGTATCAACACGCATTTCCTAACTACCTGACCAATAGCTAAAAAGTGTTCGCCAAGCGTTCGAGGCTAGCGACATCTTCGATTTGAGCGCCTTTCAGGACACTTCCTCAACATATGAGGCTGAGGGACGTCACATGCCCTTCGATTTTGATCATAGCAACACAACCGAGTCTACACCTCATCCAGCACCAAATCTCCTACATTTCATTTGGCAGGTGTATGTCAAGAATGTGGATCCCTTCATCAAAGTGCTGCATGTGCCAACCATGTCTGAAGTAATTCGGCTCTCGGAAGGTGGCTTCGAAAAGTTGTCTCCGGGGACACGAGCCTTGGTCTTTTCCATTTCTCTAGCCGCTGTGACGTCCTTGAGTGATGCCGATGTAAGTATACCTTCGTTGTGGAAGACATGTCCGTTACTGATGGAGTTCTAGGTACAAAATACATTTGGAGATGCCAAGGAAAACGTTGTATCACGCTTCGTTCTGGGCACAGAGAAAGCATTATCTCAAGCGGGCATCCTAAAGACGACCGACCTATGCGTTGCGCAAGCATCTTTAATCTATCTTGAGATAGCAGGCCAAAATTATGGGATGCGGACGGTGTGGATGATGTCCGGTATTTTAGTGAGGGCTGCGATATCCGTAGGGCTACACCGTGACGGAGCTACGTTTCCAAACGTGTCTTATTTCGAGGCGGAGATGAGACGCAGATTATGGTGGCATATTTGCTGTTTCGACGCTCGTATCAGTCAATGCTATGCCCCTGAGACTATGATATCTAACAATATGTTAGATACAAGGGAGCCTACAAACTGCAACGACGATGATCTCGAAGTCAATATGACGAAGGAGCCAACAGCACGGGAAGGGTTTACAGATGTGAGCTTCACCCTCATGGCATGTGAGCTGCGGCGTCTGTGTAATCATATACTCTCTTCAAGATCCTCCCTGATGTCTTCAGAGAAGAAGAAGCAAGCAGTGCAACACGACGTGTTGAGTGAAATAGAAAACGTGCGAAACTGGACCGCCAAGAAGTTCTTTGGAAACTTGGAGACAAGGCGTGAGTTACAGTCTTCTACAAAGTCCCTCTTCAACATGCTTCTGGATCAGCTTAGCATCATTGTGCGGGACACGAATATATTTGAGAAATCGCCACCCACGGAAGAGAGACATATGACAGACCGATCATATGTGCGCGCATTAAATCACATTGAGAATATGCGGAAATGGCGGGACGAGCCTTCAATGCGTCAATGGGGCTGGGTCCTGGTGAACTTCCAACAGTGGTACGCCCTCGGTGTCGTTCTTATTCACCTCCAAACGCAGACATGGGACTCGGCATGTGAACGAGCCTGGACAACTGTAGTCAAAACACTAAATGAGATCCCTCCGGCAATGATGACAGAGAATCCCCTACGAGAGTCTATAATTGGCATGGTTACTGCTGCACGTCAGCACCGAGAAGAAGAGCTTGGACGACAATGTTGTCAATCAGAAAGCCATCAAATTATATCTTGGATGCCAAATATTGGCGCTTCTATATCTGTCCCCGAAGACTTTTGCTTTGATTCAGCACCAGACCTTCTTGCTGGTATATTTACCGGAGAGGGCGAGATTGCGGAGCAGCTCAATATAGCACCTATAGATCTAGTGCAAGACCCTTTCGAAGGCTCTGTTTACGCCGGGCGGGTTTATTCAAGGACAAATTATCCATCTTGGTATTTGGAACCAACCAGCGATTTCGAAACCTTTGAACCTAGTTTCGGAAACTTGCAGGATCTACTGTTTTGCAATAGTTTGGATAAGGGGAATCTGGGCTCAGATAAATAGCACAGATAGTGTTGGTACTTCAACCTGCGGTGGAAGGCAGTTGGAGTCAAAGGGAAAATCGTAGTACAGAATTCAATCGGCCCTAATCATCAATAGAAGCACCATTAGCTTACCTTGCAGCAAACTGCAATATAAATTTTCCGTGTTTTGCAACTGCCTTTTTTGGTTCAAGATGTAAAGCCTGTGGCTTTAATTGAATAGAGTGGAGAACAACCGTAGCCGCATGCATCCTCTTCCGCATGATAGTATTACGCAGCGCCTTATTAGACTCGGTAAGCCTGCACCACTACTGTATCGATACGGCAGCGCCTGTGTCCTCACCTGCTTGTTTCAGTTACTGTAACGTTTGTAAGATCACGTTATAACGCTGCAAAGGGTAACTCGGATCCTTTTTATGTGAGTCTAATTGTTGTATGCTCCACAAAGACTGCTACTGTAATATTGCCTAGTTTGCACACAACGGTTATCGGCATCTCTTTTATATTCATGATTTCTAACCTCGTTTCCAAAACACTCTAAATCTCCATTCATTTGCAGCACGAACGGGCGCTCGATGGAGGTGTAATAAGCCTTTACGTCTTTAGAAGACATAAGATTGTATATCCCTCTTGTAGTGCCGAAGTTCCGTGTTGTCGTCACACTGTTTGTATTAGTGACTACAAACTTCATCTCTAAACGCTTTCTATTCCTTTGTCATCCGCGGCACGAGAGGACGCTCTGTACATTGTGATATTGATTCGGCTTTTTACAGTAGGTATTTTGGACTCTGTATCTCCATTTTTTGCGTGCCGAAGTTCCGCGCTGTGAGAATAGAACAGGTTGACTCCCAACATTAGAGATGGATGGGGATGGAGGCCTTCAGAGCCGCATATAAATATGCCGCTGATCCTATGCTATCTTTACCTCCTTGAAACACTCATTAGCATTTTATAAAAACCAACCTGTATATTCTTCCCAAGAGACATAAAATGGTGGCCAAATCCGCCCTGCTCCTGGCTGGCGCAGCGCTTGCTGCTGCTGGTGGTGTCAATCGCAGTCTTCCCCTTCCTCCTGGCACCCGAACTCTTAAAGTACTTGCTTCTTTAGCCACCGATACAGCCGTTACAGGCACTGCCGCAGTGTATGGAATCAATGACAACGAAAATGCCAACGGTGGCCTTGGATGCCGGGCCTATTACGGCGACGGCAGCTCCAATGATGGCTGGCCATCCATCAGCCAATGGGTCTCGTTCAACTACATCTGGCAAGTCAACTACAACAGCATTCAGAACTCGTGTAGCCAGTATGGCGTCCCCAATCTCTCCGACGACGAGATGAACGACCTAGAGAACGGCATCAACGACATCGCCAACCAATTCAACATCGATCATCGCTACATTCTGGCCGAGATCTTGACGGAGTCTTCCGGCTGTGTCCGAGTTCCCACTACGGGTGGCCCCGCGACTGGCATCTGGAACCCTGGCCTGTTGCAAGACTTCGATGGATACTACACCTGCAACTGCAATACTTACAACGGCGTGTACAACGAGTACGGTGAGACCTGTGGTGTGGTCAACCCATGTCCAGCAGGTAAGTATAGCTTTCACGAAGAACTCTTGGTTCCAGCCTTTGTCTCGGACTAATCATATTGCTAGACACAATCAGCAACATGATTCGAGAGGGCGCTGTGGGCACTGATAATGGAGTCGGCCTTAGCTTTCTTATCAACGCAGCCGAGGCTCAGGGTGCCCAGGACGCCCAGGTTTTTTATGTTGCGTCTGAGTGGTACAATCAAGGAGAGTACTCGCCTAACGTAGGTGGTTCTCTAAACGCAAACTGCTATGCCAATAAAGTGGCTCAGTGGCTCACTGGATGCACGAATCCGGTGTCATGTTAAGATATTTGTCTTAGATGCGTTTCCAAGTAGATAATAATACATTTGTCTCCTTGCTTTCAATCCTCTATGTTCTGAGAACTATCATCTACTCTAGCATCACCTACAAAACTGGGCATGTTTCGTGGCAGGGCCTAATGGAAGCCTATGTGGACACTGGTTTTGAACTGACTGTTCACTCAGACACTTGGGGCAAATATATCAATTCACTTACTGTCGACTCTTTCTAATCTCGCCCGTCAGGATCATGTCTCGAGGAAAAGCGAGACCCAGTCCCGCCTTGCGATTTTCCTCACTCAACTGGTGCGGGTAAAAGACGTTCTCGCCGGGAAACAGCAGGTTCGTCGTCAGGAAGTAGTCCAACGCCTTCATCTTCATTTCCACCTTGACCGGAGGAAACTTCAGGTCATTGTAGTAGGGGGGCACATGCTGACGGCCCGGGTGGGTGTTGAAGATCTTGTCCAAGAGCCCTTCCTCCATTTCAGCGCCTGTCGCAGAAATAGTCCAGTTGGAATCGTGGACCATAGTCAGCTGGAACAAGTTGGGGTGCTCGCTGGTGCCCCCGCTCCACTGGCCCTTGCTCTTCCATTTGAAGAGCAGCTCGACTTTGCCGTGTTCTTCAATTTTCGGTTGAGGGCCGACAATGCTCACACCATCCCAAGTACACGTGACCGGGTCGCTCTTGTATTCGAACACGGCGGCATCCGTTATATCTTCTGTCAAGTTGTTGTTGATGGTGAAGTCTACTGTTCCTTTGGACGGGTTGAATACCGCCTCATTGTAGTCACAATATGAAGGCCAGCCGAATGACTTCCACTCATCGTGAAGCGGGCCAATCGTGATGGAGGGAAGGTTCAGGCTGCCTGTTAAATGGCCACCAGCTACCAGAAGAGTTAGTCAGCCTAAAATATATGGCCTCCTGGTACAAGGCGAGGGTAGTGTCAGGGCCGACTCACGCTTTCCGGGGGTGCTTTCGATCTTAATATTACGCATAGCACTTCCGAGGTTAGGCTAGTTAGGAAAGATCAGAAAAAGACTTTCAGAAATGTGATACTTAGTAGTTATTGGATAGGATACGTGAAGGACTTACTGTGATGTATTGATTTATCATCAGGGCATGACTGAAGATGATGTGTCACGACCTAACAACACTTGGTTGCACCAGCAGGCCTTGGAAAGGATATTGTGACGTCCTGACCTATACTATCGTACTTAGGTATAGGGTAGGTTCCCAATCTATAAACCAAGGCGTCGGTTTATGTTGGCAGAGAGATGCGAGGGATCTAATGAGCAGTGTAATCACGTAGCTAACAAGGTTATGAATAACCAATCTGATTGTTATCTGAAAGTGCTATGTTAACGACTAACTATCTAAGTTCTATCTAATGAGTGTAATAAACATTCTTATATAGTAAGTCGTTGTCTTGGTTATCACCAGTGTAAGTCTCGTAGTACCTGATGAGAATGCACTCCTAGAGTTGCGTTCTCATCTCATAAGCAGGTACGTACCCTGCTGAGAGAGGAAGGCTTCATTCTGATTATAACCCGGGGTCCCGACTTGTTAAGGTAGGGTTAGGCACTACTCCTCTGTCTCCGGAGACAGACAAGGCAGCTGTATATAAGATAACCGCACTAGCTCTTTATCTCCGGAGACAGATGTATTAGCTAGATGTAAATTAGTTATACTTAAAATAGCTATACTAGCTTTTTATCTCTAGAGATAAACATTAGCTGTATATAAGATAACTGCACTAGTTCTTTATCTTTAAAGACCAATATGTTAAAAGAATATAATATAGCTATGCTAGTTCTTTATCTCCGGAGATAAATGTATTATAACCCAGGGTCTTAACTTATTAAGGTAGGGTTAGGTACTACTCCTTTATCTCTAGAGACAGATAAGGCAGCTGTATATAAGATAACCGCACTAGCTCTTTGTCTTTGGAGATAGATGTATTAGCTGGATGCTTAGGGTTAGGGTTAGGGTTAGGGTTAGGGTTAGGGTTAGGGTTAGGGTTAGGGTTAGGGTTAGGGTTAGGGTTAGGGTTAGGGTTAGGGTTAGGG